AAAGCGGGGTGGAAACAAGCTGGGCGTCGCGAGGGAAGAAGGATCCAGTACGATCACCCGGGATCGGTCAGAGCATGCGGGGATGGGCGGACAGTGCATGCGCTGGCAGACATACAAGGTCAAACGAGGACCAAAAGAGCACCCGACGACCCGACGCAAAGCACGGATGCCGCCATGGCAGCCAAGGACGGACACGGATGACATCGATTTGAGCCTTGCCTGGCATGGCACAAACAACATCCCCCCGGCCACCGTGGCGCTTCACCGGATTGGAACCGCTGCCGATCCGCCGTCGCGGATGACGACGAAGTGGCTGCGAAACAGGTTTCGGGTGGTGCCTGAGGCACGCCCCGCTGTCGGGAGATAAGGCACGCATGCACGGTAGGTTGGTTGTTCTACCAGATGACAGACTATGATTTATGCTTGAATACGGTATTTGGGGTCTTATGGCGACAGCGTGACCAGATCGTCGATCAAGCTGCAGGCAGTCGATCCACCCAATGGGAACAACGGTTCCTGTAGGAGGTCGATAGTTCGGCGGATGGGATCCCGAAGACATTGAGGCGAACAATACCTACATACATAATGCTAATCCATGTCATAGCGAGGTAAGGTCAGGTCGGAAGTCTGGTCGACGACGTCACCACCCGAGATGCTGACTGGGTCGTTGACTAAGATCGTCTATGATGGATATTTGGTTCAGTCGTATAGTGAATGGCATTGTCTTGCGGAAAAAGTACAAAGGGAATTGAGTTTGGTTCTGGCGGTTAGGGAGGTATATGAAATCTTCGAACATAGGTAGAGAGCTGTCGATAGATTTGAACACCCGCGTGATCGGGACAATTGATCCCGTGGACAGCAGCCAAGCCGAACCGAGTAACCGGCCTGCACAATTTCTCCGTTAATCAGCAAGGCCGAACGGAGAAACTCAGGGTCGTTGCCAGCGCACGGAGCACCTCGGCGGACTAGCCTCAGGTACCATTCCATGGAACTGTCGTTTGCGATGTCGAATTGAGCATGGATAAGAAAATAATCTAGGGGAAGTATATGAATTGTGGTATTAACAAAACTACTAGCAATATGAAACAGAGACAGCAGACAGCACGACCATCGAAGGAAAGGCTGGCGACAAGAAAATAAGTATGTACCTGTACAACTGGGGAGAGCGAGGGCCGAATGGTCTAGATCCCAGGGAGAAAATTGAGCTTTGTCATGTGCTCGATCGACAAGGTCTAGCAGCGCCCCTCCTGCACGGGTTCTCTGCGCTGTTCCAAGAATTTCGTTCCAGATCGACGGATCCGTCTTCCAGGTTTGCAGGTACCTGATTCATGGCTCAGTCGTGAGTAGATAGTAGATAGTAGATACTAGGCGAAACGAAGGATCACTCGGTAGAAGTCTCAAAACTGTCATATTATTCAGAGGAATGAGCGCCTTCGAGCAAGGAGCTGTTTCCGGAGTCTAGGCGTCGAAAGTAGCAGGAGGGCGAAGAGAAATCCATGGAATCCTCCAGGATGGGTCCCGGATCGATGTCATGTGGGAGTCGCCAACTATTCTTAGTTGGGTGGGCACTAGTGCCGTTGTGCATATCCATAGGAGTATGAGCAGTGTTTTGGCCAGTGATCGTCTATCTTCTGTTATTCTAGGTCAGGTACCTAAGCCAGCAATTAATATTATTAGGAAGAATAATAGAAGATAACCGATGGATTGCAAGGGTTCTTGGCAGGGGAGTGGGAGGTCAGGTGCATTTAGAATCAAATCAAAGTTGCGAAAGAGTTCCAGGTCGAGTCTAGAAGAAGACAGCCACCAGGGCAAACCTTCCTAAACAAAACAAGCATATCCGCCCGGGAAGGAAACCACGGCGGATTGGTGGGTTTATTCTTCTCCCAGCATTCCTACAGAGTACTAAGTACGGAGTAGTACGGAGTAGTATGTAGTGCTAACACCTCTATCTAAGGGATTATTGTTCGGCTTCAATTGATAGTCCCATGGGATCATCACCAGATCTTCTAGAAGAATTCAAATGATAGAATATACATACCTAGATACCGAGACACCTCGTCGAAAAGGAGACAGAAGAAAGGGGAAGCTGGCCCATTGCTGACGACGGGCAAAGGTCGTCTGATCAGAAAAATCCCCTTCTCCCCCACTCCCCCACTTCTCCGCCATGGACGAACGGGGAGCGCAGGGAATAGTAGCAGTACTATAGGAGGAATGCTGTAGGAAGAATCAGTGAGGGTCTATAGAAATAATCAGTCACGTAAAATCCATAGCACAATCAAGACATGGAGCAGAAGAAAAAATATTAATAAAAAAGAAAATCAGAAAAAAAAGAAAAGGGAGGAAAAAGATGATCCACCGGACTGGATAAAAACCCTGACCAGTCCGGACGGTGCCCCTCCCCATTTCCTTCTTTCTCTTCCTTCTGCCTTCCTCTTCTTGCCACCATCCGGTGTGACCTCATACCCTTGACCCTTGGCCCTTGACCTGCCTCTCTGCTCTACCTACTCTACCACTCTACCTACCTACCTAATCGCCGCCGCCTTCCCGAACTTCCTTCCTCCTCCCCGGGTGTCCTGCCGGATACGTCACCGTCGCGCTTGGCTGGAGTTTGTCATTGCTCGCTATTATTGTCCGATTCCCATTTTCTCCGGGGGGGTTGATTCTTGGTCTTCGTGGGATTATCCTTATTATTACCTACTATTTCTTCTGCCCATTACGACTGTTGTAGTCTCCGCCTCAGCGTCATTCCTCCCCCCACACCTCTCCTCCCCCCTCTTAAGTCCGAATTGACGCCCGTAAATCAATTCCTCCTCGCTCCCTCTCTCTCCTCTCCAATTCTCTCCTCCCAATCTTGCGTCATTCCGACTTCCGACTTTCGCGCCATCCTTTTCTTCCGACCCCTCTCCGCTCTCATCTCCCCACCATCACACTCGACTCCGCGATCATGAGAAACCCCTTCGACATGTCCGACCTCGACTCGCTTGTTGACGAACAAGAACACGCTGAGGAGGCGCACGTTAAGCTCCGCACCCAGTCTACCGACGACGGCGATCGCTCCCTCCTCCAGAATGAAGACCGTCGCAAAGACAACCTCAAGGATCGCTTTATCGGCGCCATCGACACGGGCACCACCAGCACCCGTTTCATTATCTTTGACTGCACCGGTGTGCCCATCTGCAAATACCAGACTGAATTTCGTCAGATCCACGAGCATTCAGGGTAAGTCAACCACAATTTGCCTCCCATCGCACTCCCCCGTTAATTGATTCTCCCGTCGTAGATGGCACGAACAAGACCCCTTCGAACTGGTCGATTCCGTCTATACCTGTATTGAAGAGGCGATGAAGGAATTCCTCGCCCTCGGTCACGCCGCGACCGATATCGAGGCCATTGGCATCACCAGTCAACGAGAAACCACCATCTGCTGGGATTGGGAGACGGGTGAGCCCCTGCACAATGCCATTGCCTGGCCCGACACTCGGACCACCGGTCTCGTGCGCGAACTCAAAGAACAGCCTGGTTCCGAGGAGCTGTCCAATATCTGCGGTCTGCCCCTGTCCACATACCCCTCCTCGGTCACCTTGGTCTGGATGCTCCGCAATCTTCCCGAAGTCAAAAAGGCCTACGACGAAGGCCGACTTGCCTTTGGAACCCCTGACGCCTGGCTGTTATATAACCTGAACGGCGGCCCGGAGGGTGGCCGCCTGGTCACGGACGTCACGAATGCGTCCCGAACCATGTTTATGAGTCTCGAAACCTTGGATTATGATGATCGCCTATTAAACTTCTTCGGAATTGACCGAAACAAGATCAGACTCCCCAAGATTCTTCCGTCATCCGACCCCGAGGGGTACGGGTGCGTCCGATTCGGGCCGCTGGACGGTATCCCGATCACCAGCTGTCTCGGCGATCAGTCGTCCGCCCTCGTCGGTCACTGCGCCTTCACTCCTGGAACGGCGAAGAACACGTACGGCACCGGTTGTTTCCTTCTCTACAATGTGGGCGAGAAACCCGTCATCTCCAAGCACGGGTTGCTGGCGACCGTTGGTTTCCAGCTCGGTAAAAACCGGAAACCCGTTTATGCGCTGGAGGGTAGCGTGGCGGTGGCCGGAAGTGGTGTCTCTTTCCTCATGAACAATATGGGTTTCTTCCGTGATTCGCGCAAGGTCAGCGAGGTCGCCGCCACCGTTCCCGACAGCGGAGGTTGTGTCTTCGTCACCGCGTTCAGTGGTCTCTTCGCGCCGTACTGGATTGATGATGCGAAGGGAACAATCTGTACGTTTCCCCAGAAGGTTTTGGCTGTATGAGCTCTACTAACGTGCAATAGTTGGTATTACGCAACACACTCAGCGTGGACACATCGCCCGAGCAACAATGGAAGCCGCCTGTTTCCAAACCAAGGCCATCTTGGATGCCATGGAGATGGACAGTGGACATAAATTGTCGGAATTGGCCGTGGATGGAGGCATGAGCAATTCCGACATCTGTATGCAGGTGAGATTCTGTCGTCTGATTTCTACACCCAAGCAAAGACTAACAACTCCCAGACCCAAGCAGATATTATCCAAATCCCCGTCGAACGACCCGCGATGCACGAGACCACCGCCCTGGGCGCCGCCATCGCCGCCGGGTTCGCCATCGACGTGTGGAAAGAGTTCAGCGAACTCAAGGACATGAACCGCGCGAACCGCACCACGTTCAAGCCCAACATCTCCCCCGCCCAGAGCCGCAAGCTGTACAACCGGTGGTCGAAGGCGGTGCAGATGTCCCGAGGGTGGGTTGACACGAATGACGAGGATGAAGAGTGATTACACGACTTCTTTCATGGACTGGGTTATGCATATTACTAATACCTTGGATGGCCGTTTTTTGCATTAGCGCTTTTGGTCTATCTTTCTATATACATACACTGGGGTTTGGGGTATTTCGGTGGTGGTCTGTTTGGATACCCGATTGTCAGATCAGGTAAATTGGTCAGTACATATTATTAGCTAGAAATGTACGGTATATATCCTCAATTGGACCTAGATCAAACGTAAGTTGCTTAGAGGATTGTAGTATGGATGGCTGACTTGGATATATACTCCGCATCGGCATCTTGACTTAGCGTAGTTAGACCGTGTATAGAGACAGACGCTGTCCTTGCTGGATATTCTTGGTAGGACCTCGTCTAATTCGACTTTGTGGGAGGAAAACTGTTGTGGTTTACTCCGAATGGTTTACTTGACGAAGACGGACAGCCCTGTGGGAGGAAGCAAAGGTATCACCTGAAGGCTTTCTTAGGTAGAGACGGACCGGCACTACCTAGAACTAGATGGACTAAGTCCGGAGAATCCATGGACAATAGAATCCTTGCGGTGCATCTCATTGCCAATGCGACATCACAGTGAGAAGGTCTGCATGCATAGATACAGGCGCCAGTCAAAGCAATCATCCCCAACAGACTGAAACCACTGCCTCCGGCTGCTTCTTAACCGGGCTCGGGCGCTCCCAACCGTAGTAATCGTCAGGAACACAACTGGCCGTATCAGAAGTTCCCCAATTGGCAGCACCGTAGGGATCCCCGTACGAGCCTCCACCGCAGTCGTCCTTCTCCCCCAAATCCGCACGCAGCTTAGCGAACTTCGCACGAAGCGAGTCGCACTCGACGTATTGGCGCTCGATCTCATCCCCAAGACAACCGTTGAGACTCAACAGTTCCTGCTGGACGCGCTCAATCTTGCCATCCTTCTCGGCGACTTTCTCCTTCAACTCGGCGAATCTCCTGCTGCATCTGCTCCTTCTCCGCGGCGAAGGTCTTCTCCACCTCTTCGCGGATGGACAGGAACGCAGCCGCCATGGCGTAGGATTCGGCGGGAGGATTGTGGTTTTTCTTGTTGCTGGCGAGGAGGGCGTCGCGCTCGTGCTTCAGCGCTTCGCGTTCGTGGCGCAAGGCCTCGCGTTCGTGCTTGAGTGCCTCGCGGGTGTGGGTGTCGATAGCGTTTTGTCCGGGGATGGTGTGTTGAGCGCCGGTGAGGTGAGTGGGGGTCAGAGGGATGGGCACGAGAGGTTTCTTCATCTTGGGCATTGTGTGAGAGGTTGGAGATTTGAGGTCGGATTGTTTGGAGAGTGTGAGAAGTTGTGAGGAGAATGGAGAGGTTGAGAAATGGAGGTGAGGGTGATGAGGTGAGGGTGACGAGGGAAGGTTGGGAGGATGGATGAGATATGGATAGGTGAGGAAGGATGTGAGGTGAAGGTAGGAATCACCTATTCACTAAGTGCTGGGCTTCCACGAAAGATTGAATGAAAGTGTGTCCTCTGCGCTAGGTAGACATTCACCTCGCTGCGGCCGACTACATGCCATCTTCCACATATAAACAGTTCAAACTCCTACTCGACCATCTGCAGAAACTCATTGCTTATTTATGTATGTATGTACACTACAGTACAATCCAATCAAAGCCATTGCTTGCCGTTGCACTCCTCAGTCCGATATGCCAGATGCTAGATGCATGGTACTTTCAAAGTCCACGATCAGATATCGCGCAAAGAGAAATAGAAGAAAAGAGGAACATGACGAGACGAAACCGAAGAGATAAAATGAAAAGCGGGCATGATAATGTACACCACGACCCAGAAGGCGAGGCGGTTTTCTTTGATGGAAGGTGTATATCGGAGATAGAGAGGAGTGAGATAAGGGAATTCAGTAGGAAACGAGAAGAAAATTGTCAGACATCAAGTACAGCCTCTACTCTGTCGATGTCGGGGGACCCTCGGTGGACGCGGACGAGCTCAGCTTAGTCGTCTGGAGAGCTTCCGGCAGTTTCAGCGGTGCAGAAGGCTTAGACTCCAATTTGTCGAGCTTCTCGCCTCGGAGCACCTTCTCCATTTCTTCCTTAGTAAGGGTCTCGTATTCAATCAACGCCTTCGTCAGGAGCTCCAACTCGTTGCGCTTCTCTGTCAAGATCTTGGTGGCCCTCATGCGGGCTTCCTCAACGAGACGTCGCACTTCGCCTTCAATCTCCTGTTTGGTCTCAGAAGACAGGCTGTCATAGTTGCTAGACAGGTCGACATTGCCCAGCTTTTTCGAGTAGCCAAAGCGAGTGATGAGTGTGAAAGCCGTCTCGGTGGCTTGTTGGATGTCCTGTAGAAGACGTTAGCTATGTAATATTCATCAATCATCAGTCGATACTCACCGCAGAGATACCACTTGTAACCTTGTCAGGTCCGAATATAAGCTCTTCAGCCGCCTTACCGCCCATCGAGACATCGATGTCGGACAGATATTCTGTGTAGTTTCGCGAAACCATGTCCATCTCTGGCAAGAAGTGGGTCACACCCAACGCCATTCCACGGGGAACGATGGTGATCTTATAGAGAGGAGTGGATGATGGCGAAAAGTAGGCCACTAGCGCATGACCGGCCTCGTGGTAAGCAGTCAGGAGTTTATCCTTATCCTGAATGATGCGGCTGCGAGCCTCTGCACCCATCATGATCTTGTCTTTGGCCCAGTCGAAGTCCTTGGGTCCAACCTTCGTTTGCTTGTTCCGGCTAGCGTAGATAGCCGCCTGGTTGACCAAGTTCTCCAGATCGGCACCGGAGAACCCAGGAGTACCACGGGCAATCACGGCCACATCCACATCGGTGCTGATTTGAACATCCTTCATGTGGTGGCGGAGAATATCCATCCGGCCTCGAACATCCGGGAGACCAACAGTCACCTTCCGGTCAAACCGACCAGGACGCGTCAGAGCCTTGTCCAAAAGCTGAGGATAGTTGGTAGCGGCGATGATGATCACGCCACTGGTCTGGGAGAATCCATCAAGCTCGGTGAGGAGCTGGTTCAAAGTCTGTTTCACATACGCTGCATCGCGCTCGTTTCTCTTCGCGCCAATAGCGTCCAGCTCATCAATGAAGATGATAGCAGGAGCCTTGCTTCGGGCTTGGTTGAAGAGTTCACGGACACGCTTAGCCCCAACGCCCACGTAGACCTCGTCGAACTCGGAACCGGACATGTAGAAGAAAGGGACACCGGCTTCTCCTGCGACAGCACGGGCAAGCAGGGTCTTTCCGGTACCAGGAGGTCCAACAAGAAGGACACCCTTGGGCAGTTTACCTCCAAGCGAAGAAAAACGGTCAGGGTTCAGCAGGAATTCAACCAGCTCCTGAAGCTCATCCTTGGCTTCGTCGCAACCGTGCACATCGCTGAAACGGACCGTTTGTTGCTGGGGTTGAGCCTCGTTGTTCTGGGGGCCGCGAATGTTCTTCAAGACGCCAGTAGTTTCAACCAGGATGGTCACTAAGACGAGGGACATGTACGTGAAAAAACCGAAATAGAGCAAGAACTTGACCCAGCGGAATACGGCGCTGCCGAGAGACTCCTCTACAACGACGTACAGGGGAGATTCCTTAGCACCAGTTCCGGTCTGCTTCGTCGCCATTCCAATCTGACCGCCGTGGTTGCGAGCGGCAACAGCTTGGCCGATGGCTTGGAGTTGTTCGGTATTGATATCGGAGGTCGAACCAGAGCCGGACGCGATGGCATCGGCTCCGCCAACACGTTGCACAGCCTTCCAGTAGAGTTCATCCGTAGCTGCGTTGCTCGCGAAGTGACCAGTTTTGTATCGTTCGACGATGATCGCAGGCATGTTGGCACGAAGAAGGGCTTGGTAGAAGGCATTTTGGGCGTTGGCGCTGTTGGGATTGTTGTTCGCGGTCTTTTCCTTCTGGGCGAGTACATTGTGACTGGCACCACCAAACAAGAAGCGCTGTTGTTGCAACCTCGAAAGTCCGTTGGGGAGCGTGCGGCGATGACGGTTCGGAGATGTGGCCAGGGTGGAAAAGGAGCGAGAGGACGTCGATGGAAGGTGACGAGAGGCGAAAGACGGCGATGTCCAAAGAGAAGTTTCTGGATAGGTTAGCATAAAATAACATGAGCGGAGCATGTATGAGAGACTCATACCATTGAACAGCGATCGAGACCATCCCTGTCGCACAAGCCGGTGAGCGACACCGGGCTTCAACGCTTCGGCGGGCACCGATTCCAGAAAGTCAGGCAGTGACACACGATACTCCTTGACATCTATCAGTCCCTGTCTTTGAAATTTCCACAATAGCCAGCACTGTTTTGGAAGGCATACCGCGGCACTTGTTTCTCCAATTGCCCGCTGACGGGCATCCTTGGTGGCGGAGCCGGAGATAGTCGGATTGCGCTGGATGTTCCAGGGCGTGCGCAGGAACTTCGATATCGCCGGCCAGAGATCCGTCGTCGCAGCTGCGACATTCTGTTTGAGAGGATTCGGGTCAGCGACATGAGATCTGGGGGCATAGAGAGGTAGAGCCCGTACTGGGTTGGTGATCGGAAGTTGGAAGGCCATGGTTGACCGAAGGGTAGCGGCGCTCGGCCGCAGCAACGGGGAGTATCGAATCCTCGGGGAATAGAACGAGGAGGGGGGTGAAGCGACAGGATTAAGTGTCGGGTGAGATATATGCCATCACCGATGATCAGCGGATGGCGGCCCTAAGATGGTTGTTGGGAGGAATGAGAGAAGGGAATCTCAATATGATGGAGGTGATGAATGATGCGGAGGCGAAATTGGTGGTGGTGCCACTCTGGTCTTTCTGCGCCCCCGGATGCTTACCTCATTCCTTATTGCGGCCTCAGGCATCATAGATAGTGATGCCTTATCTCCAAGTCGGGGTTTATCACCGCACCGCAGCAGTGCAGTGTACGTTGGGAAAGCTACGGTCTGCGTGGGCTGCAAGTTTTGGTAGTAAAATTGTTCTCATTCACTATTCCACTATCGATCTCTCAGAAAATGTCAAAGTGGGACTTCATTCCATCTAATGAAATGGCTCCAGTTCGAGCCTATTTCCAGTCCGACAACATGGAAGAGTTCACACTACACTCGCAAAGGTGCGCGACACGACAGCCTAGACGACGAAACCTTCCGGACAAAAACTGTTTTCCTTCTTTACAAGGCAGTGGAGAAAAACTCATTTCACCTCATCTGCTGTTTACTTGCGATCCACGTCCCAATGGACTCAGCTCGTGAAAGCCACCATAAGCACGGCATATCAAGCTTTAGACGCTTTCTTACCCACGGATGGGACATCAATGCACCAGTTGACTGGGATACGTCTTCACCTGCAGCGTAAGTTCGTATCATGCAGACAAGTAATTGGCTTCTAATGGACTTCCTGTCATAGATTCTCTTTTCATGACAGTGCCTTGGCAGAGTGGTTCCTTTCCCGCGGAGCAGATCCTAATCGGCTGTGTTATGAACATACGGATCGCACTTTCTTTTACAGAAACCAGGACCTGGGTCTTCTCATTGCTTGGCATATTTGAGATCCGAGACCAGTTGCTTACTATGAACCCCGAATTCATTTAGCTTGTAAAGCATGTTTCCGGAAGAAGACCTGTTCCAAGGTTCCCCGGAATATATACTTAATATCTATTTCTAGGCTCTAGGATATACCACTATCTTGTAATAGGTAATGGAAGATAATATATTTCTAAGTGTCTAACCTTCTGCGGAACTTATGTAGGATACACATTACGCGATATTTAATGTATGACCATATCATGATTCACGTATCATATGGTTGAGGGGTGATGCGCATGGTATACTCTTAAGGAGGTAAATCAAGAGGTAAGTTTCAAATACAACGTCTGTCATGGTACAGATCGCCAAGGACCTAAGCCATTTAGTGCCATGGGGGCATGTTGCTTGATTGCTTCCAAGAGAGCTTGGCATTTGCATACTAGCATATATCTTAGGGCTTGGTGACTCAAAGGTCACATGGATGTTACAAATGTAACGCAGTCCCCTGTCTTATCATCACTCCTTCATGCTCGCAATTCTCTGGATAAGCCAAGGTTGGTTGGAATTCGATGTGATGTCTACGAGAAACACCTATATCTGAATCACCCCCTCTTTTCTACATATACTGGGCCATAAACGAGATTGATCCCACCATCCCAGGTGGTCCCAACAGGCACAATGCCTTCGCCATCATGTTTACAAGCGGACCACTCCTGGGGACCGACCTTGCCTATGCATTGTCATGGAGAGTTTGACTTCACTGTCCACTTTGAACAAATCTGGCTTTCAATTGTGCCGTCAATCTTGTTTTTGGTTTCCAGCGTTCCTCGGCTGTGGCAGCTCCGCCGAGCCCCCATAGTTATCCGCAATTCCAGGAGTCAACTTGTCAAATTGGTAATACCACATTCCCCAGTAGTTTCTATTCGGTCTTTCCTGACACTATCAGGGCATCATCGCTCTCCTGGTCATTCTTCAGTTGGCCCTGCTTCCCCTGTGGTCATTGAAGACATCACTGCAGACGTCTGTTTCCATCCCAGCTGCCGTCTTCGCATTGGTTGCTGCGTTGATGCTCGCTATTCTCTCGTATTACGAGCACCAGCGATCCGTGAGGCCGTCCACATTGCTGAGCATTTATCTCTTCTTTTCGGTCCTGTTTGACGCCGTCCAATCTCGATCATTATGGCTTCGCAATACCGACGCTCCAATCGCGGCGGCATTCACTGCAGCGCTTGCAGTCAAACTGATCATCACAGTTCTGGAAGGACAAGAGAAACAGCCTAGTCTACAAGGACAAGGCACCAAATTGTCACCTGAAACTACCAGCAGTATCTACAATCGCGCGGTTTTCTGGTGGTTGAACCGTCTGTTTCTCACTGGCTATAAAGGCACTCTGCGCCTGAGTGACTTGTATCCTCTTGAACCAGAGATGGCCTCAGAAAATCTAGGAGACGCCATAGAGGATGCCTGGATGAAAGGTAAGCGGGTAAACTCGGTGGCACAACAGTAGCAAAACTAATTTCAACCAGCCGAGCAAAGCAAGCCGTACGCTCTACTTAGGACAACTGCAGTCTCATTAAAAGGGCCCCTGCTCTCCCCAGTCCTCCCTCGTATCGCGCTCATTGGCTTCAAGTACTGCCAGCCACTCTTACTGGCGAGCGTAGTCAACTATGTTCAGCTCCCAGATGCAGACCGCGACGGGAACGTCGGCTATGGGCTGATCGGTGCGACAGCCATCGTCTATATTGGAATTGCAGTGAGTCTCCATAACTTCTACCGGAACGTAAAGGTATGGTGCTGACTATATCATTTAGGTGAGCACTGGACTGTACAATATCAAAGTAGATCGATCCACCGTCATGATACGCGGTTCGCTTGTGAGCATCATCTATCGCAAAACCTTGAGACTACATCTAAACGAAGCCAAATCATCCGCCGCATTAACTCTTGCTAGTTCGGATGTGGATCGCATTGGCTTGACCGTTGAAAGTGGCCATGAGATCTGGGCCAGTAGCATTGAGACAATATTGGCTCTCGTGCTACTGCAACGGCAATTGAGCTGGGCCAGTATTGCCCCTGTGTTACTCGCTTTGCGTATGTCTGACGGCGGTTGAATAGTCCAAGTATTGCTTACTGACTTACTCTAATTCAGTTGCTACCGCTGCAAACACACGGATCGCGAAGTATGTTCCGCGGCGCCAACGGGAATGGGGCGCTGCGATCCAGAAGCGGGTGACCCTCACATCGGCGGTCCTCAGAAACATGAAAAGCGTCAAAATGATGGGCCTGCAGGAAACAATTGCTCGGACGGTCCAGGGCGCTAGGGTGTACGAGCTGGATTTGTCAAAGCGCTACCGCAGGTTCTTTGCGTACATGGCCATTATCTGTTGGTTCTCCTCCTGAGAACACAAGCATACCCACTAATGGCATGACTCTAGCAACAATACCCCTGCAGTTTTCCGCGCCGTTCGCTTTTGTCATCTATCTATATGGGGTCAAATCACATCATGGACATGATTCTGTCGCAGCACAAATATTCGCTTCGCTTTCACTGACCCAGCTGCTCGCCACTCCATTGCAAAAGGTCTTATCTTCCATTCCTTCATTTGCGGGGACCCTCGGTTCTTTCACACGCATCGAGGCTTACCTGCGGCTTGACGACCGTGCCGATGGCAGGAATACCGGCCTTGAGAGTTGTCGCGAAAGCTTGACGGAGAGTCTTATAAGCGAAAACCTGTTTGAAATGGAGAACTTGGGAGCGACATGGAGAGGAACAGCTCTCAGTAAACATGCAGTCTCGGTGCAAGACGCAGACATTTCCTACTCCGCGTCCTCACAGCCGGTCCTCCACAAGCAGAACTTTGAAATCCACAAAGGCCTGTTAAACGTGGTCTTTGGCCCTGTGGGCTGTGGAAAGACCACCCTTCTCAACGCTCTCCTCGGCGAGATTACCATTTCCAGCGGCAAGGTGATGGTAGATGGTTCTGCAATTGCCTATTGCCAGCAAACGCCTTGGATCATTAACGCCTCTGTCAAGGAGAACATCCTGAATCAATCTCCATACGACAAAAATTGGTATAACAGGGTTGTGTGGTCCTGCGGACTTGAAGAAGATATTGAACATCTCCCTGACGGAGATGACACTACTGTTGGAAGCCGGGGCATCAGTTTGAGTGGTGGACAGAAGCAACGGCTGGCCCTGGCTCGGGCAGTCTACGCTCGAGCACCGTTAGTCGTCCTGGATGATACTTTGAGTGCTCTCGATGCGCGAACTGAAAGACTGGTCTTTCATCGTCTGCTGTCCAGACAGGGACTCTTCCAGCACCTTGGAGCGACAGTCATTCTGGTCACTCACTCAGTGCAACATCTTCGATCTGCCGACATTATCAGTTTATTAGATTCGAAAGGATGCATCGAGCAACGTGGCTCATTCAAAGAGCTCAGTGACATAGAGGGCCCAGTCAAACGCCTGTTAGCTGATTGTCCTCCAGACAAGGCCGGGGCAGAAGATCACAGCTTGGAACCGGCTTCTGGTACATTAGCTTCAGGCCAGGGTCCAAACGGAGAAAATCCGTCATTGCCGCGTGCGGCTGCTACCCCAGCAATAAGGAAGCCTGTATCCGATTCAGCTGTCTTGATGTATTATCTCAAGACCATCGGGTCGTATCGTGCGTCGATATTCCTGCTTACAAACCTGGCGTATGTGTTCTGCAGCAGTTTCACCCAGATCTGGGTTCAATGGTGGACGGAATCTAAGAATGCCGATGATGGGCCCTTCTTAGCGGTCTACTTTGCTCTAGCTATCGGAGCCATATCGAACTATAGTTCGAGCATTTGGTCTATGATGATCTCGATTGTGCCTGTGTCAGCAGCGAAACTGCACTGGCAGCTCCTTGACTCCGTTCTTCATGCGCCCATGTCATTCTTCTCGTCCGTGGACTCGGGGATCACGTTGAACCGATTCAGCCAGGACATGTCACTGATCAATAGTCGCCTGCCTGTATCCATGATGCAGGCGACACCGATGGCTTTCCAAGCGCTGGCACAGATTGCTCTTATAGCTGTAGGGTCTACCTACCTGGCCGTTGCGGTTCCCTTCTGCCTCGGTGCTACCTGGGTTCTACAACGATTCTATCTTCGGACTTCGAGACAACTTCGCTTACTGGATCTGGAACTGAAATCACCTTTGTTCTCCAGCATCTCTGAGACACTCGAAGGTCTCCCGACGATCCGCGCGCTCGGCTGGCAGGAGAAATTCGAACAACGCAATCAAGAACGGCTGGACGCTTCGCAGCGCCCCGTCTACCTCCTGTACTGCGTCCAGCGCTGGCTGAACTTTGTCCTCGATCTCATCGTTGCAGCACTGGGTATCCTGCTGGTCAGCCTGGCGACTCAGCTGCCGAGCAGCACAAGCGGGGGCCGTCTGGGTGTTGCGATGCTCAACATCCTCGGTTTCAGCCAGAGTCTGTCTCAGTTCATCTTCTTCTACACAGACCTTGAGATGTCGTTACAAGCGGTTTCCCGTGTTAAAGAGTTTGTAGAAACGACTGTCTCGGAAGAAGCCAGCCCCCAGTCGCTGACGCCGCTGCCCGGAAACTGGCCTGCTCGCGGTGCGGTGGAGTTTCGAGACATCACGGCTTCGTACGCCAGTGACACGAGCCAACCCGTCCTCAATAAACTCTCCCTTGCCATCCAACCCGGACAAAAGGTCGGAATCTGTGGCCGGACGGGCAGCGGAAAGTCCACCTTACTTTCTGCTCTGTTCCGCATGATTGAACTCCAGAGTGGCAGCATTACGATTGACGGAATTGACCTCAACAACGTATCCCGACAAGAGGTGCGTTCGCGGTTAATAGCCATCCCACAAGATCCATTATTGTTTCCCGGGACAGTCCGTTTCAATGCGTCGCCGGACGAAACAGTTGCAGACGAGGAGATCATCAAAGCCCTCGAGAAAGTCGGACTATGGGAGCACGTCCAGAAGCGCGGCGGCCTTGACATCGATATTGATGCACTTGCTCTGTCACATGGCCAGCAGCAGTTGTTTTGTCTTGCAAGGGCAATGCTGAGGTCCGGCACTATTCTCGTCCTGGACGAGGCAACGAGTAATGTTGACTGGGGAACGGATGGGGTCATGCAACGGGTGATTCGGGAGGATTTTGCAAGTAAGACTATTATCACTGTTGCGCATCGGCTGAGAACGATCCTTGATAGTGATTTCGTGGTAGTGCTGGGTCATGGATGTATCCTTGAGGCAGGTCATCCCGGGGAACTGCTGGCGAGTTCAAGCCAATTTCGGGAATTGTACAGGACTCAGGGGATTACCATTGACAGCATCTAGGCCTGGTAATCAAGACGACTAAGGGTAAGGATCGCCTCATCTGGGTCAGAATTGAATACAGGCCATACTAAAGACGAGCCACATTCAATTGACTATGAGTGCCCCCAATCAGTAATTGTAGTTATCGCATCGATTTCATGGCAGTAGGGTGAATACTGCACTCTTGCCATCACCTATGAGTAGCCGAATGGATTCTACTCCGTGGTTGGATGTTGGATGTGCGAAACAATCTATGGTTGTTTGTATTGATGCCCGATGGGTTGGTTGGCTGAGATCGGCGGACACTGACACCAGTCATTGAGAAGTTTCACCTTCCTAAGAAAACTTGTTGCGGCAGACCAATATCTGATGACGGTCGTTGGAATCGACTAAGTGCTGAATATTTGTGCGACTGGCGATCTTGTACTACAGATACTTGTCTGATTCCGGACTAATCAAGGATGTTATGTATGTAATGCGCACAAAGAAAGTCTCCGCGGCAGGATGATGCCTGTATTATGTAGCGGTGAACCCTTGAGCAAACATCTGACGCCCATCTCAGCAGAAAGAGCATTATGGAGGAGGACTCATCCAAAGGCTGTGTTGCCTGTGGTTGGACGCTGGAACAGCAAGAGCAATGCTCGTATTCCAGCCATGTCAAACTCTTCTATGGTGCGAGCCGACGCGGCGTCTGGTCAATCGGGTCAGATGTGATCCTCAAAGAGCGTCCTAATGAAGGCCCCAAAAACGAAGCAAAAACGCTGGAATATCTTTCGAACCACCCTGATATCCCAGCTCCAAAGCTTATACGCGACTGGGTCGATAACGACGGACGATATTTTGTGCTCCAAGAACGCATAAAGGGACAGACTCTCGAACAGGCATGGCCTGCACTATCACAGTCCCAGAAGACAGCTATCGCAGACCAGATTGTCCAAGTCCGCCAGAAACTACGGTCCTCTCGTCAAAGTCCATACAAACAGTCGATCAAGGCCCATGTTATCCAGGGCTACTCTTTACTGACCGTGCGCCCCACGGACCGTTTGGCTCTGACCTCGAACTGTGGAATGCGATCAGCCTTATGCTTCATAACCCGCTAGCAAGGTCTTTTCCTCGTCGAGCGTTGGAGAATTTGAAGAAGCACATGCCTAAATGTGAACCCTACGTTCTTACTCACTGTGATCTTAACTTGGGCAACCTTATCGTTCGAGAAGGGGCGTTGGTCGGCATACTTGACTGGGAATTTGCCGCCTACTACCCTATATGGTATGAATACGTCTCGGCTTCTTGGGGATGGACTGAAGAGGAAGCTGAGTGGAAGAACTTATTACAAGAACGTATGGGGGCACATGGCGACGGACATGGGGACGCAAAGGCCTTTTGGATGGAACTTCGTCAGTTGCGAAAGTACCCGGACTTGGATGAAAAGGGTCAACGAGTCTTAATCGACCTGTTGGAATAGAACAGAACTTCCAGTTATCGGTTTACGTCCAGCTGTAAGGAGGGGGAAGTTCTCCCCTCTTCGCTCACCAATATGATCAATAAATCTCCCTTACGGTTGTCTTATGAACCTGGATTAAATGATTTCCCGGGTCAGCACACCGTTCCCGCTTATCGCAATACCGTTCACCAGCAAAGGCCTGGCCGTCACCAGAACCCATGGTTCGGTTGATAGCAGCTGGCCAGGCATCATAGACTTCTCCGACCTTAGTGAGAGAAATATATAACAGCTGGATGGTGGTCGAATACTCCTCCCGGACATACCTGCATCTCATCGATCAACCCATCACTGGATGACCGTGCATACGGAGCGCTCCTCATGCACACGGATTGACAATGGTCCAAGGAATGCACCATGGCCTTCCCAAAGACGCCCCGAAAAATCATTTTCCTGATGGGAGCTCCCACTCCACAAAGTCTGAACTGGGAAGAAGACCACCTCCTGGACGGACCGATTTTTCCCTTTGATGGAGCAGATACTACGGACAGCCATTCGCTTGCTACAGACACTTATCCGGTGAAATGGAGACTTCTATCCCACCCCGAACCACACCGTCGCAGCATAGTCAATGCGGGAGCTGCCCAGTTCCTCACGACGCGGGATCTAGCCCACCAGGATGATGTATCTGGAGTCCAGGCCGCCACGTCGGCTGATTCCGCGCTCGCTCAGTTCTACAACCACTCATTCGCCGTTCATGAAACATCTGACATCTCCGCTCCGGGAACTCACTCGGCGGCCGACTCCGTCCGGGAGAGTGGGCTCTGGACGGACAGTGGGGGAGGAAGCTCTGCCGAAACGATCGAGGATAGCGAGGTATCAGAACATGAAGAGGGGATTCGCGGACCCATCACCGACCTCCAAGACATCCCCAGTGCGGCGTATCTCGATTCGATCGTCCCGCAGACCATGACGGTGAACCTCATTGTGGGTGTGGTGACCATCCGGCCGCCGCGTCGCATTGTAACGAAGCAGTGGAAGAAGGAGCTGGACCTGGTGGAAGTGGTGGTGGGGGATGAGACGAGAAGCGGGTTTGGGGTTACGTTCTGGCTCCCGCCGGAAGCCAGGACTGTCACAGGCAAGGACGATATCGAGACCAAAGCTGGTCACGAGCTGCGTCACACCTTGGAAACGCTACGACCGCGAGACATTGTGCTGTTGCGCATGGTGGGACTGAGCACCTTCCGGGAACGGGTCTACGGGCAAAGCTTGCGCAAGGGGATCACGACGGTTGAGCTCCTCCACCGACAGCGGGTCGATGCTACGGACGTTGGCGGGCGATACAGCGCCAAACGGCTTCGTCTCTGCCAGGGGCTCAGTCCCACGCGATCCGACCCCAACCCTGATCACTCGCATCCCGACGATGCAGCAGATGCAGCAGCAGTAACAGGAGCCAAGAAGGATGATCTACCGGTGGTGAAGACGAGCAAAGTGCGCGAGTGGATCCGACGGTTTGTGGATGCGGCACCGGAAGGGGCAGGCGGTGGAATGCAGAGCCCCCCAGCGAAACGTGGTCCGATTTGGCTGCCCCCAGACAGTCAGGACGGATTATTATAATTAGAAACATCCCGTGGCGATGTCCATGGAGACCGTTTACGCGGCGAGGGAAGAGCCAACCGTCAGGAGAAGTCAGGAGACTGGGGATAGGATCAGGCAATCAACGGGGACCCCAGCTTTGCATCAAAGGATCCTGTACGACGGTTCGCTGCTGCAAGACGCACCCTTGAATCAAGGGAGAACGGCTCTTCCATCCGGCGTGGTACTTTTTACGAGACTAAGAGATTAGTGGCAGTCGATCTCCCCAATCATGCCTCATTGCGACGGGGGGTCTGGTCCAGCCAGAATGCAACCATGTGGTGGTGGGATTGGTGTTAAGGGCCTTGGCTAGGGGTCAGGGGGAGATGGTCGTATTGAATCATCATGATGAAGATGTTGGATGATTATTAGAGGGTCCAGCTGTACCTATTCATCATTCTTAATTGTCGTGATATCTGGTGATGAATGCATTCATTATTACTGCGTACAGTGTAATATCAGGGGGCCCGGGAGTTCCAGGCCCAGACATCACAGGTAGATTACGGCGTATCAAGACGGTATTGCACACCACCTTCCCTGGTTGGTGGCGCCGAACTGCCGCAAACGTGGGTAATGGTACCGTCACCGTCCAAAAAGAAACCTCAACGCCAGCTGGTCTGATCCTTTTTTTTAATTTGTGTTGTTATAATTCTTCCTCTTCTCCTCTTTCTTCCTTTCTTTTTCTTCTTCTTCTCTCTCTTTCCTCTGGTTGAGTCTGAGCTGATCTCTTCCCTCCATCCTCCACTATTTCCTCTTCTTGTCTCTTTCTGTCAATCGTTGTGATTCCCGCCGCTTAAGTTTCCCCTCCCCCTTTCTCTCCGCCAGAGTATCATCTTCTTGTCACTCGTTCGACTACCACCTCTACTCGCTCTACCCTCTTCTTCTCCCTTAATTACACTCAACTATAATCAATCATGAAGGGTATGCTTTATTTCTATCTCTACTCCACCATCATCCACAACTAACTCTCTCCAGCCCTCATTCTGGTCGGCGGTTTCGGTACCCGTCTGCGGCCCTTGGTGAGCACCATCCGACCATTACCACCACCCCTCCTCCTGGATACTTCCCTCCCCGCCGACGATCATGACACCCTCAATCACTCTTATCTTCTGCAGAACCTCACTGACCGCCGTCATTACGACCGCTCCAGACCCTCACTCTCCCCAAGCCTTTGGTGGAGTTCGGAAACCGGCCGATGATCCTGCACCAGGTTGAGAGCCTGGCTGCGGCCGGTGTCACCGATATCGTTCTGGCCGTCAACTACCGTCCCGATGTCATGGTCTCGACCCTCAAGAAGTACGAAGAGCAGTACAATGTCCGCATCGAGTTCTCAGTCGAGTCCGAGCCCCTCGGCACCGCCGGCCCCCTGAAACTCGCCGAGAAGATCCTGGGCAAGGATGACTCGCCCTTCTTCGTCCTGAACTCCGATATCATCTGTGACTACCCCTTCAAGGAGCTCGCCGAATTCCACAAGAGCCACGGCGACGAGGGAACCATCGTCGTCACCAAGGTCGACGAGCCCTCCAAGTACGGTGTCGTCGTGCACAAGCCGAACCACGCCTCCCGCATCGACCGGTTCGTCGAGAAGCCCGTGGAGTTCGTCGGTAACCGCATCAACGCCGGCATCTACATCCTCAACCCCAGTGTCCTCAAGCGCATCGACCTCCGTCCGACCTCCATCGAGCAGGAGACGTTCCCCGCCATCTGCAGCGACGGTCAGCTCCACTCCTTCGACCTCGAGGGCTTCTGGATGGACGTCGGTCAGCCCAAGGACTTCCTCAGCGGCACATGTCTCTACCTCACCTCCCTCGCCAAGCGCAACTCCAAGCTGCTGGCTCCCCACTCCGAGCCCTACGTCTACGGCGGAAACGTCATGGTCGACCCCTCGGCTAAGATCGGCAAGAACTGCCGCATTGGACCCAACGTGGTCATTGGGCCCAACGTCGTTGTCGGCGATGGCGTCCGTCTCCAGCGGTGTGTTCTCCTTGAGAACAGCAAGGTCAAGGACCATGCCTGGGTGAAGTCCACCATTGTCGGATGGAACAGCTCCGTCGGCAAGTGGGCGCGTCTGGAGAACGTCACCGTGCTGGGCGATGATGTGACCATCGCCGACGAAGTCTACGTCAACGGCGGCTCTATCCTGCCGCACAAGAGCATCAAGCAGAACGTTGATGGTAAGTGATCACCCATCTGCCCTACCACGAACTTTCACCAACTAACAACGTCCAGTTCCCGCCATTATCATGTAATCCCTTCACGTCGCCATGTTTGGGAGGTCGCCTCCCGATGCATAGAACCGGAGTCGTTGTCTTTGCTACCGTTGATTTCAGCAGTTTGAGCTTGAGGCCATGCAGTGGCCATTCGATCATACGGCGGTCTTTCTGCTCCTCCCCTTTCCTTTCGCATACGTCCATCTATCCGTTCTCCTCTCCACGCACTGAACGCCTTGATGGTGAGCGTGCAGTTACAGCTTTAGTAATCTGAACTTTTCTATGTCCTTCTCCGACCGATCACGCACTTCTTGCTACCTATTCGCCGCCTTTTCATTTCGCTTCTTGGTGCTTTACTGCTGCTATTGTTTTTAATGGTGTATGTGGGATGTGGGGTTAGGATGTAAATATGGGAGGCAGAGATCAAGAATCAAATAAATACCGTGCAATGCCATGCTCTAGGTATTAAGATTATCTATACATTTTAGGTACGTATATGTATGCCATGCGAAATGTACAACCAGTCTAGACTAGACAGCCTTCTCCGCGCGGTCCAGAATCCCCTCCCATTGCACCCGCAACTCCTCCATGCGCTTCCAACACGTACGGCCCAGCTCCTCAAACTGCTCTTTTTCCTCGCGAGTCAAATCCCGCGCTCCACGTTTCCGCCGGCGCGCCCGATCCGCGTCCAGCACCGCCGGCCCAACAACGCCACCATACCCCCATCCATCGACCTCCGTTGACGCGGCAGAGTTCCGTCCGAGCCGGTCACACGACGAGCCCCATTTGGCACGCCCGCCGCCCCGCTCTCGGTATCCGGCCTCGGCGGCGTCGAGTGCTGACTGCGTCGCGAGGGCCAGCCACACGGGCGCACAGGCACCCAGGTACGTTGACAGAGTGTGCCATGGCGAGCCGAGTAGGCGCGCCAGCCAGAAAGACGACAGCATGGCGTAGAACAGCGGCCACGACAGCGGGAGGATACCGGTGCCGCAGATGCCAGGGTGCGAGAGGTACATGTTTGGCTGTGGCGCGTCGGCCGCCGGGGGCGCTTCGTCCGTCTCTTTGCCCTCGAGGGCGTAGAAGCTGCGCACCCACGGCGCGGCGCTGGGCAGGTCCGCCGTCAGGGCGAGGATATCGGTCAGCGCCTTGGAGGATTCGTAGGGGGTCAGGGTGCGCAGGCCCTGGAGGTCGTCCGGGTCGAAGAGGGAGGCGGTGGCCTCGAGGCTGGAGACCCAGACGATGCGGCCGGGGGAGGCGGCGGGGGCGCGGTGCAGGAGCGGCATGAGGTAGTGGGCGAGCATGTAGTGCCCAAAGACGTTGGCGCAGAAGACGGCGCCGAGGCGCGGTTCGTCGGGGGCGGCGGTTTGCGGGGCCGTCACGACGCCCGCGGGCGCGACCTTGTAGGACGGCCAGGAGACCTGGTGCACAAGGTCGGTGCAGACGCCCCAGATGGCGCGCGGCCAGTCGATGCCGGTCCAGCCGCCCAGGCCGGCGTTGAGGATGACGGCGTCTAGTTTGTGGGGCGCTGTGGAGGGGGATGTAAGGCGGCGGGCGAGGGCGCGCACGGAGAGGAGGTTCGTCAGGTCGACGGTCTCTGGGATGAAGGTGACGCGGTTTGTTTCCGTCGAGGAGGAGGTGCGGAGGTGGTCGCGCAGCCGGCGCAGCGTGTCATTGCCTTTGCTGGTGCTGCGCGTGGTGAAGATGACGCTCAGGGTCTGGTGAGCGCGGTGCGGTGCGCTGAGGAATTCGTCCGCCAGACGACAGCAGATTGAGAAGCCTAGTCCACTGTGGATTACATGGCCGACGCGAGGGCAGATGTTAGGATTGAAGCTTTTTCCCGGGCATGATGTCGCGGATGCGGAGTGGTGTGGTACAGTTACCTGTTGGCGCCGGTGACGAGGACGCAGACCTGGTCCTGGAGGTCATCCTCAGGAGAATTGGCCATGATGACCAATTGGTGAGATGGATGTTGGTTGCGCAGGTGGTTAGTTGGTGGTGGTGGTACCTGAATTTGGTTATCAGGGGGCTTAGATAAGACTCGGTCACGTGGCTCTATACATGCTTACTTTTCGAGGGTGGTTTCATTGAACACATATCGCCTGCGACTAGATCCAGCACGTTACACCGACAAACCGGTCTAGACATGCATGGTTCTCGAGTGAGCGACCCTTCCAGCCAGCCCGTCTGACACAACCTCGCTACACGGCTCACCGGGGTGTCTCCCCGAATTACAGAGGCCGAAGGCCGTGGACCCTGAGACCGATTCCACTTTCCAAATATACAACTCCCATCTAAGTTGACGCCGCAAGCCACAGGGTCTCAATCTTCCAGAACGAGAACAACGCCAACACAATCTTCGTATTTTCTCTTAGCAACGCTAGCGAGCCAACCAGAGCCGCACAGCCCGGAATCGTCCACCAGTGAGCATGACGTGGCGGCTCTGGTTAAATCTAAGATGATCCAGTGGCAAACACCGGGCGACATCCCAACGAGTGCGCGTCGAGTGCGTCCAGCATCCTGGGCACGTGGCTGTAAAGGCGCATGACATCACCTTTCACAAGCGATTCGACCTAAGCGACGAACCACACCCTCTGCATACACCCCCTCCGACATACTCCGGACGATTGGCTTGCTGCGAAGTTAGGTAGAGACCAGGACGTGCGCGGTCATCGGTACCTGACGACCGAACGAGCCGCGCTAGACGACGGTATACCATGGCATCAGAGTCGGGTTGACTGGCCCTGCTGTGCATCGTGCGAGCGGGCACACCTTGTAGACTAGCACACTCCCCTGGCCTGGATAAACAGGAAATGGTTGCGATGGTGGTATCGAAAAGGGGGGATCCGCCACCGTGCCCTGCATGCACGCCATCCAGATTATCCATCAATAAGCCCGGACGGGATATCATGGCTGATTGGAGGCAATCCCACCGTAGTCAGTTGCCAGGAGGAGTCTGGAAAGCCGCATCGAACGATTCTAACCCGTCTTCCAGGCTGGTCGCCTCATGATTCTAGGACGAATCGCTTCGAATGCTTCTGCGACTTGGCTCTGGGTCATGTGAGTCTCAAGCGAGGAATCATTTGACGAGGACAGGCGAGGCCCGGATGAGTTTCCAGGATATATCAGACGTCTTATGACTCTGAAGACGATTAGTAGTGGGATGGCCGCAAGCGACGCGGGTAAAACCACCGCAGACCTTTCGGCGACGGTGATATTATCGTCGCAGCCAGTTACCCAACCCTCTGGAACGGGTATCATCGCCATCAGCCCGTCAGCAAGGAAGCGGCGGGCTGGATCAGCGAAAGAAACACAGCCACTCCGAGCAATCCCATATCACCATCCATGTCCATTAACGGACGGGCTTATTGACTATCTAGATAGACTCCGAGATCGACTCCCCCCTGGATTCTGCGAGTCACAACCGAGACCTTGCCGAGTCATGCGAGGTCTCGACGCTGAAGAAACAATGAAATGATCATCCGGGTGCAAGATAAAGATACGTGCACTTGTGGATGTGTGAATCGGTGGAGACGACCAACGGTGATTCTATCCCCGTGAACTCCGCAAGCAAAAATCCTCCGGACATCATGCCTGCAAGGGGGAGCGTAAACCACCCGAGTTGAAAGCGAGCTGAAAGGATCAGAAACAAACATTGATATCAAATCATAACCAAAGCCCGTTGGAATCCCTCGTCGCGCCGCGCTAGACGACATGGACGATTCCGGTCCATCCAGGGGAGACGCTCACCGACACTTCTGACCTGGAAGGCGATTTACCCCATCTGCGCGCATCCTTTCAGGATTCGGTCGGTCGTGAGAAGGCCAGGCCATCAGATCAGGGCCGGTCGGCCCTATCACAGCGGGGTGATGCGAGCCCACCGTTGATCGCCTGTAGGAGTAGGCAGGCTAAGGAGAATTTCGCCTGTGCAGGCCACACCTCCTTGGCATGGGTAAGTCGGTGATGGTCTCACATGTGGTGTCGCATTATCCAGCAAGTGATCTACGCTGGAGGTCGCCTAGCGACTGCGATCATTCGATCGTGCAGCAGATTAAGTCCCCTCCTTTAGGAAAGCCGAACCAAGCCGCTTGGCCAGCCGCCCCGGATTGACTAGACCAGACACTAGGCCTGGCGCATGAGAACACGCAATCGGAGATTTTCTACATAGGCATCGGCCATCGATGCACCTGTCTTTAGCCTAGGCCATCTTTTTTCCTGTGTCTAGCGTAAGACCAGCGACCGTCTGTCTCAGTTGCGCCCGTAATTTCCAGCCCATCGTTTCCAGCTAGATTGGGTGTCTCCATCGTATGCACGATCAGCGATGGTCAATTGGATGCGCGAGACACCCGTCCTTTCATTGGCGCTGCTGCCACATGTATAGCATCGTCCCATCCTCGACCAGGAAATCTAAACGCTGGGAGGCTTGGAGGGTTCCCCTTAGCGCAGTAGCGGGGCCATAAGCAGGAGCTGCAAGTCATCTGCGCGGCCTCCCACGAATGACGCTTATGGCAACAGTACGAGTGTGGTGGAGGTTAGTGTCCAACTGCAAGGCATCTCAGTAGGAGAATTAAATTAGTGCGCGGTGGTGCTCGCGGACGATCCATCCATCGGCCGCCTCGACCGTCCGCCAGCCAGGGGGCTCCATTCATTCGCGACTGATGACAAGAGGGCCGATTGCGTCGAAACTGCGGGGTATACTCCTTCATCCAGGATGCAATGCTATCTATCTGGTGCTCGTGAAGCGGCCGCTAATCAATCCGGGGGTTGGTGGGTTTGCTGTCGATAAGGGACATGGGGGCGACAGACGAGTCAAGAAAGCAGGATCATACTTCCTCGCGTCGAAAACCAACCACAGCCGAGTCGTCAGGGATGCGATTCCCGTCGTTACGTCGGGAAGCGCATTCTCTGTACTCATCGCTGTGTCTGCGGCAAGGCTGCGGGGAGAGAAAGACACCACCATCGCACCATTGGGCGAGTCCCGTTCTTAGTTCAAACGGCCTAATTCTCCAGACTCTGAGGGGAGGCTATGATGCAGATGGCATCACCCTATCACCCTATCACCCTCATCTCATTCCGGACTCTCTGGACTCCTTGAAGTCGCTGACGCCAGACAAGAATCTCCCCGGATTTCTTAGTTGGCTGGTGTTCGCATCCACCGGCGTCGAATAACATGCGATTGAAACCCCCGACAATACGAGGGAGCCAAGTACAGATGCGACACATGATACTCGCCATCTGCAAGGTCGAACCAACGACCAGGTCGCTGGGTTAGAGGTCGGAGGAGGACTCGTCGCAGCGCGATGACGTTGGTCGCCGACTAGCACGGTGGCTATCACACTATCCCACGGTAGTTGGAGGAAGCGGAGAAGCTCGTATACTGCCACTTGGCCGTGGAAATGCGCCAGTCCGACCCGACGAGGCATATGAATTCATATGAATCCATATGAATTGGATACTCCTGAGAGAAGGGCAGACCTTGTTTCAGGCAATCGTCCATCACGCCGTGGCTGACGGGGCTCGTCTGGAAATGGACACGATCCACCTCCAAACTGGTCAATTGACAGCCGGGGCCAGCGATCGGCGGTGTACATACATACATCCAGCAGCAGTCCTGGCGTCAGCGCTGCAGCTCAAGCACTGTGGCCAACTGTCAACACGGCGATTTCATTGCTGGGCCCCTGTAGCAGAGTTTCAAAAGGATCTGGCACACTACTAGATAACTCTATGGGCCACGCTGTGGCGATCTGGAGCGCATATCGTCGGGGTCCTAATCACTATAGGCAGGTGAGGAGAGTTTATCAGTGGATAGACTTTGGAGATTGCTCCTGACGACGACGAGCAGAAGGGTTGGGAAGACGCCGGATAAGCACGAAGAGACGAGCAGAGGCCGAGAGAGGCCGTCGAAAAGAAGAAACAACACCACTGCGGTTGGATTTGCAACGTCTCATGACAGTGGTGGAAATGCGCGTTGGTACCATGGATCGCGAAGATTTGGCTGTTGTACCTGATACCTCGAGGATCAAGCATGGATGGTCGGTCACATTCCTGAGGAACCAAACCGTATACTCTGTCGTCTGTCCTGTCATTGTCTACCCCGCAACGCCCACAATCATAATATTATTATCCCTCATGGCCGGTTGCTTTTGACTTTGGAGACAGCTGACGACAATCCCTACCACATCCTGGATCTTGCAGAAGAAGGGTCAGGGAATTCACAAGGTATCCCATCGTCACCGTCAGATCGCCGCTTTGCCGAGCGTGGTGAAACCTTGGCCGGCATCGTGATCTATCAACTTCCCACCCAACTGTCAACGCCCGCCTCGATCGCGACCGATAGCCATCTCATGAGGTCTAAATTATGTAGGGAAGTGGAGCCCAGAGACGGCGTGTCTTTTTAACTTTGGAGCTCCTCAACGCGTCCTTCGTATCTCCCGCCTGGCGCTGGGCTCAGTATGGGGAATCCCGCCACGAGATCCATCTGATGTTAGCTCTAGAGGCTATTATTGAGGACCAGTGAGACCGGCAAAGGCTATCCAAGCCAGGTTCAAAACAGTTGTCAGACTACCAAACCCGTCCGTGGCCGCGTAGGACAGGACGGTTGTCCCAGCTCACGAACCCCCCTTGGCCTTAATTGCGGCCGCTGCCAATATTATGATCTGCGTTTTTAACATGAGATAGGATTTAAAGCCTCACAGCATTTCTCCCTTTCTTCTTGCGAGGGATTTGGCTGGGGGTGAGATGATGATAACAGTCAGCGACCGGAACAGACCGACCCGGAGTTTGATTGCGGCCATGTGGGTAGTAATGCAATTGCCCCCCTTCCCCTACCCCCCGTGTCCCACGATTGAGGGAGGTTTGGTTGGCAGAGACAGGGAAATTAGATCTCTATCTGGAGTCGGTCGTTGTATCCAGACCAGACCACACCACGGCCGATGCTTCATTGGGCAAGGGTCTTGGTAGCTTTTTAGCTCAACCAACCCCCGGGAATAGGGGACCTCCCGCAAGCTTCTTGAATCATGACCATCCCCATCTCCCGCCGAGTGGAGCAGGATAGAGGCTGCCTCGTCTCCGCTCTGAATTGCCTGGTCAAACGGGACGAGAGATTCGAGAGTTTGGCGTTAGAGACCGCCACGTGGGGGCAGCTGGAGGAGTGACCTTCCTCCCAGGGGAACTGGTATGTTCGCTGTGATGGACTTTCCAAGACCAGTCGTAGAATGCTTCTGAACGGTGGGCGAGGGCCAAGTGGGCACGATCGCCGTAATCGTACGGGGTTGGTTGAGCCTGGACTCTCTCCATTATTACGAGGCAGCGTAATACCAGCGTTGGAGGGAGACAACCTCGGGCATCGGAAAGAATCAAGGTCATGATGGGTCCGGATCAGTGCCAAGCAGATATCCCTTGCTGATGCTCGATGATTTGGTCGCCTTCCTCATCATCTTGAATCCGGTCTTTGGATTGAAGTATCAGGTACTCACTCACGACCAGGGAAGTACCTAGCTACCCAGGTAGGTACCTACATAAGGTAGGCACTCTGTAGTAATACTGGGTCGTTTCTTTGGTGACACAAGAATTAGAGAGATGCGAACGATCGACCGACCTTACCTCTCTCTCCACTTACTCATTCCCACTAATCGTGGTTGGCTAAAACCTATCAGCAGTAGACTAGTAGCCGGATGGCACCGTTGCGTTGTTTTCCCCTGTCCTGGAACATTCCTCTTCTGCATTGAGAATATCCACCGAGGATGTAACTCGGTTATCAGACGGGGATTGATGGAATCTGCTAGGTCGATTGGCCTTGTCCAGGGCATGAGGCCGGGGTGATTTTACTACTCCGTACTAGGTACTAGGTTAGGTAGGTACGGAGTAGGGACCAAGGCGGCTACCAAGGAGGGAGACCATGGTAGACATTATTGCCTAGTACGGAGTAGTACTACTCCAGATGGAGTTAATCCCCAAGGATACCGTGGATGACAGCGCTAACTCCCGAACGGAACTAGTGGATTCCGTCCAGGGCCAGCCCGCTCAGGGTGGGGCTGCGTGGTGATTGGGCTGTTGACAGCTCTAGTCCCGGACGAGTTTAAGGCCCATGCAGGCAGGGTGGAGACCGGGGCCCCCTCTTTCCAATGAATCTATGAGGATTTCCTACGATCGTTATTTACCCTCAGAATCCCCTATCCAGTCACCGTTGCACGATTAACAATCCGGGGGAGAGTGTTGGTAGGAGTGTTAAATCGAAATTATACGGAGTCATTATAATTTGAGGGAAAGAATATAATAAATTAACGAAATAATCAAATGATAGGAAAGGCACGATGAGCAGGGACCAACGGATATACTAGATTCTTGGCGGAACCAAGTTAGTCCTGGGCTTCCCTGTACGACCGGAGGAGACGACGGGATGTGGATGGTGCACATACATCAGTCTCCCTGTATTTTCATTCTGTAAGACTGTACCTACTGGTATTTAGTTGCTGAATGCTCTAGATCCAAGGTTCTCGTGAAAATATACGAATGCCTCTATCCACAGACAGGACTCATCTACCTACTATCTATCTACCTACCTACTCTGTACAAGGTCGATGGAGCTACAACAGCCAAGGCTCAAGTGTTAGTGTTAGTGTTAGTGCCAGTCGCCAAAGTTAGTTCTCCTCTCGTAAAGAACTTAACTGACTTTGGGTAAATTACATGGCGTAAATTTAGTAAAGTATTATCGTTATTATTATTATTATTACCTTGGAATTATTATTGGAATTATTATTCTCTGTTGATTATTGATTATATATAGAAATCGAAATAATTCTCATCGGAAAGAATAAATATAATAATCATCCCAATCGATCCAATCCATCCATCCATCAGCAGCAGCATTCGTCCATTCCAAGATAAAACCGTCTTTCTTCCGCCTCACTCTACTCCTCTCTCCCTCTCTCCCTCTCTCCCTCTCTCTCTACCTCTCCTCTCTCCCAGGCTATCCTGACCTTCTGGTCGGAATCCAAACCCAGAATCTGCCGCCTCTGCTCGTATCACATTCACCTTACCCTCTTCTCCCTTCCCCTCTTTCTGTCTTGTCTCCCCGTCGCGCCTGATTCGGCTCTGTTATTATTCTCGTGGATGCTATCGCCGGCAGATTCCCACCACGATCTATCTTGTATCTCTTCCTAGACCTTAAGACCCTTCTAATAATCCCCCGGTCGTGCATTCTTCTCCCTCTCCCCTTCTCCTATATTACTATGCTTTCGACCTCCAATCGATCCTTCGATTTCCAATTCCATTCAATGGTGGATACGCTCTCCGCACGGCTTTTGGCTTGACTGTGACCGCCGTCTTACCAACAACCACCTAATCTATCTTCGATCCACTTTCCACTGCCCACCGGGCTCCATCTGTTCAATCGTTCCCCACCGTTGCTCGTTTCCTGTGCGGTTGGTCTGATCTGGAGGTTGAATCTGGTGACTGATTTCAACATTCCTGTCTCTCGTCTACCACCATCATGGCGCCAGGAAGCGGACGTGATTTCAACTGCTCCTGGGAGGATTGCGGAAAAGTATGTTCCCGTTGCCAGTCGCTCGCCTGATCGTTCATACTAATACTCCTGTCAGTCCTTCAACCGCAAGTCCGACCTCTGCAGACACTATCGAATACACACCAACGAACGTCCGTATCACTGCATGTTCAAGGACTGCAACAAGAGCTTCATCCAGCGGAGTGCCTTGACCGTGCACTCTCGGACACACACCGGCGAAAAGCCCCATGTCTGCGACCATGAGGGTTGTCACAAAGCCTTCTCCGATGTACGTGCTCATCCTGGCGCCATTCACTCCACTGAGCCGTCCGGCTAACCATTCAGTCCTCGAGTCTGGCGCGCCATCGCAGAATCCACACCGGCCGTCGGCCGTATATCTGCCAGGAACCCATGTGCGAGCGAAGGTACAGAAGCTGACCGTCCATCTGAGACTACCCCCGGCTGACCAGAAACCGCTAGTTTCTGCCGCAAAACCACCCTCACCAAACACCAAAACCGCTCCCACCCTCCCGGAGCCATGCACCGCACCCCCTCCGAAGACCTCACTCCCGATCGATCCTACCAGCCGCCCGTCACCGCCGTCCCCCACGACCAGTACCTGCTCGCCCAGCAGCCCTACTACCCGCCGACGTCCACCCCCACCACCCACGAATTCTACCCGCCCCAGCCCATCCAGATCACCCAGGTGCCCGCCGTGCAGGAGGCGGCGGCAGCACCCCCGCCGCCCATCGTGACGCACAGCATGCCCGTGCCACCGGCGCCGGTGGATGTGCAGCACGCCCAGCAGCAGTACATGCAGCTGATGCAGCAACAACGGTATGAATCCGCGCGTCCGGGGTATGTGTCGCCGGAGTTTCAGCCTGCGTTTCAGGCCGGCGTCCCGCCCATCGAGGGTCATGCGCTTATGGTGACCTACCCCCAGAATTTTGCCTACAAACAGCAGACGCGCCTGCTGAACCAGCCCGAGGGCACCGACTGGGGGTTCCTGGGGGTGGGCTGATCTCATCGTCCGAGAGAAGGGGAACGGGGAAGGTCGGAGACTGTCTGTCGGTCTCTCTGTCTTGTTCTGTATACGTTTTGAATAACGCCAGACTGTCGCGCCGGGTCCCAGTCCCGGCTGAGTCGACTCCGTCCGGGCCAGTCGTCCGTGTATCATGATGCCTCTTACGAATCTCTGCTTGTGTTTGCTTTGAGCTCTGTGGGCTTGCCCTGTCTGTTCTCTGCTTTGTACTGTGGGTCGCTGTCCGCCCTGCCCGTTCCTACGTGATATCCCCCTTTTCTTTCAAAAGGCTGTATGGAGGCGTTTGTGACGTTTGTTTGATACCTATGTAGTGGCCATGGCCGACCATTCAACTTGGATATATTCCGCTCCTAATCTCTCTACCACCTTTCCCCGTCCACGGAGAATCTCCCTATTCATTGTGCCGGACCCCACGTCAGCCAAGGATCGACAACGGAACGGCTGGAAAGGAGGATTCGACTCCACCGCCAGCGCAGCCAGTCGGTGCAACGACTAGCCCTATCTGCGACGGCGCCACTGCAGGCGTTGTTTCGTGTGGTGTGTGTGTGTGTGTGCCTCCGACCGTAAGGAAGGCGAACAAAAAAGGGTTTGATGGCGGTGGCCTGTGGTGGCCTGTTACGAATCAAGCATGTCGCCACCGGGCTGCATGGCTGGCGATCGACGGTACATCGATGTATATCAGGTTGTACAGAGTACCTGGATATAGTTACTCTGTTCCGAGGGTTCGACCAGTCGACCGTTCAGGACGTCTGGATGTATTCCCCGGCGCCCCCGAAAGAGAAGAAAACAAGGACACCGTGGTTTACCCGATCCACCCGCGCCCCCCAGCCCCGAGCCCAGGAAAAGGATTCCGTACGAACCGCTGATCGAAGCGCTTCCTACCGAGATGTGATTGTCGTGGTTACAGACTGGTCGGCCTCCGTCGCTGCAGCCAAGAGCCCTGGCCAGAAACCGGATTCTGGTCCCGACCTACATGATTAGGCGATACTAGTGCATACCACTCGAAATATTACTCCCTGATGCACAATAGTCAGGATGATAGTACAGAAAGATGGGAAGGCGGCTCATAACGCCATCGGCGATTACCTCGCGCCTTGCGCCGGCCCATATGCAGCCAGCGCAGCCGTGACGACGCCCCGAGGCTGCGACCTGCGACTGGTCTGTTGATGCCTCGCCAGGAAGTCACTTCCGCCAGTGAGATGCCGTGGAATCTTCCAGCCGCGTGCGCCAATTAGGCCCCGACATCTCCGACACGAGAAGGATTGCGGTGGAGTCGATTCTGAGATCCTTTGCGGTCTTACGGACTGGACGCCTGGTTATGCTATCACCATGCACATGCACATGCACTCGTGGAGCATCGTTCATCTATCTATATACCATAAGGCAGTGAGACTACCAACTAACCACCCCCCGTTCGCGATCAAATCCCCCTCGCAACTGCTCCCGCGGCTTCACCACCTTCCCCTGCAGCACCGTGTACCGGACAATATTCTCACAGTCCTCCGGCCGCACCCGCGCCAGCCAGATGCCCTGCGCCGCGCCGCCATCCGCAGCCCCGTCGGCGGCGGCGGCGGCGGTCTCCTCGATGCTCCTCCGCCGATACACAATCACATTCGCCGAGTACTTGTGCCCGCCGACATGGCTGATAAAGTAGATACCCACGCCGCCGGGCCGCTCGTCGTCCAGGTCGCGGTACAGCCCCAGCGGACGCAGGTGTCGCTCGAACTCCTTGCGCAGCAGCGGCGCCGACTGGCCGCACCGCGCGTCGCGCGTGCGCTGCGAGCAGAGCAGGATGACCGCCGCGTGTGGACACGGGCGCGACCGTAGCGGCGACTCCGTCGCGGTCTCGGAGGCTTCGGTGGGTAGGGACAGGGGCAGGGGAAGCCCGCCCAACGGCGTGGTGGTGGTGGGGGCGCGGTCGACAAAGTCGCGGATGAGCAGCGGCACGCGCGAGGGCGTGACGTGGTCGACGATAGTGAAGGCCGGCAGGAGGAGCACGGTCGTGGGCTGGTCGGTTTCGGTGTCGTGGTATTCGTCGGGAACGGGCATGTTGGAGGCGGAGAGTTTGAGCGTCTACACCGTTAGCAACCCTGTCACCCCCATCGATCCAATCCGCCCGCGTCTAGCGGGCGGAAAGTAAAGGAAAAGAAGACATACCCCGTTCGCGGGCGAGACACCCCCCCGCTCAATCGCCTCCATCACACTCCCCTTCTCGTCGGCGACATCGCGCACCCAGTCGGTCTTGCCCGTCGCCACGAGCACGTGCGTCGCCCATCCGTTCACGTTCCCGTACAGCGTGTCCTCGTAGTCGACGTCGAACTTGGCCGGGTACCGCACCGTGCACGACGCGCAGTCGTGCAGACACGCCTCGCCGTCGACGGCCGGGTCGGTCTTGGGGAACAGCGTGTCGTGCGATGCGGCCTTTTGGAATTCTGTCGGAGGGGTGGCCGTGGGCGTGGTGGTCTCAGGCGTCGCGCCTGTCGACCCCGTGAGGAATGACGTCCCGCGGCGGAGGAAAGCCTGCATCGTGGCGATACTGTGTGGATAGGTTGGGGTTGTGAATTTGATGCGGGACGGGAATGTGGCAGATCTTATCAATCAACCGCCAAGGCTCGGATGCGATCCGGGCTTAGTCAGGCCACGGAGTTACTTGAGTCTATACCCAGACAACAGCCTATTGATTAGGCAATTCCAACGTGTATTACTACAAAAGCTAGCTATGTACATTATCGTCGCGCGTCTATAGTATACGGCAGATCGGACCGCGGATCCGCCAGACGAATCACGCTCCCCCCCGAGCTGGCCGACGCATTCGACCGCACCGGCCGCAGCGAGCGCATCGACGGCGTGCGCGGCAGCCGCTCCCACGTCGACCGTGTCGACAACGGCCGCAGACTCAGCGCCTCGCTGTCGTACGCTGCATCGCCAAAGTCCGACGGCCCGATCACGGACCCTGTGTCTCCGCGCGAGGACCGCCCGCCGCCATGGTGGCGGGAGAGGTCGAGGTCGCCGACGATCCGGGCGTCGAGGGCGCGCATGTCGCGCAGGAGCTCGGCGAAGCAGTGCATGAGGTCGCGGAAGTCGGACTCGCGGAGGCGGTGGGCCGAGAAGCGCGCGCGCTCGTACCGGGCGAGAAACTCGGCGCTGATGTCCGGGCGGCGGACCACGTTCAGCCGCGCCAGGTGCTGGAGGTATTCGCGGAGGCCCATGGAGGCCGGGCGGCGGAGGATGTCGACGACGCGGGTGTCCGGGACGGACGGCTCGAAGGGGGAGCTGGCGGCGTGGAAGGGGTCGGGCGGCGCGAGCGAGACGGCTTTGGCTTCGACGAGGTTGGGCAGTTCGTGGATGACGGTGTCGTAGGGCATGTCCGGGAGATCGGGGGACTGCGGCGAGGACCAGCCCGGGTGTTCGACGGCGCCCCAGGGCGGCCGGTCGCGGTCCACGAGGAGCATCTCGTAGTCGGTAAAGGCGTCGCCGTCGGCGGTGGTGTCGCGCGGGCGCGCTTGGTAGGTGATGATGGCGCTGCGCGCGAGGCCTTCCACGACAAGGCGGCGCACGCTTTTCCCGACATCCTCCTTTTCAATGGGGATCCAGGCCTTGGGGATGCCGGACAAGGCGCTGCGGTTGGTGTAGATGCGGGTCGCGTAGATCAGTACGGCGAGGATAAAGGTCACGACGTATGCGCCGGTGATGATGAAGATGTTGGTGAGGCGCTGCGTGATGTAGCACTGGTAAATCGCATCGACCGGGGTCAGGATGATCAGGAGGAAGAGGATCACGGCGAAGAAAGTGAACACCGTGTAGTTCAGGATACGGGACGGGTTCCAGGCCATATTCGCGGGCGCATCTTCCTGCACATGCCGCCGGTGCTCGTGCAGGTCTGCTTGGTCGGTCTGGAAGTCGTCGGGGGGTCGATGATGTCGGTTCAGGTCCGATTTAGGAATCTCCACATCACGTGGTCAGCCAGTCCTCTACGAATCTACGAAACGCAAATTATGCATGGTCGCACTCCGCCAGTCTATATAGAAATAAGATTAATATTTACGTTCATTAAAGTATGCAGCGCACAACAAACTCATCCCTCAATCATCCACAGCCACCTCGTCGACCGCAAACTCCTCGCGCGCGCGACGCACCACGTTCTCAATTCCATCCAGACCCTTCTTCAGGACATCCATCTTGGGTCCGTAGCTGAGACGGACGAAGTGGTGGCAAGGACTGTCGAACAGGTCACGTCTCTTGGCGGGGTTCAGGTCGAAGAAGATACCCGGCACCACAATGACCTTCTCGCGGAGAAGGGCATTGAAGAAGTTCAGCCCGTCCGAGATGTTGGCCTTCGGAGGAAGAGGGGGTTCCAGCGAGGTCAGGTCCAGCCAGATGTAGAACGTGGCCTGGGGCACATCCTTGACCCGGAATCCGATCTCGTGCAGCCGCTTCAGCACATAGTCGCGCTTCTCGCGGAAGTGCTGCTGCAGCGCCTTCATCTCTGCGCGCACCAGCGACGGCTCCAGCATGGGGACGGCGGCCTCCTGGAACGGCGCGTTGGCACCACCGTCGAGGTACGAACCGGCGGAACCCAGGGCATCGATGAATTCCTTGGGTCCGACCACCCAGGCGATACGCCAGCCGGGAAGACGGAAGCGCTTGGTCAGGCCGTCAATCAAGAGCACATCTGTGACAGTTAGTCATGCATGACTGACAATGGAGTATGAACAGTTTCAAGCGCACCATCTTTGTTCACATCCTCCACGTTAGAAGCACCGCTAATGGTCGAGCCATCGCAGTCGGTGGTGTAGTTGTAGCCGCCGTAGAACTCATCCAGGATCAGGGTCGCGCGGTCACGGCAGATGTCTTGAATGCGGATCAATTCCTCGTTGGACAGGGTGTGTCCCGTGGGGTTACGGGGGTTGGAAGTCAGCAGGACGGAGGTACCACGGGCGATCTCCTCGGCGATCTTATCGGGATGAATATGGTAGTGGTCGTCTTGCGCAAGAGGCATAGGGATGGGAGCAATCTAAGGACACTATCAGCTGATCCCGTTCGCACCTCATATCCGTCTGGGACGACGCATTCTCACGTTCTTGAACAGAGTCAACATCTCCGAGTATGCAGAGTAGTCGGGGATGGGGAAGGACAGGTACGAATTGCCCAGAATGGCGGCGATCCGAATCAGACCAGCCCGACCACCGGGCACAATGCAGACGTTTTCCCAGGTATACTGGCTCTGCTTGCCCTGACGGTAGTGTTCGTTGTACAGACGAGCGACGGCGGCACGGAGGGGTTTGATACCGGCCGTGGGACCATACTCGCGGGCGGCGGAGGTGATGGGGATGGAGGTGGGACGAGGGAAACTGCCCTCGATCTCGTCGTCGGCTTCAGGAGCACCCTGGCCGAGATTGGCCCAGGAGGACGGGTCCTCCGCATAACCATGTTCGGTGGCGCGTTCCGTACACCAGACGACACCGGTTGAGGCACGAGAGGCGTCTAGACCGGCATGCGGGCGGTGACCTTCGTGCGCGGTTCGGAATTGACGATGGGTTTCGGATCGCAGTTCTGAGAGAGCCAGTCAGTATCGTTCTGGGCTTTTTGCTGGTCGGTGGAAGTGGCAGATGAATGTATGTCGCACACCGCAGTGCAGTACCAGTCGGGGGAAGGCAAGACGCACCATTCTCGGACAATTCCTTGCCAATGGAAAAGCGACGATTCGACGGGCGCAGAATGCTCAAACGGCGACCGGAGAACGACATGATTTGGCGGTTGCAGTGCAGCTGTGGGGATCACTGGAGATGATGCTGAACGAGGCTGGTGGGATATATAGTATGTCTTGGCTGAAGAGATTCCCCAGACGAACAACCGGGTGAAGAGGAAATGAAAGTCAGGCTGAAAAAGACTGGAGCTGGAGAAGAAAGAACGGTCAGGCAGCAGAAGGCTGGTGTTAAATAGTTACTCTTACGCCAGAGAAATCCATCAATCCCAACAAGAAGGGGAAAATTTGGTCCCGCTATAGTTGGAAGACGAGGAATAATCGCGCACCGCCTCCAAATAGCGGTCGCGATGGTCACAGTTATGCCTAGAATAAGAATAGAATCGTATACGACTCCAAATGAGAAAATGCCGCATGTTAAGGCCCTCCAGACGCTACGAAAAAAAGCAAATTACTCCTCAGCGATTCGGCATCGCATCGCCGATTTCAGTCCCGATCGACTGCGGTGGAGCCGTTTCGGCGGGGATCCGATAGAAAAATTAGAACAAAGGGGAGCAAAAGTCTGGACAGGCGCTGCGATAACGGCACGGAGAGATCTAGGAGTAGATGAAGTCGAGATAGAAATATAGATAGAATCAATCCTCATGCAATCACTCAACAGGGGAATCAAGTCGCACTATACATCTTCTTCGCCAAACACAAAAATAGAAAAAGAAAAGAAAAAAAGAAAAAATCAATCTGCTCAAATCATGAACAGCAGTATACATACATCATGCAGTCATGGCCAGAGACATCGCACGCAGGAATCCTAACAAATGAAGCAGGGCAAATGTTTCACGCATACCAAAATCCATCAAAGCCAGTCATCATCAGTGTCTCGGTGTTTCAGGTAGTATCAACAAGAAATAGAGGGCGTGGGGGGAAATCATCAACGCCTCGCAAGGCAAGCATAAAGGAATAGGGGAAAAAACTCAGAAGACTCACGGCCCGCTCTCTCCCCCGTTGTGTATGAGAATCGAATCAAATGGTTCCACCAGTGGTTTCAAGCCAATCCAGTTGGGAGAGTGAGAGAGATTCGGGGAACCCAGGAGATGGCGCCGGCGACTTCTGGAAATGGGGTCCCTCCCTGCTTCCGTAGGAAGGAATGGGTCTGTAGAGAAGAATGCAACAAAACCATGGGGGGTAACAGTAACAACAAATGCAAAAATCAAAATCATAATGCAGTCCCATCTAATTGTCCACCACCTGGCAGTACAGCTGGATCTCGCCCACCTGACCGCGCGCAAGCATATCCCGGTGCTGGTCGCGCCACTCCATGAACGCCAGCTGAACGGCTTCATCACTGTCAATGGTGACAAAATCGCCGTCTTCGTCCCGGTACCGGAGTCGCACCGTCTTGTTTCCAATCGACCGGTCCGTAAACCGAGCTAGTTTGGCATCCACCCGGTCCGTCAGCGACCGGAACATGATGTTGCTGGCGATCACCAGCGTGACATAGTTGTCGTCAAAGTTGACCTTGGCCTTGAGCTGCGTGGGCATCGGCGGATCCTCTTCGGGCTCGTGACTGGTCGGTGACGTCGGCTGCTCCGCAAGAGGTGGGGTGCTTCGAGACTCCGCATACTGGGGTTCGTGGAAATGAGTCGGGGGGTGGTGTGGCGGCGCGTGTCGGATGGGAAGGTTGTTGCTGGTGGGGGAGTTGGTCTGGCTGCGGTTGACGGGAGCCTTCATACTCGCCATGTGCGCGGGAATCGGCGGGACCGGCACGTTGTCCACCGTCTGCATCGTATGGGCGCCCATGTACCGACGCGATTCCGGGTTGTGATGGTGGATGTCGGGACTACTGGCCGAACGCATGCGCTGCGCCATTCCATTCGGTGCCTGACCGGGGGCTCCCGACAGGGGAGGAAGAGAGGGACGCTGGGTGCCTCGTCCATTCGGAGCCCCATTGGCGTAAAGGTTCCCATTCGTGCCGTCTCTCGACATGCCACGGGTCAAGGCTGGCGCGGTATATCGGTTTGGCTCCTCGTTCCAGGTGGCGGAGGGGGTCGCCTGGCGGCCGTACGAGAATCCGGTCGACTGTGAACTCGATCGGGTGGATGGCGTTTCGGCGACGGGAGAGAAGTACGAGTTCATATTCCGTTCGGCGGGCGACATACTGCCACCGGGGAACTGCGTGTGGACAGAGAGATTGGGGTCAGGAACGGGGAAACGCGGGGGGCGTCCCGCCGACAGTGGCGGGCCAGAGCCACCGCTTCCACCCGTGGCCGACCGGGTTCGCAAGCTGGTACTAGAAGCATTGCGGCTCATGGGGAATTCGGAGAAGAATGCGGCTTCCTTGGCTTGCTCCTCGGCATCATATTCTTGCTGGTAGGGGTTCGGGATGTTTGCCATGCCCTTCATGTAGGTGAACTCGGTTTCCGACGTGCCAGTGCTGCGGGTGCTGCGATGTTCGGCTTGAATGGCTCGCTGGTTATCGATGTCTCTGTACCATTTCTTCATGACATCCTCATTCTGGTAGCGAATGATAAAGTTGTCCACGACGCCCGGGTCGCCTTTCCAAAAGATCTGGATGCGATAAGAGCCTAAAAGGTGATTAGTGGTTGGAGAGTGGTTGGATGCCTATAGTTCCGTACCTGGCTTTTGGAGACAAACAATGTCGGTCACATTGGCCATGTAGATGCGGCCTTTCAGCTGAAGGCGCGGCTTGCCCCTGATCGTCGGGGCCTGCTTGTCTTTGCTGACGATCAATTTCGTTTTCTGCTTGTTGGGGTTGATGTCCTTGCAGCAGAGAAGGATGCGTTCGAAAAGGTAGATGTGATACTAGAAGCGAAGAAGAGGGAAGACCCCCCGAAGAACGTCAGCGATCATGCTTCCAACTTTTGTAGGCCTTTGCGCCAATGAAGAAATAAAACGGTATCAGTGTGCAGATGGTACGAATGAGACATCACGCAGAGTGCCAGGACAGGGATTGGATGCGCGTTTCAGGGATCGGTCTGGGGCCACGGGGCAGCTCAGGTGGTGCTGCAGGACAGCGCAGGAGGGGTGGGGGCAGGATCCGGGGCACGGGAAGGGCAAGGTGAGTCCCAAAATAGTGGGAAGACCATTGACCAAATCTCGGGGATTCAATGCCAGGAAAGGTCCGGGGGACGTGGGGCCAGTGGCCAGGGAAAGGGAGCTATTGTGGGCAGTTGACAGGGGCGAACCCGGTATCGACGATCGGCTTGACAGGCCCAAGAAATCCTCCGCCGACAGTGTCCTTCGTCTGCGGGAAAACCCTTTCCGCGAAGAGGCAAGCTCGGCGAGATCTAAAGTCATGTGCAAGCCGTATCGCGCGGGATAAACGAGATTCGCAGGCCAAAAATCCTCATAACAGTGGGTGATAGAAAGGGTACACACCTCTCTTTCCGAATCTTTGCCGTTGTCGCCTTTGATGACGGTGAAAGTGCCGAAGCGAAGCAACTCGCCAAAAGACTCGATCTTCAGCGACTTCCAGTCATCCACTCGCTCGTCGAGGTCCATAAACGCAGTAGCCAGGTGTTCCTTGTCGATCGCATCGTTGGCGGAATCGAGCACCACTTGGATGGCATCGATGGCTCGATTGATGTCGGCTTGGAGGTCGGGGTCTTCCGTTTGTTTCCGAAGTTCCTGTTCAGCTATTAGTCGGGTTTGTCGCGGGGAGGGCGCGAATCTGCCGGCCGGGGAAGCGCACCGTAAGCATCAGCGGGTACTTGGTCAGACGTTGGAACGGCTTGACGAAGAAGCCGTTCAACGTGGAGGGCTGGGCGACCATCTGCTGTAGATCCAGGGACCGCGGGGCCATCCTGATTTTATCCCACTCCCGCAAGCATACTTCGTCGCAGCGCATCTGGTTCGCGATAAAGGGTTCGTACTGTCGGAAGGCTTCCTCATGCTGGATGAAGAGCGCACCCCAGTTTTGGCGTTCTTCGGGCAAAGCGTAGTGTTGCTCGATGCGAATTAAGAATCGTTGGGCAAAGTCGAGCAGATTATTCAGGTTCAGGAAAATCTGGTGGCTGGCATCACCGGTCAAGGCACCCGTTTCTTCCAGCTCTTTCTTCAGGGCCTGTAGGTTCTGCAGGTGGTGGACGTAATCGCGTTCGGTTTCCAACAGCTCCTTCAGGATGTGCTCGCGGCGGGTCAGCTTGCCGCCAGGACCCTTGACGGGGGCGAGCGATGTGATGTCGGACAGTCGCTTCAGCTGGCCTTGCATTTCCAGAATGTCCAAGACCCGATTCACCATCTTGATAACCTTTGTGAACCCGGTGGTACTGTCGCCATAGAGATCGGTAATGAGGAAGCAATCTTGCTGGGGGAAGGCGAGCTCCTGCAGCGAGGCCTGGAGGAACTTAAACGTGGCGGCTTTGGGGCGTTTGGCCTCGGGGACCTTTTGGGGATCGACGTCCAGGAGTTCCTCAGGATTGGAGGCATTGTAGATGGTCAAGAGAGGGTAGCCATTGCGCAGACAGTTCCAAAGGGAGGCGACGGGGTCATCGTTGCCGGATGCCGCATCGGCCTCCTCCATCTCTTGAATGTGGGGGAGGAAATCCGGGAGCTCGGCGAGGCGCTTTTTGAGGTTGACGCAGCTCTGATAGATGGACTCACCACCGCGACGGTTGATGATGTTGTCCTCGGCGATGGGAGCGCCGTTAGACATTGCGGCGTCGGCCATCTCGACTTCCGTCGACGGGGACGGTGGGGGGGAGGGGAGGACGGGGGAAGGTCAGTCGTGGTCGGATGGGGGGAGGAAGAAAGGGAGAAGAAAGGGAGGAAAGTAAAAAAAAGAACAAATGAAGAAGAAGATTAAAATAGGAGGGACTCTGCACAGCAGACGGCGGGAGGGATAGGGGAGAGAAGCGATGCAGAAGAGAAGGAGGAGGAGGAGGAGGAGGGAGAGGAGGAGAGGGAGAAGAAAAGGTGAGGTTGTACAAGGAGGAGGCGGAAGAGGGTCGAGTAGTCGAGCATGGATCAAGTGGACCGTTGCGGGATGGATGGCGCAACAAGCGAGCAGCTAGACGGATCAAGTGGAGTCGCAGCAGTACGTAGTTCAGGAGTGGCCGACTCCTGCGCCGGAGAAGAATAAGATAAGAAATTATAGCAGATTGTCCTGAGAGAACTGAACCCGAGCGAACTGCTGAGTCACGGACGATGATTAATCGCGGAGGATATTTATGGAGTTGACCTCCTTGCAGGGGCATCTGCATCTGCAGCCAGAGAGGAAGAGACGAGCATAGTACAAGAATGAGCAGAGAAGAGAGGATGTGGAGGTAGGTGGTTGGAGTCCAAATGCCTAAAGGGTGGAACGAATGGATGGTGTGCGACTGCGCATATTGGTCTCCATCGGAACTCAATCTTCATAGATCAGACAGTCAACGATTCAGATCCCCGTTACACCTGGTTATTGGCGGGGAACAGCCGCCTGCAGAGAACTCTCTATCCATGCCATTTCTCCCAGCGACGAATAGTTAGTTCATAGGTACCGAGGTTCATCTGCAGGAGAAACCTGGACAGCCGCTCTCCTTGCGTATTTTGGTTGGGATGGATGGATGGGCTGTACTTTTTGACTGGAATATAGATGTACCCCAAGAGGGGACTACAGAAATAAAAAGATTTCTTTTGGAGAGCCCTGAGAGACATTATGGCTTATTCAAGTAAAGCTTCCCTAGGTAGGTAAAAGTACCTGGAGGTACCCCCCCAGGGTACTATGGAGGTATGGAGATGACAGGTTACCGTATGGTAAAACAACATCCCAAACCGGAAACCTCCCAACGACCTCATTCTCACCATCTCTTCTTCCTCTTCCTCTCCCCCCATCCTCTCCAACTTCGACCCTCGTCATCCTGCGTCTTCTCTCCCTCCTCTCTATCCTTCCTCGTCTCACCCCCGTCCTCATTCTGTTCTCCGCGTGTTAGAGTCCATCTAAATCCCCCTCCCTTCCCCACTCATAACAGCTACCCATCGCCACGATCTACTCCACGCTGCCATCAACCTCATGAAGAATCATCAGCCATAATCCGCCCCATTCCCTCCCTCGGATCTCTTCTCAGTCCAGGTCTCATGGCTGGCGACGCAACGATTCCCCATTCCCGTCTCCAACCCGCCGCCGCCGCCGCCGCCAGCCCCAACCACCATCACACCGCTCCCTCTTCATCCACCCCATTCAAACTCGACGAGGGTTACTCCGATGAACCCAAGAGCCATCTCGACAATTCCTCACAGAACTTGTCGGCAGATGATGGGATGACTCTTCCAGACTGGCTTCTAGCCCAGAGCGAGGCCGACCGAGCTGGTGAGTTCAGTCCCTGTTGCTCCCGCCGCTCGTTTGCTGCGGCCCCAATGATTGTCGGTCGCCCGAGATAAAGACTGACCATCGCGGCCTTTAGAGCTCGCCTACAGTCTACTGCGCACCCTCCAAATCTCCTCCCTGGCCGCCATCGTCGACCGCATCACCCCTCTCCTCCACATGGACCCCGTTCTCAAACTACCCCCCGAGATCACCTTCGAGATCTTCTGCTACCTAGACCCCCAGACTCTCCTGACGGCCTCCTTAGCCTCTCGCGCTTGGCGGGAACGTATCTGCGATCCGCGACTCTGGCGCGAGTTATACATTCGTGAAGGATGGCGGATAGACATCGACGCTGTTCGCGCCTACGAGGACGAACACTCGCGACCCATCTCCCCCCAATCCCGCAAATCGCGATCCCGATACTCCGATACCGACCTCGGCGAACCGAAGCACAAGAAACGCGTCCCTCCCACGTGGCTGGATTCCCGGGCAAGCGAGTCGCTGGAGAGCTATGCCACCACATTGGATGATGGGCAGCAAGGAGGAGGCCCTCCGGAGGCCGACCCTGAGGGAGACCATTTGATGAGCGACGCCTCCAATGTCGCGACGGCCGGCTCCCTGGTCTCAGCGCCCAGCAATCGACGCAGAACATCGCTGTCCAAACTCAACGGCCATTCGATCTCGGGCCGTCGCTCTGCAAGGTCCCCATCATCCCCGCTGTTGCTGCGAATGCCCAACGGCACCGCGAAAATCAACTGGCTCCACCTTTACCACCAGCGCTGGCGACTGGAAGAGAACTGGGCCAAGGGCCGGTTCTCCAACTTTCAGCTCCCCCATCCCTCGCACATGGACGAATGTCATCGGGATTTTGTCTACTGCATCCAATTCTCCGGCAAGTGGCTCGTCAGCGGAAGTCGCGATACGACCATTCGCGTGTGGGATCTCGAAACCCAACGACTGTGCCGGCCTCCGCTGGTTGGCCACGCCCGATCAGTTTTGTGTCTTCAATTCGATGCCTCCCCAGAAGAGGACCTGATCATCTCCGGAGGGAGCGACATGAACGTCATCATGTGGCGGTTCTCCACTGGCGAAAAGATCCACGAGATCAAACGCGCTCACAACGACTCCGTCCTGAACCTCAAATACGACAAGCGCTACCTCGTCACTAGTTCCAAAGACAGACTCATCAAGATCTGGAATCGCGCCACCCTCATGCCTACCGATAAAGACTACCCGCAGGTGGCCCGCGCCCCCGGCGTGGAGTACCCCTCGTACATTGTCGACACGAGCAAGATTCCCTCGCCCGTGTTGGAGGCCGACATCGCCCGCGGCCACCTCCAAACCCTGGCGCCATACACCCTCCTCATGGCACTCTCTGGCCACGGCACGGCTGTCAACGCCGTCCAGATGGACGAAGACGAGATTGTCTCAGCGTCCGGTGATCGTCTCATCAAGGTGTGGAACCTCCACAACGGCACGTGCAAGAAGACCCTCATGGGTCATGAGAAGGGCATCGCCTGTATCCAGTTCGACGGCCGCCGCATTATCAGCGGCAGCAACGACAACACAATCCGCATCTTCGATCACGCCTCCGGCGCCGAGGTCGCCTGTCTCCAGGGCCATAGTGATCTGGTGCGCACGGTGCAAGCCGGCTTCGGTGATCCCCCTGGCGCCGAAGAGACCATGCGACTCGAGGCTTTGGCCGTCGAGAACAACTTTTGGGATGCCCGCCGATCCGGCGCTGCCGTCGACCTTGGCCCGCGCGCCCTGCGCCGTGCCGGTCACCAGCAGAATACGGCCGGCTCGCGCAACCCGCGCGATCTCAAGGCCCTTGGGGCCCGCATCCCACCTGGTGGCGGTGGCAGTCGCTGGGCCCGAATCGTCTCAGGCTCCTACGACGAGAATGTCATCGTCTGGAAAAAGGACAAGAAGAACCAGTGGGCGGTGACCCAGAAACTCTCGTACAAGGCCGCGGTCCAAAACGCCCATTCAGCCGCCATCCTCTCACATCGTGAGCCACGGACGCGTGCGGCGGTGGCAGCGGCCCTAGCCGCCGCCCAACCCCAACAGCAAGCCCCGACGACCAACCAAGCCGGTGTCCCGGAGGGCCACAACCGCCGTCATCGACATAACGCACCCCAGCCCCCGCGAGTGTTTAACCTCCAATTCGATGCCCGGAAGATCATCTGCGGCAGTTCCGACCCCTACATCGTCGGATGGGATTTTGCCGGACTCGACGAGGATCTCCAGGAGGCGTGTCAGTTCTTTACTAGTCTGTGATTATGAGTCTGGACCCACGAAGCTGATGTGTTCGCTTCGCCCTCCACGTTTTCTCTTCTCCTGTCTCTATATTATTCTTGGTTTTGCGCAGACCCCATCTATCCTATCTGTATCACATATGCATATCAGGCCTTACGATTTCCGCCTTATCTACATCTTGTCGAAGCTTGTATTTGTTTTGATCTGCTGCACATCTACGGGTTATTGAAATATTGGCACTACAGCGTCGCGTCGTCCAATTCCAGCATCTGGTATGGAGCAAGCAAGGAGTTGACTGGGCTCAGATGGTAGATTCATACGAATTCAAGTACCTTTAATTTCTCCACGACAAATAACAATAGCACAGCGCCAACCCTGCGGAGATAAGGATAGTAGCATAGGGCCCAATATCAATAAGCAAGAAAGACTCCACCAACACCGCTCCACTAAGCCAACATGGGTTCTCCCGAGGCCATAACCCGAGACGCAACCCGTCGCAACGACATCCATATCCCCCAGGACAGCTGTCCCACGCTCTGCGGCCAGCCGCGAGCCGCGTTGTCTGGGGCCCCATCACCCGGTCGTCCGGTTTGAGCGGATGCATGCGTATTCCGGGTGGGCGAATGTGCACCACTGACAGAATCATCCTTCTCTCGTAAACAGCAACAGACGCCCCAGGGGGCCGTCCACGACTGCGCCGGTTCGTCCAGGGCGGCCGTGCTATGTTTGCTGGGGGCGATGGGCGCGGGCGATTGGAAAGGGACGAAAGGCGATAGTAACAGATGGTCTGCGTCTGCGGAATGATAGTACCGGCGGTTCTGCCTGACGGCGGGTTGTCGACCAGACATGTCCCGCTCGCTGGACGTTGGCGCCTCCGGGAGTGTTCTCCGGTGGAATGGGTGGTCGTCCAGGCGTCTGCTCGTGGTGAGCCCATGGCCGCTGTGTCGGTAGGGGAAATGGCCCAGCACGGCGGTGCCATCCGGGGCTCTTGCGACTGGAGCTCGCCCGCCTTGTCGAGGTGAGTCAGACATGCCGAGGAATCGTCGCAGCGCGGCCCTGTAGGACGTGGCTATTGGACTCTCTGCCGTGGACCGCGAGTGGTGGTCGTCGGAGGGGGATGCGTGCGCGAGCTGGGCATAATAGCGCATGGCTTCACGGGTGCCGAACGAGGGAACCCCTGGGGGTGTCGGGGAGCGCACGGGGGGTGGATAGCGCGGGACCACGGGGCTCACAGGAGATGCGAGGTTCGCGGTCCATCTGGATTTGCGTGGACGGCTGTCTGCATCGTTGAGACTGAGGACTTTGCGGCGGCTCGGGCTGCGGTTGATTGATGTTGCTAGCAGAGGTAGGTGGAGTCGACGTCCGGTGTAGGTAGAAAAGGCAGTACGGCCTGGTCGTGGGTATGGATGCCATCGTGATGATCTGATCGAGTATGGTGGATAGTAGCGGGGGGCGTGCAGGGAGGCGTAGGATATCGAGTGGGCAGATGAGACAAGGAGTCGGGCTATAGTTGCGCGGTCCAGGACGATACTGTTGAGCTCGTGGCCCATGTCGAACTTCTGCGCGGACTCGTTGGCGGGTGATTCAATCCTGACAGCATTGTATATTGAGCCTTCGCTGCTCCCGGACGACTCGGAAGATCCTTCGTCGATGCGTTGGAGGGTGGACGATGCGCAATGTACAGCAGCGGATGTCATGGCCAACGGCAACCCTTTGTAGGCAATAGGCGACGCTATGCAAGAGTACAAGAGACGTACGGATGATATGACATGGAGGCTTTCATTGTCCATGGTGCTTTCCAAAAGCAGGTATACCGAAGCGAGGGAAAGTGCGCCAAAACGAAATGGTGAAGAGGAAATGAAGTAAGTAACAAGGGTGAAAGGCACAAGGCCAGAATGATACGTCCGGTGGATTTGGGTTCTTATGTACAGTCATATACAGATCCCAAGAATAATATAATAAAAAATTGACCAAGTCCGCGAACAGGCGAATGTGAAGGGTATTAAGCAAACAGATTAATATGTACGTGGGAAGGGGCAATCGTAAGATATGAGTGAATAGAGGCAACCGAGAACGTAGAAAGAGATCCAACAGTAGATCCGAAGTATTCAGAGTCGTTATCCCATAGCCGTGACACTGGAGGTCGAGCCTGGCTTCCCAGAAACGCTGGGTTGTTCCTTCTTGAGGCTTTGGACGAGATTCTCGAGGCGTCTGCGCTCCTCACGTTCCGCCTGCATGACAGTCAGTTGGATCTTCATTAAATACCATGCCGGGATCATTGGTTTACCTTCAGGATCTTCATGTTCTCAAGGCGGGTGTCACGCATCATCTTCTTGAATTCGTTCTTCAGGACCATGGTGGAAGTGGTCTCGTAAGTACCCTCTCGTCCCATGGCGGCTTGAGTGCCCATCAAGTTGATGCGCTCTTCGTGCAGCTGCGTCTCCAACTGCTCACAGCGATCACGGAGGCCATCGATGATGCCTTCAAACCTCTCACGCTCCTTCTCAAACTCAATGCTCGATTTCGTCATGGCCTCATAGTCGTCGATCGTTTCGCGAAGCTCTCTCTCTAGCGTCTCCGCACGTTGCTGGAGGTCGCCGTTTACCGGCTTTCCAGCTTTCAGGGCTGCAAGCTCCTGCGCCAGCTCAATATTCCGGGTATTGAGTTCGTCAATCTCCTTCTGAATGGCAGGGTTGGCGGCAACCGCAGCAGCACGCTGGGCTCGAGTCCCGTAGGCGCCGTCAAGTTCGGCCTTGACCATCGTCAGCTCGGTTTGGGCTCGGACCACTTCGCCTTCCATCTCGGTCAGCTCATTCTGCAGGCGAGCGGCATTCTCTTCGGCCTGAGTGCGGGAGTCAGTGGCTTCTTTGAGCTGAGACTCCACCTCGGCGCGAAGTTGCTCCATCGACGCTTGAAGTCGGGAGACCTCACTCTCGGCCTGCGCGTGCGAATCGGTGACTTCCTTGATCCGGGCATCGGCCTCCGTTCGGACTTGCTGAATAGCCTGCTCCAAGTGGAAGACTTGTTGCTCTGCGCGGTCGCGGGCTTCTGCGGCCTCCTCTGCCCGGGCATCGGTCTCATGGTGGAGCTCATCAATCCTGCTCTGTAGGCGGGCGATCTCACCCTCCGAGTGCGAACGCAGGGCGGAGAGTTCTTCGGCGTGAGAATCACGCTCCGACTGGAGCTCCCGCAGATGGGACTCTAAACGAGAAACCTCGCCTTCGGCACGAATCCGTGCCTCTTTCTCAGTGGCCAGAGCTCCAGAGTTATCTTCGGGAATGGACCGTTGCTGGTGGTCGGACAACTCCTGGCGTGCCGCCTCCAGCTGCTCCACGAGCATAGTGAGCTCATTCCTCGACCGTTCATTCTCACGCTCTGAGAGTTCGAAATCTTTGCGGGCTCGGGACAGCTGCTCGACCAGATCGGCAATATGGGCATCCCTTTCAGCATCCGACTTGGAGTTCAGTTCTCGCTGCTGTTGGATCTGAGTCTTCAGAATACTCTTTTGCTCCATAATGCTTTCGACCCGTTTTTGAAGGCTGTCAAGCCCCGTGGTCAGATACGACAGTTGGCTCGCCAGGGGATCGGTCGATGGATCTGGCGGCGGGGGCATAGCCTGTGAGTGAGGCAGTCCCGACTGCGACAAGATATACTGAATGTGATTGTTAATCTCGTCTAGCCGCTGCTGAGTATTGTCGTCGAGTTCGCGGGTGGTGGTCGAGGCGTTGGTAGGTTGGGTCCGCAACATGCCCAAGCCACTCTCAATGTAGGCGAGGTACGCTTCAACGGTGGCCGTAGGACTCACAGGCCCGCCCATGTCGGAGAGTTGCGGAAGAGGCTCCACTTCGTTGTCAGGGTTCGACTGCAAGATCATTTCGCGCATCCTGCCGCTCAAGTCCTCCAGCCGTCTCTCGGTGTTCTGGATAGCTTCCATATCAACGGGGTTTATCTGCGAACCAACGGTGCTGCCGAGACCGAGACCCCTTTCCCCATTGTGACGTAGGTTGTCTAAATGATCGGCTGTGCGGTATAGGCTTCGGTCATCAAAATCATCCATACTGCCGCGGGTGTTGTGGCTAGACAGGCTTTCCGGGGTGTGAGGGACATTGTTCTTTGGGGTTTTCTTCAGTCCTTTGTGGGTCATCTGCAGTACACCGGCGGTGTGCTCCAGGAGCCTTTGGTTGATATGCTGGACTCTGCGCTCCAAATTCCAGATCTCTTGAGACAGGTCCTCGCATTTGCGGGTGCTCCGGGCCAGTTCCTCGTCTGTCTGGTTCAGAGTTCCGGCGGCACTGTTCCGGCCGAAGATGCTCCTGCGACTCCGGTGAGATTTGGGGGAGTCAGGAGGATCGATTTCTTCACTGGCTCTTGGACTCTTGGAACTGTATAGTTTGCTGAGGGACATGGCGGCATCGCGGAGTTTAATTTCGAGGGCCAACTTCCGTTTGGTGGCATCCATGCGACCGGACAGGAACTTGTATTCTTTCTTTAAGGATTCGACCTCCTCCAGAGACAGAATTTCGTAGTGCATACTGTCCCCCATGGCGGTTTCGGTCAACAGGTACATGGTTACGGGATCGTTGGCGTTGAGCAATGCGGAGCTGCGCGGGTGCGTGGGGTTGAGCTATGAACAATGGAATTAGCCATTTGTAGATTCGGCTTTGAGGAAGTACTCCAATTGAGGGACCATACCGGATTGTATCGCGACGTCTCAGCCTGTTGGGGGTCATATGCGGCGCCATAGCCGTCCAGGAGCACTTTGGTCGGCGGCGGTTGCGGAGCGCTAAAGGAGGCGATGGAGGAGTGTCCGGGGTTGCCGTAGGACGACTGGCTGGAACGGGGATCGAAGCCATTCATGATGGAGGCGAAGTTGGAGATCGAGCGGTTCGTGACAGAGAGAAGATCGGAAAAGTCGGTTCACAGCGTGAAGGAAAAATTAGGCATCGAACATGATGGGATCGGGGTTGAGTACGTCTCCTATTGCGGGCACCGGGCGCGTAGGGGATGCGCGAGGCGTCGCGAAGGGGGTAATAATTGATGGGAAACAAAAAATAATCCGATGCAGAGAGACGCAAGGATAGACGAGGGGAGAGGGGGTGAGGAAGAGAGAAAAGACAGAGAGAGAGAGACGATGTGAGGAAGACGAGGAGGCGAGAGAGAAAGAGACGAAGATCTGCAGTCGAAGTAAAGAACTGCGCCTCCCGACCGGAACAGTGGATACGGGGTGGATGGAGGATGGAGGATGGGGAGTGTCGCTTTTTGTGTTCCTTTTTACTTCTTTCTCTTTCGCTTCTGCTGTCTCTTTTCTTTTTCTTCTCTTCATCACATCATTGTCGTGTCTCCTGCTTGGCGTTGTTGACACCGCCGTATAGATCCGTTCGATCAGGCACTGGATGTATCCATGGATGGCGTCGGGAGAACAGACGATGAAGAACTCCCAACCACCCGGTTTCTTCTCCACGAAGGAACTTGCATGACTTCATAGAACTGTGTCTTGAAAACAAAAGGCCTGAGGCTGGTGCATCTCTAACCCCTGACGCTCCAGCAGGATCTTGGTCCATCGGCGGTCGCATCGAGATGCCGAATTCTCCGATGACATCTACAATGACAGTTCCATTCCGGGCGATCCAGCTCTTTATACTATCCGTGGAATGAAGGAGGGTCCCATCAGATCTGATAACGTTCGGGGTAGATTTGATCGAGATCGGTCCACGGACACATCCTCCGTGCCAACCTGCTCAAGCGAGATGAGGTTACATCTAGAACCCCCGCCGTCACCAGCACCGTTATTAATGCCTCGGATGGACTAGACTAGCTTCATCTTCTCGTGCTTGCGATTTGACCACTTCCTCGCTCTCCTTCTCCTGACTAGCAGTAGTAGCACTCTTATATTAACCCCCTTCAGCATGTAAGGGATCTCCTGCTCCACCGTTCATTGTTTCTTCCCCACGAGATGACCTCCAAAGCGCCCCAAGAGGATAATCCCCAAGAGGAGACCTCCTCCGCCGTCTCCACGTCGTTCCCGCCCCTCTACAAAGTCTACAAGCGCCGTTTCTGGGGTCTCGCCCAGTTAGTCCTGTTGAACATTGTCGTGAGCTGGGACGTACGTATTACTATTAACTAATCTCTTCTCCAGAATCTCTGGCTAAAACAATCCAGTGGTTGACCTTCTCCGCCATCTCCACCACCGCAGCTGAGCACTTAGGCGTCTCCGAGAGTGCCATCAACAGGCTCAGCACGGGCTATCTCTTTGCCTTGCGCGTCGCCAGTCCGTAAGTGTCCCGCATCGCGGAGCGTCATCCAGTCCGTGCTGATGGTCCCAGCGTCGTGATCCTCACCCTCAACAAAGGCGGTCCCAAGCCCGCCATCATCACCACCTCGTCGATTCTCCTGGTGGGCAATTGGATTCGGTATGCGGGCACGAGGGCCAACGGCGGCATCTTCGGTCTGGCCATGTTCGGCCAGATCCTCATCGGGCTGTCGCAACCCTTCTGTCTGAGCGCCCCCACACGATACAGTGACCTCTGGTTCTCCGATAGTGGTCGCATCAGCGCAACCGCCGTCGCGACCTTGGCCAATCCATTGGGAGCTGCGCTGGGCCAGCTGGTCGACTCCTTCTGGGCGACCACCCCCAGCGAGGTCCCCGATATGGTCTTGTACATCTCCGTCATCGTAAGTCTCTCACCCACACGGCCAGAGATATCGCAGCGACTCACCCAATCTCAGGCCACCGTCGTCGCCATTCCCTCCTTCTTCATCCCCGCAGCACCCCCGGCGCCCCCCTGCGCCTCCGCGGCCGCTTCCAAGACGCCGCTCCGCCCCGCCGTCACCCAGCTCGTCCGCACCCCCGAGTTCTGGCTCATCCTGGTCCCCTTCGCCGTGTACGTCGGCTTCTTCAACAGCGTCTCCTCGCTGCTGAACCAGATCCTCGCCCCCTACGGCTTCGACGAGACCGAGGCCGGCATCGCCGGCGGTCTCCTCATCATCGTCGGCCTTGTCACCGCCGCCATCGTCTCCCCCATCACCGACCGCTTCAAGCACTACCTCGCCACCATCCGCGTGCTCGTCCCCATCGTCGCCGTCTGCTACATCGCCCTCATCTTCGCGCCCCCCAGCCCCGCCGGCATCGCCCCCTCCTACGTCGTTCTCGCCCTCCTCGGCGCCTCCTCCTTCGCCCTCCTCCCCGTCGTCCTTGAGTTCCTCGTCGAAATCACCTACCCCTTCTCCCCCGAGATCGGTAGCACCATCTGCTGGACCGCCGGCCAGCTCCTCGGCGCCGTCTTCATCCTCATTCAGGACGCCCTCAAGGCCGGCCCCCGCGCCAACCCGCCCGAGAACATGCGCAATGCGCTCATCTTCTCCGCTGTGCTTGCCGTCGTCGCTGCCCCGTTCCCCATCTGCATCGGCCTGTTTGGCCGTGAAGTGCGGCGCCGCAGGCTCGACGTCGACCGCGGCGTGAGTCTGTCCCAGGTCGCCTAGTGCGTAGTTGCGTGTTGTGTGGGTTCCTATGAGACGGTCTCGTTCCATGACGGTAGTCGTGATACCCTTTGTCATGTTTTTAATGTCGCTATCTGTCTTATCGTAAATTATTGTATGTAAACGAGCAATGCCATGTTATGTTCCGGTTCCGCTCCCGAAGCAACACAACTCAAGAGAAGTCCATGTATTTCTAAAACAAAATTAAAAAGCACAGTGTCAAACAGGCACAAACCAGCTATCTGTACATACACCGCAAAGGATGCAACCCCGTCCTCCGCATTTTGAAGAACCATCCCACACACACGGAGACCACCCCGTCCGTGTGGGACATGCAACCAAGACAGGCGAACACACCGCCATCATATCATACGTCGACAGGCTCATCCCGACACAGTTCTCTCGTCGTTATTTCGTTTCGTGGGCGTGGTGCGATATGCGTTGCTCGTTCAGCCGTTGTCATCGACCCGTGAGAGAATGCGGCGGGAATCGGTCCTCGTCAAGACGCTTATTTGAGGGACTTCCAGAGCTTGGGGGCAGCACAGGCCGTGGCGCAGTGGGTAAGGTGGAAGACTATCAGTCATATGTTAGGGTCGACCTACAATCAAAGGGGGGAAGGCGATAGAATATTGAAGCCGTGGAAAGAAAGCGACTGGGATCTGGTGGTACTTACACTCCTCAACACAGTCCTCCTTGGGGCCCTTGTAGTCGGGGTCCTCCTGCTGCTGGGTGACACGCTCAATGCACTCGTCGAGGTGGTGCTTGTAGGGGGCGCACTGGGCGGAGTTGGCGCACTCTGTCGAACGTCAGTCAGTCAGTTAATGAAACATGACGTTGTGCTGGACGCAAGAGAAAACAAATAAAACCACAATCCCACGCAATGGCTCGTCTGATGGACCGGACCGCACAGCGCCCCGTGTCCATTCCGCCGAGCCATTACCACACAATCTCAGAGACGCAGAAACCATCCAATTCACCACAGAAAAATCACACATGAATCTTCAAGAAAATGAACTTACCCTCCTCGAGCTGGGGCTTGATATCCTCAGGCTCCTCCTCTTCCTCTTCTTCTTCTTCCTCCTCCTCCTCTTCCTCCTGCTCGGGCTCCTCCTCAGCAGCCTCTTCGGCGGAGAGCAGCCTCCTTCCTCGGCACTTCTCGTCGACCGGTCGACTCCTCGCTCAACGGTCGGACTTGTTCTTCGAGAGGGCGATCTTCCTCGCTGCTGGTCTGCTTCGACCGGTCTCCGGCGGGAGCCTCAGCCTTGGGCCTCGGGGAAAGCCCCAGGGAGGAGACGACATCGGAGAAAAATTTCGGCCAAGACCCCATCGTGAACCGGGTGTCTGTTTGTCAATTGGGCTGACTAGCGGGGGGCCCTGGGATCGAATGTGGTGGGGGGGAATGGGAGTGGCAGCGTCGAGCGTGGTTGATGAGGTTGGTGCAGCGGTTTGATGAAAGCTTTCGCGCTTCCCGTCCACCGGAACTGCCCGGCCGCGGGCAATTATCGCGCCGTTGATTGGTGGATATTGTGGTCATGTGACTTTCCGAAAGAGTAGGGGATATCAGTCCGTATACAGTTCTTCTCTCTTTTTCCAGTCCGGTGCTTTTGTTTTCTCTTTAAGATTGCTTGTGATTACAGGGAGTAAAGGGTTGTTCTGTTTTAGAAATCCATCGGTGGAGTAGGCCGTGGGAACCAATCAATACTTGCGCGTATCAATACGGGACGCAGGCCGATGGCTTGAAATGCGAGAAATCGCTCTTCTATTACGGATATCGTAACCAAGGCAGACTCGTTTACTGTACATTATGATTGGAGCGGTGTGGCAGACCCATGACACAATCAAACTCATCAGTCGATATGTGTGCCCCGTGGCTGCAAATTAGCTGGCGCGGCGCAATCTCTCCTCGAGTACATTCGCCACGCTCTGCTGCTGCACCTCTTCATAGCCGGGCGGGGGCTCCATCGGCTCCGGCTCTCGCGACGGTTCAGATCGGACTTCAGTCTGCGCAGGCAACGGCGGCGTCTGACTCGCTGGAGCCGCCTCGGCGGAGGTGCTGGTCGGCCCCGAGTACGCCGGTAGCTCTTCGAGATGAACGCTGGTCATGTCGACATTGCTCGCGCCTCGACTGCTCTGGGAGACGTCGACGACTTGCTGGAGGCGTTCTTTGATCCGCTCGAAATGGTTGTGGAAGTCGAAGGCGCCGCCTTCTTTGAAGGTCACTTTGCACTGGACGGCTGGCATAGATGCCGGGATGCCGCCTCCCGCGACAGGTTGGATGAGAGCGATCCACACGTTGGGGCCGAAGAACGGGGCGGTGATGTGGGTGTCGTGTATATTGAGCAGCGGGGCGGAGAACGACTGCAGCTCGGGTGTTTTTTGTGCAGGTATATACACCACCTAGCGGGTCCATTAGTTATCTGAGTCGAATCTCGGTGAACGAAGTATGGCGGGGGTGGTACTCTTTGATTGGTGAGATATATCCGTCCAGTGCTGCTCTGAACTGAAAAAGACCCTTGGGGAGTTGGATGAGCCCAGAGGCTGTAGGGCGAGGCCTGTCCGGGGCGGAGATGTATATATCAACTGTTCGTGGGGTAGATGGATGAAGCCATCGCGCTCATGAAGCATTACCCAACTGGTAGAGGGGTAGGGTTAGCGGTGTATCAAGAGTTGTTACAAGGCGTATAAAACCCGTTTCATAGACATAGGCAGACAATATTGTCCGCAGGCGGAGGAAGGTATGATAGACGGTCAGATGGGCTATTGATGGGCCATGCACGTACTTGATCGACATTTTGGAGCTGTCGGGTCCAAGTTAACTCCAATAAGCTTCAGGATGGCACTGAAGTGGGATGATTTTGCGACTTGGACTGGGGTCAGCATAGAGTGAATGATAGAGGTAGCACCTTGGAGATTACCAGACGCACCCCACGGTCCGACGCCGGATATCAAAGGATGACAAGGACCACAGCCAAGAGGCTTTATACTGCCTGATGTGACTGAGGATGGATGGAAAGAAGCAGACGTTAGGCAGGTAAGGTATTAGGCTAGGCTGTAAGTCTGTTTTTAGTATACCAGGCACCGGTACCAGTCAGACCCACTGAGGGCTCGAATGTTAAGAGCGCAGGAGGGATAAACTGCAATGACAGAGAATCACGTGGAATTCTTCAAGTCCCAAAGCTCTTCTCTAGGGGATTCTCATTTGGGTGTCTCGTTGTGGTGGTCACAGATGGCGAGGGGAAAATTTTGGAGGTGCAGAAGAGATGGGGTTCCTGTCGCGGGGCTGCAGGGAGAAGGTAAGGCGGAGAAGCAGAGCGGGCAAGGGGAACAAAACCCTACGGGCATAAAATCTGGATCAGTCGGGATCCAGCGGCAGCAGCCCGGAACCCCTAAGCTACAAGATCTCTCAGGGAAGGATTGATTTTCTGGGCCTCGTGGAATCCCCACCAAAGGGTCCAAAGCTCAGGTGCGGTTCTTCATCCTGAGCTCGGAATCTCGGATCCATGAGATCTAGACCCTGGAACCGGCTGATCATCTTCGGCCTCGAACTTTCCGGGCATTATCAAAAGGCTGTATGTATCTACAGGTTTAAAGTTGGATTATCGAGTGATTTCTGCTTCTAATATGTCTGGTCAACTCTGAAGTGAACCATCTTATCTCAGACGCATTCTCCGCATTTATAGGATCAACACAAAGCGCCACAATATATATACCGTCTACACAGTCTTCACGTATCGAAATTCGATGTGAACCAGAATGGCAATGAAAACAACAATCTATGTGGGATGTCGCATGAGCTTCGGGGCTCATTAAAGTGAGCTTTGTATAGTTACCGATTCGGATTATGCGAGATCACGGTGGGGAAGTGTTTATCTTCCGAGAGCACTCCGTAAAGAATAGGGTGAAAGATCTAGGTAGGCATGTTGCGCTTCTGGAGTATCAGGTAGGCAAATTCTTTTTCTCTCTTCCGTCTGCCTTGAATTTTTTATCACTTAATATAATTTCTATGGAGTATTGGTTCAAATGTACTATATACTCTGTATCAGATATCATCCGAAAGACGCGATAGACGTAAGAGGCTCCGGCTCCCACAAAGAGATAAACAAGTTTCTCCACAGTATAGTTGCACACTGTGTTCATTGGACAAAGGACATTCGCAAAGAAACATCATGTACAATACCATACGTAGTATCTAAAACACCAATCCACGGATCTCACTTCTATCGGGTCGCTATACAATGGGGAGAATTTGACGTAACCGTTGGCTTAACCTGATCCGGCGTCTTCTCCAGATGGTTGCACCACCGCGTCATCCTGACGAACGGGGAAGAAAGCCACATCTGAGGGGTCTTTCTATATTCCTGTTGAGATCCTGGCATAAAACAGTGTCTGACAAGCAAAGCCGTTGAGAATGTTCTGACAGTGGTGGTGGTTTCTAGAAGCATCGTTGAGCGAAAAGAGGGGAACAGAGAGTTTCCCAAGTGTGGGAGCCGGAGCTTACGGAGTACTGTACACCACCCAACCCAACGGAAGAACGTTACATACCTCCAATCCCCCCCACCAGAACAGGAAAAAACGGCAGGGAAAACGTCCCCGATAGCTTCTCTTTCTCTCCCACCCTCTCTCTCCTCTCCCTCTCCAGGATCACCCTGGCCTGTCACATGGCTCCGAGCTCTTCCACCTCGCAAACCCGATTCAGATAGCTAGCTCTTGGCTCATCTTCCGATCACCCGTGTTCTCTCACCGCGCCCTGCTGTTTTTTTTAGCGGCCCTCGAGACCCTCTTATGGTAGCCACCTCTCCTTCCAGTCTCACTGCACTCACTCAATGCGGAACCTTCGGACTCGTCCGACTGACTCGAATTTGTCTTCCCTGACAGATCCCGAGCGTGATCGCCTGCGGCTCACCCCTCTTCATTACCGCAACGCGCACTGTCCTCTCCATTAGTCACTGCGGCACCTAGTCTCTGATCCAGAGGACGACCCAGTCCACCTCACACGCGCCCCCGAGCCTTTAGGGTTTTCCCTTACTGTGCTCTAGGAGGTGTCTTCTCAATTGTTACGGAACACTACACCTCTCCCTTCGCGGATCGCCCGGCATCATGGCACAACAACCCTACATCCCACCTCTGATCGGGTGGCTCTATGATTTGGTCCTATGGGCTTTCTCCGTCCTGGTCGACTTCTTCTTCAGAGAGGTACACCCTCGTGGCTCCTGGAAGATCCCCCGGAAGGGCCCCATGATTATCGTCGCGGCACCTCATGCGAATCAGGTAGGATTACATCATGCCACCGGCAGCTGTCCGGAGAAGCTTACTAACACCGGCTCCATCTAGTTCGTCGATTCGCTGATTCTGATGCGCGTTCTCCGTAACGAAGCCCACCGTCGCATCTCATGGCTCATCGCAGAGAAGTCGTTCAAGCGCAAGTTCATTGGTCTGTTGGCCAGAGGCATCGGGACCGTGCCCGTGGCCAGAGCAATGGATAACCTGAAGCCCGGCCAGGGTACGATATACCTCCCCGACCCCGTCAATCAGCCTACCCTGGTGCGCGGCGTGGGGACGAACTTCGAAGGCCCCGGATTTGAAAAGGAGGGCACCATTGCTCTTCCCACTATCAATGGGACCTCGCACAGTGCGACCATTGCCGAGATTCATGGCCCGGAGGAGTTGGTGTTGAAGAAACCGTTCAAGGGCAAGGATCCGCTCTTCCAGCTTACCGGAAGGAAAGACATCACGCCCGACGGTAAATTCACTGGCGACGTCTCGAGTAAAGACTTGGGCGATTTCAAAGGCTCGAAATTTAAGGTTTCCCCGCACGTGGATCAGACCGCAGTATATAATGCGGTTTTTGCCCGACTGAATGCTGGTGGTTGTGTTGGTATCTTTCCGGAGGGTGGAAGTCATGATCGGCCAAACCTGCTGCCTTTGAAAGGTGATTCCTTCCCGCATCTATTCTCCTAGTCTTGCAATTACTGATCCTCAACTAGCTGGTGTCGCGTTGATGGCTCTGGGCACCCTGGCTGATAACCCCGACTGTGGCCTGACCATTGTTCCTTGTGGGATGAACTACTTCCATGCGCACAAGTTCCGGTCGCGTGCTGTCATTGAATTCGGCAACCCTATAGAAGTTCCCAAGGAGCTTGTAGAACAGTACAGGAAAGGGGAGCGGAGAGAAGCAGTTGGCGCCTTATTGGACATTATATATCAGAGTTTGGTCGCTGTGACGGTGACTAGCCCGGACTATGAAACTCTCATGGTTCGTGCCCACTATTCCCTTCCACTCCAACATTATCGCTAATGCTTCATCCCAGGTCATCCAAGCAGCCCGTCGTCTGTATAATACGAAAGGCAAGAAAATGCCGCTTCCGATGGTGGTTGAACTCAATCGTCGGTTGGTAAAAGGATATACGCACTTTAAGGATGACCCCAGAATTGTGAGCTTACGGAAGTCGGTTGCGGACTACAACCGGTCCTTACGGTTGCTGGGCATCCGTGACCACCAAGTAGAATACGCGAAATTCTCGTTCTTCCAAGTGATCTTCACTCTCATCACTCGCTTGGTTAAGCTGTTTCTTCTTGCGATTGGAACCCTACCCGGACTACTTCTCTTCGCACCGGTCTTTATTGTCACTAAGGTGATCTCTAAGAAGAAGTCGAAGGAAGCTCTGGCTGCGTCGACCGTTAAAGTCCAAGGTCGGGATGTTATGGCCACCTGGAAACTTCTTGTTGCTCTCGCATTCGCCCCATGTCTTTACATCTTCTACGCCTCGGCTTTCTTCTTCTGGGCGTGGTACAACCGGATCCAAGGATATGTCCCAGAGCGCGTCCCCTTGTCGGTGATCGGAATCATCGCTCCGACGATATTCCCCCTGATCACGTTCGCCGCTCTCCGAATCGGCGAGGTCGGCATGGACATTATCAAGTCCCTGCCACCGTTGGTGCTTTGTCTGAATCCGTCGTCGGCGAACACATTGGTGAAGCTTCGTCAGAGGCGCGAGGCATTGGCTCACGAGGTCACTGAGACCATCAACACGCTGGGCCCGGAACTCTTCCCTGACTTCGATGCGGCCAGGATTGTCACTGATCCATTCCGTGAGATGAACCGGACCGCCGGGAAGCCCGACGCGGAGCATCCGCCCGTCCCTGAAATCACGCGAACCGGCACGTCGGATCTGGACGAGGGCAGCGCCTCGAAGGAACCACTTCCCCGGAACGAGTCGTTCCACAACCTGGCTAACATCGGGTTCTTCTCGACGCGCCCTTCAAGTCGCAGCCGTAGTCGCAGCCGCACCAGCTCCTTTGGTGCCGGGCACGGCACATCTGGCCGACAACTGCAGCCTTTGAGTCAAATTAACACCAACGAGGGCTTTGAGGAGGTCAGTTCGAAGATTCGGGACGCTATGCGGCAGCGGGGAGAGCGCCGACGCCGCTATAGTGAGGACAGCAGCGGGTTTGCCGTGGCCAGTTCGGGGCCAGGAACCCCGTCGAGCGAGGAGTACGAGCGGAAGCATATATAGGAAGCATGGGGGAGGAATGTAATGGAGCGGTGTGTTGTGCGATAACGACGGCGATGATGATTTTCTGTGTAATAGCAGCGGTGTCTGGCGTTGTGTATTGTACGTGTGTTTATTCTGTTTGATATGCGATACCAGGGGTAGGAAATGCAGAGAAAATGGATTGACAGTGGAAAATGATGCCGAGCGGAAGCCGCAGCCTCGGACCGCGTCAACTGGTAAGTCGGTAGCAACACGTGGGCCCGTCTCTTCCCCGATGCGATTCTCGACCCACTGCTACCACCACCCACCGCTTAGTTACGTACGTCTCTCGCGTTCTCTTGTCTTCTCCAGCTCTCCGTCCTCTGTCCGCTGTACATCTGGACCTCCCTCATGCCAATTGAGTCTCGCCCTCTTGCCAGGTGTCATTGGTTGCTCAGAACACGCCATTCTGCCCGGTTTTCGCCATCCCAAAATTAGAACGCCTGCACCGCTAACGGAATCCCAAGCGAAAAAAAAGGTGCAGCCTGATGGACACTGCCCTACAAGAAACGATCTCCGTCTCCTTCTACCGCATTTAGTTCGTCGGCCCTCCTCTGATCCTAGAGGCCTGTGTGGTTATCATCTGATTGTCCGTCAAATTGGTCGCTCGGGCCATTTTATCTCGTCGACTTTCGCTCCTTCCTCCTACAACACCGAACCGGAAACCTGTCCTTTACGATAGATATTATCACTTTTCTTTCTGGGCTCAGACAGACACAAAACATCATGGCGACGTCGATGCATCTAAACCGGCTACGGAAATGGTTCCTTGCGTCTCCGCCAATCGAGTTCGCCATTTCGAAGATCCGGGAACTGCTGGTTGGAGCGATTAGGCAAGGGCCTGTTCCACAACATGTCGCTTTCGTCATGGACGGAAACCGGAGATTCGCAAGAACGCACGGGATCGAGACAGTGGAAGGACATAATCTGGGGTTTGAGGCGTTGGCTAGGGTAAGTCCTTTTTCCGTTTATCATGGTTCGATGTCATGTTGGAGGAACTCGCCACCTGCCCGCGGGCTTCGTTCTGGGGGGCACAGCAAGGCCGTATTCTTTCAAGCGCTGACAACTCGTTCCGAAATGTAGATTCTCGAAGTCTGTTACCGCAGCGGAGTGAAAGTCGTCACGATCTACGCCTTCAGTATTGAGAATTTCAAGCGCTCAAAGTTCGAGGTAGACGCCTTGATGGAGATGGCGAGAGTCAAGCTTTCCCAGATGGCGCAACACGGAGAGATCCTCGACCGGTATGGTGCGAAGGTGCGTGTGCTGGGTCGGTTGGATTTGCTCCGGCCCGATGTTCTCGCTGCGGTGAATCGCGCCATGGACATGACTAGTAACAACGGCGACTGCGTCCTGAACATCTGTTTCCCGTACACTTCCCGCGACGAAATCACCGGTGCCATTCGCGATACCGTCACCGAATACAGCAAGCCTCTACGGTCAGCGGGCTCGCCGTCAGCCGGCCAGCGGACACCGTTCTCCGAAACCCACATTGCGCTGAACATCCGCGCGCAGAACCTGAACTCCAAAGGCGAAGAAATGAATAGTGATGTTGAGTCTGCATCGGAATCCTCGATACAGAGCGACGATGGAGCTGCCCGACAGGATCCCGCTAAAATCTACGAGTCCGGCTCGTCCTTCTCTTCGTCTACGACGCTACACCTCGGTGGAAACCATGACGGATCGACCTTGAAAGCCGTGACCGCCGGCAAAGGTGGAGACACGGAACGACCCGTGTTCATGTCGCCAGAGACCATTACTCGACAGACGCTGACGTCGCACCTCCTCACCAAAGACAATCCCCCGCTTGACTTGCTGGTCCGTACATCCGGGGTGGAGCGTCTGAGTGATTTTATGCTCTGGCAGTGTCACGAGGATACGGAGATTGTTTTCCTCGATGTCTTGTGGCCTGAGTTCGACCTGTGGCATTTCCTGCCGGTCCTGTTGGGGTGGCAGCGGCGTGTGTCGAAGATGCGGAAGAACCCCGAAGCGGAAGGGAACTTTGACGGCGACGTGCCAGAGACGTCAGAGGAGGAGACGGATAAGAGCCGTTGAGTTCTTTGGGACGTTGCAGCTATGAGTTGCCATATATCTGACCGATCTTGCATAAGATTTGGGGAGTTCGGAGTTGCATTCTTGTTTTGAGCTGATATCCCCCCGTTCATTCCTGTTTTAGCACTGTGATTATTCTATATCCACTGCATATCATCCTGACTATAGATGACGATGTACAAATATACGCAGGAGCTGTTCTAATGAGAGTGCTGTGCTTGCAATTACGATGGATTAAGTGTACACCATAATGGCCACACATCACCCCCCTGTAGTCTTTTAGGGCATAACGCCACCTTGCCGAGTTCCTGAAGATCTCGAAGATGCCAGATCTCAGGAGTGCCCGGCGCACAAGACGGCGCCTATCATGCATAATGATGCAAGTGGTGCAACCTATTTTTTACAAGGCCTCTTTACCATCGTGACTAACCAAGAAAGTAGGGGTCTCATGCTGGATCCACGCTGTGTAAATGTAGAGACAAGTCTGATGGTCATGAAACCCCGAATTTCCGAATCGACTACAACCCTGAGTCTTATTACAGGAGTTTCATCATGAGTCGTCTTAAATTTCTATTCATCGAAACTTCTATCGTGCAATCGTCCAACCATGCCCTCATCAACATAGAATAACAGGAAGAGATAGAAATGATAGATCGAACGAGGTAGAAACCTGAAGGCGCGTAGAATGCCTGCTTCCAGATATTCAGATTCAGTCCGTCCAAAACGTGTGGTAGACGCCCGCCCCTACAGGACGTGTTGATGCAGACAGGATCTTTAGTCGCCTTCACAGCCTTCAGCTGGCGAGTTATGCGGTTTCAAAGACTTCGCGCATACGATCAGAGAATAGTGCCAAACCTATACCGAGAAGAAGCACGAGCAGTGCCGTCAGTAACTGTTTCCAAGGCGAGGTGCGCGACCTGGCAGGACGTGGTAAGGAAGTCGTTGACTACCAGGTGCGGTGATAGGTAGGATGGACAGGAAGAACATACCCGAATGTCTGCTTGATGCTGCGAATGTAGTACACGTCCCAGTTCTGTTTGGTGACGTCCTCCTGGCCAACGGGAACACCAGTCCAGGTCACCCGCATCTGGGTAACTCCATCGACATCGTTCTGGTCGAAGTTGATCTCCAGAGAACTGAAGTGTCCCTCAGGCCACTGGGCCAGGCGCCACTTCTGGACGATCTGCTTAGGCTTATCGAGCTTGGTGAATTCGCCGGTCACATTGCCATCGAAGATGGCGAACTTGCCTCCGACCTGGGCGCCCTCGAACTGGCGAGGCGCGGCGCGAGTGAAAGCGGCAATCCGCTGGGGATCAGTGAAGGTGTTGTACAGTTCCTCAGCGGTCGTGCGGAACTCATCGGAGGCGGTAACAGTGGTGGTGTTGACCGCTACCTTGCCGCTCGTCGTCGTCGTGGTGGGCTTGGGAGCAGCAGACTCTTTCTTGGTCTGAGGATGGTAGGTGGGAGTCGCGAACCCGCTCGACGGGTTGACACCAGGGGCATGCTGGAGGTCTTTGCCGTGTTCCGCAATCAAAGCGGGACCAAGCTTAGACAGCTCCTGTCGCAGTTGGGGCACGAGTTTCGACCGAACCAGGTCCTTCACGGGCTGCTTCGAAGCGGAATCGGAGTAGTTTTCAATCTCAAACTACGGGCAAGGTGCCGTTAGCGTCCCCATCTTGATAGGCTTATCATCGGCACATAGGGAACATACAACAAACTCGTCCTCCTCGGTGTCGTGGGCCACCTCGGGGATGGTAATGGTACCCGAGACCGACTCCTCATCCTTGTTCTTACCTATCGGAAGGGTTAGCCGGACTCGGATCCATGCAGTCTACACGTGGTGCACCAACCTTCGTACTCTAGCTGGAGCTTGACGTCGAACAAGGTGATGACCTTGCCCTTTCTCTGGCTGACATCTACGTCGCCATCCATCGTCAGTAGGCTGGAGATCTTGGCAGTCACGCCATTCTCCTCTGCGGAGAGGGCGCAGAGTTTTTCTTTCAGGTAGTTCTTAGCCCAGGCGGAGGCATCCTTATTGACCCAGTGCCAGTTGTTGGGGTTGTGGAGAACCATGATGACGGTGTTTTATAAAGTATTTTATTATGAAACGCTAAGGGGGTTTTGCTATGTGCAGAAGGGCACTCGGGCAGGTTTCTTCGCTGGATACGTAAAGAAATTCCTTCTCGGCGCAATTGACGGTTCGAATGCTAGGTTCTATCGATCATCAGCAAGAAATTCGACCAATTGATGCAGTGAACATTTGTGAGAGATGGTGTTTTTCAGGGATCACGGGTAGCGTTCCCGGACCACAAGCTAATCAGCAGTGAAGATGAAGACCGAAATCCCATCTTGCATATGACTGGTGCCAGCTATGGTATCTCATCATAGAAAGGGCGAGCGGCGGAGGATTGGGGGGGTTCAAGCTAGTTGACCACCGTTGGACTGAGGGGAGAGTGTGGAGGGAAGAAACTTACAGTGACAGCAGAAAGAGCCTCCCGAAGAGCGCTGTAGGAAAGATTAATCCGAAGGAGAGGATGAGAAAGGGGGAGAGATGGATTGGTACCGGGGGAATGGAGGAGAGATGGAGGGGGGATTTTATGATTTCCACCCCGAACCCGCGAGGCGAGAAAAAAATGGAAACGTTTGGGAGGGAAACGAAGATTCGGAAGGAAAGCTCTAGAAGGTAAGGGCCCGCACGGTCACGTGCCAGCCTCCTCCAGAGTACTCCGTAGTGACTAACTATAGGTGAAACGATCGTATATAGGGTATCTCCAAGATTCATAGACAAAAATCATCACATCTCGTCATCATCTTCCGGTCTTCATGCTCCCTCACAACTGCTCCAGATCCTCCCATCCATCTTCCCGCATCAATTGCTCTTTCACCCGCTCCCGGAGCCCCTGGATCTCACTCCCCAGGGCCTCCGCCCATTGTCCTTCCACCGTAGCAACCTTGTCTTTCAGGTCGTTGGTCAATGCTCGCTCTTCGTCCGCTTGAGACTCCTGCATCTCGCGCCGAACAATCTCTTCCGCCTCGCCTTGGCGGGTGCGTTCGGCCTCCACGAGCTTGCAGTGGGCCCTCATCACCGCGGACTTGACTTCATGCAGAAGGCAAAACAGATTGATCTGGGACTCAATGTACTGATAGCTGGATTTTTCCGCGTGGGAGACGAGTGTGTACAGGTACTGGAGCGGATGTCGGTGGTAGCTCGGGTTCTCCTCATATTCATTGGGGGGAATGCGGATCTGGAACCCGTCGATATCCGCGGGGATCTGCTCGATCAAGGCCACAAGGGAGGGCGCAATGTCCCAGAATGCAGACAGCTGGATCTCCACGCCCCGGGCCACATTTCCCTCCACCACGTCCAGGAAGGACTCCAGGCGTGCCAGGGCGCTCGCCTCGTGGTTCACTCGTCGGTCCAGCGCATCCTTGACGAAAAAGGCATTGGTGTCACAGATCTTCTCTTCGTTCGCCTTCTGCTTATACGGCAGTAATACCACAGCTTTGTACTTTTCGTCCCGGTCGCTGACCAGCTCGTACATCTCCCGGTGGAGGAGCTCTCGGGCTTCGAACAACCATTTCAGCTGCGTTAACTTCTCCAGTAGCTCCGGCTTCTCATCCCCTTCCTCCTGCGTTTGGTCTGGTGTCCCATGTTGTGCATCATCAAACAGCTTGCTCTGTAGCTCATCAATGCACGCCGTTGCTTTGTCGATGCGATCAGTGAGAACGGTATGCAATGGTGTGAGCACGGCTTCTTGGTAGGTATCCAGCTCTTGCTTCACCAGTTCCCTCTCCATCTGGTTCTCTTCGACGATCAGCGCAGCCTCCGCTTCTGCAGCTTCCGCAAACGTAATGCTTCCCTGTTCAATCTGGCTTTGGATATTGGCCTTGAACGCCCGACGTCCTTCCCGAAGTCGTTCCTGATGGCTGCGCCGTAAAGTTTCGATTTCACTATTGTGCCGCTGTCGAGTAGCCTTGACTTCGGAAAGATCACTGATCGAACGGACTACAGTCCGGTATGTGACTAGGTCGGGATGGCTGTTGTTGACAGCTGGGTGATGCCGTGGGTACGGCGGCGGGAGGGTGATAAGTCGTGAAACATCCATCTTATGGTGTTCCTTCGTGTGCCCGTAGGAAGCATGTCCTACCGTACTGGCGTACTCCGAGGAAGCGGGGTCTTCGTGCCACCCTACTTTCTCCGGAGGGTATTCATCTGGACCGTAAGAAACCGGTTGCTGCGTGAATTCATAGCCGTGCCCTGGATTCCCCGCGTCGGAAGGGACTCGTGATTGTGTCCATTGTAACGCCTCGAGAGGCAATCCCATGTACTTGGACTCCCTTTTGGAGCGCTGGATTCTTCGCTCACCTCCCTCGCTGCTGGACTTTGACTCCCACCAGCGGCTAGGCGCACGGCCACGAGAGCTCATCTCGTCATTGCTCATGCTGAGGCTGGCGATGGGTGATAGACACGGCTTGTAGTTGCTCCACCATGCTGATTCAGGACGAGATTGTGGGATGTCTAATCTTGGGGGTCCGCCACGAGAAGACTGCCGCGAAAGCGAAGGACGCCCCATCTGGGGTTCTGGGGCTGGCTTGGGTGGCATTTCAAAGATCTTTCGACGCACGTCTTCTACGTTCACGGTGCCCGTATCCCAAAGTTTGGCGTATTTCTCTCGTCTTATCTGGGACTCGCCAATGATATACTCCATGAAAATGCTCAGAGCTTCGGCTTCATCGGCCGCGTTGGCTTCCTTCTCTATAAAGGTCTTGTGCCTCTGGGTTGCGTTGTGGACGAATTGGACGTCTTGGTGAACGATGGAATCCAGCGACGGGCCTTGGCCCGTTGACAATCGGCGGGGGGGCAAGGGTGAAGCCATCGGCGCAGAGTCCTCATTAGGAAGATGTAGGATGTGCGAGACGGGGCGGTCCCCTCGTGATTCAGGCCGAGAGGGTGGGCGCGCATCCTGTCCTGACTGCAAAGGTGGCGTCGGGAGGGCTCGAGGAGGCAATGACTGAGGAGCCCCCTTCGAATGAGCCTGTTTCTCTGTGCCGGGTGAGAATGGTGGAGTCTGCGCATACCGAGCTGGGGGTACACATGGACTTGGTTCAGCCTTGGGCGTCGAGAATGAAGAGCGATTGGAGAAGAGGCCTGTCGAAGAGGCCCTTGAACGCGAGGTTGTCTGTGGCCCATCGGATCCCGCGCTATAGTTACTGCGCGGGGTGTCTCTGACGGAAGCCTGCTGTGTAGCGCTGTCCGGCGTATCATGCCCTTCTTGCAGCACTAGGTTAGATGGCCTCACTTGGTCCAATGCTTCTGCCCAGGGATTGCTATTTGTAGAAATGGCGCTGAAGTCATCAAACACATGGCTTCGTCTATTCCGGCGTTCTATTCGCCTCTCGCGGATGCCTTTGGCGCTCGAGTCGCGAATTGCCGGGCTGCGGAAAAGACCACCGCTGGTAGAACTTTGCGGCACATTGTATCGCTCGCCAGTATCGAGGTCGTCCGCATGCTGACGGGCCATTGAAACACTCGCAGTATCAATCGTAAGCGGTGCTTTATCTTTCTGTCTATTGCTAGTAGATTCGTCTACCCAGCCAGCCGGCGTTGGCGGGATGCTGTCCAAGCCTGTTCCGAGGACTGGAGGGGGCCGAGTCTTGGTGGTTCTCTTTGGAGCCTGCGAATGCCGCGAGGACGATGCGGACAGGCCACTGGTACTTTGGGACCGTGCGGCTGGAGGCGGTCCAGGCGGCGGCGGTGGCAGAGGCATGCCTGGCTCCCAGCTTTGGGTCGGAGGCGATCGACTTCGAGATTGGCTTGTGGCTCGCGATGTGCTTGCACTGCCCACAATCGGGCCAGCAGAGACAGCGCGTCTTGAAGCGGGTGGCCGCATCGGGTCGTCGCCGTTGATACTCGTCGCCATCATGTGCGAATGATCATTGGGATGTGAGGCCTGTTGGTGTTCATGAGAAACCATAATGTAGGGCCGTGATCCTCCACGGTTCTGCGATGACGACCTGGAAGACGGCCCCGCCCCCTGCGGCAGAGGAGGGGGTGGAGGGAGCGACATCTGTCTATTATGGCTTATGTCTCCCACCATGGATAGTGGACGAGTCCGTGGAAGAGGTTGTTGTCGATACTCCACTGGTGGCTCGGAGCTGTGGTATACGTTTCCGTGATAAGGCGTCGCACTGGGTGATGCTGATCCCCGGCCGGAGCTCCCTTGGTTGCCATGGTCTCTTTGTTGCTGCTGAGGCTGACTGGGAGGTGAGTACGGCGGAGGCGGCGGCGAGAGAGACATATCTGTAGCACATTTTGACGTTAAGCCCAGTCCAGCAACATTTCATACTGCTTCGAGGAAGTCGCAACTCTTCCTCGCTACGGAAGGAGCACAGAGAAGGGAAGACAAGAAAAGAACCGCGACAGACCTGTATGAGGCCCAGCTGGTCGCGAGTGCGTCATGACTCGCAGCATGTTATTATTAGGCTGCGCGTAGGAAGGCTGTCCCGCATGCATGACCCCCCCATTCATCGGCCCCCAATCCTGGGGGTTGTAAGGCACATTATACTGTCGAGATGCCATCGGTGATGTCCCCAACGCAACACCGCCGGGAGTATTTACTGCAGGGGATTGACCTTGGACGAACGGGCTTGAGAGGGAGGTTGTCGATAGCGGCGTCGATGCGTAGTTCCCCCCGTACTGAACACCGAGACCTTGCAGATGTTGGCCACTGAACGCGGTGGTTAGTGGAGGCGGTTGTCTTGCATGCTCTCGACGCCCGGGAGACGGTTGATTGCTCGCAGAGTGGTCGGGATAAGATGTCGACCAGCCGTGAGGAGGGTATGCACCAGACGGCTCATCGCCAACAGTCCTTTGAGACCAGTGGCTATGCACCGCCGACGGTCAGTATGAAGCAGAGGAAGAAGGGGGGCGCGAAGTGGGAAGGTGGCCGGTCGTACCTATTCATAGTACCGAGCGAGAAGCCATGGCTTTGGGCGGTACACAGAAGGAATTGGAGCCAGGACGCGAGAACAAAGGAGGCAAGCGAGACTACCCACGCAAGGCCTGAGCGCCACGAGGAGAGCGAGTACTACTGGCGAGGCAGGCGAGTAGAGAAGCAAGTGAGGGCGTAGTGGAAGGTGATACAAGATTTCGCAGCGCGCAACCCGGCCGAAGGAGTTGTCTCCCCACACGCGAACACGAGATAAAAATAACTCGGGACTGCAGAGATGCACGTTAATGCAGCCTTGGGACGTCCATCACACCCGGCGTTGTGTCGGCGCTTAACTGGGGCCACTCATAGGCCGTATGCGTACACTAGTCCATGTCCCGTCTCCTATTATTAGTACAGCCCATGTCAGATCTATTCCCGCCTGGGGCATGTAAATGGTCTTCTGCACGATAAATAGTCTATTAAGGCCTTATCTATGGTACGAGATTCAAGACCGAAAGTGGCCAGCGTTTCATGGAACGTTGTACTATTTCTATTGCTTGCTCCTGAATCAGGGAAAGATTGGGCAAAATGTCCATTGAAAGAAAAGGCTGACGTAGAAGGAATTTGGGATGTTTACGGAGTACAAAGTTGGATTCTGCTGATCCTAGAACTATGAAGATCAACATAAACTAGACTGAACCTTGTCACTCTCCAACTCTTCATAACATTCTAACGTCGGCACAATTCCACACTGCATTCGGTGGCTTTTTTGAAAAACCCTTCACGAACCTTGGTCTCTGTTTCGGTTGTCCGATGCAGGTCGAAGAGACGTAAGAGGGTAGCCAGGCCTTTAACAGCCTCCATCCAGGCGAAGCTAGTTTATCCAACCTGTTAGAACCTTGACGTATGTAGCACGATTGATGACCTACTTTCGCCCAATACACGCTCTCGGGCCAGTGGAGAATGGGAGGAAGGAATTGAGAAGAGCCTCAGTGTTTCCTTCTAGCCATCTTTCTGGACGTAAACTGAGCGGGTCAGGAAATATATTCGGGTCCTGCATCAAACCTTGGGTAGGAACGCTGACAATAGTCTAGAGAAGAGTATGAGGTTCATGTAACACGTCGGTTTGTTGGTGAGTACTTACGCCTTCCGGAATGAAGCTTCCCCCGATGGTCCTGCCTCCCTTTGGAGTCACCCGCTCTAATCCAGTTGCACTTGTCGGCCGGAGACGCATGACCTCCCTCAAAGTCGCATTGAGCAAAGAAAGGGTTCCTGCCGTGTCATTGTCGGCCACCCAGTCCGGCCCTAATGGCCCTGGGTATGCCGCATCGAGTTCTGCGTGGATACGCCCCAGAAGCATCTTATCTCTCGACACGTAGTCGATGAAGTTGGTCATCGTGCTGCTGGTAGTATCACTGCCGCCAACAATGAAACTGATCGATTCTGCAATTATTTCTTCCTCGGGCAGAGGATTTCCTGTATCGGGATCTTTGGCCGCCAGTAGATAAGACAGCAAATCTTGACGGTCACAGAACTTGCTGTGCTTCCTCTCCAGATATGCGCGTCGACCAAAATTCTCGAGATTAGCTTTGGCATTGACGCCTCTCTTCCAGAAAGAATCAAAAGGATGGTACTTCATCAACGGGCGTACCCAGCTCGGTGTGGATCCCAAGGCATTGAGGACCTCTCCACGTTCATCAATGGTTTGGATGAGACCATAGGCATCGTATCCCTTCTGACTAAACCCAAACGACTGTCCGAATGAGAAACTCCCAATAACGTCAAAGGCGAGGTAATTTGCTTTTTGTTCGGTCAGTCTGCTTCAGGTTGCAACTTGCAGAAAATTTAACTAACTCCATATCGAAAAGTCGACCATGGCATTGGCCCTCCGCGTCATGTTGAGAAATTGTGACTTCCATGCCCTCAGTTCCTGATCCATATAGGGCTCAAAGTCTCGAAGGGCCCTCGCTGAGAATGCAGGATTCATGTACTTCCTCTTCCGTTGATGCACGTCCGCTTGTCGGGTATTGAAGACGCCTGGCTTGACTTGGACAAACGCATCGTAGAAGTCGGCCTTCAGGAAGCCAGCCTTATGGCCATAAATCTCGCCTATTGCTCCAGAAACATTTACAGAGATATGCTTGGGCGCAATGCGGACGAAATTGCCATAGCGTTCGTGGAGACGCATGACAGCATCCGTCCTTTGAGTCGCACGACTTTGTTTCATAAGCCAAAAAGGGGAGATCTTTGCCCAGAAAGGACCGGGAAACTGGGAAAGGCTTGAGAGAAATACGCAGAAGATAATATACAGAAGCGTCTGCGCAAGGTCAGTAGGGTGGACCTATGTCTAATGAAAGTATATGGCGTACTATCAATGGGACAGATATCAGAACATAGACGATGCGGTTCCCATAGCCTTCTCTGAAGAGCGCCATGGGCCCTTCTGGCAAGATTATAGCCATATGAAGTGCGTTAAGAGACCCTTATTCGGCTAAGCATGCGCGAGCGAGGTTTGTTTTTCCTTTGAGGGAAACTGCAGTATACCGGCAGACGCTGGATTTCAAGGCTTCCTGAAGACCTGCACGGAGGACACCACAAGATTATATAGAGGCAATTCTCGGTAGTGATCAAGTGCCGAAGGTACGCAAACTGCTATAATCCCTCAGCAGTTCTGCCCCTTATGAGCAGCTTCGTCGAGCCAGTCCAAAAGGCCGATGCCGAACCCCGCTTTTCTGTCGAGGATGTACGCTCACACGCGCTATATTTCCAGCAGGTCGCAGCTATTCCTTTCCGATCTATCCCCGTTACAGGGTACCCAACAAGAAACAACCCACGCATCTCCAAGCTCCAATCCGTTGTGTGACGGCAGCAGAATAGTTGCAAATCGCTCAGGATCGACTGCACATTCCACTGTAGCATCAGATGAGAGTGCAAGCAATGATCCTGTGCAATGAAGACTCACACCAGCCTGTGGCTACTACTTTCGGAACACCACTGCTACTGTAGAGCGCATGGATGCGGAGGCTTAATTCAGTCTCGGTTGAGACAAATATTATTACAATGACTATGACTATGAGTCTTTAATAGGGATGACAAAGCGATATGGATCGACTGGCCTAGTGGTTATGGCGTCTGTCTTACATTCTTCAATGTAAACACACAGAAGGTCGCAGGTTCGACCCCTGCGTCGATCATCTTTTTATATTATCAGTGATAATATTTTTGGACTTGCGACCTTCGATGAGGATTACTTCTTCCGTCCGACAAGGCTAATTGATGTCCGTAATCCTGAGCCCACGAGTGTTTTCCAATATACGGAGTAAGACAGTGACACATATTCATGGAGATCGATTGGTACGAATGAAACTATCTAATCTAGCAACCCGCAACTACACGTAGTCAGACAAATACCTAGATCACTGGCGCCATGTTAGCATTTATCGATCAAGAAGTTGTGATTCAAATGCGTAGACGGAGAGGTGTATCAGATCAAATGCCCTGTCACAGGCGGTGGTCATCAATGGATTTATGTTGACCGTCGTGATTAAAATAAAAGTAAATCATCATAATACAGGGGAGGGCAAGCGAGGAAGCGGATAAAGAGCAACTCACGTTAGATTCTTCTACAGATGCACCTGTCATGGGGGAAGTCGCGGGCTGCTGTATGAAACCAATCAGCATTGGACCCAAGACATTGATGCAGTGTGAGAGCGAGTGTTTGACGGATCAGTCATGACAGTTCTCGTCTTAACCAGCAGAGCCAGCTTGGACATATGCTTGTCTTTTTTGTGATGTCAAATCATCATTGAGTCGTAGGAGGTGATCCGGGATCGATGCCCACAAACACATACATTATCGCTTGTATCACCGCTAGGCCCGCGGACGATGAGATGAAAATCTATTAAATGAATTAGCAAGATTCAGAAAACAAAAAACGATCTTGCTTCATGAGATGCATGTCAGAAATGCATGAATGGTAAAAAAAGATAGTGTCTGCATCGATAACTCGAATAAGACTCGTCATCTAGGAGATCATCATTGTGGGAGGGGAGGAGGCTAGGAAAAGGAAAGTCATTACCTTTTCAGGAGCAGACAATGCGCATCTCAGAGCTGTCAATTGACATGCGAGTTAGCCTCACATTGTAACCTGCGATGGATGACAGGATGGATTCGGTGAGATCTCAGTGGGCGAGGTTTTCTAGGCCTGCCGCAAAAAGGCATATCCATCAAGACCGAACGTTGTCTGACGTCGTCGGAGCCCAGTGCCGCTTCATCTTTGAAAGGATGTGACGCTATGAAATGGTGGATTCTTACCATTCGCTCGAATGATGAGACGACCAAGATGGAAACATGAACCTATTGAATCTTGAAGCTGTCAGCATTCGTGTCGAAGTAGGATGACCGTAAACAGTAATATGATTGATTGTAGCAGATCAGAAATAGCCATATGATATCGTCCACGACCCGAAGGTCTCGGTCGGTAATTTCCAGCGTATATATATGAAAAGAAGCATCATGCTAGGGGTGAGGGAAATGACTGAGGAGGTGCACGTACCATCTGATTAATCTGACAGCAATGAGCTAGATGCATGGATCAGTCCTATGAAATCAGGTCAGCGATAGATCCTGGACCCTAAGTGCTGAGTGATTGCAGCAAATTCTTGCAAAAGCATCAGACTGACGTGCAAAAACCGAGTTTTCACTCCCCGAAGGGTCAAAGACTCTAGTTTGAAAAAGGTTATGTGTTTCATCTTGGTGAGGAGAGGAGGCAGAGGACTGTGTGGGATGTGCTTACCCAAAGAGAAGACGCTGTGAGCAATTTCGTCAGTCCAATAACAATTGATAGAGAACAGAATGATAGGATGCAATGCAGCCCGTGACTACGAAAAGGCACAAGAAATGCCCGAGATCCTCGACATTTGAGGACAGTCGATGAGACTGATGGAGTTGTGTGGTGTGGAAGAAGCAACAAGAAAAAATACGCGACGAAACTTTTTCAAGCTCGGGCGGATCCCGGCATGATGTTTTCCCGGGGCGCTAGTTGAAGCGAGTGTTGATGACATAATCGACATTAGGTAAGGGCGTGAAGGGAGTCAGCTGACGAGGCGGGATCAACGACGGGGGAAAGAAAGCCGAGGGTCTCGACTCTGATAAGAAGCACCAGAATAGGAACGAATGCAGATAGTTCGTGGGGGAGTTCAAAATTGGCGCGTCTGCTGACCTGGAAAAATTATGAATGTGAATTTCTCCGCGAGAGTGTCCGATAGGGAGCTCGCGGTAATTGTGGCCGACAGTAGCCTGCTAGGTTGGGGTACTCTATCTCTATCTACTCCTATTAAGAATGGATCGAACATGTCTCCAATAAGGATTGTTCTATGAAAAAGGTAGGTAGCTACAGTGCCTACTTGTACTAGATACCTATTCTGCCTCGTTCTACTGAGTACTCCAGTAGTCCGGAGTGTCGGGGCGGATCGGGCGCGGGAAGAGGAAAAAGTCGGGAAGCGGGAAGCGGGGGGGAAAATGACGAAAAGCCACCTGATGACATCCCATTGCGTCAATTCTGCTGTGCCGGTGGATGCTTGTGACGTTCAACGCACCCTCAATTGACCGGTTCGTCCATCTCCACCGGCTGAAGATTCCTGCTGAACGGAACAATGCGATCGTTATATTAAGTCGCGCGCTCCCTGGGTTGGAGACCTCCATTGTTATCTTCTCCGGTCTCATACGTACCATCCTGCAGCTTGTATACCACGTACATACTCCGTACTCGGTGATACCTATCCTACACTCCCCAATTCGTCCACTCTCGACTTCCTGCTTTCTCCGTTGAACCGAGGTCATCGATTGATTACTTGAACCCTTCTTCCCCTCCAATACACCCCGGATTCTCCTTCTCCTCCGTTCCTCCTCCACCTCTCCCTCTACACTTCTCCGCAAACACATCGCAGTCATGGCTTCCAACGGCAACGGCGCTCCTCCTGTCGGACAGGAGAACATCAACACCGACATCATCACCCTCACGCGATTCCTCACGGAAGAGCAAGTCAAGATTCCAGAGGCCACCGGTGACTTTACGTATGTATCCGTCCTGTTCGCAAGGTGTCAACCACAATACTAACATATCATCTAGCCTCCTCTGCCACGCCCTCCAGTTCGCCTTCAAATCCATCGCCTACTACATCCGTCGGGCCTCCCTGATCAACCTGACCGGTCTGGCCGGCTCCTCCAACACGACCGGCGACGACCAGAAGAAGCTGGACGTGATCGGAAACGATGTCTTCGTGTCGGCGATGCGCGGCTCCGGCAAATGCCGCATTCTCGTCTCCGAGGAGGAGGACGAGGCGATCCTGTTCAACGAGCACCCGCAGGCGCGCTACGCCGTCGTCTGCGACCCCATCGACGGATCGTCCAACCTGGACGCGGGCGTTTCGGTTGGCACCATCTTCGGCATCTTCAAGCTGCCCGACGAGATCCTCGGCCACGAGGTCACCGCCAAGGACGTGCTCCGCCCCGGCACCGAGATGGTCGCCTCTGGTTTCACCATGTACGGCGCATCCGCCCAGCTCGTCATCACCATGCGCAACGGCTCCGTCAACGGCTTCACCCTCGAGAACTCGCTGGGCGAGTTCATCCTCACCCACCCCAACATGCAGCTGCCCCCCACCCGCTCCATCTACTCCGTCAACGAGGGTAACAGCATGTACTGGGAGGAGTGGACCAACGCTTACTTCCACTCCCTCAAGTTCCCCGGCGAGGGCAAGAAGCCCTACTCCGCCCGCTACATCGGCAGCATGGTCGCCGACGCCTACCGCACCCTGCTCTACGGCGGCGTCTTCGCCTACCCAGCCGACTCCAAGAGCCCCAAGGGCAAATTGCGCATTCTGTACGAGTGCGCTCCCATGGCTATGATCTTCGAGAATGCCGGCGGTCGCGCCGTCAACTCGAAGATGGACCGTCTCCTCACCGTCGTCCCCGAGCACATCCACGACCGCAGCGGTGTCTTCCTCGGCTCTCGTGATGAGGTCCAGAAGATCGTGGACATGTACAACAAGCACAAGAAATAAAGCCGAGAAAGACATTTACGCAGCCATGGCCGGTGTCCAGTGGGAGTTCTGGTGGGTACTTGATGTTAGTCCATACCAAGCATAACCTGTATTTAAATTATCGGTAGTACAAAAATGTTAAATACCTCTAATCTCATCCATCCTGTCTTCGTACTGTAGTCCGCATCTTCGTGCATCTACAGTAAAAGAATTTTGCAATATATATATTCTGTCTAATAGCAGTCACAGCGACACTGTGAGCTCTAGGATCCAACTGATTCCCTCGGGGAAGTAGAGTACAGACAAATGAATTCAGATAAAGAAAAGAAAAGGAAAGACTAGCTGCCAATCAGTCCACCGGATCCTCCTCAAGCAAAGTCTTGAAGCTGAACGGCGCGAATGGCACTCCTTCGCCCATGAAATGCTTGCTCATGGCTTCGACCCAGTGCAAACGGAGCGAGTGAAGCATGGCACTGGTACCCTCCATGACACAGAGAATCGCCACAGTCAGCGTGAACCACAGGTAGAACGTGACCACGATCATAATGACACGCATGGTGGGAGACTCCGTCTCAAAAGCACCACCGATGGTCATGCTCCACAGAACGATAGACAGCTGCTGATGGGCCAAGGAAAGAGCCCAAAGACGCAGGTAGGATGCTGTGTGCGAGATACAGTTAAGACAGAACTCAATCGTGTGGATGACTTGGTGGATCATGACTTCAGAGAACTCGAACTCCTCATGCTCCTCCTCCCCAAGGTCCTGGGCGATCATGGCAACCCCTTCACCTTCGCTGGCAATGCTGTCACGGCCGCCAACTCCACCGTCCATATCGCCGTCATCTTCAAGTGCACTGACTCTGGAGTTCTCACCTAGACCGCGATATCCCAGAGCGCGGGCGCGGTTATGCTCCCGGCGGAGGTAGAACGGCTTGAAAAAGAGCATGATCGGGACCTGGACGACGGCAAGGAGCAACAGAATAACCTGAACCTTGGCCTGGCCGGGGTAGAGCTCTTCCTCGACCGTCCCAGGCGAAAGGAACATGAAGATGAGCATGTTCAGAAGTCCAGGAGGTGACTGTCCCCTAGCCTGCCAATCCACAGACCATTTGTAAATAATGGTGAGCACAAGATAACCGAAGATGGACTGGAAGAAGATGATTCCCGGAATGAAGTTGCCAATAATATCGACCTTCGACTTGAAGTGTCTGGCATTGACATACTGGAGACAAAGGGCGTAGCTCATCTGTGAAAGAGTTAGTCTTGACGAAGCAAATCAGGTGGCAAACGAAACCACTTACGTGAGCCCAGCCCAGCACGATACTCATTTTCATCTTCATACTGTTGCTGAACAACAGAGAGTTTTCAGCTTCGTGCCAGTTCCAGTCAAGACCAAATGGGAACCGATAGCCATCTCTCAAAGTCGCTTCGACAGTCTGTCCTTGTTGGATGTCCTCGGGCCATTGCCACTGACTCTTGAAGATAGTGAAAGACTTCGAGAAGATATCGTTGTAGATCAACCCCGTGTACATGGAGAAAAGTCCCATCATAAGCATAATATACCGACCGTAGAAGGCCATGTACGTCAGTTCATCCAACTTGGTCTTTTGCAGTTTCCGCTCCCAGAAGATCATAGCAACAGCACACATGGTCATGATCGCACCATGGCCGAAATCACCGAACATGACAGCGAATAAGAAGGGGAAGGTGACCACCGTGTACAAACCCGGATTGACTTCGGAGTACTTCGGGATACCATAGGCGTTGACGATCGTTTGGAAAGCCTCGGTGAATTTGTTCGTGCGCATATAGGTCGGAGGGGTCTTGTTCGTCCGAATCTGGTTGATAATAGTGGGCACACTCAGGCCAGCACGGTCATTAACATCCTGCAAAGTCGACTTGATCAAAGGCAGGGAGTTTGTAGGGCACCAGGCCTCCGCGATGAGGGTCTTTCTCGCTTGATCGTAGGAGCATTTGTTCAAGGTGTCATACACAGCCTTCTCCTTCTTGACAACGATCATCCACGCCGCAAGAGACCGAGCGATCTGCGTCAACTCCGCATCGAGAGTGTTCTTCGTGTTGCGCAAGACGTTGCCCACATCGCCCAGACGGGTGTTCACTTCGTGGATCTGGTCACGTCTCAACTCGCTGTTTTCATCAACACTGTACAGCGAAGCACTGAGAGACTCAGAGATCTTCCTGATCTTTGCGATGATGTTCTTTCCGTGCGCGAAGATCACAAACACATTCTTATGAGTCTCCTCGTTGTTGGTGGGGTCGATGATGGGCTCCGGAATCTCCGACTGGTTCATGTACAAATTACCACGCAGCGTTCGCCAGAGAATACGTTCAAAGGCGCCAATACGATCCCGAGGAATCACTCCAGCGACGAATCCGATGTTCATCTCCAAGAAAGACTGTTGGCCTTGAGCGTCGCCGTTCTGGCCGCGGTGGGTCTGCTGCTCAACATCGCGGAGAAGGGGCGCCTCGTCATTATCGAAGGATTGGCGAATTTCCTCGGTATGGGTATGCGCACGGTCGAAGAAGCCACCCGCTTCCCGCAACACCCAACGCCATTCCGTGAGCTCCACCTCACGCTTCTTCAACGTCTCGTAGCTGTCGTTCAAGGATGCAATCCTCTGCTCGAGACTCTCGCTCCGTTCGGCAAGCTCGTCAATCTCCGAGGTGAGGGGGGCGGCAAGGTTATCAGAGAACTCGGATGAGGACCTCATGGGGATGCCGGCCTTGTCCATCTGGGCGTGGAAGTAGCCTAGCGGCAGACAAGTTAGTCGGCTACTCTCCCTTTCCATACAAGCACACAGCCTGCTGTGGTGTTTGTTCACATACGAAGTTGTCTCTCCACATTGTCCAGGCGGCGGATTTCCTTGGTGAAAGTACGTTGGAACGCATTGGTGTCGGGGTTAAGCTAGCACAAACAACACATGTTAGTTCCGCTCTAAAGGCTCTGGGAAGAGGAGTGCTTACGTCTCTGAACTGAACCTGTCCAAGTTCACCGAGGGCACTGACAACCTCACGTCCTATTTCGTTCGCGATATAGAGCTGGGTCAAGCTCATATCCGACGAACGGAAGAAGGTGTCCTTCGGAGCCATGATGACGCTGGCTCCGAGAAGCTAGTACTTCTGGCCTCGGGACTAGAAGAGGAGCAGAACCCCAAAGGCAGATAAGGCGTATATCGGGGAATAGATAGGTGAGAAGATGCCAAAGACTGGCGTTGTGGTGGAAAGAGAGAGCTCCAGGCTTTCACAACCCCTGGTGATGCAGTGGTGCTCCAGCGATTGATTGCGGGAGGGCCGCGTGGCTGAAGTGGCACGTGATATGGATGACATAATGCACTCACAATGTTAAGTTAATTTTAGTACATAGTTAACGTTATTTTTGACCACCACATCATTAAGGTCAGGATATTAGTTGTCCAATATCTTAGGAGTCTTGGAGAATAAAGCAATATTGAGGGGAAAGTTAGTAAGTACTGCCTTGTTATTCACATATTATGACCATTCGCTTTAGAGTTGCTTATGGCTTGGCATGGCGATATATATAAACGGAGGGATGGATTCCAAGGCAGATATTCCATATCCCATAGCTCCCAGTGTGACAATAAGAGGGCGAATATGTGTACCTGGAATCTTTTACTAGAATCTCCGGACTCGAGAGGATATCTAGGGCTTTAGTAGCCCTGGGGAGCGTTGGGGTGAATCTATAATTCCTCAAAATCGAACGTGAAAGAAGCTCATAATATACTAATCCCCTCTCAGAAGGGAGGTCTTGGATAAGTACTGTGTTATAGTGACTTGTACTAGGCATATGGAAATTAAGATATCGGGCGTAAATCGTTGGGCGTGTTGAGTACTGAGAAAATACAATGAGGACTGGCAATGGGATCTTCATATAGATGTCTACCCTCCTTTCTTTTCAATATGAGGTATCATACTCCTATCCAAGGTGATGAATGGTCTCTCTCTCCGAGGCTGGTTTCTTGTCTTTAAACCTGCGCTATCGAGCAGACCCTGGTGGGTTCTCTCCATTTAGATGGTAATTCGAGTACAACCGTAGCTCCTTCTGCTGCAGCTCCTCGCGCACTCTACCCAGCAAGGTATCGTCCTGACAAAGCAAGTGGAAACCAGGCTGACAGGCGAGTGCATCGCTACCACTGCTTTATTGAGGCTCTACAGCGTACTAATACCCCAAGCCCCCATTTGAGCTCATCTGGGACGCGGGGTGTGGAGGTGCGGGGGTGTACAAGCTAAGATATGGAGTCACCTATATACTCCGGCTTATGTAGATACCCAAAATAGGTACTTTGCATTTGGTAACAGCCTTGCCCCGCATCTGCAGTGGATTACCTGTCATCAGAATGCGTGTGATTACATCACTGAGAATTGGATATCTCATCACACTACCCCAACTCCTACGGTGCTAGTAATGAGCGCCCTCGGTGACCTACCACAGGCGGAAGTGTACAACTTCACCCCACCGGCTCTGCACTTGAGGGGTGGTGGGTGGTACGAACTATACTAGTGAATGATAGCGGTGGCTATTTGAATCCGCAGTACCCCGGGGAGACATAGCAAGAACAGGCTTTTCAAGGACATCTTGATCTAGTACTATGGCGAATGTAGCTTCTACGCTTATACTCTTCTCGCTCTTTTGCTGCTGGGTGGGCTGGAAAATCATATACATTGCTCGCGGTGGACACCGCTCCCCATCCCTTCCTCCAGGGCCCCCAACACTGCCATTTATAGGTGAATTTCCTGATTTTGAATCTGTGTCATGCCGTGTTAACGAGTGATTGAAGGCAACCTACACCAGATACCGGCACAGAAAGCATTCCTCAAGTATGCGTATCAGTCGGATCGGCTCTGACCATCCCCCGCTGATCTTGGTGTAGGTTCCAGGAGTGGTCACGGTAGTATGGCCCCATTATCTCGCTGAAAACCGGGCCTGCAAATCTTGTTATCCTGAACAAGGCAAAAGACGTCCGGGAGTGAGTCACTCACCATTGTTCTACACTTGGTATGCCGACTGATGCTGGTTTATAGATTATTCGACAAACGGGGCGCAATTTACTCAAGCCGGCTCCCTAATCACATTGGCAACGAGCTTATCACACGAGATAATGTGCACTTGCTCCTCATGCCCTATGGGCAAGCGTGGCGTAATCAGCGGAAAATATACCAGGCCATTCTCAGCATCACGGCGGTCCGCTCTCTCACACCATTGCAGGAGGCCGAGGCTACATTGACACTGTATCAACTCTCACAAACCCCCGAATTGTACTACGACCATATTCGGCGGTACTCCACTGCTGTGATCCTGTCTTCCGTCTTTGGTATCCGCGGACCCGAATTTGACCACCGCAATATCACGCGTCTCTACCACGCCCAGGACCAATTCACCGGTATTCTGGAGACAGGGGCAACGCCCCCGGTTGACATTTTCCCCTTTCTCAAACGTCTACCGGACTTCATGTCTCCCTGGCGTCGCTGGGCCCGTCAAATTCGGGCGGAACAGCGACAGCTTTACTTTGAGCTGTTGCAGGAGGTCAAGAGTCAGCGAGCACGAGGAATATATCGCAACTGTTTTATGAGCCAGTTGCTTGACGAGAAATTTGCCGAGAAGTACGAGTTGGACGAAGAGCACATTGCCTACATTGGTGGTGTCCTGATGGAAGGTGGTTCTGACACTACCGCATCTACGCTGCTGTCGTTTTTACTGGCCATGACTAAATATCCCAAGGTATTCCAGAAGGCCCAGGAAGAGGTTGACCGTGTATGCGGGATGAGTTCATCTCCTACATTTGACCTCATCGCCAAATTACCTTATGTGAAACATTGCGTTTCCGAAGTAGGCATTCGTTCATCTTTTCGTGAGTGGCCTTCCACTAACATGCGTTCCTGCAGGTCTTGCGCTGGAGACCGGTTGCTGCCGGCGGATTACCCCATGTGCTAATCCAAAGTATTATTTCCGAGCTTCCTTGAGCACATACAAGAACAGACGGACAACTACTAACTACCTAATTATGAACAGATGATGAATACAAAGGGTTCAATTTCCCTACGGGTACCACATTTCTAGCAAATACATGGTATGCAACTAGAACTTTTTCTGTCCCTCGCACCACAGCAGGTTGACCAGCGCAACCTAGGGCGATCCACCATGATCCAGAGCTCTACGACCGTCCAGATGATTTTATTCCCGAGCGCTATGAGCACCACCCTCTCGGTTTCAAAACCGACATCAAGAAAACAACGGATGGCATCAGGAAGACATACGGCTTTGGTGCAGGTAGGCGGATCTGTCCGGGCTCCCATCTTGCGGAAAACTCCCTGGTAGGTAACCGGTATCCCCCGCACTTTATTTACAGACTTCAAGAGAATTGAACGGTAACATATTTCAGGATATCAACATTGCGAAAATCATCTGGGCATTTAATATTCGGGCCGGAACGGATCCTACCACCGGACGCCATTTGCAAGACGAGGAGGTTAATGTTGATGTAGCAACGCAGTGGACAGATGGTTTCCTGATTGCACCCAAGCCGTTCCCGATCGTTATGGAGTTGCGCTCTGAGAAGCACCGTGAGGTTTTTCGTCGGGAGCTTGAAGACGCTCGAAAAGTTTTTCAGAGCTATGAAGATTAGCGTCCTGGATGACATAGGATGTATCTACCTTCATGCTAGGCAGACAAAGAGGCACATAAAACGTTAAGCCGGTATAATGAATATCAGGAACAGCCCAGTACAAGGATTTCCCTCAGATTGTATGGAGAGGCCCCCTAATTACAGGACTTCTTAGGTCCTCCTGCGCCTCCAGCTTAAAAAAGAGGGGTTTGTGAATCAATATTCTACCTCCTCCACTCACCAGAGTGGTCGGTCTCAACCTATAGATTCCTTATAAAAGAGGCCGCCTGTTTATTTAGACGCATATATGTGGGGTGCAAATAAGTTGGGATGGCGATGGCGGGGTGCTTAAGGTTAGAGCTAATATGAACCATTGTGGGGTGCCCTGCAGCAAAGCGGGCCCTGCATGCATAATCAGACATGACTCAGCGGAACAAGGACTGCGATTTATCTCCGAGGCCTTTTCAACATTGCGCAGTTCGTCCCACCCACATCCCAAATCCACACCCCGCTTAGCCAGCTTCCGCATCGACGAGGCTGCATCGCATTGAGGGGATCGAGATGCGGAGGCAACGAGGTCGGTGACCATCGGGGCTCTGAATTGGATCGATTGAGGGGCATTATCTCCAATATACGAGGCCTCCTCCGATTGTCATAGGAGTAAGGAGACTGTCAGGCACAATAATGGGCTAGGAACTCCCTGCGTGGTATTATAGGAGGGGCAGGTGTTACAAGCAACACTGTCCTGCAATATAAATCACTTGGCTAAGGCTACAACTGCAGGTGCACCAATCTGGAAACCCCATACCATTTTCCCAGGGTCCACCATATCTCGGGATTCCCGATCTCGAAGTAAAGTACAGCCGGAATACACTCATTTGGTAAGCAACGAAGGTGTGGGGAGAGTCTTCCTACCAAGTATTTAAGACATGGCAGTGCCATGCTTTGGTCTCCCTTGCGAGAAAGTCAGATAAACCAGGCATTTATCATGGCTCTCAAAAAGATGTTATCGGCTCCCGTCACCATTCAGAAATGTCCTATGATCCCACCGTCTAGCCCACCCGCTCGTTCAAGAACGGTTGAACTTCCCGCAGGCCATAAAAGGACTGAGGAATGTCGCGCCTTATCATGCCCAGTCATTCTAGAACAAGATGCCGTGTTGACAGTCCGAGGCGGGACAGAAATCCGTGTCGATATCTATCGTCCCAAGACCGAAAAGAAAGTGCCCGCCATTATCATGTGGGGACCATACGGAAAATCAGGAAATGGTAAGTTACCTGCCTAGGTATATGCCAACCTCTTATTAACAGCATTGACGCAGGAATGCTTAACCTGAAATCCTTTCCCTCGCGCGCAGGAGTTCCTAAAGCCAAACTGTCCGGATACGAATGCTTCGAGGGGTAAGCATCTTCCGAGGCCTTATACCCAGACGTTGCTGACAACGATGTAGTCTGGACCCAGCTGAATGGGTTCCCAGAGGGTATGCAGTTGTTAACATCGACCCCCCTGGCATAAATGATTCGGAAGGCGATTTCTACTGGTGGGGCACACAGGATGGCCGAGACGGTCGTGATGCCATCGAGGAGATCGCCCAATTGCCTTGGTGCACTGGTAGAGTCTCCCTGGCTGGGAACTCATGGCTGGCCATGTCGCAGTGGTTTATCGCTGCTGAGCGACCACCGCATCTCACGTGCATTGCACCACTGGAGGGCGCATCCGACGTGGTCCGGGAGGATCTCTTTCGTGGAGGAATCTGGAGCCTTGGATTTATGTCTACAATTCAAAGCACACTCAGAGGTAGGCTCACCATTGCTAGATAAAAACCGGTCTCTAACAGTGATGCTTTAGGTCGAAACAATCAAGAGGATGTCGTGGCTACATTTGCAAAGAGCGAAACCTCAAATGAGTATTGGGAAGACAAGCGTGCCAGGCTTGACAAGATTGAGGTTCCCACTTATATCCTTGGGAGCTATTCCACTGGGTTACATACCCTTGGTGCAGTCCGAGCCTTTGAGGAAATCAAGCACAATCAGAAATGGTGCGTGCCACTTTGGGGACGTGAAGAAGTGTTAGAATTAGATTCTCACGTGTCTGCAGGCTTACCATCCATGATACCCAAGAATGGTACGACCTGTATTCTGACCAACGAATCCAAGATCTGGATAAGTTTTTCAGCAAGTACCTCAAGGGCGATGATAACGGTTGGGAGCAGACAGCTCCCGTAAGAGTGAACTTCCTTGGATTCAATATCCCATCCACTGGATACAGGCAGTTTCCAGACCTCCCTTGGAAGTTACCTGCTTCCAGAAAGACTCGACTATACCTCACCGCCAGTAACCGACTCTCCTCGACTAAGCCAGACACAGAAACCTCTGTAGTCTATCAAGCAGATGCACCATCTAGGTTGACGGGCGATAATGACCACGAAATCCGGTTCTCCTATCGCTTTTCAGAACGGACGATCCTTACTGGTCCATCTCGGCTTGTCGTGCAGATAACGGCGCCTGACCATAACGACTTGGATGTCTACGCCCTGATACGCAAAGCCGACAAGGACGGGAACCTACTTATGAACAATAACATTCCCCTGCCCGCACTGGGGGTTTCGACTTCATCAGAAGTGCCTCCGATCAAGCCGCTGAGGTATATTGGCCCTCAAGGAATGCTTCGGGCCTCGCGCAGGGACGTGTGCGATGCATTGTCGACTCCGTATTGGAAAACGCTATCCAACGCGAAAGTGGAACCGGTGGCTCCTGGCACGGTGCTCCAGCTAGAGAACTATATCTGGCCCACTGGTATTGTTTTTCAGCCTGGCGAGCAGCTGGTTTTGCAAATATCCGGTCATGACATGACTTTGGCCGAGCTGGTGCCTTTGATTGATTCTTTCCGAAACGAAAATAAGGGCACGCATATCGTGCACCTGGGAGGGCAGTTTGAGAGCTATTTGGATATCCATACGCTTTGATGTCTCGCGTTAACCTGCCTCTTGCCTTGCTTATTTCCATGGCAAATTCATTCCAGGTCTTCAGTTTAGTACAAGTCCTTTTCTGAATCTTCTTTCCTCGTTTACGTCCAGCAAATAGTGGCGTACCTTGCCCGTAGAGAGACTGCACTCCCTAGAGGCAGAACTTCAAAAGTGTGGAATATGGTGACACCGTATCGCCGGAGCAGAGACAGCAACGGTGGGGAAACAATCTTCTCCATACGATCCCCATCCTACTTGCAGTGCCTCAAAAAGGGAGTCTACGGTCGTCCTAGGAAATCAAGTACATATAGGTACAAATACCCCAACTGAATTCATTAATTGCTCGAAAGCATGCTAATGAAGCATCACTCATGCTATGCATGTTGATTTATTGACCCGATGGAGGAAACGCTGGTCGCATATCTTCCCGGATAATCCACTACCTAGCTATACTACAGACAGTTTCCACCATCAATGATAGACCGTAACCACCTGACTTTACAACAGCCGTTTAGCTTCATTATAGCCTATTGCCCTCCATCATTAAGCAAAATAGCTCTTCCAGAGCACCCCAGAAAGGTCTTCCAGCTGATCCGAAGTAAAGGCCTATGGGAGTTGTTAGTTTCTGGCTGTCAAGGCGGAATAGGAGCTTGTATGTTACTCACCTTTGCGTCTATATGCCAAGTGTCTTGTCTTGTCTTCTTGAACTCACTGATGATGGACTTGACGCTTGACCCCACAATACCCGGATCACCTGCGGCACGCACGCTTAGAGTGGTCAGGGCTTCCGGCATCCAGGTTGGCGGGGGGCTGTTGTATGGGAATGCTTGAATGAGTGCGCCAAGGCCTAGGACAGCTCCGTGCCTAGTAATAATGAGTCGCGTGTGCTCAGGTGTTGGTGTGCCAGCTCCAGAGGATGCAGGGGACGAAATCCCAGATCGGAGCATCTTTGGCCGCTTCGGAAGGGGGTTCTCAACAAGTATCTTCGTGAAGCGTTCTTTGAACCGGCTAACCATCTCCTCACGAAGAAATATGGGCGAGCAGCGGACCATGCCGGACAAAGTAGCTGATGCGCCGACCCGCACCTCATGTTGAGGGTCTTCCAGCATACTTGCCACACACTCAAAGAGCTTATCGCGATCCGAAGTAGAAAGCAGAAAGAGACGGCGGAAGTAGATGATCTGAATATTGATCATCACCCGTAGACGCTGGTGCCATGAGGGCGAAGTTTTTCCAATGTGGATGAGAGATTTGATGAATCCGGAATTCTCTTCTGCGGGATAAGGAATGTTCGGGAGATGACGGAAGACATGGTAGGCCAGAGATTGAAGTTCCGGGTCTTCCTTTATATCCATCATGTGTAAAAGTTGACCCGTGAATACATCAGGGAAGAAGGGCACAAGCTGGGTACACTCATGGGATGAAAGTGTAGAATCAAGCCAGAGCAGAACCGTCTTACTACCCGAAGTGTAGGAAGATGGAGTTTGCTGGCCAGGTGTTCGTTCACGCCGCCACGCCTCTATCCGAGTGAAGATGTCGTGAATCATCTTGGTGAACTCCTCCGTGGGTTGGTACGGATAGGTACCGACTGAAGACGCAGACTCCTGCGCCGTAAGAAGGCGTTTCACATCGGCATAAGACTCATGATACCTTGTACGGTATATCGTTGCGATAGTCTGACCCATTGCCTCACGAACACCCTTATAGGGATGGTCCAGATGAGCCAAAAAATCTTCAACGATCGGCTTCTCCAGTTGGAAATGCCAACCTGCGTCTATGATGGCCTGGTGAAGGAGGTTGATTTTGGAGCTCTCCTTGAAGGCGGCATTGGTGGACATATCCAAGCGGAAACTTGCCAGCCAGTCAACCAGTGGCCAGGCTCTTCGCGGATCCCGACATTGGAGGATCATATGAAGGAAAGTTGTCCAATATCCAGAGTTCTCGGGAGTCAAACCATCCGTGAAAATCTTTCGAACGATTGGGAAAGCATACTCCCACACGAGAGTTCGCTTTTCCACGCTTGTATCCGTGACAGAGCTGATCAGCGCCCCAAGGATCTCGGCAGTGGCTCTGTGTTGATGCTTATCACTGCCATCCTCGAAGACAAGCTCGATTTCTTCCTGGATGTCCTTGAACGTCGCGGCGGTGAGCCCATCCCGCAGCATCAGTTCAAAGGTATACAGAAGCATCATCGCGCAGGGCATGCGGAACTTGTCTGCCGACGGGTCGCGTGGCTCTTGCTTCAGGTACATGAAAAATGTCGAAAACCATTTGCGGTCAAATAGTTTACCCATGTGAGTTCGCACCTTCCATTCAACCTCGTCGTATTCAATATCGCGGGCCACGTTGGACTTGTACGCAGGCATACTGTCTGCCCACACCAGCCACCCAGGGAAGTCGTGGTCGACATAGTACTCGGCCTCTGGTTTAGCAAAGTTGGCCATGTACTCTTCAGTCCATCCTTCCTCATATCGCTTGGTGGCCACGTTGATTTTCGAGGGGAAATGTTGCTGGCCCATGATGTAGCTCTTATAGTCATGCTTGCAGATCGCCCGAACGTCCACCATGGTGAACAACGCAATTAGTGCCTGGGAGTACATGCCTCGCAAGCCGGGGTGATCATCAATCGAACCGTGGGTTACGAGGTCGACAAGATTCTCGCTGGCAATGTAATCGAACCTGAGTCCCATGGTAATAACGATGGTAGCTGCCCGGCTGGCAACTTTCCAATGAGATATTTTTGCTAGCTGGACCAATTCTTCCGCAAGCTCGGCTTTCTTTTTCTCAATAACAGCACGCTTCTGGTTGATGTTCTTGCGCTTCTGGATGATCTGCTCCTCGACATTTTCAGTTGGCGCAATTGCCTCTATGATCTTCTGGTCGAGGATGGCCATTCTGTCCATAGCACGACCGAAGTCCATAACTTGATACAGGGCGCCGGAACAGATCCTTTGTACGGATGGTTTATCAACAGCACTTGCGTCTATGAATGTTTTGACTAGCGTCGGGGTATATTTCCAGTGACGTCCAGCCGTTTTTGCGACGCTGCTCAAGAGCAGGGAGAACAGCGCGCCTTTGATTCTCGCATGGTCATTCTCCTTGACACCTTTCTGCAGAGCGCTGAGGAGAGGTGGGATGATTAGGAGTCGAGCACCCCAAACGGCCTTGAGAGCGGACTCGCCCGCGCTCTGAGCATTCCGACGAGTCTCGGTGTAGAGCGAGACGCATGATTCGGCAAGGTCTAGCAGCAAGATCTCGTCCAAGCGCGATCTACGTCGGGGGGCTGCGTTGTGCCTCAGGCGTTGCAAATGATAGACGTTTGCCCTTCGAATAAGCAGCGGACGGGGGTAGTCCTTGCGTACACCGCTCATCTTGTAGGGATGAATGTCTGCAGCAAGTAGCCGCGTGACTCTGTCCAGCACATGAGCAGATCTCTCGATACCCACGTCAACGAACCACGACCTGTATGCCGAGTACAGGGAGTTGAAGCAAGGAACGTCATCCTCTTGTTTGTCAGAGAGGAATCTATGCACTTCATGAAGGACCCATCCAGCCTTCTCACGAATGTCATGAATGGTGGTGTACATAGGATCAGATTCCTTCAGTGGGTAGCCGGTCGGGTAGGAAAAGGTCTCACGAATGGTTGCCTCATCAGAGCTATCGAGAGAAGAATCAGGATCGTCATTCTCGGCATCATCAATTGATGGGTCGGAGGCGCCGGTCATATGGACGTCAGACGAGCCATTGATGCCGTTCATCTTTGTTTTTGAGGCGGCCTTCGGATCGAAAAGTACAGAGACACCAGCAAGTATCAGTCGCAGAAGAACAAGATTCCTGATAACTTCATCAGACCAATCCTTGCCACTTCCATCCCTCTTCACACTGGAAGCCTCGTTGGTTAGAGCTGTGAGTTGATTCAACGCGGTTTCTGCTTGACTCTGGAAGAGGTCGACCGCAAACTGGAGCTCTTCATGTTTTGGAACATGCCACTTGACAGTGAGATTTTTCGGGTCCTGTCGATAACTCCAGAGTGCCGGCTGCATGCCTTGAGCGGCAACGTCGGGCTCATACAAGGAGTAATCGGCGGTATATGTTCCCGTGAGGTTCAAGAGCAAGTGATGGACAAAATTGGAGATATGCACAGTCGGGATACCCCTGCATTTCTGCTGCATATACACAGCGATGTCAAAGAGTTCTTTTCTGTGGGCCAGCACAGCGTCCCCTACATGGACAACGCACATGCTCAGCATACTAACATTCCAGACTAGGCCGCGATCACGAGGGAGAACGTCTGTTCCAGTGGTCCTGGTGGAGCCGGCGCCATTGTCATCAATTTCCGTGCGAATCGCCTGGGTCAAAACAGGAATGAAGCGTTTCAAAGCTTTTTCGGGGTTGACCTTGCACACAGAGTTGCAAATGAAGGCCATTGCATCGCGTGCTTGATGGATAACATGGTTCGACACAAAATCAACCACCTTCGACAAGGCAATGTCATAATACTCTGGAGAGAGGCAGGATAAAAGCGGCATAAACGTTGCAGGAAGGGTGTTCACAATATTCTCTTCAGGTGACCCATTTCGCACTCGGCTCACATCCGGCAAATTCTCCAGGAGTGTAAAAACACGCCCAAGGAAGGACACGATGAAGTCACCAAAGTCGCATGTTGAAGAGCGAAGGATCATTTCCTCGGTTTCATCGTCCAGTTCAGTATCGTAATTCAACTGGACTTCAACACCTTGCTCTTCCATTCGCTCCATTTCACCTGTAATCCATTGCATGGCTAGCATATTACAGTTGACATCTTCTCTTCCCGTTGCCAGGTCAGCCATCGGTATGTTGTAGCATGCCGACTGGATGAACGTCAAGGCATGAAGAGTTTTCTCCAGATCGTTGGCGTCAATGCCAGGCAGCGTTAGCCCCAGCAAGGTCGTCATATGGCACCGGTATCCTTTGGTCCGCGAGATAATCCGCGAAAGAACTTGAAGGGCTCGGAGCGATGACGTTGTGCGGTGGACTTCAACAAGACCCTGAAGAGACGGGTAGATTCGCTGCAGAGCACCGGGAAGGATGAGGTGTGGCTCCAAAAAGGCCAGGCCTTGCAATGTGGATAAAGAGAAGCTCATGGCGGTACCGCTTTTGGCGTAGATGCCCATGAAGACGACATCACGCAGGCAGAGGACAAAGCGCCGTTTCAACGGCTCTGTGAGACGCCTCTCTGGCGGAACATCCATCTCCCCGCTTTGCTCTCGGTTCCAGCGCATTACAAAAAAGTCGGTCAGATAGTAGACCAGTTGAGACAGAGTCTTTGTCCAGCTTCCAGAGTTCGAGGGATGGAAAAAGGTCTCCACGGCCTGTATGAGACCCTCCAGGCGCGTCAAGATAGATTCTTGCGCATCCACACACGCAGGTGAGAGCGACATGACGATCCACCGGGCAATGTGATGTGCAACTGGATGTTTTCTGGAGTCGCGATCCAGCATGATGCCCAAGCCAGACGAGATATCAACAAGGGCACTGTACGGGGAAGTAGACTGTCCGACGGGGATCTCCAGCAGTCGCAGGATAGCGGTAAAGATAAGTGCGGACTGTTCCTTGCTGAAGATACCATTTTCAGAGAAAGGTATATGGCTAGCAGGGAGCGAATCCCGAGCTAGCCGAGATAGAAAATCGAGGAAGGTTATATCAAAGGTCTTCGAGCGATTGACTAGGGACCAAAGATGGAAGTATGTCGGCAAATAATGATGTGGAAGCAGATCCTCCCTGGATTCCGGCGGAGGAGACGTAGGGAGCATTAGGTTGATCAACCCGACGACGACGAACGCGCCTTCAGAAAAGGAGGTTGTGTAGTGAGGGAGGAATTCCTCCAGCATTGCTGGCATCTCGCACGGATCGACATATAGTTGAACGAATGCACAGAGCTTCGTCAGGGTCTTGACATTCCGCTTGAGATTGGTGGAGTGGACAAGACCGGATTCGGTGGGCAGGACAAAAGCTTTCAGTTCTCTGTACAGAGGCCTCCAATCCAGCACTAGGTCTTTGACCGGTCGCAGGTAATGCTTGCGTCTGAAACCGCCGTTAGCAAGAGGGTACACTAGCCATCCAACAGCTGAGGGTCTGCCTACTTTGTGAGGAGCATGAACATGCTGGCGAATCGCTCGGAGACATTGGGGTCAATTCCCGGTGCGAGTGACAGCTCATAGTATAGCTTCACAAGATTGATGCGCTCTGTACGAGTAGGATCAAACTTGAGAGAGAGCCATCCTCGGAGCTCTCGCGTCCAGTGCACCGCACCAGGGCTGAAGTCTCCCGATTCTACCGCAACGTAGAGATGCTTCAGGATCTCTCGCAGGCTCCTCTCTCTCTCGGCCTCATCCTCGGGCGTGTATGGTAGGTATTTGAAATATGGGTAAGTGCGAGGGCGCACCCGTGCCTTGGGCTCACTGACCCCATTCATTTCTGCGGGCTCGCCACCTGGAGAGGTTGCCCGTGATATTTCATGTACATTGTGGGTTAGGATAGCCTTTGGGCCTGTGTGGTCCATAGTCGCGCGGTCCGTCTGTCGGTTACTGCTTGGCGGGAGTCGTGGGAAGCGTGAGGCTGGGTAGAGCTCTGGAAGAAGACCGTGTCAGCTGTATTTCTCTTGGAGGCATCTTCACGCGTTTTTAAAGAAAGGATGGGCAAGAGATGATGGCCCAAGGGTCCACATTGTCACAAGCAAGAAAATTTCTTTGAGATGATGGGCAAGTACAACTTACTGTCAGCCCCGTTTGCATGGGTGATGAATTAGGTCTTTGTGAGCAACGCGGGCGACAAAGCAATGACAACAAGGTTAAGTCACTGAAAGGAGGGAAGCATTAGAAAATATATCCTTCCAGAGCAAGTATAGTACCCTGATAAAGCTGCTTTCGTGTATAAAATTGCAGCTTTGATGTTGAGAGTTAATTGAAGCTCATGCGTAGCCGTCCGAAGCGGTTGGAGGTCGTATCGCGGTTTGTCAGATCGATGATGACATAATGCTACCTACGTAACCGCATGGCGGCCTGGAGTCTGGAGTGGTGCGGGACAGCATACCCATTCCAATGGTCATACATTTATTTTATCATTAGACTGGCGAGTACCTATTCATGAGCTGAGTATGTCTACATGAATGAAATATGCAATACAAACATTTGCGTGCTTCTCCCTTTGACCGAGTTCATTATGCCGGAGGGAGAAAAGAACCAAAGAGGATTGCTTGGAAGAGAGCATATACAACCATGGCCTGTACCGCAAAGCCCCGGTCGGATTTGTTCTCCCCACGTGACTGGCGGCGATGACCGACAATTCGACATACCAAATACCAGTACCACAAGGGATACCCAGAGCAGATTCGGTTGATGATCTGGACATGGTAGCTGGTAACGGCTAGTACTGCTAGCAAACCTTGCGGAACGGCCAGTCGCGTAAGCAATGAAGCTGACACGGTCGATGACGTGGGCTGGTTAGCCTTGGATGGATCCAACCCAGCTTCTTTGATTGCCCATATGGAAGAACGACAAAGGGTGAGTAGCATGGGGATCGCGAGTAGAAAGAGGGGCAGGTTGGATACCGTCCAATATCGAAGAAAACCCACATTCCTACATGTCGACGTTTAGCGAAGCTCAACGCGGGAGTCGTTCCTTTACTGACCAATAATGGCTCTGAACCCAACCGTAGATACTAGGAATCAAGTTCCCGCACCAGGGCCGAGGGGTGGGTAGATCCAGGCAGAAGTCTGCGTACGCGATAGCCTGCGGCATGATCATCCCAAGAGCTAACACACAGCCTCCGATTATGGTCACGCTGAGGCGAATACAGGTATCCTTCGATGGACCTTGGAGGAGAATCCTTTGGAAGAGTAAAACAGCGTCACATGCGAAGGCAAATCCACTGAGGATCCCATTGCTTCGAATCGTGGTGGCAATTGAAAAGAGAACGGAAGCTATGAGCAGTTTTGCGGCACTGGTTACTTTCCGTCCCGCACTATCATCGAGCAACGAGGAGGAATAAACATAGAACCCGGTTATGTTAAGAAACGAGAAAAGAGATTCGCCATAGGGGGCAGATAGGAATGCCCCTGCCGGGCAGATGATATGTAAAGCCGCAGAAAGAAAGCAAATCAATCTCTGGGTTGCGGTCTTCTGGCCAAAGATGTTGACCGACAATCTGTAGAGAGCCAAGACAGACAGGAAATGGGCGACATGAGAGAGAGCCACAGCGACAATAGAGACCCTAGTTACCCCGGTGAGGCCACTGGGTGAGAGAACTGCAATCCATATTAGCAATTGAGCAGACCTAGGGCATCGAGCAAAGTAAATAAGGGAGTACCTGAGTAGAGAAAAGAGAGGATCCTAGAATAACCATAACCAAAGGCCCATTCTTGCTCAAAAACGTAGCCATTTTCTGCAGTGTGGACGAAGTAGATAGCGTCCCACCTCACGAATTTTAGCAGGGCTGAAAGTGATGTGTGGGAGTCGGACTGGTGAGAGCTGATAACAGGGGCTCCAGCCACTTGGTAAAGGAGACCTGTGGAGGTATCGTAACCGGGACCGGGACAGCAAACAACAATCCCCAGTAAAAGAGCTTTCCAGACCCCAAACGCAATAGATAGGCTTCTGATGGGATGATGAGGGTCCAAAAATAATTGGGGAAGAGTCGAACGTGCTGTTTGGGAGCTCATGGCTGTGGCGAAAGCCGGAGCCTCGCGATGATTAAGGAATCGTGCTAAAGTCACAAGTACCTCCGTAATTAAGAGCATACTCCGATAGAGTTTAGGTGGACTCCCCTTGGGAGCGTTTACTCCGTACCTCGGATGGTCGACAAGCGTGGAACTGTTGGTATGGTCGACAACGACGACGACAAGAACAGACCGAGACAACAGCTGCCACGCGGCGGGGACTAAGCTCCACAATCGGACTCATCGGCATGTATAAGGACCCCTTATTCAGCATAACGTCGTGCATAACCCGGTACAATGGTTCCGTACTTGAGTAGTACTCCGTAGTGCCTAGGTACTTTGATTCCAGAATAGTCAGATTTACTATTCACTATTCACTTTGATTCGGCGTTCGCTTATAACATCGCCGACCACCTGACTGTGCAACATTCCTTGCCCGGTGCATCCCCTTGCTATTATCGCACGGAGTATATAAAGAAGCTTTCAAGCAGAACGCCGACAGAGTTTATGCTGGTCGCCGAACGTGGCAGAGGAGAGGATCGACCTGCCTTCCGAGCTTTCCATCCATGTTGGATACTAAGTACTATACGGTACTTCCGAGTACTCCGTATCCGTATGCCTCGCCCTGCAGAATCACATCCTAGTCCGATCCTTCATTTAAGCAAGGCTGATTAACTATACAGTCATATCATAAATTAAGGTTCCTTATGTGAGCCTCGGCTGAATCCAGTCACAAAGGGTCAAAAAAGATAAAAGCAGCTGACTGCTCCACTCCTGCTTATGATGGTGGTGATAAATATGACTGTAAAACCATGGATCCATAATTCAGCCCTACCTTGTACCTTCATCAGCGATGGATGGATCCCGGTACACCCGTTGGTTCCAGCTTTGGAAATCCACCTGACACCATGACATAAAGCCAAGAAGATCAGGGGAGAAAATTTTTTCCATTTCTGGTAGTAGACATGTACCGGGGGAAGGAATGATCAGCATCTTGACAATGACGATCTACTAGCATTACTATTAGTTATGTGAGAGGACTTACGGCCCGAACCCGAGGACTATGTCGACATCTATTCCGTCTTCCGATGGATAATACAAAATCATCCGATGAAATGTCCAGGTAATCAACACATGTCGGTGAAGACCTCTCCAAGCTCGGAGACACTGACGTCGTGTGTTTTAGGTAAAATTTGTCATTGCATATGTAAGTACTCCGTAGTTATCGATGGAAGGGCTGAAGAAGAAACGAGAGCCGAGGTGTGGCGTGGCAGTGTCATGACATGGTCATAATTCCATCGTCGTTGGCGTATGAGGCAGCGGTGGAGATATTCAAGAAACGCCTTGTCGACTTGGCCTTGGGACAGCGACCAACCAGCTACATGGTATCTCGCCATTACTCCGTACAGTGATTTCTAGACTAGTCCGGGTGATTAATATTTACATCGCGAAAAGATAACTCTGGGCGGTCATTTGATGAATATTTGATTAGTGATGGACCCCCGAGATGAATACGAAAAATTTTGCCATCAGGTGCAGACCATGCACCCCACTGTGATCTTTGGTCTGGTTTTCCCTTCTCTAGCTCTAGACTCTTTTATTCTTTAACTAGGTACGTAACTAGATACCTCACTGCCAAGAGAACTGGTCCTAGCTGAGACTTGGACCGGATGTCTATGTTTAGCACCTGGTAGGCTGAGTGCAGGAGCCAAAGGATCACTGCTGAGTGGCGATGACCAAAGAGCTCAACAACCCATTCTGGAGCAGGATTTTGGATCTGGTAACTCTCGTAATCGTATAATCGTATGCAGAGTAAGCGGATGAGTATGTCGTTGCCTATCGTCCCGTCGTTTCGTTACTGGGTCTTGACGGAAGTTTTCCTCTGCCCTATCGGTGGGAGAGTCCCATGGAACCGCCCGGACAGTCGGGACTCCGGGTGACCGAAGGGAACTCCATGGTATAGGGAAGGTAAGGAACGGGCGGAAACCCCGGTCAGCCCGCCATAGTCCCCGAAGATACCGGTAAGAAACGGTCACGGATACCAGGCTCGGAGGTTGAATGTCGCCGAGGATCGCCCGCTAAACCGCATTGAGGTACGGACGCGAGAGACCCGAGAACCATGGGTGGCCGCATCGATGGCCCCGGTGCCTGGGCAGATCTCATAGTTAAAGGTAGAAATATCACAGACTAGCATCGGAGCTATCGCTCTGCATGCAAATGATCACGATGATGAAGAACAGGTAAACCGGTCCCTTTTTGCTTCTTTGCGCCTCTCCCTTGAATATTCGAATATTCAATTGCAGCGTCAAGTGTAACCCGGCGAATTGCGGACAGCGTGGATTTGATTATTCGATTCTTGACCGCCATCTTGATACAATTACTATCCGCACCGTTCCATTTTCGTGTCGTGGTCCATACCGTCGACGTTTTCTCACATTCCACCCTGGCCTGCTTGGCCCGCATATAGGAACGAACTCCTCATCGCCATCTCCCTGTTCTTCAACTTCTCTTTTCTTTGTCTTTGTCTTGTTCCCTGTCACCCTCCTTCTCCGCCCCTTACGTCGCTTTCCTATTGTCTGTTCCACTTCCTACTATCACATTGTGTCACTCTGGTGACTCCTTCGGTCCACCAACCACCCTATTGTACTCTCCAACTGACGGCTTTCCCTCATTTCTTCTCGTCTGTCCTCAATCCAACCGGTTGAGTAACAACCAGTTCACTTTTTGTTTGCTGTGCGGGTCACATGCGAAGATTCTATCGACATCTCTTTACTGCCTGGGACTTCTCTCGCCCTTCTGTCCTCGATTCATCGGATATTTTCGCCCATCCATTGCATACGTGGAGGACATCAGTTAAGATTGAGCGATCCTGTCACTCTCCCCACATTTCTGTTTCACCCGCCCTACACCCTGGTTCCGTCGCTGTCAATGTCGCTGGAGTTGATGCTCTCTCACCCACGCTCTCGCATCTCATAGTCAAAGAATGCTGTTTAACCTGGGCTTGACAGCAGACGCAGCAGCGGCGCACCAGGGCGACAGCGTTGGTGGTCTTCCGCCTGAATCGCAACTCTCTCCTCCCTCACGTCATTCCACGCCGCCCGTCTTGTCCTTCGCCAGTCTCGCCAGTTTTTACAACCGTCATAAGGGAGTCGAAGGCGACATACGTCATAAAGAACCCCAGCCTGCCATGTCGATCAATCCGGGGGAATCGGGCGACTCAAGTGATGGAGAACATTCAGTAGCTGGTCCTGTTTTAGCTCGGCCCCCGATCGCCCGCGCTCCATCAGTGAGGAAACAATCGTCACGCCCCAAAACCTGCTACCAGTTAGCGCACCCGGCCGGCCACGCACGTCATAAACGACTAAAACTTCGCCCCAAACTACTCCTCCAGCTTCAACGTGTCTCCCAGACGCCCCGCGCCCTGCCCGTCCTAGACGTCCTCCCCTCGACCGTGTTTCTACCCCGACTTGCCCGCAAATTCCCTACGATCTTCCGTGGGAAGAAGGGACTCGGCCCCAATGACTTGATTATTGTCACCAGCGATCTATATGAGCGGAACGGCGGGGACATCGCACACCATTTCCTCCACTCCGACGAGGATCACGGGGAGCATCGCGAGGTCGTTGCAACGATATGTCAGCTGCTGAAGGAGGATGCCCTTGCGAAGGGAAAGGCCGAAATCTGTCTCAACCATGGCCCCGTGTGGGAAGCCACGCCCCTGCCCAACGGATCGTACGAGTTCGTCGCCAACACCCAGCAAGGTCCCCAGGTTCTGCGCTGGGTCCAACGGGGCGCAAAGAATCGACGCGTCTCCGCGCCGCCCGGCTCTCCTGTGCAGGAGGATACCAAGCGGTTCACATTCAGCGTCATCAACCCGAACACTCGTCGTCACCCTGTCATCGCTACTATGACCCGTAACTACCTGGAAGTATTCGACGAGTACTCCATGCCAACGACCCCTACTTCCATCCCGCCCACATCATCCGCCGTGTCAGTGATTAGCGATGGGTCTGAGATGGAGGCCCCGTCCGCCAACCGAAAGACGCATACAACAGATGATAACCTGCGCACTTTGATCATTATCACAAGTATATGGGTAGCATTCAGGGAAGGGTGGTCTTACAATTTCCGCTACGACGACCACGCCCTTGCGATCAACTCCAAAGCATTATGCGCCCCAATCGGATCGCGCCACCTTTCCCCGGCCACGCCCAGACTCGAGAATGACCTTGATCCCGTGGGAGAAGAAAGCCAGCCAACGAGGCGACCGCTGGGTGTTTCGAATACCATGCCTTGGAATGGCACGATGCCGGATCGAGTGCATGCATACGGTAGTCTAACTAAACGGTCGAACTCAACGGGAGCTGCGTTTATAGAACGATCGAATCGACGTTCCTCGGGGACCGGGAGTCGACCCAACCGGCATAGTATGCTTCCCCTCGCGCCGGAGCGCAGGGCATCTCCTGTGTCAACTGTCGGAACCCGGGATTTCGGAACTTCGCCGCAAAATGGCGCTCGACGAGGGACGCACGACACAAACATCGCCAGAAGCCATTCGGTCTCAGTTCAAGCAGCAGATAAGTCTCTCGGCAACAATCACGACCCATCGCGGCAGCTGCATGAGCACCCCGAAAAGACGGGCAAAATGTCCGGCCGAAATATAGAGTCGGAACCCGTCAAAACCAAACGTCGGCACAGGTTTAGTGGCTGGTTCGATTTCATGACTAAACGAAGGGAGTCATTGAAGCCTGGAGCTTGACCCTGCGACGAGTACCCTCACCTTGTTATTTTTGTTAGACTTGGGCTCAGAAGGGCTTGTTTTCTGCCACTTCCTCTATTGAGGCCGGATTTGCATATTCCATACGGACTTTCATCACTGGTTGACTTGAACATTGCATGGTGGTGTTGATTACCCCTGGCTTATCTCTCTCAACTCATTTATTTCCTTTTCCTACTGAGTTCAGCTCTGAGGCATCTGTACAATGTGTTCGAATGCAGCGTAGATATTGGCTGGTTAGTATCATTAGACCAGGATGTATGTTAGAAGCATTCTACTGTATAATTCTGGGCCCACAATCCATTCAAACCATGTCATGAAACTAACAAATATATATTTACCACCTCTATGTGCGTAATCATGGATCCTTACCGCTCCAGGGGAGACACAGCCTTAGGGATATAAGGCTCCTCGAGGTACTTGATTTCTTCCTCCGTGAGCTTCACCTTAATCGCCGCGACCGCCTCGTCGATGCGCTCCTTGTTGCTCAGACCCAGGATGGGGTTCTCCATGGGGTGGCTGAGCGACCAGGCAATGGCCACCTGGGCCATGGTGATGCCCTTCTTTTTGGCGATCTCCTCGACGCGGTCGACGATGGCCTTGTCCGCTTCGGTCTCGCGGCTGCGCACGAGCACCTTCAGCGCGCCGTCGGTGGCCTCGCGGGTCGTCGAGCGCGAGCCCCACGGCCGCGCCAGCACGCCACGAGCCATGGGCGACCAGGGGATCAGACCGATGCCGGCATCGAGACAGTAGGGGATCATCTCGCGCTCTTCCTCGCGGCCCAGCAGACTGTGGTAGTTCTGCATGGAGATGAACTGGTGCCAGCCGTTGCGGGCGGCGATGTTCTGGAGGGACTGGAACTCCCAGGCGGCCATCTAGTACGTGTCAGTCAACTACGACGGGATAAAGGCCTAGGGGGAGGACGTACGGAGCTCGCGCCGATGTAGCGGACCTTGCCGCTCTCGACGACATCGTTGAGGGCCTTCATGATCTCCTCGCGGGGCGTCTCGCGGTCCAGCCGGTGGATCTGCAGCACGTCGATGTAGGTGCCGAGACGCTGGACGCTCGCGTCCACGGCGTCAAAGATGTGCTTGCGCGAGAGGCCGACGCGGTTGACGAAGTAGCCGTCGTTGCGGGCCGACGCCGCAATCGGCGGCAGACCGCCCTCGTCGTCGACGCCGTAGAAGCACTTGGTCATGATGACCACGCGGTGACGCGGGATGTTGTACTTCTTCAGGGCCTTGCCGATGATCTCCTCGGACTTGCCGTGCGAGTAGACGTCAGCCTGGGTGGGGGTTGTTTGGTTAGCGTGCGGTTGGCTGTTGGGGAGGTGCCGGGCGTACCGTATCCCAGGTGTTGATGCCGACGTTGTAGGCATGCTCCAGCAGCGGGAGAGCCTTGCCCTCGTCCAGAACCCAGTCCTGCCACTTGCTGGTACCGTAGGACATGGCACCCAGGATGATCTTAGAGATCTTCAGGCCGGACTTGCCGAGACTGGGTGGTCATTGTGTCAACGGATGTGAGGTCAGGATGAGGGAGGGGATGCATACTTGTTAAACTCCATTTGGTTACCGGTAGCCATGATGATGGTATATGATGCGCGTCTGTTGTCAACGGGTCAGCGAAGGTCTCGATTTATTTGAACACCTGAAGCTAGCTCTATGCGGAGTGGGCCAGTGTCGGTGACTCAACAACGCTGCTACAGGCACTGCGTGTATTCAGGGAACTTACCGAAATAAACCTGACAAAAACGACAAGGAAGAACACACGTCTGATCTCAAGGCGATTGAAAGTCACAGAAATCAGCAAGACGCCACATCTTGATTGATGTACTGGAGTCGTTGCCCCGGGATTATTAAGCTTGGCCGTGGATCTGCCGAACATCTCAAGCGATGGAGAAGCAGAACCGATGAGTAGCCGACCATCGGGCCAGAAAGTCGGATCCCGTCAGTGGTGTCTTCCCTTTGAGACTCCACGAAAGGTAGATCATTCGGGGTTCAACGCTGAGGATTTGGATGAGGGGGGTGTGAGGTGGTGATGACGTTCATGGTGCTGTCTGTCATGATAACTGCACGCTAGAGTAGCTCATTGAGGAGAAAGACAAAAGATTCTGAAGCTGGATTATGATCTATGAGCCATGAAGCACACATATAGACTACAACCTAGATAATTCTGGAATGGCTTAGGGTTGTTGAGATATCAAGCAGTAGAATCGACAGGATAAAAGCATACTGCATAATAAATGCATATTCATAGATGATCACTGCACAAAAGATGATGAATTATGCATGCCGACGGATTTCCGACTCGGCCGGATACTAGCCTCTTCTGGCATAGGGCGGATCCGCCCGGGTCCCTGCCTTCCCTTTTGGGCATCGCCATTGACGGACTGCAGCAGAACGTCTCGTCCTGAATCTCGCTTTTCGTCGTTTGCTTTCTCTTCCTCTTTCTCCTCTTCCTCTCCTCCCCCTCTACCGTCTTTCCCAGTCCAATTCACTCATCTCACGTCTCTCGAACTTCCTCAATACTAACCATCTCCAGCATCCGTCCCAGTTTGCATAATGATGATGATATTGATCATACGTTCGTGGAAAAAGCCCTGAAAAACCACTGCTCTCAATCAGAATCTCTATTGTGCCGCGAATTCATCTACTCTCACATCTGAGAATACAAACTCCTCTCCTATCGCTCCCATCGCCGGCAGGGTATGAACAAAATCTGCTAACAGAAACACATGTCTCGCTGAATCACAACAATAATATCAAATCGTCCCAACCCCTCATCGGTCCTCGCCCTCGTCTCACATCCGCACTCCTTTCTAAACGTCCGTCTTGAAGGACACCAGGCGAGCCTTGATGGACTCTTCCGTTTCATCGGTATTCAGCTCCCGCAGCACACCGGATCCGACATCATAAATGAGAGCGTGCACCTGCAGTCCTCGCTCCTGCATCGCCTCCAGCACCACGCTCTTCTGCTTCAGGATATCCACACCCTCCTGCACATTCAACTCGACCATCTTCAGCATCGCCTCGTCGGGAGAGAGGGTCTGCAGAAGGCCCAGATTACGCTGGCGGATCTGCCGCAGAGGCAGCAACCAGGGGTCCAGGATGCCCAGCTGCTTGTTGCCCATGGCGGCCGCCACACCACCGCAGCTAGTGTGGCCGCACAGAACAACGTGGTTGACCCGCAGATGACGCACGGCATACTCGATCACCGCCCCCGAACTCAAGTCACCAGCATGCAGGATGTTGGCGATGTTACGGTGCACGAAGACATCACCGGGGTTCAGCCCGAGAAGGCTGGTCTCAGGGCAGCGGGAGTCAGAGCAGCCAATCCAGAGGATCTCAGGGGACTGGCCAACCGCCAGTCGGGGAAACAGGTCGGGCTGCTCCTTGGAAACTTTGTCGGCCCACTCCTTGTTCTTCTGTAGGGCAAGGTTGAATCGGTCTGAGCAGCAATTAGCACCATCCGACGAGTGACTGTGTTGGTGTAATAACGATGGCGCCGAGCTGGTCAGAAAACGATGCTGGGCGGTGCCGATCACAGGTTGCGGTTGAGTGTGTGGGATTCGGCTGGAGGGAAAACGAATACCTTCCCCGCGGCTCAAAGGCCCTCGGACCGTCGAAAGCGATCGCGAAAACGTTTGAGACCGTGGGACCAGCCTTGTGATATTCATGATGCTTCAAGGAAATTTTGATATATGGGAATATGTTGAAGGGAGACCGTGGAAGGCAGGAGGGAGACAGTGGGTGGTGTTGGAAGAGTGAGTCAAAACTGGGCGACACCAAATTGTTGGGGAAAATTTTTCCCGCGGCCAACACCCGTTCCAGGATGCGATCGAACGCACTTGTCCAAGCCAGCGACAATGGACCCTTTTACGAACACGCGCGATGGAGAGTGAACTCAACGACAGGGCAGAAGTGCGGTTGGATGGTGATGATGGGAAAAGGGTCATGGGAGAACAGGAAAGGAAAAAGATGTTGAACTGCCGTGACAGAATGCCAAGAAGGAGCAAAAGGGGGAGAAAACCGTCGTCACGTACCTGAGACTGCCATGATGACTTCGGCCGGATTGGAAAAAAACTCTTCTGAAGCTGGAAATACGGATTGCAAGGGGTTCTCGACAGGAACTGGAGGTGGTGGTGAGCGACGGAGTCAAATGGGTTGGCGGTCTCCTTTTGAGATGGGGAAACCCCTCCGAGGCCGCTGGACCGGTGTACACCGGGAACCGTCGGCAGAACCGCCACCCATTCTCGTGCGCCCAGTTGCCTGATGCTGTTACTGACCGTCTAGCTATTTATCGCGAAACTTCACTACAGTTGTCCTCGCGTTCCTTCTCGTGGGGGTTAACTAACCGTCTGACGCAGGGCAATTCATTAATTATCATCATCTGACCATGATAGGGGTGCAAGGGGTCCAACTCAATACTACCATGCGGTTTCACGACAACTGCATCTTGAAATAGCATCATAATGGGGTGCTCAACTCTACAAGGCCTGCCTATATTAAAACAAGCAAATATGGACATGATTTTCAGACATCTCACCCCTGTTCGTCTAGGTGACCGCTACTCTATATATACACTTTTTGTGCTCTAATCACCCCATGCCGTATAGCAGCTTTTGCAAAAAGAATCGGAAAAATAGACAAGATCAAGCCAAGCATGCATCATAAACTAAATCACATCAACCGTATATCATGCTCATGAGCTACCACCACGGCCACCAACGTTCGCCAAAGCAGCCTTCTGGTCTTCCGAGAGCGTAACTGCTGGCAGCGGGCGACTGTCCGAAGAAGCGGGAGGTGCAGGCAGGAATCCCGTCGACACAAGATACGAAGCGTACAGTCCCACGAGCTCCTCCGTCACTCCTGCACCCGCAGACACGTCCACGCCGGACCAAGCGGCATCGGCACGCAGAGAAGCAGCGGCGTGGACATCGTCCAGTTCGGGAGCCTTGGTATTAGACGGCAGGTCTGCGGTGACGAAGTGGTAAAGGGGCATACTAGACGGAGGAAAGATAGATGTTAGTATGGTATTCTTGTGAAGTTTCGCAAAAGTCAAACTTACAGGGCGTGTTGCGATTCCGGATCGTCATGCTCGCCGTCGTTGACGTACTGTTCCAGCAGCTTCGACCACGGGATGTAGTCAACCTGAGGCACGTTGTAGCCATACAGCTGGAGAGCGCCCAGGAACTGGTTGAAACGGAGACGGGGATGACCGGTAACCTGCGAAACTCCAATCGGCTGACAAGGAGGCTGGAAAGCACCGGCAATGACAACGCGGGCAACGTGGTCAACAGGGACCATGTTGACCGTGTTGTTGATGTTGGGGCGGGCAGAAAGTTGGATACATCCCTTGATCATTCGGATCAGGAAGTCATCCGTGTTCGTGGCTAAAGGCGCCAGAAATTAGCTCATCATGCTATTGTCATGGTGTTAGGGATGGGATAGCTTACTTCCGGTCTTGGAGTCACCCAACACGTAACCAGGACGGACAACAGTTCCCTTCAGACCGCGCTTGCCGGCTTCTCTCACAAGGTATTCGCCGGCCCACTTACTCTGGCCGTAGCCAGTTCCAAGCCCGACAGCACTGCCTTCAAGATCATCATCTTCGCTGATACCAGCTCCGCCAGCCGCGATACTCCGCTCCGATTCCTCGACGTAATGATCATTGTCAAGGACACTGGTAGAACTGACGAAAGAGAACTGCTTGGCTTTGCCAGAGGCACAGAGTTTCAGCGCATCAATGGTACCCAAAACATTCGCGGGCTTCAGGGTAGAGTAGGGGTAGACCCAGTGGACCAGGGCACCATTGTGGATGACGGCATCCACGCGCTCGGTCAAGTCATTCCACACAGCCTCGGAGAGACCGAAACGAGGGTCTCCCAAGTTACCACAGACGCATTGCAGCCGGCTCGTCCAGGACTCCTCCCAGAAGCCGTAAGCGCGGCAAGTGGAACGGATACGCTCGAGAGCCTGCTGCTCGGTCTTGCTGCGGACCAGCGTTACAACCTTCGCAGAGGGAGACTTGCGAGTGAGGAGATCACGAAGGATGTGGGCACCGAGGAACCCAGTGGCACCCGTAAGGAAGATCGTCGGCTCGCCAGACAGCATGGGCTCGGTCCGCTCAGGGAACGACTGGGGAAGAGTCTCCACCAGCTTGCGGGCATCCTTGGAATACTCATCATCCGGCTCAGAAGTGGCCGCGGAGGCTCCTGCGCCAGCTGCGTCGTTATTATCAATAGCAAACGATTCGCCACTCAACAAACGGTCAATCTCGGCAGCGAATGTTCTGAGAGTAGGGCAACGGAAAATAGCACTCATGCTGATGTCGATGCCACGCCACTTGCGTCTCAAATCGAAGAACATTTGCTGAGCCAGAATACTGTGTCCTCCCAGATCGAAGAACGCATCGTCGGGTCCGATCATGCGAGCGGTGATGTTGGGAATGCGCTGAGCCCAGATCTGGGCCACAGCCTGCTCAGTCTCGGAGAGCGACTGCAGAACTGACGACTTGCGGCGAGGGGCGGCGGCACTAAGCTCCGCAGTGTCCGGGAAGGGCAATGCTGGCTTGTCAATCTTGCCGTTCGGATTGAGAGGCATACGCTTGAGCGGGATGAACACAGTCGGCACAGCATAAGCTGGCAGCTTGCTGCGCAGAAGCTCTCGAGCATCCTCGCGAAGGGGTCGGAAACGTCGGAGCATACCGACCATTCCTTCGGCAGAGTCATCGTCCTTGAGACCCCTCTGTTCCAACCACGAGGCCCACTTGGACATATCTGGCACAATATAACTCACCAGAGTGGGTTCCTCGAACTTATCTCTCCGTACGAGAGTAATGTTTTCCCGGACGATAGGGTGACGAGAAAGATGAGTATTGATCTCCCCAAGTTCAATACGGAACCCACGAATCTTGACCTGGTCATCGGCACGTCCTGAGCACTCAACATCACCGGAGGGAGTATATCTGCCCAGGTCTCCGCTGCGGTAAAGGCGATCTCTAGGTCCCACGTAGAACTCTCTCCAAGGCTCCTTCGCCCCTTGAGATTCCGCCTTATCCTTCTCAATCCAAGTTTGAGGATCAACGAACCAGTTGGTCAGGAATTTTTTCTCATTCAGCTCCGGAGAGCCAAGGTAGCCTTCTGCCAGACCGGCAGCACGAACATAGATTTCGCCCACTTCTCCAATTGCACAAAGACGGCTGGGTTCAAAGCGGTTGACGACCAGCATTTGTACATCAACCATTCCCCGACCAGCTGGGATGACATCCTTCATGGTGTCGAGGAAGCCTTCATTGCTCGAGTAGCTGGGGATTTCATAGTAACTGACGGCACGCTGGGTTTCTGTCGTTCCGTACATGTTGACGATGTTGACGTTCGGGGCCAAAGACTGCAAGTTCCGGCAATCTCTCTTGATCAGGATATCACCGACAAAGAAAGCGTGATGAAGAGCCGGGAACTGTGCCGACGCACCACCGACCAGGATTTGACCCATAGCGGGAGTGAGATGAGTGACAGTAGCGCCGTATTCACGCATCCATTCAGCAAGGCGCTCATTCTGGATATCCTCCCGGGCCGGAACCAACAGCTGGGCTCCCAGGAAAAGCGGAGTGAAGATATCTCTTTGGATAGGATCATGAGCAATACCGCTGAGCATTGTAAACCGATCATCCGGGGTGAGCTTGAACGTCTCCGACATCCAAGGGAAATAGTATGCCAAAGAGAAATGACGTCCTTTAACACCCTTGGGTCTGCCCTCGGAGCCAGAGGTGAAAGAGAGAGTGGGGGTGGAATCGGGGCCCACGACTACGCCAACACGTTGAGATTTCAGTGGCACTTGGTTGGCAAGGACATCCTGGCCATTGATCGATCCTCCCAGAAGGGAGCCGTCGTCCTGAAGGGACAGAGCTGGAATCTCTGTGCGAAGCTGCAGGTTCTCGTTGATGAAAGAACGCACCATGTCCGACAGCTCACCAGCGTCCTTGGTGGCCTTCTCAATGTTGATGAGTGCACGAGGGCGGGCGACATCGAGGTAAATACACTGGCGCTCGGGGGGATAGGCAGGGTCAATGACGGAGAAAGTTGCGCCAGCCTTCAGAATACCCATGACGGCCACCACAAGGTCAACACCACGATAGGCGTAAACCATGACGACCTCACCTCTCTGAACACCGGACTGAACCAGATGATGGCCCAGAATATTAGAGGCTTCATTAATCTGCTTGTACGTGAATTGGCGGTGAGGAGCTTGTTCAGACTTCGTTTCCACCACGCACAGCTTGTCCGGATGCTTCTCTGCATTATCAGCGAAGATATCATGGATGGCCCCCCGGAACTTGGACCATTTCAGATCAGATGTCGGGTCCGGTAGAAGAGCCCGCTGCTCTTCCGTCATGAAGTCGATCCGTCCGATTGCTTGCTCCGGGTCGTTGGTGGCATTTTGAACAATCTGAGCCAGCTGCTTCAAAATTGTGGAAATCCTTGCACTCGAAAACAATCTTTGGTTGTAGTAAGCTCCCAACTCCGCCTGTTCCGTGGCACCCGTTGCGGGAGAGATATTGACCACCAGGTCTGTAGTCTCGAAGGTGTTGGCGGGGTATTCCTGGGAAACGGCGGGGGCATCGTAGGCAGCGAAGCGGAAAAGGATCGGGGAGCGTTCTGACTGGGACTTTTCCTGGATGAAAGTCCGCAGACTACCCAAAGGGACGATGTCAGAAGAGCCCTGGTTGAACGCCTAGATTGGATCGAGTTAGGGACGATTGCGGGCAGACTAGAATTTAGTGCAACACGTACATCCTGAACCTTGGTATAAAGCTGACGGAACGTCTCGGAGGCGTCAATTGGGACTCTTAAAACGAATGGACGGCCGTCATCGCCGTTGCTGGTACCAATGGCAATATCCTCGTCACCGGTGAGACGAGCGACAAGAACAACATAAGCGGCCAAGAAGACGGTGAAGCCGGACGCATCTCCGGACAGTTTTTTCAGACCTGACTGCGCACCGGGAGGGAGTTTGATAGATTCAAAGGCCTCAATTGCCCTCTTGGGAAGCTCCTGCTGCTGATTATCGGGATAGTCACGAGTCAGAGGAGAAACGGTGAGGTTTTGCAGTCGTTGCGCCCATCGTTCCAGGCGCTCCTGCAGAGAGGCGGCCTCAACACCCATGATTGCAGAGAACGAAGCGCCTGACAGCGTCGAATCTGCAATTGGTATTGGGGAGGAAGTTTTTGGGGAAGAATAGCTTGATATGAGTCAAGACGGGGAGGGGCAGAAGAAAGTGCCGATTTCGCAGCAGAAACGAAACCCCACAATTCTTCGGAGGGGCTCACCGCCTTCTGCCACCGTCCGTTATGCAGATTACATAACTATGCAGTTGCATGCACGGACGCTAGTCCCCAAGCGTCGTTCCTGACGGGGGAGCTGACCATGAGCCTCCTATATTACGATCCTTTGATGTGGATGGATACGACCTTCTTTTTTTAGCCTCCACGCATCCCGTCGCCAGGTCGTCATTCATCCATTTTGTCTGGAAATGGAAGATTGATCGTGATCGCCTTACCGCGAGTCCCTCTCCGGAGTCTGTCGTGCCGTCAAATGTGAACCTTCCTCTCATCCTGTCTTATCAACATCAATTCATCTTCCCTAACCCGCCACACTTTCCATCGAGGTGGGTAGAGGAATCAAGTCTGTTGGCGACTGGATTTTCTCCTCTGCCATCCTCTGTGTTCTTCATTCTTTAGCAGGCAATTTCCGGCAAGATGGTGATTCCTCATCGCAGCACGACGCTGATCACCACCGTCGTCTTCGTGGCGCTTCTTCTCCTCATATTTTCCTCCTCTCCGTCCCCGGATCCAGAGTCTAGCAAAGAGGAGGTGTCCGGGCCAGCAAAATATCTTCCTCACCCAAAATTTCCTTCTCTAAGTGATCTCCACCTTCCCTCTTTCCACCCGACCGCCCATACACCACCGGAAACGCAGCCGAACAGTACGAGCGGCGAATCCAAATGGTTCAGCAATTGGGCCTGGATCAACCCGTTCTCGTCCTCCATCACGCTTGACGAGAATAGATCTGTCCTTCCACCTCTCCGACACCGTCCCTACGTGTACACCTACTACGAACCGAACAAAGCCAATGACCAAGACGCGGAGAATGCCGATGCTCAGCTACTCCTCGCCTGGCGCCGAGCATGGTTTGCTCAAGGATTTCGTCCTGTCATTCTGGGCCGCGGAGAAGCCATGAACAGCGAGTTCTACCATATCGTGCAGACTCTAGAGGTCAAAGGCAAGCTGGAGAAGGAGCTGTACAGCTGGCTCGCATGGGGCCATATGGGCGATGGGCTCTTGGCTGATTGGCGTTGCTTCCCAATGGCGAGATATGATGACCCAACGTTGTCTTATTTGCGCCGGGGTAGCGACCCGGCCTTCATCACACGGTTTGCGCACATTGATAGCGGTCTCTTTGCCGGCGAGAAGAAACGGATCCATGACGCCATCAACGAGGTGATCAATCGGCTTCAGGATAAATCCCAGTCCAAATCGTCCATCCTGGACTTGGTCCCCGCGGAGTTCTTCAAGACCGAGGAACAGAGCTCGATTGCGTACTATAGCTCCGCCTCTGTGCACACGAACTTCCCCAGTCTGGCAGAGAAGATGATGTCCGCGCCGACGGAGGGCCGTCTAGCACTTGTAGATCTGATTAACTCGCATCTACACAGCACGTTCCATAATTCGTTCCCCGCAGGTATTGCGGTTCTAAAGCCTTTTGCCGACCACACTACGGCGCTCGTGGAGCCGGCCCTACGGTTGTCAAAAGCACTGGCTCAATGCCCAAAGTCACCTAAGCCGGACTCTTGTCCCCCGAACCTTCAGACCTGTCATCCCTGTGACCCAGAGAAGCCGATGCATGTGACCCAACCGGCTACATACCGGAACACGACGCAAGTCTTCACCATCGGTACTCTGCCTCACCCATTCACCCTCATCAGTTTGCAACAGAACTCCGTGGAGGTTACTACTCGACACATCCGTCGTGAGACTGAACGCGACCCTTGGTTGATGGAAGTGACCAAGGAACATCTGGGCGGTGAGCTTGCAGGATCTGCTCGAGCGCTTGTTCTTAAGAAGGCAGTTGCAGATGATGCTGTAGTCGGGACCTCCCTCTGGATGACTGTTGAGTCTCTTCCGCCGGAGGCGGGACAAGCCCTCCCCTCTGATCTCCTGGATGAGTTTGAGTGGCAACTTGGTTTCAAGATACCTCGCAATACCAACGTCGATGCCAAGAATGAAGGGGAAGCCAAGGATTCGATGCAGAACGCCAATCCTAGCAAGGAAGGTGTGGGGAGGGAGTATGAGATTCTCAAACAGGCTCGGGAGGTTCTGAATAGCAGAGAGGCGCCCCGGATCGGCATCAAGGAGGTCGCCGAAGCTTGGAACTTGGCTGACACGGAAATCTGGCGGTTTGTGAGAGCTTACCGGTTCGTATAATTTCCCTTGCCCCTCTTTTCCCCTCTCCATCGGCGACCTGCGCTAACAGCAAGATTTTTGTGGTTTGCAGAGCACGAAGTGTGGTTGAACGGAAGAAGTGGGAGGAGGAAGAGAAAGACTTCATTGGTGCTCGACCCCGGACATAACTCTCCGTCCGACTTGCACGGAGTACTCCTGGATGCTCACTTTCTTCCTTTTTTCCGTCTGATGCTTCAATTCCCTAACAGTTTCTGAAGATGCTCACTTTGGGTTGATAGAGAGAGTGTTGTTGGTGATCCTTTGCGGTTTGATGATGTACTAATAGCTATATACTGTACTTGCTTGAGCATTAGCACGATAGGAAACGGCGTTGGGTTCTCGATTGCACGTGATGAATATACCACCTTACGTAAGTCGATCACCTCCTGGCCAATCAGGGGCTCTCTATTGGCCATCGGACAGTGGCGATCCCCGCAGGGCGGTGTGGGGTTCCTGCCGATAAGGTGTGTTATCACCACGTCGTATCGCATACATCCCCTTCATATTAGGCTTCACTCCATGTTTATCATTATCTCATCGCCTCCCGACATCCCTCGCGTGTGGTCGGTCTTCTCTGTGATAAATACCACTCGGTCCCCCATCGATGTCAGCCTGTTTCTTCCCTCCCCTCACCCCCGCCCCATGTACCATAATCTCGTCGCCTCTCCGAAGATCTAGCCACCCACCACTCAACTGCCTAGTATATTGGCATTACCCTTCCCCCACAGATCCCTCTTGTCAGAGTTGGGTCCAAGATGGCTCCCGGTATTCTAGAGTCTCCAGGAGCTGCGGTCGCAGTCGACAAGCCTGTCTCCTTAGCCCACTTGACTGAGGAGTGGGATGATACGATTCGATTCTATCTCAATGGTACGAAAGTGGCGCTAGACTCAGTCAATCCCGAGGTCACTCTCTTGGAGTATCTCAGGGGCATTGGTCTTACAGGAACAAAGCTGGGATGTGCAGAAGGCGGCTGTGGTGCTTGCACAGTGGTATGTTTCCCTCCTGAGATCCATTATACATATCCACATGGCAGCATTCCTAAAGTCCCAATAGGTAGTCTCCCACATCAATCCAACTACCAAGAAAATCTATCACGCCTCGGTTAACGCCTGTCTGGCTCCCTTGATAAGTGTGGATGGAAAGCACGTCATTACCGTTGAAGGCATTGGAAATGTGAAGAATCCTCATGCTGTCCAACAACGACTTGCTGTTGGCAACGGTAGTCAATGTGGCTTTTGCACGCCAGGAATTGTGATGGTTCGTCCCCACTACTAACCCCTTGGGAATTCACAATGATCTAACACGACTTCTCTCTAGAGCCTCTACGCCCTCCTACGCAATAATCCTCAACCTTCCGAGCATATGGTGGAAGAAGCGTTCGATGGAAATCTTTGTCGTTGTACCGGGTATCGGCCGATTTTGGATGCTGCCCAAAGCTTCACATCTAGCACGAATGGATGCGCCAAATCCAATGCCAATGGCGGTAGTGGTTGCTGCATGGAGAAGCAAGATGGGACTGGGGGATGTTGCAAGTCCCTCGAAGAGTTGTCCCTGAATGGGGACCATCCGAGGTTCACCCCACCAGAATTCATCGACTACCGGCCAGACACAGAGTTGATTTTCCCTCCTTCTCTACGGAAGCACGAGTTCCGACCCTTGGTGTTTGGAAATAAGAAAAAGAAGTGGTATAGGCCTGCTACTCTACAACAGCTCTTGGAGATCAAGAGTGTGCAACCGGCAGCCAAGATCATTGGCGGAAGTACCGAGACTCAGATTGAAGTCAAATTCAAGGCCATGCGTTACAGTGATTCAGTCTATGTCGGAGACATCCCCGAGCTTCGGCAATACGCGTTTCACGACGACCACTTGGAGATTGGAGCCAACGTTTCTTTGACCGATCTAGAGTCAATATGTGATGAAGCTCTCGAACGTTTTGGGCCATCGCGAGGCCAACCCTTTTCGGCAATCAAGAAACAACTGCGTTATTTCGCCGGTAGACAAATCAGAAACGTGGCATCCCCGGCCGGCAATCTGGCCACAGCATCGCCCATTTCAGACTTGAATCCGGTATTTGTGGCTACTAATACCGTCCTTGTAGCCAAGACCCTCGCCGAGGACATTGAGATCCCCATGGGTCAATTCTTCAAAGGCTATAGGGCCACTGCGCTCCCACCGGACGCAATCATCGCCAGCCTGCGTATTCCGGCAGCTCAAAAGACTGGCGAATATATGCGCGCATACAAGCAGTCCAAGAGGAAGGACGATGACATTGCTATTGTCAATGCTGCTTTGCGGGTGTCTCTCTCACCAGCCAATGATGTAACGAGCGTGAACCTCGTCTTCGGTGGCATGGCACCCATGACAGTGTCCGCACGGAATGCAGAGTCCTTTTTGAAAGGCAAAAAGTTCACAAACCCTGCAACTCTGGAGGGTACGATGGCTGCTCTGGAGCAGGATTTTGACCTGAAATTCAGTGTACCAGGTGGCATGGCGACTTACCGAAAGTCTCTTGCCCTAGGGTTCTTCTACAGATTTTACCACGATGTATTGTCAAGCCTCGAAGTCAAGGAATCTGATGTTGACCACGACGTTATTGCCGAGATTGAGCGTGCAATTTCTTCGGGAGAAAAGGACAATGAGGCTTCGGCGGCCTACCAGCAACGTGTGCTAGGCAAGGCTGGTCCCCATGTGTCAGCTCTTAAGCAGGCTACTGGGGAAGCTCAGTACACAGATGATACGCCCGTGTTGCAAAACGAGCTATTCGGTTGTATGGTTCTTTCAACTAAGGCTCATGCAAAAATCCTCAGCGTTGATCCATCTGCTGCCCTGGATATTCCCGGTGTCCACGAATATGTCGATCACCGGGACCTCCCTAACCCACAAGCGAATTGGTGGGGAGCACCTAAATGCGACGAAGTATTCTTTGCTGTGGACAAAGTCAATACCGCTGGTCAACCGATCGGTATCATTCTTGCCGATTCTGCCAAGATTGCGGAAGAGGGTGCTCGGGCTGTCAAGGTCGAATACGAAGAGCTGCCATCTATACTCTCCATGGAGGAAGCAATTGAAGCTCAGTCCTTCTTCGAACACTACCGTTTCATAAAGAGCGGTGATACGGAAGCCGCTTTCAAACAAGCTGATCGGATTATTACGGGAGTCTCCCGGATGGGTGGTCAAGAGCATTTCTACTTGGAAACCCAAGCATGTGTTGTCATCCCGAAGCCAGAGGATGGTGAAATGGAAGTATGGAGTGGCACACAAAATCCTACCGAAACGTGAGTCAGACACATCTCCTTGTCAATGCACTGAGCTGACTTCTTTTATAGCCAAACGTACGTCGCTCAAGTCACCGGCGTAGCCCACAATAAGATCGTCTCCCGTGTGAAGCGTCTAGGAGGTGGATTCGGTGGGAAAGAGACTCGGTCAATTCAGCTGGCTGGTATATGCGCCACTGCTGCTGCCAAGACAAGACGGCCGGTCCGGTGCATGCTCAATCGCGACGAAGATATCGTGACGTCTGGTCAGCGTCACCCATTCCTTTGCCACTGGAAAGTGGGTGTCACCAAGGAAGGAAAGCTTATTGCTCTTGACGCTGATGTATACGCCAACGGTGGACACACCCAAGACCTTTCCGGAGCCGTCGTGGAAAGAAGTCTTTCCCACATTGATGGAGTATACAACATTCCGAATGTCTTCGTTCGTGGTCGCATCTGCAAAACAAACACTGTATCCAACACTGCCTTCCGTGGCTTTGGTGGACCTCAGGGAATGTTCTTTGCCGAGTCTTTCATGTCTGAGATTGCGGATCACCTTGACATCCCAGTTGAACAACTCCGCATGGACAATATGTACAAGCCCGGCGACAAGACGCATTTCAACCAAGAGCTCAAGGACTGGCACGTGCCTTTGATGTACAAACAGGTCCTGGAAGAGAGCTCGTACATGGAGCGTCGGAAAGCCGTGGAAGAATACAACAAGAAGCATAAGTGGTCCAAGCGGGGAATGGCTATCATTCCGACGAAATTCGGTATCTCTTTTACAGCCTTGTTCCTCAACCAAGCTGGTGCTTTGGTGCATATTTACCATGATGGAAGTGTTCTTGTCGCTCATGGTGGAGTCGAAATGGGGCAAGGTCTCCATACCAAGATGACGATGATTGCTGCCGAAGCGCTAGGCGTTCCCTTATCAGACGTCTTCATATCTGAGACAGCTACCAATACGGTTGCCAACACGTCGTCGACTGCAGCCTCAGCCAGTTCTGACCTCAATGGATACGCGATCTTCAATGCCTGCGAGCAAATCAATGAGCGTCTTCGGCCGTACCGCGAGAAGATGCCGGGGGCTAGCATGAAGGAACTGGCGCACGCAGCCTATTTTGACCGAGTCAACCTATCCGCCCAAGGATACTACCGCACCCCCGACATCGGTTATGTCTGGGGTGAGAATTCAGGCCAGATGTTCTTCTACTTCACCCAGGGAGTGACGGCTGCTGAAGTCGAGATTGACACTCTTACTGGCGATTGGACCCCTCTCCGCGCAGACATCAAGATGGACGTTGGTCGTACGATTAATCCTTCCATCGATTACGGACAGATAGAAGGTGCTTTTATCCAGGGACAGGGGTTGTTCACAACTGAGGAGAGCCTCTGGCATCGTGCGTCGGGACAAATATTCACCAAGGGTCCCGGAAACTACAAGATCCCCGGTTTCCGAGATATTCCGCAGGTCTTCAACGTCAGCCTCCTCAAAGATGTTGAATGGGAGAATCTTAGAACCATCCAGCGCTCTCGAGGCGTGGGCGAGCCGCCACTGTTCATGGGTAGTGCGGTGTTCTTTGCGATCCGTGATGCTCTGAAGGCGGCGCGCAAGGAGTGGAATGTCAGCGAAGTTCTTAGGCTCCAAAGCCCGGCGACGCCTGAGCGTATTCGGGTCAGCTGTGCTGATCCCATCGTTGAGAGAGCCAGAGTGCATCCTCAGGAAGGAGAGAAGAGTTTCTTTGTGGAAATTTAAGATTCAAGATCGATGTTTACGGCTTGCACCATGACTTACGATATTGTATATCAATCATTTCAGTATTGACATGTCCATATTTGTTAACAGACTGTACCTTTGGCATGAAGTTTTACAAGAATATACCAGCAGTCTATCTATCATTATGTTCTGCTTTTAAATTCCAACTCCTATACTGAAGCTGATCCATCTAGATGGTATAACCAACGCCAAATACGCGTCAAACAAGGAGGTGCACCAGACCAGCACCGTGGACACAATATAGGACTGACAAAGCGAATTTTCACGGCAGGATAAATAGGAAAGAAAAGGAAAAAAACCGATCATCGTTTCTCCATACCATATTCAACATAGCTACTACCACGCAAGTCCGAGATGCCATCGACATGAAGCGCCTTTTGACCAACAGAGCCTAGCTTCTCATCTCCATAGGGGATGTCACGACTCACCGCCAGCGCCGGAGCAGGGCCCTCGTAGCGGGGAGCAGGTTGCGAGTGAGAGGCGACATCCGGAATGGCCGTCAGGGGGACATCGACGAAGCCATGGGAGTCTGCAGGAGCCGCCGGCATGGGGGCGCCGCCTCCGCCCTCGCCACGGGTCCTCTCGCGGGACCAGAACAGCGACAGCGCGCGGAGGACGCCGATCAGGGCGTTGACGACCCAGACGAGGAGGATGACCGCGGATATGACGGTTTCGGTGCGAATGCCCTCCTCGATCTTATCGGTGACGCGGAAGACGACCTCGGTGATCTTGTTGGAGGTCTGGTCGTCGGCGTCGGCGAGGAAGCTATCGGAGGGGTTGGAGGAGCCGTCGGAGATGCTGTCTGCGGCGCCGCGCGAGAAGGTGTCGTTGGGGAGGAGGGGGAAGTCGATGTGGGCGTGGTCGTGGACCCAGGTCAGGGCCTTCTGCACGGCCTCGACCTTGAGCCCGATGAGGCAGTCGTAGACCTCCTGGACGGGCCCGCTGAGGACGGTGTCGCCGAAGGTGTCGTTGAGCACGCCGGTGGTCTTCTCGACGAAGGCGTCGAGCGTGTCGTTGACGGCGGTGGTGCTGGTGTTGACCCAGCCGAAGATGTTCTTGTTCAGGTCGGTGTTGGTGTCGGCGATGGCGCTGTTGGCGTCGGCGGCCCATTTCGCCGAGGTGTCCTGCAGCTTGTCGACGACTTTGCCGGCGAACTGGCCCACCTCGGAGGTGAGTTCGGGGACAGTGCGCTCCACCGCCTTGAGGAGGATATACTGGCAGAGGCAAGAGAAGAGGCCGGCGAGGGCGAGGCACAGGACGAAGAGCGCCGGGGGGGAGGTGGCGTAGGCGATGACCCAGCGCACGAGGATCTGTCGGCGGCTGTTGCTGAAGCGGCTGGCGGCCTTGACGCCTGTGGCGGCGGTGTAGGGGCGCGAGACGATGTAGACGACGTCCATGGGGTCGTGGGCGTCTTTGTGGACGAGCTGCGAGCGCTCTTTCATGGTGCGCCAGCGGCGGATCTCCTGCCAGCCTACGGGCACGCAGACGAGCACGGCGGCGATGATCAGCACGGCGATGAAGATGGTGCGCGCGGTGGTGGTGATGTGGGCGACTTTGTCGAAGAAGGAGTTGATGCCGTCGCTGCCGTCACAGAAGCTCAGCTGCTCTTTGGCCGGGACGGGGAGCGCGGAGCGGTCGAAGGTGTAGTTGCTCAGGGAGCCGTTGACGAGGCGCTTGACTTCCTCGAACGGGGTGCGCAGGATGTTAGTGACGTACTTGTCGACCTCGTCAAAGGTGGGGATGGAGTTGTTGACTTTGTCGATGGTGGAGTCGATGGAGCTGGGGAGGCTCAGGGAGTCGAGCTTGTCGAGCTTGTCGCTGATGTCGAGTTTGGGGATCTCGCCCAGCAGGGCGCTGGCAATGCCGTTGATGTCATCGATGAAGCTGTTGAGGCTGCTTTCGAAGGAGTCGACAGACTTGTGGATGTCTTGTCCGATGCTCTTGACGGTGGAGTTTAGAAAGTCCGCCGCGTCCTCGACGACACCGAGGGCAAGGTGGACGCTGCCGCGCACGACCATGGTGAAGAGACAGAGGTAGGTCTGATACATGACTTTGATGAAGAACAGGATCAACTCCTCGACCCCCGTGATGGTCAGCAGCAGCATGGTCTTGAGCGCGCTGACGGCCTTTTCCACCCCGGCCGCGGTCAACTCATTGACTCCCTGCGACAGGTAATGCGGCATGGACACCATGGCACTTCCCATGGACTCGACGCTGGTACAGGCCGACAGGGCTTCGCGCTTGGCGGATCCCATGTCGGACTGCATGCCCGCCACCGCTATGAGGACGCGCGCCAGAACGAGCAGGAGTAGGATGGTCCAGCGGTTGAGCCATACTTGCGATAGCCGGGACCGTAGCCCGAGGTAGGGAGTGATGCCATCGGGGTTGAGCGGTATGATCCGTCGACCTCCGTTGGGATCGTGCGCCCCGTATGGCGGGAGGAGAGGGAAGATCGAGCGACCAGGCCTCGAGAAGAGCATCCTGAGGTGAAGGTTGCAGATAAAGAAGGATGGAAATCAGAGCGAAGAAAACACGTCCCTATGGACGTAGGCGGTACGAACGAGGCGTTCGAGTGTCGAGGATTAGGTCGTTCTATGCAGTGACAGTAGGTAGAAGGAGAGAAAAGCTGACCGGCAGCGTTTCAAGGAAAGATAATATAGATTATTGAGAAAGTGTAACACATAATCGAATCTATTGACGCTGAAACCGAAGGGGTGGCGCGAATGTCTGGGGAACAAGAAAGAGAAAGAAACGAACAATAGACGTCGGAGAAGAGCAACAATGAAGGCGACGTCGGACTTTATGGTTGACATCTGCAGAGAGCGGCTGCGTTCCCTCATGAATGAAAGACGGGGGCTCTTTTTTGGGCATAAACAGAGGTGGCCATTGAGGGAGTGCTGGACGGTCCCCCGGCCACCAACATGACACAAGCTAGCCATGATCCAGCACTAAATCGGAGATCTGGGCAGGCGCTTCGTTTGAGCTGGCGCGAGATCATCGTAGGCGCCTCTTCTCAGTGGTTTTCGTCGGCGCGTGGACGGGCCAAATATAGCCTCTCGTCGGCGCTTAGCGTGCAAGCGCTCTCATCAAATCCTTTTGCTTTAGGACGCTGGAGACAAAACACGCGATGCAGATTCTATTTAAAGCTTTCCATCTTTCGAGTGAGGGATCAGGCCAGTCATGACGGATAAAGGGCCTTTGTTGCTTCTCATCGGCGCTTCATGTCCACTGGCGTTGAAGCGCTGGGGTTATGGATCAGATGCTGGGAAGACCATGCAGAAAGGCAAGACCATGTCATGAGGTGCAGAAGTGCAGAATCCTGAAGATAGATGACAGGGATGTGCAGTGTGATGCAGCATAGTGGTCGATGTTGTTGGCAGCAGCGGAGGCAGAGAAATGATGAAGAATGCCGTTTGTACATAGAGGGGAAGGCACGTGATATCTTTCATTCAACTACAATTGTATGCTGCTCTTATAAGACATAGTGTGCATCTTGAATAAGAGAGTATCAATATTTATGTGGAGAAAATAGGAGCCTTAATTTGCAGTCTTAGTCAGTATCAAATATCTACTCCGTTCAGTCATAACGACGAGGTATAAAGAACATGCCACTACGCTGTATATCTTTGTCCATGTATGCCACTATACAGCTCTATCATTGTCTTTATTGTCAGTGCAAACCGTCAGTCTCACACTGGCTAGACCATAGTGAACTATAGAAAGAGCATTTGGTAGTGCCCGTTAACCAATATTCTATACCTCTTTTCCAGCCCTAACAGAAAGGAACGGAAGCCAGAGAGAAGACCATATAGACTAGTCCGGACCATGATCTCAACCACAGTGACTCTGGTGAATGAGACCTAGGATTTCAGAAATGTCTTCTTCCCTATCTCCCTTCACTGCCCCCAGGCCTCCTATCCTCCATCCCAGACGACGGGGATATCTCGCAAGCATCAGGTAGGAGGATATTAGCCTCTACAAATGGATATCTCTTTTCCATTTCAATATCCCCAAAACGACTGATTCCTCTGGAGAAACATTCTCAATCAAGTCTTTCTGATTTCAGTCTCCTCTCTTTTTGCCTGGGCTACGGAATATCAGCAAGTCGACGACATGGCAGATTCCTTGGAGAGACCTACTTCACTCAAAGACCACAAGTTCACTGGTTCAAAGGAAGCCGTGAAGACTGCGTGCACAAAGGGTGATGTGACCTTTCTGGCTGACCTGGCAGATGCCTTGGCTGGGGAAAGTGAAGAGACAGAAAATCCCTCTGAGGATGGCCACATGTTGAAACTGCTGAAGCACTCGAAGCTTTCACTTCCCACTGCACCCTTCACTCCGGATAGCAACAGCCCTCCCGCCTCCCTCTCCCCTCCATCCGCCAACATGAACCCTCATCTTCCTCACACAAACAACTCCCATCAAGGTAAATTGATACCTCTCACCTCTTCCTTTCAGAAGCGTCCCACGACTCGAACAGCAGCTGATCCCAGTCATCTAAGTAGGAGACGAGAATGTCCCTGGTGAAAACAAGACTCGTTCAGAGGCTATCACCTTGATTCGCGCCAGGACTCTTACTCGTTCTTCCCCAACAGAAGCATCCTTCCAAGCAGACATGGCCATCGACAACAGTCTCCCTCCTCCCACGTCCGAGTCTCATCTCCCGCCAGTATCTCTCATGGACTTGTTTCAGAAGCCTAAAAAGAAAAGATCCAGCAAGAGCAAGTCCAAGAGACAAAAGTCCAAACGGCGTGATGTCTCCAAGTCCCCGGACAACAAGGACTCGGGCCTAGACATTCCTGATGAAGCCAACGAGAAGAAATTGGACACCGAGATCAACAATGAGCAGGACACCCAAGCTCCTTTGTCTGCTCCTGTACTTGACAACCCTGTATCAATCAAGCTGGAAGATGCAGTTCCCACCAATGCAGATATTGAAGACAAGTCCAACCCTGTCGCGCTGGCGAAGGAATCTGGTCCCGAGAAGCACGAAGATGCGGTCGTCGCCGACCAGAGAGAATCTCAGCAGGACACCGCGTCTCAAATGCCTCCGGCCTTGTCTTTTGCTGCCGTCTTAGCTGGTGGCATGGACAAGCTGGAGCTCAATACGTGCAATGAGGCTCCCAATTCGACCGGTGACGGAAAGACTTCCACCACCGGTAGCAAATACGCCTTCACACCCAACGAGACCACCCAACTGGACGGCGCATCCAACAATGTCAGTGGGGGCAAAGCTCAGAAGACCTGTGATGATGGATCGGATTGTCCCTCAACGGTCGAGCCATCGTCTCAATCGTCTCCCCGTGGCTCTCATCAGTCCTCTCGCAAGGTTGCAACCCAGAAAGAAAAGCTACCTGCTATACTAGAAGCATCGCCAGAAGACAACGGAGGTTCCTCGGTCCAAGTTAGCCCATCTGCAAGCAACCAGAGCCTCACATGTACCCCAAAGTCGACCAGCACTGGACTTTCTGCGTGGAATGCGTTTTCCCAACAGAACACACCGCGTACGGATATCACTGATGACAGCCAGCTGAAGGGAACAAAGAACAAGAAGGCTCAAAAGCACTCCACTAGCACCCGAACCGACTCAGCGATCCAGGTCAATGGCAACGCGAGTGGCAGCCATGCACATCCGCCAACCTCGACTGACGGGGGCAACCAAGGACCAACCTCAAGCAAAAAGAAATCCAAATCATTCAAGAAAAAGGATGGCTTCTGGTGGAACCTTGACAGTCACGGATTTCCCTGTGCGAAGGAAGGCTGTGACAAACGCTGCAATCTCTGGGACGGCGCAACCGTCATCTGTCCTCGCTGTGGCCCATACTCCGAGTGTCGTTACTGCTGCAAAGAGCACCTTCTGAACAGTATTAAGCGACACTGGTCCATTTGCGAGCAGATGACCTTCCAGCACCCATGCAAAGAGTCAACCATCCCGAAAGACGTCCGTAACGGACCGGCTTTTGTCCCCTGTCTTCATCCCTACGACACACCTGAGCGTCATCGCCAGGCGGTCTTTCTTAACATGAACAGCAAAGTTGGTGATTACTTCATCTTCTCTGACTGGGCCGACAATCTCGAGGCAGGATTCCCCGAAAACAACGTGGCTCTCCGTTGCTCCAGCCGAGTGGTGTACATCATCAAGTTCGACGACGCCAAAGAGAAAGACCGCTTCCGTCGTGTTCTCGCAACCTGTCTTTTCAGTAAGACCTCCGTCCCGACCCGTCACCGATGGTCTGTCTCAAAGCTAACCCATCTCCTCCAGTGACCATCGAAGTGACCGAGCTTGTCGACTATCTCTACCGGCTGATCCGCGATAAGCTGCGGTCTGAAGGCGCTCCCCCGGAGCTAGAAACCGCAGTTCAGTACCAGTTCCGCCAGGAGTTTGCCGTGACCATCCAGACAATCATCACGGGTCAGAGACACGCATGCGACACCGACTGGGACGGGAGAAACCGCCGCAGCTGCCTCGATCCCGTGTGCCGTGGCGAGTATCGTCGTCTGCTGGGCTCGCTGGGTGGGAAGGGCCATCGTCAGCTCATTGACCACCTAGAGGGATGCTACTGGATCCTCCGCGCAGCCCGGGCTACGCACCCCGATGTGAAAGACGCGACTGCGCGCATGAGAGGGGATGGCTTTGACGAAGTTGCCGAAGAAGATAGGAGAGTGTTCCGTCGTGGTGAAGGGTGGGACGGTGCCGGTACTGGAAAGATAGAGATCGAGGGCATCAATGCTTAGTCGAGGATGTCTTGTTGTTTCTTTCACTTTCTGGGACTTTGGCGGTTGGACATGCCTTGGTTTATTGGAGAATGCAGGGCCTTTCACAACCCTGGCTCCTTCCGCTTGTCACCTCATTTTGTTCCTGTTCTCTATTCTCATTCTCGGCGGTATTTGGTGTTGGTTTCCTTCGGCCGGTAGGGTCTTGTCGCTGGCGAGCGAGGCATGTACGGACGGATATGATTCCGACTGTCAGGTTGCTGCCAGGAAGGGGAAAGAGTGTTGAACGGTGTCTATTTGGGATTGGAAGGCAGATTCATGTACCTACTGAAGATAGAAGTTCAACTAGTCTGCACCTATCCAATACAGTGCTCATTCAATTTCCAGCTTTATACTCAAGCATTCTATCTCATGAGGGCATTGCAATCTCTACACATATTACCTCCCTATACGATATACTTCTTCAGACCGCGCAGTCTCTCCTTGGCGGTTTCAAGGACGTCGTCGTTCTTGCACACCGCGAATCGAAGGTAATCCTCGGCGATGTGGGAGTTCGCATCGGTGTAGAACTCCGTCGGGGGGATCGCGGCGACACCGACTTCGTGGATGAGGAACCAGCAAAGCTTGAAGTCGCGCGGGCGACTGGCCACATGAGGAGGGAAGGGATAGTCCTCGGGAAGTTTGACGGAGGACATGTTCGCAAGGACGAAGTAGCCGCCCTCAGGATCAGAGTACTAGGTAATTAGTCAGTGGGCACTGCAAAGCGACATAAAGGGCATGAGAAGGCTGCGCACCGGGATGTTGAGTTCATCAAACACTTGGCAGAAGAGCTCCATCTTCTGCTTCATTTCGTTACGGCTTTCATCCCAGAAGCCGGCCTTATCCGCCTGTTCGAACGCAACCGCCGCAGCCTCCTGGAGAGGAGACACACTGCTATAGCAGATCCGAGTGTGAGCGCCAGCGACGTACTTGATCAGATGCTCTGGGCCGATGAGGTAGCCCACACGCCAACCAGTGGCGTAAAAGGCCTTTCCAGCGGAACCGACAGTCAAAGTGCGCTCATATAGCTCTGGAGACAAGGTAGCAATTCTGGTGAACGGAACGTAGAAGAGGCGGTCATAGACTTCATCCGAAAGGATGATGAGGTTGTGCTTGATGCACAGGTCACCAATACGCTGAAGCTCCTCGCGCGAGAAGACCTTCCCCACGGGGTTGTGGCTGTGGAGATATTGATTAGTCGATTGGCGCGACACCAGCCAAGAGTTACTTACGGCGAGTTAAGCACCTAAAAAGTCAGAGTCGTTCAACAAAGGCCCACGTAAGGACACTTACAATCATCTTAGTCTTCGAGTTAATCGCATTCTCCAGCTCCTCAAAGTCTATCGTCCACTCGGAAGCAGGAGAGGTTCTGGTCGCACCATCCTTGGGAGGGTGAAGGGGGACATATCGAATGGTACCGCCGGGCATTTCAATGTTGCTAATATATTGGTCGAAGAAGGGCTCGAAGATGATGACCTCATCTCCCGGCTCAATGAATCCCATGAAAGCGCTGAGCATTCCTTCGCTACAGTCAGCTCGGTCCCAGGGTTGTGCAAACGTCCAGTATGACGTTACCTTCGTTCGCTCCGGTAGTGATAGTGACCTCCGTGTCGGGGTTCAGGGTGCGGCCGAAGAAAGGAGAGTAGGCATCGGCGATGGCTTTCTTCAGACGTGGGCGACCCTATAGAAGGGGTAAGCATGGGCTCGGCCTACAATGGCATCCTTCAATGCGCACCTTGGTCGGGGAGTATTGGTTGCATTCCACTCGGTCAAGAGCATCCTTCGCAGCGTCCACCGCAAACTTTGGGGGGTTATAGCCACTGCACCAGGCGTGCCATCAGCAATCCATTGACTCATAATGCTCTGCGACTCGGACAACCCCGCACTCACAAGAAGCCCTGGCCCATGTTCACGATGGGCTGGACCGGAGAGGCAGCAGCGGCCTCATTGACAATCGACCTAAGCACTAGCCATCAGCACATCACAATCGCAACAGCTTCAGCAGTCGAAGCCCTACCAGACATCCTGGCGTTGACCGGCAACTCTCTTGGCCGGCCGAAACGGGTCCGCACGGGGGGAGCTCGCCGACATGGTCCGAACGCGGGGAATTAGATAGCGGGGTGGCGCAAGTCGAAATGCCGAAGACAAGGAGTTGGAGGAGAGTTTGAGGGGGGTAGAAAGGGTATGCGACAGAGAGGGCCGGTAACCGAACAACATAGAGAGCGGATACAGAGAAAAGAGGATGCGATAAGATGGAGATGAGGAGGAAGAAGGACCTCGCTCCAATGACAATTGCGTGCTTGTCAGGCACCAAGGCAGACTATTTGCCTGGTTTGCATCGACAAATGCGGGGAGAATCAAATGCTTAAAACAATTTACCACGACGACTTTAATAGAATCACCATTTATCTGTCCATATCAATTGATCGAAGTGATTTGGAGAGTCCTTATGGCTACCAAGCCATGTACTATGCACTACTTCGGTAGTTGATCAGGCGAGGAGAGCTCGCTCCTATAATTTCTTCTTCTTAATGGCCCGTGTCACGCGTCGACGCGTTTTCTGATGACTTCACATCGCTCGTCGCTCAATCTCCACCATCCCATCTCTCAAGCCTCACGTCCAGCATGGTCTCCTGTCCCATCTGCGGGAATTCCGTCCCCTCCCTGAAAATCAACGATCACATCGATTCCAACTGTCACGACTTCATTGAAGAACCAACCTCCAGCACGGGCGACTCGTCCTCCTCCCAGAAGGCCCCCGTTCCCAGCTTCTTCCAACCGACGTCGGCTCGCAAGGCAGCCGCCCAACCGACGGTGCGAAAGGACACACTGCCTGATTCCTCGCCCTCACAGAACATCACACGCAAAAGGGCGGCTTTCTCCGATTCCAATGCCGCGGAAGTGAATCGCAAATCCCAGAACAACGAAACACAGGCCGAGCCGCCGGCCAAGAAATCACGGCCAAATGCCTTCCAAAAAGCTGCCCCGTTGGCAGAGCGCATGCGCCCTCGAACGTTGGACGAAGTATGCGGACAAGATCTGGTCGGTCCAAATGGCGTTTTGCGGGGACTGATCGAGCAGGACCGGGTACCCAGTATGGTGCTTTGGGGTGGGCCGGGTACCGGAAAGACAACCATTGCGCGGGTGATCGCCTCGATGGTAGGAAGTCGATTCGTGGAAATCAACAGCACTAGCACTGGGGTGGCCGAGTGCAAGAAGATCTTCGCTGAAGCGAAAAGCGAACTGGGACTGACGGGCCGGAAAACAATCATTTTCTGCGACGAGATCCATCGTTTTTCCAAGTCCCAGCAGGATGTGTTTCTGGGACCGGTAGAAAGCGGACAGGTCACGCTCATCGGGGCTACCACGGAGAACCCGTCGTTCAAAGTTCAGAGTGCTTTGCTGTCCCGATGTCGAACGTTTACCTTGGCGAAGCTCACCGACGAGGATGTCAAATCCATTCTCAACCGCGCCTTGCAGGTCGAGGGGCCCAACTATTCGCCTTCTGCTCTGGTAGACGACGAACTGATCACGTACCTGGCCAAATTCTCGGACGGCGATGCGCGGACGTCCCTGAACCTTTTGGAACTGGCGATGGACCTGTCGAAGCGTCCGGATATAACCAAAGAGGAGCTGAAACGTTCTCTCACAAAGACCCTCGTGTATGATCGCGCCGGGGACCAACATTATGACACCATTTCTGCCTTTCACAAGTCCTTACGAGGGAGCGATCCGGATGCGGCGTTATATTACCTGGCACGTATGATTCAATCGGGGGAAGATCCGCTGTATATCGCTCGACGCCTGATTGTGGTCGCCTCTGAGGATATCGGGCTAGCGGATAATAGCATGCTGACGCTCGCTATATCCACCCATTCCGCTGTCGAGAAGATTGGACTTCCCGAAGCGCGGATCAATCTTGCACACGCGACGGTCGCCATGGCATTAGCCAAGAAGAGTACGCGCTCGTATCGAGGTCTCAACAATGCGTTCGCTGCCCTGCAGGAACCGGGCGTCGCCGGGTTGCCCATACCGATTCATCTTCGGAACGCTCCCACTCGACTGATGAAAGAGCTCGGATACGGAAAGGAATACAAGTACAATCCTAATTATGTGGACGGGGAGGTGGCTCAAGAGTATCTACCGGAACAACTACGAGGTCGCAAGTTCTTGGAGGACCACGATCTGGGAACTCAAGTCGATCCAGATTTGGAACGGTAGCATTGTATACATAGATCGTTAGTTACTGGGAACATATACCATTGACCTAGATTTTGGTTACCCTTAATATGAATATATGACATGGATAAATGCTAGAATTCGATCCCCATCTACAATCATGCCCAATACGCATACCCTCTGATGGCGGATTGTAGCATGTTTTGATGCGTACCCAAGCAGAAACCAACTCCGCCCACCGCTTCGCGTCGCTTCCAGACCCGCCGATAATCAATCCCCTCAACCTCTCTTTCTCATCACTTCACACCTCCGACCTGCCATCACCACGAAAAGAACTCCTCCTACCTTCGACGGAACATCCAACTTATCTCGCGTTCCGTCTCCGTCCGGTGGTGCCTTCATTGGCCCCGTCCCACCACCCGCGGTCCCAAAACACCCCATCGCGACAAACCAAAACACCACCTCCACCACCATGTCGCAACCGTTCGGCACGCGCTCCTACAACTCGGGCAAACTGCCCGACCGCTCCGTCAACGCCAATGCCATCCCCTTCAGCGCCTCGTCGTTCTCGCGTCAACGCCTGGGCGCCGCCGGCCCCGCCGACTACGCCGCTGAGCCCGCCAAATCCTCCCAGCAGGCTGCAGCCAGCGGCATGCACTCGCAGGCCCACGCGCCCTCGACGCAAGAGAACCCGCTGAGCCGGTTAACAGAGGAGCAGCGCGAGGAGGTGAACGAAGCCGTACGTCTCCCTCCCTTTCCCTCCTTTCATTCCCTTCCTCCCCCACAGCAGACACATGGCTAATCCTCACCCTGACGACAGTTCACCCTCTTCGACCTCGACCGCGACCAACACCTCGACTACCACGAGCTCCGGGTTGCCTTCCGCGCGCTGGGCTTCACCCTCCCCAAGCAGGAGCTCATCTCGCTGCTGACGACGTACGGCGTGCCGCGCCCGCAGGTCCAGCAGCAGCAGTCCGCCGGCGGCGCGTCGCAGCAGCAAGCCCCCGCAAAGGCCGCCCCCGCGACGAACCCGCAACACCCCTCGAACCTGCTCATGCCGCTGTCGTCGTTCCAGACCATCACGGCGCTGAAGATCCTCGAGCGCGACCCGCGCGAGGAGATCCTGCGCGCGTTCGAGCTCTTCGACGAGGGCGGGAAGGGGTTCATCGATCTGGAGGATTTGCGGCGTGTTGCCCGTGAGCTGGGCGAGACGGGCCTCGAGGAGGAGGAGCTGCGCGCCATGATTGAGGAGTTTGATTTGGAGGGTGTGGGTGGTGTCACCCGCGATGCGTTTGTGAGTATTTGTTGGCAGTAGGCGCCGATGCGCTTTCTGTATATGTTTGGTTCGCTTGGTTATTGCTTCTTTTGGCTGGGTTCTTGGTTCTTTTTTCGTTCTGTTGTGTCTATCTCTGCGAGAATCGACGGCTTGTTTGCTTGGCATCGTGTTTTGTTTGGTTTGGGCATTGGGTGGGCGCCTGTTGTACGGTTTGCTGTTTTGTCGTGATTGTTTACTGCTACGTCTTATCCGGGTGGTTGTTGGTGTCGGTGCGGTCTGCTTGGACAGTATGAACTCCACAGTAGTGCTTACATAGATGGATGCTTGAGATGCTGTATATGCCTTACTCCAGGCTGCGACACAGCCAGTCCTATCAACGAAGACCATACATATCACCAACCCATAGGCCGGAGATCCGGCCTACCAATTCAACCCAACCAGAGGACGCCGTCAATATAAGGATTGTAGGATGCAATGGTGCCAGACAAGTCATCATGCAGTAACAGATCATGAATTAAACACAATGTATAAAAAGGAAAGAGAATGTCCAAAGAAATATTCACGCATACCGGGGCATGTATCCCCCAGGCGGGCCGTTGCCATACCCTGGCCCTGCGTACGGCGGCGGAGGGTCTGCGAGGCCTTGGTATCCTCGCGGCCATTGAGCCATGGGAGGGCGGCCAGGGGGTACAGCGCTAGCAGCCCAAGGCCCGTACGGACCACGCGGGGGTGGTGGTGGCATCTTAGCAGCTGGACGCGCCCGACGACAACGGTTGATGAGACACCACAGAATTGACAGGACAATCAGACCGCCGACACCACAGCACACCCCAATCACAATGTCCTTGTGGTCGTTGATCCAGTTCTTCACGCTCGATCCTTCGCAGCGGCCGTTGCTGCAGTGCCCGCCGCTGCCGCAGGGGGTGCCGTCGAGGAAGTTCTGGTTGACGCTGTAGCACTGACCCAGGGCAGGCGACGTGCAAATCAGCTCACACGAGTCGGAGAAGGCATCGCAGGAGTAGGTGTCATTGTTGTGCAGGAGGCTTCCCATCACCGTGCGGCACTGGTAGTCCCGACTGGTGCATTGGCCACTGGCACAGGTCAGGCCGCTGCCCGAGCTGCCACAGTCTTCGCCATCTTTCTTGAAGGAGTCCGAGGGGCACGTGCTGGAGTTTCCGCTGCACGTCTCCTCCAGATCGCACTCGCCGCGGCTGGGCCTGCACACAGTACCAGCAGCGGTGTACTGACACTTCGAACAGCAGCTGTCGTTGGAGTCGTCGCATACGGCGCCCGACTTAAACTTGCACGTTTTGGCGTCACAGCATTGGTTGTCGCCGCAGGACTCCTCCCCGCCACAGTCGCAGTCTTCCCCGGACTCCACAATGCCGTTTCCACACTGGCCACCAGTGTAGGTAACGACTCCGCGGTTGTCGGACAGACACGTCGATTTGACACTGTTGCGACCCAAGGCCGAGCAGATGTTACCGATCGTACAAGGCGAGAACTCAGTGATGTCGGTACCCGTGCTGGGATTCATGATGTACTCTCCACCCGCGTCGCACGAGCTGGCGCTGAGGGGACAACACTGCGACGAGGTTTCGAGTCCTTGGGCGCAGGTCTGGGAGTTGCAGTCGTGCACTGCGCCAAAGGTATGTCCTGTTTCATGGGCAAAGACTTGCCATCCACCACCGGCAGAGCGAACAACCACGTTCGTCCCACTCACTGAGTTGGAACCATCATCCGACACCTTCGAATTGCACAGCTGTCCAAGCCAGGCCAAACCCACCTCAGAGCCGGTCGGACAATCACTCATCAGAGTCCAATAGGCATTGTCGTCCGATTGCTGTCCACGCCACTTGGAGAAGAGGTCCAGCCGCGACGTGATATTACTCTGGGAGCATGGCATATTCCACTGGGCGGACGACGGCGGCGTGTCCGGGCATTCTTTGTCCGTGAGGGTGAGGTTCCGCAAGCCGATGGAGATGTTGAATGATTTCTCGTACACGTTGGATGCACTGTTGACGGTGTTGATGACCCACTTCTGGGCAGCGTCTTTGCTCTCGAACGATCCGGTAAACGAGCAGTCCGTCACAACGCCGATCAGGGCGACTTGTTTCGTCTTCGGGCAGCCGGCAGTGCTGCCGATGGTGGACTTCAGATTCACACCTCCGGCGTTACCGGAGACACCACCAATGTCCGACTGGCGCTTGCTGAGTCCGAACAACGAGTTGAGGGACATGGCGCCCCAGGTGCTGGAATTCCCGTTGTCAAAGGATTGGAGGATCGGATGGTTGGGGTTGTTATTGAACCCGAGTTTGTCGGCCTCGCAGGAGGAAGAAAGAGGGAGCGAACGCTTGAGTTCGGTGTGAAGATGCCGGATCATGTCCGAGTCACGGTAGGTGATCATGTAGTCGCCTTTCCGGTCCGGGATGTCGATATCTTGGGCGCGTTTCTTTTCCAGGTATGTCGATTTCAACTCGATGTGGTGGTTATCGCCATTGACGCTGAAGACGCCTTCAAACAGCGGTTGCGGGCCGTCATTCTTCAGGTAAATCCGCGCCCATCCGACGGGATCCCACATAGCTTTCCCTCTGCCGAGTAGGGTTCGTCCTTTGAATACTTTGTGTTCATGGCGTCGGATGGGTTCTCCGTGCACGACATTTCCGTGAGCGTCGAGATACTGAACATATGCATCTTCGGCGAGGATATCATGGTTCGGCTCGAGCTCAAGCTTCACGCGTTGGCTCTTGTCACGGAGGTAGAAGGTGATGTCGAAGTGGGATAGGTGATCGACACGGTTGGAGGGGGCGCTGATGGTGGGATGGTCTAGGGTGGTGACATGTTGGATGGCATTCGGTTCCTGAGACCGGGCTAGGGGGTGTCAGACAAGGTCCTAGAGGAGATCAACAGATCATGGTGAGCGGGAGAGAACATACCATGCACATCAGATGCGAAGTAGAATAGGGCGCTTGCGAGGAACGGCAAGGAGGATTTTAACCACCTCATGGCCAGTAGAGAGGATGACAGCCAGAATAGACTTGATCGGCCGATGGAAGAGAAAAAACGAACGACAAAAGAGAGTCTACCGGGCGTGGTCGTTGGATAACATCAGGCAGCAGCGATAAGACTGCCAACCCCTTGGAAGTCGGATGGAAGCGCTGGAGATCTTGGCCGAGTGGAGTTCGATCGAGTGGGAGGGATCCGTCGGTCTCGGTGGCCCGGATGCAATTAATAATAAGGACGGGGGTGCAGGATGCACGTCGAGGGGGCAATCTGATGTTTGAAGACAACGAAGGTGGGTGACTGAGACAATGCAGGAGGCCCGCTGGGGCGCAGCAGTCGCAGTATGAATCTGGAGTCTTGGAGAGGTGAGGGAGCGAGAGGAGGGGAGAAGAGATCAGGGAAGGAGGATGAGGGGAACGAGAGATGAGGAGAGGTACTCCGCAGAGTAGAGAAAGAGGATGAAGGGGAGAGAGAGAGAGAGAGAGAGAATGAATGAAAGAGAGAAGTTGAAGTCTCAGGGTCCATCGTGGTGGAGTGATTGGACCCTTTCGGACAGTTCTTATTAAGAGAAGGATCGGCAACGCGCGTACAAAGTACGGAGTACTTACATACTCACAGTAGTACATAGTAACTATCTATTACTTGCATCGATACTTTCTTTTCTTCTTTCGATCATACTTGTACTTTAGAGGATGTCTCGATAGTGCTACATCCTTCCAGTTCCCACTGAAGATACTAATAATAATACGACTGCTACTACTACTAAACTACTACCGTCTCCGGATGGTCAGCCCTACTAGGCCCAACCGCGGAATGCCAATGCGACTAACGCCGTAGGGGCCGACTATCGCACACTATGGCGGACCATGGCGTCCACCAGCTCGCATGGTGGAAATGACTGCCAGAGTTATTTTCTACCTCGTCCTGATACATGCGGAGTTATTTATCCATCCCCCAACCATGGTACTCTCCTCCCGCCATGCGTCAATCAGGTGCAGCATGATACACTTCGTGCGCGACCAGCGCAAAGTGCGGGATCAAAACACCGCAGACGGTGCACGCGACGCTGGCCATGTCATCGTCTGGCTCGTCCTCACTTTCCTCCCACGCACCATCTCCGTCGTCCTCTGACGCACGACTACGGGGATGCTCGACAGAGGAGGGTATCTCGATCTCACGGCCCAGAGCCTGCTCCGAGCGATCTCCTTGCTGTTGGAACATCTTTCCAATGTCCCGTCCACTGCTCTGCTTGCGATCCCCCGCTCCATCCACCATATTTGTCACCGCGACGTTCAGCAGGCGTAGATTCCACCCCGACTTTGGCGGGTGCAGCTTGCGAAACATACCCATGGCCAGCTCCTCAACCAGACGCTCAGCCTGCGCATCCACCCCGTCGGCCAGATTATATACAAACGAGGGCAGAGGGGCGGAGCGGGAGATGCGATTGACCTTGTGGGCGTCTGCGGGGGTGGAGGATCGAGGGCAGGTGGAAAGACGGAACGTCTTCGGATAAGCCACCCATCGCGTGGAGACAGCCTCAGAAGCATCTCCTGTCTTCTTCTCGGTCAGATCAGTCCGCATACGGCGGATCAGACTCGACACCAGAGACAGCAACTCCCGCTTGACCCCTTCCACAGTATCGAGTCGTCCGTAGGAGTCTTCAATGCTAATCTGGGTCGGTAAGTCCCTCGCCTGGAGGACCTCCGCGTTGTCTACGCCATGGATCAGCCTCCACACTCGCACTCCGATATCCTTCGGCGACCCGGGGCCCCCAAGGAATTTATCCAACAATACGGGACCCATCCCAGGCGCACACCGCACATCACGGACGGTGACCTGGGTGGTCGGGAGATCATCTGGGGCATTCGAGGCGGTGCCGGAGTGGGCCGCTGACCGGGCAAGATACGAGGTAATTTTGTGGGCCAGTTTCGAGCCGATCCCGGGAACTTTCCGAATGTCATGGGAGTCCAAAAAGGCCAACACGTTGCTTTGGGCCGTGCTCTCGGGCGCAGTCGTATAGGGCGGGAGGAGTGTGGTCTGACTGTTGGGCTTATGCACGTTACCCACTAGCTTAGCCAGCAGTTTAGACGTTGAGACGCCCACGGTGGCAGTGTAGCCTCTTTGTTCTTCAAGCTGGCCCCGAAGATACGCGGCCAGATGGGACGCGACTAACAGGCGGGTGTACAGCCATGCGGACGGCGGATCCGCCAACGCAGAAGAGCCCACTGGGTAGGTTGGACCGCAGACTTGCGTGGCATTGTAGACAAACCCGGCGGTGGGATCGCGCGGGTCAAGATGAAAGAACGAGTGTTGCAGGTCGTTCTCGTTCAGAAGCTCCACGTTGTAGGCGACCATGTCGGTGACATCCAGAAAGACCTGCATCGTGGATCATCAGAAACAGACTCGTGGGTCTCCGTGTAGAGGCAGCAGTATTGTAAGTCGGTGGGACGCGAAGGAAAGCAAAAATAGAACACGATCAACACACCTCATCGAACCCTAGCCGTTCAACCTTCTCACCCCATACGAATTGGCGGAGGAAGAGATAGAGAGCCTTGGAGGCATCCCGGAACTTGGTCAGATCTTCACCCAGGACGATCACGACATCGGGGCAGATCTGCTTGGCTTCTTTGATCAACTGTAGCTTGCGGAGGCCTCGACGACGGGCCTCATAGTTACAGGTGACTACGATCTGCTTCTGTTGGACGGCCAAGGGTAGAGACTTGAGAAAGGGCTGTTCGACCTCGAAGACGGAAGCATAGAAGCAGTCATAATCCTGTGGGGTCCAAGGATGAGGCAGTGAGTGGTTAGTGGGGTGGACGCTGGCTAAGCAAGAGATAATATTCAATCAGACAGGTTGGTTGGGACTAACAAAGTGAATGATGATGCGCTGATCGTCTCTGGTCGGGGGAACCGCCATGAACTCCTTGTGGTTGTTGTTGATGAATGGAGTCGGAGTAGATGAGCTACAGGGCTGCAGAGGAACTGATGACGGCTAATGCAGCCTTGTGGGCGGGAGTGACTAAGCGTGTCTGCATAATTACTTCAGCAGCATGGCATAACTTAGGTAACTAGCTTAACTAGGTAAATCTGGTGTTTCTTTTTATAGGAGTGCTAAAAATACCTCCACTCTCATACATACTCCGCAGTATTATTATTATTAAGACACGAGGTGGCCGCCTTCTTGGATTTTCCATTCTTTACTTGAGGGCTGTTATAGATGTAGATAGATAGAATAAATATATTTTTTCTATTTTATTTCTTCTTTTCTTGCAAAGTCGAAGAAAAAGCAAAGAATAAGAATAGATCAGATGGATCGGCCGCGTAAGAAGGATCCTCTCAGCACGGGTCCAGACCAGACATAGTCGCCGCTGCGGCGTCAATAGTCCCGATGACGCTGAACTAAAGGTTTTTTTTTTTCTCTATGACAAGAGACCCTCCGCGTCTATTCTTATTCTTCTTCGTGGCGACTACTGGAACAGCTGGTGATTGAGAATTCTTCTGCCTCCTGTTGATATCTGGTTATTCTGGAGGGATCCATGAGCATACCGAATCATAATAATAACAATCAGAATGACGATCGATCGTGGGAGTTTCTAAAATAGGAAATCCCCTCTTCTCCATCATTCTTCTTCTTCTGCCTCTGCATCTCCATCAACATTCCTCTCTTATTTCTCTCTCGCCCTCTCTCTCTCTCCTCCCATCTCCCAACAGAACCGTCCAACAATCCCTCTAGTCCTGTCGATCGCCATATGCGCTTCAATCAATAATCGGTCCCTGCATCTACTCCACTTTCTCGAGTCCGCCTCAGTGATATCCACGCTTGGTGCGGGGAGGCGCAGTTCATTCTATCTCTCTTTTCTCCCTCCTCCTTCTTCTCCTCTCCTTCTGCCTCTCTCGTGTTCTCCCGTTCATCTCGGGAAAATTTCTCTGGTTTGGGGTCTCAGTCGCCATGCTCGTGTCCCTCATGCCCCCACAAACCTCGTTGCACTACCCTCGTCCACCTCCTCCCTCTTCGTCTTCGGCTGAGGATAAAGATGCCTCCTCCTCGCACGCTGTCATGACTTCCACGTTACCAACTTCCACCCAGTCCCCTTCCGCCGTCTCCCACTCCAACATGGCCTGTCCTCTAGCCACCGCGACGACTCCATCTCAGCGACGTCCTTCAGTCTCAAGACCGAAACTTACCCTCCAAACATCTTCCCTGCCCCGATCTTTTGGCAGCTCATCGACCGGTCTGTCGCTCTCTCTCGCCGGAGGGGCTACCGCTTCTCCCACCGTTCGCAACACCTTCAAAAATGCATACGATGTCCCTGTCCCCTCCTCCGCCACCGCCTCGCCTTCCAAATCCACCAACCACCGGTTCACCAAGCCATCCTCCCCATACCCATCAAATAACCCTTATCAGCTTCCTCTGGGGGTCAAGAGTATCCTTCGCAACTCTCCGCTAGAACCAACCACCCGAAGTCGATCCCTCTCTGTGGCCACCACTCCCAACGGATTACAACCTCCGCGCCGGGTCTTCTTCCCAGCCAAGAAACAAGTGAGCTATCGCCAGCCGTTGGAGGAAGAGATCCGTACGGTGCGTTATACTGCACGGCACTCCGATCTTACCGCGGAGTCGGATCCCGACCCTCGCGAAGCTGGCTCCGACGAGGACTCGGATTCCACCGCCAGCCTAACCCTCTCGGACGCAAGTACGTCGGAGGATGATGTCGACGGAAAACGCCGGGGCGAGGGCAAAAAGCGAAAGCACCATGGCGCAGACAGGCAGGTGCGCGCCGTGGCCCTGATGGACGGGCTGCAAGGAGAAAAGTATAGCTCCGACTCTGTGACCCCTCAGACGCCTTGCCAGTCCCGTAGTAAGCGTCGCTGCGAATGGCGATGGACCCTGGGCCCGCTGGAACTACGGGGTGGGTCTGACGCATCGCAAGAACCGACGACGAAGACCGCCCTACCGGAGGAAGAAGCCACGAGCCAACCGTCCTGCAACTCGTCTGATACTTCCTCAGGGAGCCCTCACAGCCCTGATCCCACTGAATGCACGACGACCGACGAGATTGACCGCGTGTCTCGCCGTCAGACCGAATGACGCTCGGTGACGAATCTATGCATGACGACGCATCTTGTTTCCTTTTGATTACGAACTTTATGCATATAGATGACGGATTCGCCCCACAGTGCACTTGGTTTATATTCATAATCTTCTATTCTTGGATCTCTGTCCCTCGAGAGCGGCATTTGACACGAACTGGCGGCGACATGATGACCTGGCATACTTGCATTTTCTCCCATCTTCTCCGGTACATATTCTACACCGCTGTTTAATAGAGCCTCTGCATTGCGATAGACGCTAGACATTCTTCGACCTAATTAATACATTACTCTGTACACGAATACGAGTGTCTGTGCTGATCGGGACTTTATATAGAAACGGGTGGAGTCTTCTCTCCACATCCCCGTGTCCGTGTCGATCCGTCCCTTGCATATCATCCATGGTACACCGTTCCGTGAATAGCGCCTGATCTTGCGCATCACTCATGGGAACACAATGACCATTACTACTGATATTAGCCAACGCTCATCCTACAGTAGCCATCATATAGAGCATTCCCTCTGTTCGACGGAGTCCTAATTATCCCATCGAAACCCATACGCTGTTGCGTGAAAGGATCCACAAATCTCACCAGGCATCCAGTCTGATAGGCATGAATCTTACTTGATTCTGTAGAGTGCGCAGACTGTAGATACAGTAGATGAAGAAGTGACACCGAGGAACGAGAAGGTTGATATACACCGTCTTCCCTTCGGTCTTTCAATTGATAATAGTCAGTTAATTCATAGTATATATCTCATTTGATATCATCAAGCGACTACCAGCTGACTGTGGTTCACAATGATGCAGATGAAGTAGAAGATAAGCGTGTAACTGAATTTGGGATCGGATTGCAAGGGGCCATCAATTACTTTATCTCCTCAGGTGCAGGATAGTGTGTTCGGGCTTGCTATCGAGGGACAATGGTCCATAAATTCGACGGCATATTTTCCATTATACTACGGTTCTCCAGGACAGGACCACAAACGGCTTCATGTACCATGTTACGACGCTCTATCTACTAAGTCTACTTTATAGATCGCTCTTAGATTGTCATGAAACAATTCCACTATTGATCGCCAAACTAGATATTAATACAAGTAATATACATCAGTCATCAATTGCCCGTCTCCGTCTCCAGGTCAGGCTCTCGTCCCGTCAAATCCCCGGAAAACCGATTCTTCACCTTCCGGAGCGCATACTTGGCTTCGTCCCGCGCAAACACCGCGTTCCGAGCCGGTTTCCACTGCATCATCCCCCGCTGGTGGCGCTGGTCGCTGCGGCGGTTCGCCCGTTTGGTGGATCTCTCGCTGGGCCCCGCCTGGCTGCTGCTCGGAGAGTCCAGCTGCGAGCTGGTGAAGGAAGATCGTTGCTCCTGTTGCTCCGAGTCAACCGTGGAAGTGGAATCATGCGACGACGCGCTGGAATTGCTCTCTTGCCGTACATGCTGCTGGTGCTGGAACCTCGCCGTGGTGTCCCCCTGGATAGCCGGGGGGTTCACGGGGTCATGCACCGGCTGGTCACTTCCAGGCTCCGCGATCTTCTCGCCCTGCTCGTCCACAAAAGCCGCCGGGTCCTGGCCGAACGCGCCGCTCCAGTCCTGTCCCTGCCGGTCGATCCATTGACGGCGTTCCCGCGGGTCAGCGTGCTTGAGAATGTCGCGGCCGTTGACCAGCGACTCCTCGTGCATGCGCTCGACGTCCTCAGGCACCTCGAGGGAGATGCTCCGCGACCGCACGCCCTCGGCAATGCACGCCTCCCAGGTTTCAAACGTCTCGCGCGAGTGGTCGTCGACGACGTACTGCTCGTGCGTTTCGTCGATGCCCGGCGTGAACCGCGCGTGGAACTGCACCCGGCCGATGATCTGCAGGTCCTCCAGCCCCGGCTCGCGCTTGACCTGCCAGTTGTCTTCGGTGATGTAGTTCTGCGTCAGGCGTTTGCCGTTCTTGGTCGACCACAGCGGGATGTCGATCGGCATGTCCTCGTTGTCGATCATGTGTTGCAGCCAGAGGATCGCGTAAGCCGCCACGCCGTGCTTGCCGGACGTGTGGAACTCCATCACGACCGGGGAGCGGTAGCGGTGCTTCACGGGGAGTCGGACCTTGCCGTGCACGGACGAATGGGTCAGGTCGAACGTCGTGTTGTTTCCGTGGACCGTGCAGGCGTGCCGTGAGATCTTCCCGCTGCTGCCGCCCGTGCGCAGCTTGATCTTGGCCTTGTGGTTGAAGTCTTGCACGGTGATCTTGTCCGAGGCGAACTCGAACGTCCCCACATCCCATCCCAGCATGTTGGGCGGGAGCTTGGTCTCGACATGGCGGAAGAGAAGCGACACGCGGATCCGTCCGTATCCGATGCCGCCGTCAAGCGGGTACCAGCGTGTCACCTGGGAGCTGGTCTGGAAGATATCGGAGAGCTTCAGCGGCACGACGCCCAGAATGGGATCGTGTTCGCGGTACCGCTGATCACGGACGGTGATGGTGACAACGGCGGAGCGCCAGTCGCGGACGAACCGCTCGGTTCCTGCGTTGAAGATCGGCTTCGAGCTGACAGCTTTTGGCCGAGTCCGGTAGATCTGTAAATTTGGTTAGAGGGTAGCCGCGCGATGGGGCCAATGGCTGTTTCTTACCAACTGGTCGTTGAGGATGATCTTGCAGTAGCTTGTGGGCAAGTCGGAACCCGTTTCCTCGCTCTTTTCACCGTACTCCCTGGCGGGCTCATACTCTCTGCCTTTTCGGTTGCCATTGCTGCCCTTGATGTTGGCCAGCTGCAGATTGACGATTTGGTGGACCACCACGCTCAGGATGCCACTGGGCCAAAGCGGATCCGGGGGAGTGTGAACGACCGCATCCTCTTCCTCATTGCTGATGACGCCTTTCTCGTCTTGGAACTCGGGAACATTCTTGAAGTTTTCAGGCAGGTCCTTCTTCTTGCCGTCCGTCCGAAGCTCAGCCCTGAGCTTGGGTTTGCCGAAGAAGCCAACTTCCCAGTGTAGTTCGCCTGGCATCTCGGTGCCCTCGCTGAGGCCTTGGAGTTTGGAAACCTGGGGGTACATACGACATGGGTGTTGGATCATCTCGCGAATGGGCAGCTCGATCTTGCCCACGATATCATCGGCGGTGTTGCGGTCCGAATCCCAGAGCTCCACGCTGAGGCTCTCGTTGGCCTTGATCAGCTCCGGCGTCACCAGCAACGCGGCCGTCTCTTCCCAGACCGGGTTGAGGTCGTCGCAGATGACGCGAGTACAGTACATGGGTTTGCCGTATTTGGAGAACGAAAGATTGATGTAAGGGTCGCTGCCGCCACCATAGCTGCCACGCCGGTCCTGCTTGCTGAGGCCGACAGCACGGTGGATGCGAACCCACATGATTCCCAGGGCCTGGGTCTCCTTGATGATGTCATCGCCCTTGAGGATCATGCTGAGATCCATTGTCATGGACTTGGGCGCTGCGAACAGGCCGCACGCGGTGGCGATTGCGTAGTTGACAAAGTTCGAGATTAATGGCAAGTTCAGGATATTCACGCCCCCTTTGACCATGGGCATGCAGCCAGCCCTGATATGGGGAATTCCCACAAGACTGAACGTCATGTCCTTCATGAAGGGTGCCTCTGGCATCAGCTGGAACCTGAGACGGACGGTTCCCACCATTTCCTTCAGCTCAACGAATACTGGAAAAGGGACGCCAAAAAGACCTCTGATGCCCAGGTAGAACACAATCTGCATGTGCATGTTGCGTGCCTTGGCCGAGGTGGACTGGCCCGTTGGTTTTGCGTGGTATGCAAACGATGCCTCCAGATTGTAGTGACTTCCACCTTCTTCAATCGCCGCCGCTTCATCAGGGTCCTTGTTCCGTTCGTTTTCCTCACGGATGTTGTCTTTTAGCTGCTGGACATGGTCGTGGTCATCGGGGAGGGACCGTAGACTGAGAATGCGTAGGGGGTTGCTCCCCTGGTCGATCTCTGCGATGCGGACGTTTTCGACCACACCGGGAGCCGAAGCCTGCATGATATCTTCGATTGTGTCCGCCACGGGAGACAACATCTCAGGGTTCACAAGTCCCCACACGACACCAAGGAAGGTGTTCATCCATTCAACGGACTCAGGCAGTAGGTTGGCAGTGGCCTAGACGAGATTGTTAGTAGACTTTGGAGAAGCGCGGGACATTTTCGGGGGTATACCGTCTGTCCTCTAAGCTGTTCGTTGCTCCATTCCATGTCGCGGCCGCTCCGGACTACCTCCTCCACCCACAGCCATACGCCACTTGCAATGCAAAAGCCCAGAAGGAAAAGCGCCCATATTGAGGTGCCAAATAATCGGCCAATAAAGAGGATCCCAAATACTATACCTATGCAGAGACCAATGCCCCGTCGTTCCAAGGCGTCAAACATCGGTTTGTATGTGACACTAGGGGTTGGGTGGAAAAGGATATTGGTTACCTCCCCATGGATGGGGACGTCCGATGTTGTGCCTTCGGCAATAGGATCTGGAGGGGCGGTGATATCCTGATTTTCGCGGTATTCATCGAAGCTCTGGTTGGGATCGGTTCTGACGGGCTTTATGAATTGTCAGTAAGGCCAGTCCCATAACAATACATCCAATGCATGCTTACCGTGGGCTTTCCGAGATTCGCATTTGGAACAACCAACTATACTAGGCGTTAGCTGGATGGTTGTCGGGAAGGACTGTAAGAGCCGACGTCTACCTTTGCGTTCTTCACGGCGTCCATGGAGTCCGAATCTTGGTCCTCGACCTCAATATCGCGGCCCGTCGTAGGATCCGTCACGACGCGGGTCTTTCCCTTTGATTTTCGTGGGCGATGAGGGATAGCCTCTGGCTTTGCATCTTTCTTCTCGGTCACTCTAGCTTTTTCCTGAGCATCCAACTCCTCTTCATGGGCCTTCCGCGCCTCCTTGTCCTGCTCCATACGCTCCAAGAACCGATGGATGGTTGGCACCGGATTCTGTGCGCTCCAGTGCTCCCCGACCCGGCGGTTTCTGGGGGACTCGGACCCTCCCATGCCTCGGGGATGGGGCGCCATTGTAGCGGCCGGAAGTGTTGGGAAGAGAACCGGGGGGATGTTGTTGTTGATGCAATGGGTGTCTGATTAGCGATGGTGGAAGACAGCCACCTCCAGTTTTTCAATGGAGGAAGAAACAACGACACCAAAGTATTTCACGGATTGGAAGATCTGATGAAGTCAGAAGTCTATAAGCTTGACTTGGGGCCGCCAGCCCTACCGCATCGGGACTACGTCATTGTGGAGGAAACGCTCCAATCCCCGGTTCAGACTGCCGGCTTGCACGTCAGCAACTTGTTCGTTCTATTCTAAGAGTAACTGGTGCCCGTCCAGGCATACTACATACCTCATATTTAACTACCTCAATCGAGTTGACCCATTCCCCATTCCACCCATGGACTGGATGCCAACTGACCCAACACGCCGATAGTCTTTCAGGGTCAAGCCAATACAAAGATCACAGTCAATTAGATTGATTCATCTTTCCAAGGAGAAAGTAGAATCTCACTCTCTCCTCATCATGAAGCAATTTGTGGGAGGTCTTGGCAGATGCAAGTGATGATGTCACCCGATGGTTCTTGAATTCGAGTAAACAACCACCTGCGATGATCATTCTACATTACTTGGACTTGTGTCTGATGATATCTTGGAATAATTCCGATTGCCTGTAGGGGTATTGTTAATAGAACAGTGCCCCATTGCGCTGTGTACAGAGTGCAATAGATACGTGATCCGGCGATATATAGTGACATGTCCATCCATTGTTGGCCCCCCTCCCACCAACTAATACCAATTCTTGTTCTACAGGTATTCTTAAATAAAGATATCAGACTGTAACCTAGAACTAGGAACTACAAGACCTGAACCTTTGACAATTCGCGTTCTACTCTGTAGAGCCTTCTGGGCGGTCAGATGATGTAAAACGTGACCGCACTGGAAACTCCCCGACGCGGCGTCGCCAGATATTCCCGATCCTCCTCCCCCAAATTTCACCCACCTCCAAACAACCGACCAAGATGTCGTCCCCCGAAGAATCTCCCGCCCAAAAAGCCGCTCGTCTCCGACGCGAGCGTCGCGAAGCAAAAATCAAAGAGGGCGGTGCTGCACGGTTGGACAAAATCACCAGTCTGAGCGGCCGCACCCCTCAACCCGGTACGAGAGCTCTCATCCCAACTCCAAACCCACGAAGCACAGAAACTAACTGGAACGCTCGTCAAGCCCGCGAAGCCACCTCCCCCTCCCCCTCTCCCTCACCACAGCCCCCCGCCTCGATCTCCCCCGCCCCAGAGACGCCACCTCAAGCACCCTCGCCGTCCCCTCTCGCTCGTCAACCATCCAATGCCGACCTCCCGCCCCCACCGGACGATCTCCAGGCCCAGCAAGACTTCATCCGCTCGCTGCTCCGGCAATCCGCCCCGTCCGGCGACCAACCCGGCCCTGACAGCGACGACCCAATGATGAAGCTGCTCGGTTCGCTCATGGCCGGCATGCCGGGCGGCGAGCAGCAGGGTGCAGGCACAGGCGCAGGTTCAGGCGCAAACGGCCCAGCCGCGCCGGGGATGTCGCCCGCAGATCTGGCCGCGACCCTGGGGGTGCCCCCGTTCGTAGCGAGCATGCTGGGGATGGCGACGCAGCCCAAGTCCGCAGCGGAGGAGCGAGCGGCTCGCGTATGGAAGACGCTGCATGTGGTGTTTGCGATCGCCGTCGGCGTGTATCTGCTGTTTGTGATTGGGTCGTCCATTGCGACGTTTGGGAGCTCGCCGCCGCCGCCGGCTACTGCGCGGAACCCGTTCTTGTATTTCACCACCGGGGAGCTGCTGTTGACCGGCGCGAGGGTGATGATTAAGAGCCGGAATGGGGGGTTGTCGGGACCGGGGCTGTACTTGCAGCTGTTTCGGGATGTGGTCCGTGATGGGAGCGTGGTGGTCTTTTTGCTGGGGATGGGCGCGTGGTGGCATCGTGATTGGATGGTCAATTGATTGAGGGTACGGTTTATAGGTGATGGACTTGTGCTTAGATACAGGTAGTTATGATCACGGTCGTGAAAAGCATCAAGCGATAATGCGTCTGGACTTTACTGTGCCGCTGCTCATGAACCTGTCGACGCAGTATCCATGTTTCGCGAACGATTCATATAGGCGGCGCGATGGGTGCTATGAACCGACTGAATGGTCGGCTGCATCTGACTGTCATAGGTATAGTCGGGGTAGCTGTGAAGCCCCTGTCACTGGGATGCATTCGATGTGAAACTAGACAGGTCATGGAGGTACTGTTGCTGCCGCTTCAGATTTAGAGATAGCATGGAATATCAGGTCTGAGCAAAGAACAGGCTCTGAGTACTATCTGATGCTGTGATCCCGATCCTGTGTCTTTGTCACTCATTTACAGAGTATGTTCGTCGCCACAAGAAGTTAGTTGCGTAGGACCACTTAGTCTCTATAGATAGCTTAACAACACTACATTGTTACTCGGCATGTGTCCGAACAAGGCCCAAGGCTCCGGCCGTTTTCATTACTCCCCCGAAGGCGTTGCACGAGAACCAACACTTGTAGATTGTTATCTACCTAGTATTCATCATCCGCTTACATTGGTTCAACAACTGTGATTGAATACGCATCCTATGATATGTACTACGCCAGGAACAACAAGAGTCTTCAAGATCCGGATGTCCCGTCTGCACCGACAAGCGCAGACAGTAACCAGCGGATAGTATTCCGGAGACCTACCGCATCGAGTAAAGGTCAAAATAAAGAACGACGTGCTGGCCAAACTTTATAAAAGGCCGGTCGATTTCAAGGCGGTCTTTGTGGATCAACCTCTGACAAGTGGGTTCCTGTTCCGAATGGTATTGTTGTTATTCGTACCTTGACATCGGGCTTGCACGGAGTCCTCCGTGAGTGTCAATCGGTGGAGTTTGCGTACACCGAGTAGTGAGTCTTGCGTGATAGTCCTGTGGAACCAAGTCTCGGCCAGACCTGAGTAAGTATCTCTTGCAAATCGATTGCTCAGTCTGCAAAGAGGCTTTCCAGTAGATACTGTCCAGCATTCGCTTAATACCCAATTGCTTCTCGAAGGAACCGCAAGAAGAAAGAGGAATTGAAGACGATAGGCTCAGACCAGCAGCAACGGATGAGCGGAAGGGTTAAGCAACGCTAAGAGACGCTAGAATAACGTCGGCAGGATTACTGCGCGTCGCTGACCCATCCGCGGAACTAAAAGGCTAGGTAGGCATTGGGGTATCCTGGCTTGCTGTTGTGGTGGATATGGATTGCAGGGGCATCCCGAATGCACGCTGCGTTTTCCACTAAAAGATTAGCGGGAGCTGAGGCGCAGTTGGTCCGCGCTGGATGTGTGGAAGACAGCGTCGGAAGGATCCGTTCACGAATGAGTGTCCGTCCGCACTGGGTGTGTGGTCCCGCCGGGTGGTTATTGCGACCTTGGAGTGCGACGGCTCGGTGGTGGGAGTGGTAGCGGCACGTCGCATTTGTTGTCGGGAACAGAACCCACCGTCGGTGTCTTTTGAGTTTCCTCAATAATCGGATTATGCATTGCATCGTGGATTCAGGAGTAAGGAGGGATAATCGGAGGGTCAGCTAACGCATGGACGGGGCGATTTGAGCGACTAAGAGGGACAAGGGCGGCCATCGAGGATCAACAGTCCGTAAGGTACTCTAGGCACGGAGGGGTTACCGATCTTCCATAGTAGGTACTCCGTAAAGCAGCATGGATGAGACGATGGCTCAACCGAGTCGGTCGGCCTAACGGTACGTTCGGAGTGAGAGAGAGTAGGCGGGCTCCTAGGTCTTACCTAGGTCCGGGATGAAGGGAAGAACAGCATTCTTCTGGAAACCGAGAACCGATATATAGTTCCAGACAGGGTGCACATCGATGAGCCATAACCTCGGTGGTGAATCGACTCAGGGCCGAGCTTCCGTATGGCCGGTGGGTAGATGCCTGCGATTTCAGGCCTATAATCCATCACCCCTTCCGGGCCCTTGCTGTGTACCTCAGTATCTAGGTAGGTAGTAGCATGGGCTATTGGATTGATTAGCTACTAAGCTCCAATATTTGGAGAATATCGACAGTCACGTCCATTACAGGAAATAATATTATAGTATGAACATGAATTCTAGGTCTTGTCCTCGGGTGGTAGAGCCCTCCCACGATTCTCCCCACAATCCTCACAGCGTGGGGAGATCTTGGCTCTTGTCGTATCGCGTAGCGTGAAGCTTGAGGAAGCCTCCTGAGAGCGAAAGATATGCGAGGCATGAAGTCTGCGCCGACATCCGATCGTAAAGCTATCGAGCTGCTGTACGAGTGTGGCTTAAGACTCATATATGTACTACTTAGGTACCTAAGCGCTCCATACAATACCCTTGTGTAACTGTCTCTGCATACTCTATACGGCCCTGTGGCCGGCTGAAGGTTCCCAGCCAGTCATCATATCCACCAGATGGTCGGGAGAGCGCCTAGTCCCATCTGAGTAAGTACAGTAGAGAAGAGAAAATGACGGAACCTAAACAGACTCCATTTAGGCTGTCTCGCCTGCCGATTGGGGACAAATTATCGCGGAGTCCGATCCGGGCCACGTTAAATTGAGAGTGGTAGGTGGGTTTCCTCATCCCTTGGTGGTTCCGGAAATTCCCTTTTGGATACTCTTCTGCCTGCCTTCTGCCTGTGATGCAGGGCCTGGCCATCCCAGCGAGGCAAGTGACCTCTTGCCATGTACTCCGTAGTGCCCAGTTAACTTAGGGTTAACCTCAGGCACGAACAGGCCACCTGTAAGCTGGAGGGTTCATGTTCGGGACAATGGAGGTCACTGAATCAGCGATTAGCTGCGAGGTCATTGGGCCAACCAGCCTTGGGTTCTTCTCTACCGACTTCCTGGTTGGCCCTAAGCATGGTACGATAAGACTGTATCCTCCGGTACACGATCGCCCGGCCCCAAGGAATCTTCCCAAGGGAAAGGTGGGATGTAGGTAGGACCCCGCACGGCAATGATGCAAGTTACGAGGCTACCCCTCCATTACCGCCTCTTGGCCGCTGTTCTTGTGATGGCTGACTGCCCCGTCTTGGTCGGTCTGGGGGCGGGAGGGTCCATTTCGGTGGATGGCTGGAATCATCTGCATCTCGTTCTCGACTCTCCTTGCTGAAGGGAAGCAGGTACATCGCATAAACGGGATGAATGCAGCTTTGTACAACCGACGATGCTGAAACGAAGAGGCTGAGTGGCCCGAAGAACCGCCAGGTGGAACTTGCATGTATAGTACATAAGGACTGAAATTCTGCCCATAATAATAGTTACCCAGGGGAGGGAGTCTCACAGACGGATCTTCGCCATCTTTCCCCGGAGCAACGGAAACGAGAACCTGTCAAGCCCCGCATGGCCGAGCCCAACTGCTTTTGGACGCGTTCGGGCCACCAGAGTAGCGGCCTCCACCCAGTCTCGCTCGCAGTAGGTACTGCCGGGAGGATCATCCTTCTGCTGCTGTATGTTCTATTAGGTATTAGGTATTATTATTCCGTGGATAGACAGGGTCTAGTAATTCACTGTATGTACTTATGGGTTACTTGCGGTTGTCGGTAACACTACAGAGTATAATTGAGAAATTGCATATTTATCATCTTTTCTTCCCTTTTCAGCATCAGCATTCCAGTTGATGATTGGCTTCTCTAAACAACTACTGCCTGAATCCGTCCGACATGTGTCTGTATTGACCTGGTAGAGAGACACCTGGGTTCACCCGTAGGCGGACCATGTGGAGAAAGCTCTGGGAATTTACATCACATCCGAGGTCTAAGTATCTCTTCGTAGAAGCCCGGGGAACAAGACGAGAGCTCTTGGGATATCCAGTCAAGATACCGAACCAAGACTGTGCAGACGGACGCCCGGAAGAGGTGGTTGACCCAAGGGAGTCGGAGGGAGTCGTAACCATCGCAGGGTGTCCACCGGCCGCCCGGGGGGAAACAAGAGCGGGACGGTCTCTCTCAACAACAATAATAATTAAATAATCCTCCTGCTAAGCCTACTAAAGCCGTCGCGGACCCATCCAGTTCACGGGGTTAAATATCTCAGTCTCCCCCATCGGACGACGGGTCGTTTTGCTTCCTACGATCTCTGTCTTCTTCCCCTTGTTCTTGTTCCTCCTCCTACCTCTTCCTCTCTACCTTGGCTATACATTCCTCCCGAAGATACCCTAGAGTACCCTCCGCATCCGGTAGGTAAATGACACCCCCCCCTAACTACTACTACTATTACTACTGCTACTGTACCCCACTGTCGGGGGGGAACCACCTGTTCTCGACCGCGACAGAAGCCCTGAATAATCCTCCCTCTCCCATACGCTTCTTCTACTTCTTCTCCTTCTTCATTTCTTCCTCCTTCTCCCACTCTCCATTGGGGCATGTTGAGGCGTTGAGCTAACTTCGTATCCCCGCAATCCTCACAGCTAGTCGGACTCTATCAATCGATCGATTGCCCCTCGCACCTTTTCTGCCGCTTCTCTTTTTTTTGGAGTCGTTCTGACTGCCCCCCGGGCTCACAACCATGTCCGAAGGCAACGTTATGCCCCCCAAGTCCTCCGTGGTAGGTTCTATCCTTCTGAATCCTTGTTCCCTTTTTCTGAAGGGAAAGAGGGAAAAACACCATGGGCGAAAGAAAAAAGAGGGGCCCCCTCTCCCCACCCATCAGGTCCAAATTCGGCCATTTTTCGGTCTACCCGCTAATTGAATCGCTTTTGTTGAATCCAGGTGGTGGAGGCCCACGAAGTCGACACTTTCCATGTTCCCAAGGCTTTCTATGAGAAACACCCCACCGGGACTCATCTGAAAGATCTCGACGAATACAAGAAGCTCTATGAGGAGTCCATCCGAAACCCCGACACCTTCTGGGCCCGCATGGCCCGGGAACTGCTCACCTTCGACAAGGACTTCCAGACGACCCACGTTGGCTCCTTGGCCAACGGTGACAATGCCTGGTTCGTTGAGGGTCGCTTAAATGCCTCCTTTAACTGTGTCGACCGCCATGCCCTGAAGAACCCCGACAAGGTCGCCATCATCTACGAAGCCGACGAGCCCAATGAGGGCCGCACCATCACTTACGGCGAGCTCCTGCGCGAGGTCTCGCGCGTCGCCTGGGTGCTGAAGCAGCATGGCGTGAAGAAGGGCGACACCGTCGCCATCTACCTCCCCATGATTCCCGAGGCCATCATTGCCTTCCTCGCGTGTTCGCGTATCGGTGCCGTCCACTCTGTCGTCTTCGCCGGTTTCTCCTCCGACTCGCTTCGGGACCGCGTTCTCGACGCTGGTTCCAAGGTCGTCATCACCACCGACGAGGGTAAGCGTGGCGGTAAGATCATCGGCACCAAGCGCATCGTCGATGAGGCGCTGAAGCAGTGCCCCGACGTGTCGAGCGTTCTGGTGTACAAGCGTACCGGCGCCGAGGTCCCTTGGACCCAGGGTCGTGACATCTGGTGGCACGAAGAGGTCGAGAAGTACCCCAACTACCTGGCGCCCGAGTCGATGAGCTCCGAGGACCCTCTCTTCCTCCTTTATACCTCGGGTTCCACTGGAAAGCCCAAGGGTGTCATGCACACGACCGCCGGTTATCTCCTGGGTGCTGCCATGACCGGCAAGTACGTGTTTGATATTCATGATGATGACCGCTACTTCTGCGGTGGTGATGTCGGCTGGATCACGGGCCACACCTATGTGGTGTACGCCCCTCTGCTTCTGGGATGTGCCACAGTGGTCTTTGAGAGTACCCCCGCCTACCCGAACTTCTCCCGCTACTGGGATGTTATCGAGAAACACAAGGTCACGCAGTTCTACGTCGCCCCCACCGCTCTGCGGCTGCTCAAGCGGGCTGGCGACGAGCATATCCATCACAAGATGGCCCACCTGCGTATTCTGGGCTCCGTCGGTGAACCCATCGCTGCCGAGGTCTGGAAGTGGTACTTTGAGAAGGTCGGAAAGGAAGAGGCGCACATTTGCGACGTAAGTAATTGTCTCCCGCGAGATAGTCTAAAAGATCTAACCTTTGTCAACCAGACATACTGGCAAACCGAGACTGGTTCCAACGTCATCACTCCTCTGGGTGGAATCACGCCCACGAAGCCCGGCAGTGCCTCCCTGCCCTTCTTCGGTATCGAGCCTGCCATCATTGACCCCGTCTCGGGCGAGGAGATCAGTGGCAACGATGTTGAGGGTGTGCTTGCCTTCAAGCAGCCTTGGCCTAGTATGGCCCGCACTGTCTGGGGTGCCCACAAGCGCTACATGGACACCTATCTGAATGTCTACAAGGGATACTATGTGAGTGGCCCCTGCGCAACCGAGTAAAAACGATCAACCGTGACTGACCGCTGCAATCATAGTTCACCGGTGATGGCGCTGGCCGTGACCACGAGGGATACTACTGGATCCGTGGTCGTGTTGATGACGTCGTGAACGTGTCGGGCCACCGTCTGTCGACTGCTGAAATCGAGGCTGCCCTTCTCGAGCACCGTAAGTGACACGGTGAAGATCGCGCGTGTGATCCCGACGCTAATCTATGCCCATAGACATGGTCGCCGAAGCCGCCGTCGTCGGCATTGCTGATGAGTTGACGGGCCAAGCCGTCAATGCCTTCGTTGCCCTCAAGGAGGGTAATGAGACGACCGAGCAGGTCCGCAAGGATCTGGTGATGCAGGTTCGCAAGTCGATCGGACCGTTCGCTGCCCCCAAGGCTGTCTTCGTTGTCGATGACCTCCCCAAGACCCGTAGCGGCAAGATCATGCGCCGTATTTTGCGGAAGATTCTGAGTGGCGAGGAGGACAGCCTTGGTGACACCTCGACGGTAAGATGAATTCCCTTCTCAATGATTCCCTGCTGTCATGATACTGACGTTGGACTATAGCTGTCGGATCCCTCCGTTGTCGACAAGATCATCCAAACGGTCCATGCTGCCCGTGGCAAATAAAGCATATATGGATGATAATGACCCGCGACAGGGGGATATAAATAAGAAGTATAAAAAAAATTGATGAAAAGATGGAACCTTAGTATATGATGCGATGAACTCGACTGGATTTGGCTCGAGGCCGACTTCCATTGCTCGTTTTGCAGATGCCATCCGCTTTGTGACTCCCGTGTTTTGATGTCTTCATTTGAATAGCGATGATGCCCCTAGTTGATCTATGTATAATCATCAATACTTACCCATATCCCACTGTTCTTTCGAGTAACAATACAACGTAACGTAAGGATGATGCCGGACGGGATTTCGGGCTGCTGGAGGCGGCACTCCACGTGACTCCTCTCATGAAAACGATCGCAATACCAGTTTCCATACCAAACTTACACCCACGTGACCATTCTCCTGTTGGGCCGCCATCAAGCTGGATGAGTCAGCGACGACGACGTGGTATGTAATTAACCACCCGAACCTAAACCAAACCTCCCTCTCTCTTTTCCTTCACCGTCGCGTTTCTTTCTTCTTCCCTCTCCTCGCCTTCGCCGTCTCCTTCTGTTTCGCTTCACTTTTACCTTGCCTTCTTTGTTCACTTCTAGCTCTGGCGGCCTTTCTCCGTCTGTAGCTGGTGTGAGCTTTCCTTTTTCTCTAACAGAAGAGCAGAAAAAAAATCAAAACAGTTTTTCCTTGCGGCGCGCGTCGAGTTTACCTCTCGACCTACAGCTCTTCCTAGCTTCTATCTCGGGCGAGCGCATCCATTTTCGGTGCTTAATCCAACAGTTAATCTCTACAACGAGCTTCTCGTTCCATTTTCGCACGTTCGCAGCGCCCGGTTTACTTCGCGGTCTTCGACCCGCTTCGAACGGATGAACGCATAAGCCCAACGGACACCGAACAGCATCATGTCTTTCGGATTCGGAGGATTCGGACAGAACAACCAGCAGAGCTCCGGCTTCGGCACCGGCTCTGGATTCGGTGGAACTAGTTCTGGCGGAGGTAGGTGACCTTCATCCCTCATCCCGTCATCGCTTTTCACCCGCCCTTGAGCGTTGTTACTCGACTTTTGTTTCTATCCCTCGTCTCTTGATACTTCATCGGCCCATGCTGGTGCTCCAGACGTCGACCCGCGACGGTTCCTCTCTTTCGACTTCTCGACCTCGTTACTATCCCGCGGAGGTTATCGACGCTAGAGCAATACAGCAGAGCAACAAGAGAAGGGATCGCAGCTTCCAGTACAATGTCTGACAGCATCATCCCCGTCATCTAGGCTTTGGATCCACATCGTCCCCTTTTGGTGGTGGCAACACATCAGGTGGTGGCCTGTTTGGGAATACTTCCAGTAGCTTTGGTTCCGGTGGAGGTACGTGCTCAACGACGATGTCCTCATGAGCTCGGCGATCCTTTCTCTTTCCTGCTGCGTGTCTTCCGGATATGGATCCTACCATCTTTTGCGCATACCTGTCTCGCGGATGGGGTAAAGTCAACTACACCAGACGTGTTTCCTGCCTGCCCGGAAGGTCGACCTCTATCCAGGGACTACTTGTTGGCCATATTGGAAGAGAGGAATCCGTCATCGTATTCACATCGGTTTTCTGGATACCATGCTCGGCATCGAGCGTCTTATTCGCTTTTCTCACTGAGCTTACATAGGCAGCCTTGTGCACGTTACTGACTTGAGTTATCATAGGTTTCGGATCCAACACACAAAAAACAGTCGAACTCCCTCTTCGGCGGTCAGAATCGCACCGGTACGGGATTGGAACCGCAACATCTTCTGGTGGAAGCCTTTTCGGCGGTGGCGCTACAAGTGGTGGTGGCTTTGGTAGCGGCGGCGGCGGCGGCTTCAGATCCTCTGGAGCCACCGGGGGCGGATTTGGAAGCTCTGGTGGTGGGCTTTTCGGAAACAAGACTGGAGGAGGGTTTGGTAGTACAACAACAACCCCTGGTGGTGGATTTGGCTCCAGCGGTGGCTTCGGTGGTGGTGGTGGTGGTACGGGCTTCGGTAGCGGGACGGGAACCGCTTTCCAGCAGGCAATTCCTCCCTCCGATGGCACCGCTAGCACACCATTCAGTGCATTCACCGAAAAAGATGGGGCCTCTAGCGTAACCAACCATTACCAGAGCATCTCGTTTATGCAGCCCTACAGCAAATACTCTTTCGAGGAGCTGCGTCTCGGTGACTACAACCAGGGTCGGCGGTTTGGAAATGGAAGCGGACAAGCTGGTGCTTTCGGTAGCTCGGCATTCGGAGGCTCCGGGTTCAACCAGCCCTCCACTGGTTTCGGAAGCACCTCCTCGCCTTTCGGCGGTGGCACCAGTGCGCCGTCTGGGTTTGGCACTACTCAGACTGCCGGTGGATTCGGGTCGACATCTAGCAATCCTCTCTTTGGAGCTTCCAAACCGGCTACTTCCCTCTTCGGCGGTGGTGGAACTACAGGCACCTCTCAGTCCGGTCTCTTTGGTGGAAACACTTCAACCACTGGCGGCTTCGGCACTACTTCTGGATCTACTGGTGGTTTCGGATCTGGCGGGGGCCTGTTTGGCAGCGGCACACAGCAGCAGCAACAGCAGAACAAGCCGTTGTTTGGATCAGGCACTACCTCCACTGGCACCGGTTTTGGCGGATTTGGTCAACAGGCCACAAGTACTTCTACTCCCTTTGGCGGCACTGCTGCTACGTCGTCTCCATTTGGAGGTGGCCAACAGCAGCAAACAGGAACAAGCGCCTTTGGCGGGTTTGGCCAGCAGAACCAGCAACAGGCCCAGACTCAGAATAAGGGCTTGTTCGGCAGCGGATTCGGGCAGACGAATCAGCAGCAACAGCCATCTTCCGGCGGCGGCCTTTTTGGAAGCGGAGGCACCACGACCGGCACCTCTCTTTTTGGTCAAGGTGCCCAACAAAATCAACAACCAGCGACTGGCGGCTCTTTGTTTGGAGGCACTGGCCAGCAGACCGGAACTGGAGGCTCCCTTTTCGGTGGTGGGAATCAACAACAGGGCCAGAAGAGTCTTTTCGGCACCGGTACCACGGGCACAGGCACCACTGGCGGTGCTTTCGGAGGATTTGGAGGTACGCAGACTCAGCAGACAGGAACGGGCGGTGGTCTATTTGGCGGTACCCAGACCCAACAGCAACAGAAACCGCTGTTCGGCGGTGGCACCGGCACCGGAGGCTCTCTTTTTGGGGGCACAAACACGGCAACTCAAGGTACCGGCTCCTCACTCTTTGGTGGTACCCAGACCCAGCAACCCCAGACTGGAGGTCTTGGCCTAGGAGGCTCTAGTCTCTTCGGTGGTAGCACCCAGCAAGCCCAGCCCCAGCAGCCACAACAGGCCCAGCAGCCGACCCCTGGTAGTCTGCAGGCTTCGCTGTTGGAAGGAAACCCTTATGGAAATCAGTCTATTTTCTCTGGACTGCCGGCCCCCAACGCATCCAGCCCAGGACCTTTAGCGACTCCCTTGTCAAGCTCCATCAAACAGAAACAGCGGACCCCGTTGCCTGTCTACAAGATCACACCTAATGCGGCTAACCGTCTTGTGACTCCTCCCAAGCGCCAGGGATACGGGTTCTCCTATTCGACCTACGGGTCTCCTTCTAGCAGCGCCGGAACACCCACTGGCCTTGGCGGCAGTCTTCTTGGTGGCAGCCTTCGCGGAAGTGTCGCCGGCGGCAGCCTCGGCCGTACTAGCTTTAGCAAGAGCTTCTCTACTAGCAACTTGCGCAAGACATTCGACCCGGATACTGACAGCGTTCTCTCCCCTGGAGCTCTTGCGACTGGCCCCTCGCGCTTATCAAGTGGCAGCTTGAAGCGTCTCACCATCGACCGCAGTCTGAGAAATGATCTCTTCGCTCGTCCTGCGAGCACCCCTGCGGCAATCACCAATGGCGAGGAATCGACCCCTCCCACTGACAAAATGAAGAAGAAGGTCAGCTTTGACGCCTCATCTACCACGACCGCGGGTGCCGAAATCGTCCCAGTGCAATCGGAAAGCCCTGAGCCCACGCCGGAGGAATTGGGCTTCTTGCGCTCGATTCGTAAGAGTGGCACTGTGAACGGTATCAATGGAATCAGCGCGACTACCAACAATGTCACTCGGCCGGAAATGGAGACTGTCCGTGCTCAGGACCTTCCTTCAGTTCCCGAGGACGCCGAACAGACAACGCCTGCTGAGGTTCCCTCCAGGCTTCCGTTCGTCCCTGGCGGCGACCCCCAGCCTGGCGAGTATTGGATGAGGCCGACCCGTGCGGAGCTCAACAAGATGAGCCGCGAGCAACTGAAACATGTTACCGGCTTCACCGTCGGCCGTCAACGTTGCGGTGAAGTGACATTCGACGAGCCCGTGGACTTGACTACGATCGACCTGGATCAAATCTTTGGTGGTCTGGTGGAGATCGGTGTGCGCAAGATCACTGTGTACCCAGATGAGGCCATCAAACCTCCTCGTGGTAAGGGATTGAACGTGCCCTCTATCCTTCGTATCGAGAACTCCTGGCCGCGGGGTAGAGACAAGAAGTCCCCGTCTCCGCTCACCAGCGGTCCTCTATTCGAGAAGCACGTCGATCGCCTGAGGAAGGTACACAACACCGAGTTCATCGATTATGAGAAGGGCACGGGAACCTGGGTTTTCAAGGTGCCCCATTACACCACCTACGGTCTTGATTACGATAGCGACGAGGAAGAAGAAGGTGAGAGCCTTAACCAGAGCACTTTGAGTGCTGGTCCTGACACTCCAACTGCGAAGGCCCAATCGCTATCCAACTTTGACAACACCATGGGTTCGGAGCAGATGTCGACCTTTTCAACTGACGACTCTTTTTTGGGCTCCGTGGCCGGGGTCGAGGACGACACTTTTGATTTCAAGAAACGGAAACTGGTTCCTGGATCATTTGGCAACCAGGCAATGGAGATGGCAGATGATCGGCAGTCGGCTTCGGAGGAGTCTTTTTTAGAGGAAGGCTCCACGGGTTCAACTATTGAGCAAGACGGTGAGGATATCACCGAGAGCCAGCAGTCTGGCGACTCAGAAGTTGAATCGGATGAGATTGAGGAAATGGACATGGCGGGTACATTTCCTGACCTTCATCCTACCGTGGAGCCAAATGGCGTTAAGAGCGCCGTCGAGGATTCCCAGCCCACCTTGAAGCCATGGAACACCCCTCCCAAGGCACGTCTTGATCTTACCGGCGATTGGGCCGAACAGCTGCAACGTACTATCAGCCCTCGCAAACAAGACCGCGATGCCCTACGTGGGATTCAAGCGAATGCCTTCACCGACCGACCCCTTCATGATGACAGTCCTAAGCAGTCGTCAACCAATGCCCAGCAGAAAAGTTTTGCCACTAGCATTGATTTGATGAATTCCCTCTTCCAACAACCGCGCAAGCAAGGTCAATCCCCATCGAAAGGGCGGAGTGCTCAGCCTAAAGGTTTTGAGTGGCCCTATCACAAGAAACCCAAAACCTTTGCAGGCGAATCGAATGAACTGAGTGGTGATGACATTGCCTTTCACCACTCGTTCAAGCCCCGATGGGGCCTCGACACCCTTATCACTGCAAAGAATGATGTCACAGATGCGTCTTCTGATGATGGTCGTTGGGAGCAAAAGTTCTCTATTACCAGCGAAGGCAGAGACATTGTTTTCTTGTCGTTGAATCAAAAGGCATCCTCCCTTGAGATGCTTGATGTGCAGAGGCAACTTTCGGCGATTACTCGCGTGGATGGCGTTCCCTTCGCTCGCTTGGAAAGGGCAGATTTCCGACACTTTGCGCAGGCCTCGTCAGGATCAAACCAAGAGCTTCTGGTGTGGCAGCTCGCCAACATACTCTTCAATGATGAGATCGAAGATGACATCTCAGCCGGCGTTCCAGTGCAACTCCGCGCAAAGTACATGCATCGCATCAAGAAGGATCGCCTTAGCCGACTGTGGGAGAAGATCGTCCGTGAAAAGCATGCCCATGACTTGGGCAAGGCTAGTTCGGCTGAAGAGCGTGCTGTTCACCTCCTCTGTTCACACCGTATCGAAGAGGCCTGTAACGTTCTCATGACAGGCCAGGATTTCCACTTGGCTACCCTTCTCTCGCAAATCAGCCGGGATCCTACGACCCGCGCGGACATGGCAAAGCAAGTTGAGATGTGGCGTCAGCACAATGTGTATTCCGAGATGAGCGAGCCCATCCGTGCCTTGTACGAGCTTTTGGCAGGTAATGCCCTTCGCAGCGAGGGCAAATCTGGCGGAGCCTTGGAAGACCGCGCTTCTACTTTCACCTTCACAGAACGGTTTGATTTGGATTGGTTCCAAGCATTTGGTCTCCGCCTATGGTACGGCATTACGGATGAAGAGCCGATTGAAGCTGCTGTTGCTCAGTTCATCAAGGACCTTACTCGCGGCGAGGAGCCGGCATTCCCCTACCCCCTGCACCAAGAAGGTTCGCGGGGAGTGATGCATACATCTGCAGATATCCTGGGGCGGGAATCTCCTCTGTGGGTGTTGCTGAAGACGTACTCTGCAACTGTGGGCACCCGTACCGATGTTGAACATCCTGCCTTGGAATTCCCTGCCGCGTTGCTTCCTGAGTCTGTCAGCGGAGACAAGTTATCCAACCGGTTGTCCTTCCAGCTGCACCAACTCCTTGCTGCCACCGTCGGTCAACATCACCGCCTGAAAATCGATACCGTACGGGCAGACCAACTGGTCCGCGACTATGCCTGGGAACTCAGCTGCAGTGGCGAACTCAACCGCGCCTTGTTCATACTCTTGCATCTGTCCAAGGCATCAGATCGTGAACAGGCTGTCAGAGAGACGTTGGCGCATTTTGCGTCCGAGCTACCTGGCCCGGTTACTCCTGCGGGCACACCCGACAGCAATTGGCAGTATTTGACCGTCGACCTGCAAATCCCTGCTGGGTGGATTTGGGTGGCCAAGGCTCTGTACGCTCGCGACACTGGTAATGCTGCCGATGAGGTGGATTGCTTGATTCGCGGCAAGCATTGGAACGACGCCCACGCTACCCTCTGTCGCATTGTGGGCCCCACTGCGGTGATCGAACGGGACTACGCAACCCTGGAGAAGCTGGTCACTGGATTTGGCGACGCGCCAGAGCGCAAAGTTCGGGGCTGGGCAAGTGGCGGCGGGGTGTACGAGGACTTCCTGCACCTGGCGACTGCGCCGAGCGGGTCACGCGATGCTAGTCGGCTCAACCGGCTGGTTAATGCGCTGGTGACGATGGGCAAGACGATCCAGCAGGCTTCAGGGGTGGAAGGTCTGGAGGAGCGGGTGGCTTTTACGGAAATGAGCAAGGCGGTCGCTCGGTGGACGGCGCACGATGATGGAAAGGTCAGTGTTATATGGAGTATCTATGAGGGAGCGTGTTCTAACGGACTTCAACAGGGAGTGGAATTGTCAAGTGTGTTGCGACTGCCTCTGACAGGCGATGCACGCATCCAACAGACGGCGGAGATGAGCCGCCGCTACTACGGAGTGGTCATGGCCGGTGCCTATTGAACAAAAATGAAAATCTAATGTATCAGTGTTGTTTTCCCCTTACTCTCCCCCTTTGCATGTTTTGATTGATGTTGTTGACCCTTCGGGGAATGTCTCTGTCCATGTCCCTCCTGTAATCCTAGGTTGTATTTCTCTCTCCGACGTTGAGAAGCACATTCTTGCGGATAGTTTGAACCATCTTGAGTGGTAGTTAGTTAGTTAGTTAGCCTCATATGAACGAATTGTGCATCTATCTCTGTGCCAGCGTAAGTACATGGCTCCCAGAAGGGTAAGGCCTACCACACGTAATGACTTCATATCACCTTCAATCCCAACCCTAACTTCCCCTTTTCCACCACATCCACCATGGACGTCGAGGCCTCTCAGTCCGCGCCCGCCTACTCAGCCTTCAGTCAGAATGCCAAACACTTCATCGTCTTCATGGTCACCATGGCGTCCTTCTTTTCCCCGCTCTCGGGCCAGATCTACTACCCTGTCATGCCGACCCTAGTCCACAACTACCATCTGACCACTGGCCTGATCAACCTCACCATCACCACCTACATGATCCTCCAGGGCCTCGCCCCAAGTTTCATGGGCACGTTCGCCGACTCCGGCGGCCGTCGACCGGCGTACATCCTCGCGTTCACCATCTACACCGCAGCCAACATCGGGCTCGCCCTGCAGAACAGCTACGCGGCCCTCATGGTCCTGCGATGCGTCCAGAGCGCAGGGAGCAGCGGAACCATCGCCTTCGGCTACGGCGTCGTCGCGGACATCGCCACCCCCGCTGAGCGCGGCTCGTACGTCGGTCCCATGGCCGCAGGTGTGATGGTTGCGCCGGCGCTGGGCCCCATCATCGGCGGACTCCTGGCCGAGTTCCTGGGCTGGCGCAGCGTGTTCTGGTTCCTCACGATCATCAGCGGCGGCTATCTCGCTCTGTACACCCTCACGATGCCTGAGACGGCCCGCGCAGTCGTCGGAGACGGTCAGTTCCCGCCCAAGGACTGGTGGAGGATGTCCGTCGTGCAGTACGTTCAACACCGTGCGAATCGTCCTCTCAGCGCAGACGAGCCATCGTCACCCCCTAACGAAGCCGCCTCCCCCCGGCCACCGCGACTCGCCTTCCCCAACCCGCTGAAGGCGTTCTCCGTCCTCCTCGAACCGGACGCCTTCATCATCATCGCCTTCGTCGGCCTCATCATGTTCGGCAACATCGCCCTGATGACGAGTACACCCAACCTCTTCACCCGGCTCTACGGACTCAACACCCTCCAGATCGGTCTGTGTTTCCTGTACGTATCCTCACATACCCATCACGCTTCTCCCCTCTCACCCAGCCATCTAACGCCCCCAGACCCCTAGGCGTGGGCGCCTGCATCGGCGCCGGCCTCAACGGCAAACTCCTCGACTGGAGCTACCGCCGCGCCGCCCGCGCCCACGGCTTCCCCATCGACCGCAAGAAGGGCGACGACCTGCGCCGGTTCCCGATCGAGCACGCGCGTCTGCAGTCTTTCTTCCCCATCATCGCCGTCGGTCTGGCCGCCTTCCTCCCATACGGCTGGACGCTGCACCAGCGCACCCATCTGGCCGTGCCGCTCGTGCTGCAGTTCTTCATTGGGCTCTCGTTCATCGCCGCAAATAACTCCCTGTCCACCCTGCTCGTGGACTTGTTTCCGGATCGGCCTGCTACCGCGTCCGCCGCGAGTAATCTGGTCCGGTGTTGGTTGGGCGCTGTGGGCGCTGCGGTCATTGATTACATGTTGAATGCTATGGGGGCTGGATGGTGCTTTACGTTCTGGGGGTTGGTGCTTTGTCTGGGTGTGGGTGTGGTGGTTCTGGAGTATAGATATGGGCTGCGGTGGCGGGAACGCCGGTTCCTTAGATTGGAGGAAAAGAGACGGAAGAAGCAGTCGCACCAGCTACAGGAAGTACAGCCCCAGAGGTCGCCGTCCCAGCGTGGTCAAGAGGATGTTGAGATGTCGGGGGCGAATAGACGTGATGATAAACCCGAGAGTGGCTTTTCCGGGGACGAACGGAAGGCATAAGATGGGTGGGCAATTAATGAGAGATGAATGATGACCGTCATGACCTTTATTATGTCCAGGACATTCTCGGCAGTGCACCTTCGGTTCTCCTTCAAGTCCTACTATTAAACGCAAATAACAAAAGAAATAATTGCTACCAGAACTGTATGAAACTGTACATGAGGACCAACATTAAGAACAAGCAAAGAACACCCCTGCTCAGAGACGGACGCCCTTTCTAGGCAATAAAAGAAGGAGGAAACCAAATGACTCTTTTTCGGTTGGCTCTCTGCCGCCCTCCTATTCATCAAAGAAAACGGAACAGACATGATATTCACAAACGTAGTTTTACATGCCCGGGGAAATCAGCTTGCCCTCGGCGCGGCTGTTGGGGTGCCAGCCACCGGCGTAGGGACCCTGGCCGAGCTCCTTGGAGTACTCTTGAATGCGGGCTTCAATCTCGGGGCGGAAGTGGCGGATCAGACCCTGGATGGGCCAGGCGAAAGCCTCACCCAGAGCGCAGATGGTGTGGCCCTCCACCTGCTTGGTCAGCTCCTGGAGCATGTCGATCTCACGCTCGCGGGCCTGGCCGGTCTCCAGACGCTGCATCATCTGCATTGTCCACTTGCTGCCCTCACGGCAGGGAGTGCACTGTCCGCAACTCTCGTGCTTGTAGAAGGTCGACAGACGGGAAATGGCGCGCACAATATCCGTGGACTTGTCCATGACGACGACGGCCGCGGTACCCAGACCGGTCTGAGAGTCCTTGAGGGCGTCGAAGTCCATGAGCTGGTCGTCACAGACGGACTTGGGGATGACGGGGGTCGAAGAACCACCCGGGATAACAGCGAGGAGGTTGTCCCAGCCGCCGCGGACGCCACCGCAGTGCTTCTCGATCAGCTCCTTAAGAGGGATGGACATCTCCTCCTCGACGGTGCAAGGGTTGTTGACGTGGCCGGAGATACAGAAGAGCTTGGTTCCGGAGTTCCGCTCACGACCGAAAGACGAGAACCAGCTGGCGCCACGACGCATGATGGTCGGGGTGACGGCGACGGTCTCGACGTTGGTGACGGTGCTGGGGCAGCCGAACAGACCGACGGCAGCGGGGAACGGAGGCTTCAGACGGGGCTTGCCGGCCTTGCCCTCGATGGATTCGATGAGGGAGGTCTCCTCACCGCACACGTAGGCACCCATTCCGCGGTGGATGTAGACGTCGAAATCGTAGCCGGTGCCGCAGGCGTTCTTGCCGATGAGGCCGGCCTCGTAGGCCTCGTTGATGGCGCGCTGGAGCACGGTAGCCTCGTGGTAGAACTCACCACGGATGTAGATGTAGGCGGCGTTGGCATTCATGGCACGGCCCACCACCAGACAACCCTCGATGAGCTTCTGGGGGTCCTTGCGCATGATCTCACGGTCCTTGCAGGTTCCGGGTTCACCCTCGTCGGCGTTGACGACCAGGTAGCGGGGTCTAGGGTCCTTGTCCCAGTCCTTGAAGTTCATGAAAGACTATCATTGAGAAGCATGGTGTTAGAAAGTCGCGAGGTTGTCCGGAACAGTCCGCACTTACGTATTTCAAACCCGAGGGGAAACCGGCGCCACCACGACCACGGAGACCGGAGGCCTTGAGTTCGGAGATGAGCTATCGACCAAAAACCGTCAGCATTCTCGATAATAAAACGTATTTCTCTCTACATTCAGACATCGAATGACGCAATTCCGGAATTCGAGGAAAGGTGGTGGACAGGCGTACCCAGTCATGGCCCTTCAAGACAATATCCTTGGTGCGGTACCAGTCGCCATACTTCATTGCCGACTTCAGATCCGCGCCATGGTGTCCGTAAAGGTTGGTGAAAATGCGGTCCTTGTCCTGCAGACCTCCGTAATGCCGAACCGGGTGGGCGTTATCCTGGACGGTCGCGAACGAACGGGCAGCCTGGCCCTGGACTCGGACGGAACGGGAGGAGAGGGAGGAAAGGGAGGAAGTCGAGGGAGCGGCCGCTCGAGATATCATGTTGACGGGTGGCGGAGGGCCCAATTGGCAGCAATGGGGGGGAGGATGAGGGGAAAAGAACGGCGTAGAAGGGGAAGAACGGACGAAGTTGCGTCGAAGTTGATGGAGGTGCTTTTGGCTGCTGAGAATCCGCCTTTGTCCGCTGTCTGATTGGCGGGTGTCTCGTCACGTGGGGCTGCTGAGTCATGTTCATTATTCATTGCATAAAATATACAATAGTCTGCATAACTGCATCTCCTACTTCTACCTGTAGACTGTATGCTGGCTACACCTCCCCTGCAACGTACAAATAACTCTCCGTCGCCAGCTGCACCGATCCTCCCGCCTCTGCGGCCACCAGCAGTCCCAGTGGATCCTCCGGAATCTGCACCGTCTCCTCCTGCACCACCATCCACGCCCATCGCAAGGAGTTGGGCGAAAGCCACCAGTCCACGGACCGCCAGTCTCCAGTATACGCCTCCAGATCAGACAGCAGGGAAACCCACTTGCGATCAGACTTGCATCGCTCGATATGTTCGTCTAGACCGGTCAGGAGTTCCTCCTCCTCGGGGTCGGGTAGACTGAGTAGCTCCTCTGACGACGGCGGAAGAGACTCGTATTTCTCCAGCAAGAAACTGACCCATGTTTTCAGCCGGGGTGAGAGCATGCTTGCGCCTGTATCAGTGCGATGGATACCCACAACCAAACAAAGGAATATAGGAAACACGAAGGGCGATGGCCCAGGTTGTCCCTCCCAGCCCGCGGTAGTGGCGGCGTCGATGAAGGCCTTGCACGGCTTCTGCATGTCTGCCGCGAACAGCCCAGACAATTCCCCTGGAGTAAATAGCTCTCCGTTATTTTTCACTAGCGAAGGTCGCTCCAGGATCCGGAATTGAATCCTCGAACGCACTTCTTCGGGGAAAAGACCAGCGGGCACACGGGCCATGTGCGCCGCAAGAAGCTGCTTGGTCTCCTCCCAGGAGCTGCCGACGTTATGCTGGAGAGCCCGGTTGAGCGTCCACGCCGCAATCACCAGAGCGGTCTGGGACAGCATGATCTGACTGTCGCGGTAGATCTTCGCGTGTGTTTGTTTCAGGTTCGTCGGGTTGTCCAGGCCATCCGCGGAGGCCTTCAGCCTTACAATGTGCGTGATCAATTCGATAATCACCTGGCCCAGAGCAGCGAGGATGGGCCTCGTGCGTGCATATGCTTGTGTCAGTCGGATCTCGTGCTCAGAGACCTCCAGTGTCTCCAACTCTCGGGAGTTTGCAGCCAGAACCGAGACGGCATTGAGCAGCGCCGGGGAGAAGATCGCGTGCTCCATTGACGTGTCTGGAGCGAGCAAAGGGTAGAAGATATTGAAAACATAATAATGATCGTCCTTCTCTCGGGATGGGAACATCTCCAGCTGGGCCTGTTTGGCGTCCTGCAGGGGACTTCCCGGGGGCGCCCGTAAGCTGAGGGTGCGATAGTCACACGGGTTGTTCTGGAGACAGAAACCGTAGTTCATCATCACTTGCATGCACGTCAGCTCGTTGACTAGGGAAGGATTGGATCATCAGGCGCTCACGTTGCTCGTTATTTCGAGGCCCATAATTATTCGCTACCTCCTCGCCAGCGGCAACATGCTCCAAAACAACAAAGAGCACATCACGCTCTCCAGCACGCCATTCCACCTTGGCCAATGGCCGGTGGTTCAAGACATCAATGAAAGGCAGAAGCACCGAGACATTTTCCTCGGGGAGTTCCGCATGGGGAACGACACCCGCCAGCACTTTGGCAGAGAATGCGCGCGAAACAAAAATCGTCGATGCCCAGAGATACAGCTCCCTTCGTCCGTCAGCAGGTTTCCCTCCCCGATACAAGCATAGCACAAGAGACAACTCACCATGTATACTTCTCCGCGTCTCCAAAACCCGACTTACGCAGCTCCTCAAACGTACTCTGATATTTCTCCTTCAGCAACGACTCCTTCTGCTCCCTCGCAGGAGCCAGACTCGTCCCCTCCAGCCACCGCAGATCCGCCCCCTCATAATACAGAGGCGTAGTCAGATCGCCTGGCTGAGGCAGCGTGCAGATATAAGGGTACCAGAAGCCCTCGCTCCCGCGCAGATACTGACCAATAAGAAAAAATATCGCCGTCTCATCCGGGCCAGCAGCGTCCACAAAACTCCGAGGGAAGTGAAGCCCATGTGCGGAGAACGAGACGGGAGCCTTTTCATTCTCCGTGGCAGCGCTGCGGTGCTCAATGGCGTTGAAGTACGACAGTGTGGCGGCCAGCGGAGTCTTGATCACATTCGTACTGCTGGGTAGCCCATCTCTGCAATCAGCTTTCACCTGCAAGTGGACGCCGCGACGTTCATCCTTGGCTATCTGTACGCTCTCATGAATGTGGCCGCCATGCTTGGACATCCATTCCAACAGCGTGGTGTAGGCCTCCAGGCTGGAGTCAGTGTTAGGCCTGTCCTGATCAGTAACCGAATTGCTTTGGTAGGTAGGAATTGATCCGTGTTTTGAACTGATAAGGGCACAGCTTACCTGGAAGTATCCATCGTTTGACAGACGCCAGTATCCGGATTTCAATTGAAAGACAAGACGTCTAGTATTTACTTCCTGAATGTATGTATTGGAAGTGGGGGATATGCGATGGAACGAAGGCAGAAATCTCCCGCCAATTGTGATGATGAATAATGATCCGCTTTTTGCGGTGACGTGTGGAATCTGCATTTTGCCCTGCTCTCCTTTACAAAAGCCTCCATGATATCCTCTACACACATGATCCAATTCAATTGAAAGTAATTGACGTAAACATGATTTGCGCATCTACCTCGGCTATCGTACACGTCTCTGGCGCAACCCAGAGGTGGAAAATCCCAGAAAATGTCAATGAACAGAAAGAAAAAAGCAGCAAAAGAGAACGCCATAGATCGTTCACATATCCATCAACCCACGTATATCATCCTCAGCGAACACCCCATCCACAGTCTAACCGCCTTTCTTCGTATCCAGGCATGTGTCCTCCAAAAGATCAACATGAACCAAATGCAATGCAATCAATAGTGTACATCATCATGAGGATGAGTCTCGTCGGAATAATGGCCAAGCGCGATCACCGTCCTACAAAATAAACGGAAAGGTAGGCAGAATGTGACAGAAAGGGTAGGAATCAACATGCACACGACCGCGATCATGCTCAAGACTTCCTTCCGGGAACCAAGATTTCGACTAGCCCGTCGTCCTCGCCGTCACTGCTGTCGTTCTGGTCGTCGTCTCCAAAGGGCGATCCTCCAATGCGGGACTGCCGGAAGCTCTTGTATCGTCCAGGTCCCAGGTCTGGGTAGCCCAAAGACTCGTTCATGATGGCCTCATCCTCGTCATCCGAGTCCATCATCCCTGACCCGAGAGAAGGGCCGACCATCTCGCCCATATCGTCCTCGTCTTCGTCAATCTCAAGGGGAACACGCTCAGTCCGTCGCTGACCCTCCATCCGGCCGTCTCCGCCTTCATCAGAATTAGAAAACGAATCTGGCGGGCTAAACCCTGATTCCGGGAATGTAGGAGACGACAAAGGTTCGTTCTTGTGCCCAGTGTTGAAGTCGGTTGACGGGAAGGCCGCTCGGGCAGGAGAGCCTGACCCATCACCGTCGTCCTCCAGGCCTGCGATCACAAACGGATTACTAGGCCACTGGGAATTACTGTTGTCGTGAGCCGTTTCCTGGTTGCCGTCTTCACCTCGTTCTTCGCTATTCTCTGCATTCTCGGCCGCTTGCTGCTTCTGCATAGCAAGTCGGGCAGCCAGCTGTCGCCGTGCCCGTGACGGTCCGAGACTCAAGGGAGCAGGTGGCGGGGGCAGGATAGGAATAGGTTGGCTTGTAGAGCTTGAAGACGCCTATGGTTATGAATGGTTAGCGGTCTGTATTCATCCATGTTGAAATGTTGTACAAACAAGGCACAGAAGTTTCGCTAGAAAAGGGGTATTTCTTGGTGTACAAAAACAGAGGTCACATAAGCCAAGCTACTCGGAACTAACAAGCATGCGAGGGGCGAGGGTCCTTGATATCCGGAGCAGTGGCATAGGACCTTGGAGAGATCACAGGACGGTTGCATATATGCACAAGAAGTTCTTCAAGAACCAGGCTAAGAGCCAAGCCCTCAATGGCCGCCGCCATTGTCTCCATCATATCACACACGCACAAAACCCTCGCAAGCGTTTGACATGCAATTGAAAAGTATCAATGAGGCAAAGGAAATGGGGAGAATATCGGCAACAAGAGTGGTATCAAGGGAGAATGCATAGCTCACCGAGCAGGTCATCACGAATCATGCATGTCAACATCAACAAAAAAATCATCACCTACATCGTCAGAGCCGCCTTCAGCGGATTGTTCACCGGTGTTTCTGTCTTCCTGGTCTTCCATTTCTTCGTCTTCGTCGTCACTGGAGCTTGCAAAGCCGCTGAGTAGAGAGCTGCCGCCGCCACTGAAACCGAAAGCTCCGCCGGAGACGCTGCCTTGGTTCATCATATCAAAGCCTTGGAAGCCAGATCCTCCAGCTGCACCGTTCAATCCTGCCTCAGCCAATGCTGATGAGGTATTCATACTCTGACCGGAGCTCAGCATGCCTTGGCGGTGCCCAATGGACATGTCGGGGCGCACTCCACCCAGGATCGCGTTGTCGCGCTCCCTGGTTTCCGAAAGGGTTTGTTCAACGTAGTCAATCCATTCAGGGTTCAACACGCTGTCCATGACGGTCTGAGAGAGTAGCTCAGGCGGGTGGCGTTCACTGAACTTGACGACTTCTTCCGCGATAAGGGTCAGGTGTCCCATGTAACCAAGGCGAATTCGTTTTGTCCGCTGCGTCTCATCGCTACGCTTTTGCCCCGCAACGACCTCCTGCGTTATCCGACCAGTTTCGAAAAGGTCGACGGCCAATGCACGGTTGAATCCGCGTTCCATCGGTCCATTGAAGACCTGCTGGACAACATCATACACAACATTGTGGAGGAAGTTATTCCACGGGAAGCGGAAGAAGAAATCCTAACAAGTGTGTTAACAAAATCGTCCGACTCTTGACTTGAAAAAGCACTTACCAGGATAGTGGGGACGACCCGATTTTCGACAAACATAAGCTTCAAATAATCACCTACAACAGGCTGACCGTTTGGGTCGTACTGAATATCCGGATGCATTTGTTGGAAGGCCTTGGTTTCCTCTGGTGTAGGCAACTCTTCGACACCTGAACCGCTGGAATCAGATGCAGCGTTGGCTTCTCCAGCAGCGCCTGAAGTCGGGGCGCTGGACTCTTGGCCCGACTGCTTTGCGGCGAAGAGAGGTGCAGGGACCGCCTCTGGATGGGAAGACATCGGAGCGGACGGTTCAGTCTCCTTTGGAGTTTCAGTTGAATTGAGAGACACCTCACCGATTCGATGCGTGAGACCCGTCGGCGACAACGGATCGGAGGGCGGCGTGTGCGCTTCAGCTGAGCTACTCGTCTCCGTCGATTCTTCCTTTTCACCATGGGGGACCTCCTCAGCCTGTTCCGTTGGCGACTCTTCCGAAGTGTCTTGAGATTGTGGAGCCGCGGTGTGCTGAGAAGGCGTCTGGGTCTCATCCGAGTCGTCCTTCTCCTTGTCGACGAGCACCCCCGATGAGTGAACGTCTTCAAAGCTATCCTCACCGGTATTCACAGGTTCAGTGGTCCTGGAGTCTTCCGGAGACTCAGGAGCGAGTACTGAGCCATTTACGAGATCCACAGTCGAGTCGTTTCCATCGAAAGCCGAAGACTCATCCCTATGATGGTCGAAGACCCCTTCACGCACCAGTCTTTCGCGTTCAGCGTCGCGTTGTTGTACATAATCATCGCTTCCAGGCTCGTTGAGAAGGCCCATGTTACTGCAGTGCAGCAACTCTGCCATCAACTCACATGTCTTGAATCGGTCGAAACCGAGGGGCTCGATCTTGCCGCCCCAAGCGGAGTTGAGCTGGCCCCTTTCGACGCACTTTACCGTGCCTCCCTCGCTGATGGTATGTTTGGAGCTCTGGATTAGGGCCATAAAATCGGGTATATGTTTGGCGAATAGTCGCAGCAAATTGCCCAGGTAGATGGGATCGTATGTGGTGGGCATGGAGTCGGGGCCATTCAAAGTCTCCGGGTCATAGTCGGAGTTGTTCTTGCGAATCACTTCGATCACGATCCCCACGCCGACGGTCAAGGGGTTCCCACCCTTCAACATGGATTTGATGAGGCTTTCCACACATGGCTTGGAGACCAATTGGCGCGTTAGACTGTTGGGTCCAATGCACGACTGATCGTTCTGAGTGGCATTTGCAGATATCGTAATGATGGCCTTCAAGAAATCGCCTGCAGAAGTCTGCACAGAAGCAGGCCAGTCAGGCGATAAGAATGATAGCAGAGTCGGAATCAGGTCTTGCGATTTTAACCACTATAACTTGGGTTAGGTCGGTTGCGCGAAACAAAGCGAGCGTCAGACTTACATCAACAATTCCCTGACCTCCCTCTACCTTTTCCAGACTGATTATTTTCAGCAGCAGGTCCATAACCATGGGGTTATCGACATGTTGGAGGATTGCCGGGATGACCTCATCCACAGACTTGAAGAAGTCCAGCATCTCACTCGTCTTTTTATCGAATAGCGTCTCATTCACTTTGGTGAAATAACTAGCCTGGACCGAGTCCAGAGGTGGCGGCCTTCGGAGGAAGTCCCAAAAGTCTCGCAAGTGGTCGGTGTTGAGCATGATGGAGTCAACGATGGACCACACTTCGGATGAGAGGATCTCGCACGCAATGCAGGCACGCCGGAGACGATCCTTTTCCGCCCTGTCCAGGTCTTCAGGGCCCAGCATGTCCTTGAGCGAATCCCCATGATCTTTCTCCTCGGTGGAGGCATCCTTGTTGTTCTGTTCGGCTTTATCGTCACCGGTGCTGTCGTTCTTCTCATTGTCCTCGTCGTCTTCGTCCTCGTTCACTAAGGCAGGGGCGATCACATAGTCCATAAGCCGTTTCAAGACATTATCATCGCGTAAATATTCTATGAGCTTCGTATTATGTTGCTTTAGCTCCTGAATCAGCTCCGACTCGTCCAGGAGTTCCTCCAGGCTGACATCGGGCTTATCCAGCAGGGTATCCACGGTGGAGATACTTGCATGTCCTCCGAAACGCCAAAACATGGTGGATTATATAATTGGGCGGAAATATTCATGGAAGGAAGTGAGGTATCACAAGCACTTTTGGAGAGGAGGCTGATCTCCGCCGATGAGAGTTCGCGGTGAAGAGCGTCTCTATCGTACAAGGGCCGCAGGAGGGAGCGGAGAAGGTCAGCGTGGGATCCTCGTGCGATGATGCGTGGCGTCTGGATATTAGGCTATTTTCCCAAGAAGGTAAATTCGGTCGTCATATGCAAATCGATTCGGATCATCCAGCGATGACAAGAGAAGGCAGGGCAGAATATGATCGGAGCGACCGAGCGCTAGAAAGAGAGGGGGGGTTCTGTTAGCCATCTGATGTAATGTCCGGGGGTGGTGGTGCTGGCCCCCAAGGGAGCCTCAGCTGAAGGGGTCATCCCAAGTCCGAGCCTCGCAAACGCTCGAGTTCGAGGGAGTGGAGACCACCACGGATCGGATCGAAAGCATCCAAATTCCACTTATACATACCTTCCAGACCTAAGGGAATGACGATGAAGGGAAATAGTCCCTGACGACTCCTTGACAAGGGGGGTAGGGGCCTAGACGGAGTGATAATCACACACACATGCACACACCGTCCGAGGCGTCGGTCGGAGCAAGTCGAGGGTAAAAGGGTTGATTGAAAAGCACAGACGAAACCAGTCCGTCAGTCCATGCGACAGTTCAATCGGGCACACAGTCACTGGAGGAGGGATAGGTATGAGAGCGAGGAGTGTTGAGAGTGATGGGAGTGGGGGTGGGGAGAAGAGGGAGCGAGAGGTTGGTACAGTGAGGTAGGTTAGAACAGTCAGTCAGTAGTCAGTAGTAGTAAGGTGCTGGGCGGGCTGCGTCTGGATCGGCCGGCAAAGATCCCTGACGAACGCAAGAGTCCAGGGAGTAAGGCGGCGGAAATACCCAACGACCTTAAGCCCGATGAGCGGCGGGGAAGGAAATTAACCAAAGCTGAGACGAAAGAGGGGAAGGGGGAAAACTCGTTTCAGGGTGAATAGTTAGTTATGTTGTAGTGCTTTAATAATCCTACGTATTTGTTCCGATGGATTTCATTTACGATTCTAAAACAAACAGCCTCCTGTCTACATCTCTGGTGATCTTGTCATCTGTTTCGAATTTCCCCATTCTTCGTTTTAATTCCGATCAGCCAGCTACAGATTACTCCGTACGGAGTACAGGTGAGCACGACCTTTCGGGAAGCAATGTGGGTCAAGTCATGTGATTTTAACCACTTTTGGCTTATGAAGAGAGTGTATTATATGTATAAATACTGTATCAGTAAGGACTGCAATTTAATCACGTCTGGGCAGTCTGTGTAGGAACTGCTATATCTATAGCAGCTCTTAAATCCTGCAATATCATCTCATATAATTCTATCTCACTGCCGTGTTAGTTGTTGAATTATAGCGATTATGTCAGACAAGGAGTAGTAGGCTATTAAACCGTATATCCAAGACGATACTTGCCTGACAGATAAGATGGCCGAGTGGTCTAAGGTCCGTTGACCTCATGTCCAATAGTAAACCAACATCATTAACTGTCTTTTTACCATCTCAATTCTGTATGGGCAAAACATTACTCCACTATTCAAAGCGCAGCGATGCAGCTAAAATCCAACTAAATACCTATCAACTATAGGCTAGAAGATAATGTCGGAGCAGAGTCGGAATTAGCAGTAGCACTCTTGTTTTAACCTTCAGAGAAAGATTGGTCAGACGCAATGCCATCGTACAATATATTAATCTCTTTAAAGCTCTTCTTGACCGTCTCCTTCAAACAAAAGGCAGATAAGTATGTATTCAGTAGTTCGTCCTCCCTAACCATGGCGTCACGTGCATCCTAGTAACCATACCGTAATCAGTAATCCACCACTGTCCCATTTAGGCTACCTGTACCTGGTACTCCGTAGGTCTTCTGCCTAGAAGCTCCTGTGGTCCCAAGGAGCTCCCCTCTGCGCACCTTCACCTCCCTCCACACCATCCCGGTGATGCCATCTTCCTGATCGTACCCGCATGATACCCACTGGCTAGCCCACCTGCAGTCATCTCACCACCCAACTTCGTCGTACCTTCTAAACATCACCGCCACCTACCCCACGTCCATCTCCCGCAGCGCAACGACACCATGAATCGCCTGTTCGGGACCAAGAGCACCGCTCCCAAGCCCACGCTTGACAGTGCCATTTCCAATGTAAGTAGTCATTCCCCTTTTCCTCCTCCTCTCATTTTCCCCGCATCACTCGCATGGCAGACCAAAGGATAGTTAACATCCGGCTCGCAGGTGGACAACCGCATCTCCAGTATAGACGTCAAGCTCGCGGCGCTGAACTCCGAACTTTCGACCTACCAAACGAAGATCTCCAAGATGCGGGACGGGCCCGGCAAGAACGCGCTGCGGCAGAAGGCGCTCAAAGTCCTGCAGCGGCGGAAACAGTACGAGGCCCAGCGAGACCAGCTCGCGCAGCAGTCGTGGAACATGGAACAGGCCGGGATGATGCAGGACAACCTCAAGAACGTGATGACGACCGTGGACGCCATGAAGACCACCACCAAGACGCTCAAGCAGCAGTACGGCAAGATCGACGTCGACCAGATCGAGCGCATGCAGGACGAAATGGCGGATCTGATGGAGGTCGGCAACGAGATCCAGGAGAGCATCTCGCGCGCGTATGACGTCCCTGAGGACGTCGACGAGGCCGAGCTGGATGCGGAGCTTGAGGCGCTTGGCGAGGAGACCATGCTGGAAAGCTCCATGGGCGAGAGCGCCATGCCGAGCTTCATGCAGGATGAAGTGTCGGTGCCGCAGTTTATTGACGAACCCCCGGAGCAGGGCAAGGTGAAGGAGCCGGCCAGTGGTCTGGGTTAACGATTTTTCTTCATGATGATATGGAGTTGAGATTATGGCAGTATTGGAGTTGGTTTTCTTTCTTGAGTCTAGTATATGGGTCGATTCTATATGCACTATCTGTCTATTTCTTTCTTCTATCCGTTTTTCTAGCCTATGCCACATGCGAATGCTTCCAGTTTGTTCTTCAACGTTTCCAGGTCTCACATCAAGTCCCCCCGTGCGAGTTTTTCACAGCATTGGCAGGCTCGGCTTCAAGCCTTACCGAGTCCAACCAGAACAAGTAGAGCGACATTCATCACTGCGATAATTAGCCACACAATGATAGCGATGCTAGTGGTGAACCAATTGTTTCTCATCTTCACCCCCTCCGTTCGGTTATCGTTCTCGCCATAGCTGACTCGCTCAACGGGGACAGTCATGTAACTGCTGCGGCAAGTGAAGTAGACGAGAGGTGCGGTGACAAACGGAAGGATGACGCTCAGCACAACTTGGCTGGCGTTTAGGGTCTTGTCTAGTCCCTCTCTCCCCACCGCCGCGGCGATGATGATACTGGGAATGATGCTGATGGAACGGGTGATAAGTCTGCGAAGCCAAGGCCGGATGCTCCAGTTCAGCATTCCCTCACTCACCATCTGGCCCGCCATGGTGCACACGATACCTGCAGAGATTCCGGAGAGGAGCAATGCCAATGCAAAGATCAAGCCGGCTGCAGGAGCAATAGAGCTGGAGAGAAGGTCGTGGATAGCCCAGAGATCGGCATCATCCGCACTCGCTGTCCCATAGAGGGAAGCACCGGCGACGATAAGGATCGCACTATTGACGAAAAGAGCAAACGTGAAGAGGGACAGAGTCAGCTCGATGATAGAATACTTCATGCAGCCGCGTATCGCATGGATACTCGGTCTATACTCCACCTCTCCACCAGTACTCCCTAAGCAGACGGAAGGGTCTACGTAGCCTTGAGTGACGTCAAACTCTTTCAACCGAGACTGGACAACTCCACTTCCGAGAAACATAGAGTGAGGCATGACGGTAGCACCGAGAATGCCGCAGCTTTGGTAGAGGCTATTATTCGAGGATTAGCGCTAAATATCAGAAAAAGCATATGACGGTGTATCTTCTCACCCTTTGGATTGCACTATCGCAGACGATGGCAGGTATCCCCGAAAGACGTCCCCAATCGACTCGTGTTTGATAAGGGAAAGTTGAATACAGAAGCAGATCACCACCCCAAGGACCAAGGCCGTGACGAAGAGCTCAAACAAGCGTAATCCCCACATCGCGCCATTGGGTCTATAGAAGATGAGAATGAACAGGACATCGGCGAGAGTAATGGCGCATCCAGCGACCAGAGGGATCTTGAGTAGCAAATTGAGAGCGATGGCGGACCCCACAACCTAGACAAACATCAGGACTGCGGCGGAATAGACGCAAGATTGGAGGGGCCTTACTTCTGCGATATCGGTCGCGACTATTGCAGATTCGGAGAATATGTAGAGAATGATGACAAGCCACTTGGGTAGATGTTCTCGACAATTCTCGGCGAGGTTCAGTCCTGTCACGGTACCCAGCTTGATACACAATGACTGCAAGAAAATGGCAAAAAGATTGGATAGAAGAACAATGAATAGTAAAGCGTAGCGGAATTCGGCGCCGGCAGCGATATCAGTCGAGTAGTTTCCGGGGTCAATGTAGGCTACGGCGATCAGGAAACCGGGGCCAATGAAGCGGGAGAACTTGACAATGGATTGGGCCATGCGAACAAAAAGTGAAGACGTAAAGGTCGTAAAAGATCGGCGAGGTGGTCTGTTGTCCCCAGGTGATTCACACCCGGGGGTCGCAGCGACCACTTCGCCTGGGGTCTTCTTTTCAATCTCGGTTCCGTTGTCGTCTTGTTCAGGTCGTTGCGATGGCATGGTTGCGATCCCTTCCCCCGAAGTGCCTCCCACGCCTGAAGCATGTCTTCTGTGCACCTTTGAGTTGGCGATTCCGTTGAAATCGTTGCGGGTGGTCAAGTCTGCATTCAGGGCGGGAGGGTTCTGATTCCACCCGGGATGTTCGAGCGTGTCGTCGGTGCGGGAGGGGCAATTCATGGCGGATTTGACAGGGCGAAGTCTCAGCGGTAGTACTGTGACATGAGAGACGGAGTGGACAGGAAGATCGCTCGTCGTCCGTTTGATCGCGATGGAGAATTTGGTGGCCTGGGAGAGAACCTTGTGGGGGCCTCACGTTGACGCTTACCGAAACCGCCCGACTGTGTCGACGATCGCTGCAGTGAAGGACTGTGCAGTGGTAAGATCAGGATGCGATGAGTCAATTATCGTGAAAAATTGTTATGAAGCCCACATCGCGGCATTGAGATGCGAGAAGGGAGAAGACAGAGAATGAATATGTGAGGTAAGAAGGTGGAAGACATGGTTATAAGGTTACCATGACATGACGGCATTCGCTGTTCTCGGGAGGAACCCGAAAACGCCCTATCATGATGCAGTGGGAGGACGTCAAGATGATCCTAGGGAAAGAATCAAATGGAAATGCATATCTCAAGATTCTAAAGCGAATGTATTTCTATAAGAAGGGAGTATATCGATAAAGCCCACCCCCACGATCCAAGAAACTGATAGAGAGGATCTGCCTTGGCGGGGGGGGGCAGATCTTGGTAGAGACGGATGCGTCCACTACATACTAAATACGGAATCCCATGCAACAATCCGACAGTCTGTAGATGTTTCTCCCGACGACAACCAATGCACCACGTCAGAGGGCTTCTGCCTTTGTTGTCAGATCAGATAGCAAGCAAAGACAGACAACAAGGCCCATCATTTGATGGATAAAGTGCAGAGGATGCGACTGCAATGCGGCCATTGTTCTCCGAGGCGGGTTGCCCCCAGCAACGTCGATGACGGCGTTCTGTTTACATGCCGTGGGCTCCTCCACTCCAGACAGACTGCGATCATTCCTCCGCAACGGCCTAGACGGCGCTCTTTAGTCGATCTTTAGCCTGTGGGCGATGCAGGTCGGCCCTCTTCAAATGTCCGGTATGCCCTCCAGTCGTGGATTCTCGTGATCGGTCATCTTTTTTCTTCCTCTTTCGTCTTCGACTTCGCTCTTCTCCATCGCATCTCGTTGTCTCTGTTGTCCTTTCAATGTCTTTGGCTTCTCGCAAAGACATCTCGTTATCCTTTTGCTGTTCTTAATTGCTCTGTTGTCTGCATTGCTCTTTTTGTTTTTCTCTCGCATCACTCGTCCTTGCATTGATTGCCGTTGCATCAAGCTCGTCTCCCCGTAAGTCTTCCTGTCCCTGTCGGTCTCCATATCTCCTTTGTCCCATGTCTCACTCTTTATTCCCTGGCTTCCTCACTAATCATACCCATAGTTTCAGGTTAAAGGCTTAGAGATGGCTTCCAACATGCAAGCTCCCGCCATTTTCGACGACGCTACCCGGCTGCCTCCCAAACCCTCCGTCTTCAAAGCGTTCCTCTCTTCCTCCAAAGCCCATCGCAGAAACCTTTCCACCGACGATGCCATCTCCTCCAAGGCATCCCATAAAAGTCAGCCTTCAGAAAGCTCTTCCATATCTCCCATCGACCAAGCCTACGCTACTCTGAATCAACAGCCTCTGGCCGAGATCGCCCCCAATCGCGATGGTCCATATCCTGCCCCCACCCAGCAGAAGAAAGGAGGCTTACACAAAAAGACCAAAAGTGCAGTCTCCCTCAAGTCGCTGAGGAACTACATGGAACGGAAAGAGCAAAAACCAGAAGAACCCGCCCAGGAGTCCGCCGACATGAAGCCGAAGAAGGCCAAGTCAGCCAACAGTCTCTCGGCCATTCTGAAACGCTCTCAACGAGGACGGAAGGGTGATGGCTCAAAGGATGGCCGTGATAAGGAAAACCGCAGTCCGACCGACCTCGTCGATAGCATGCCTTCCCCTCTCTGGGGTCCCTACACACCAGAACCTTTCAGCGATCAACAAGCCATGCCATACTCTCACAACAGGCGCAGGACCCTGCAAGAAGAAGTGTCCCTCTATACTCCCAAGGGGTATGGTCCGGACCAACAACGTAATTTCTGTGACTACCAGCAGCCTTCCCTCACAAACCGAGCTGCGGCCAAGCCACGCCCGAAGTCCAATATCTTCTCAGGGAATCGCAAAGTAAAGGACTTCTTTGGTCCCCTGCAGAATATTTCCCTAGAGAGGTTGTCGATTGTGGATCAACCTGATACCTCCTCGTCGAAGACGCGAGGACGACCTCGAGGCCTGTCGAAGCCCGAACCCTGCCCACAGCCTGAGCAGAGGCAGGAAGAAAGCCCTAAGAGGGTCTCCCGCGTCCAAGCGGCCATTTCGGCATTCAACGCAAAAGAAAGGGAAGCCGAGTTGCAGAAGAAACTAAACTCAAAAGATCTCGAGAGCGAGTTCGAAAAGCTTCTGGTCAGTACCCATTGTGAATGGCGGCGTAGCTTGGGGCTAACGGAGTAACAGGACGCGAGGAACATCCCTCATAACATGAGAGATAAGATGCGATCACTAGACACGAACATCAAGGCTGATTTTATTCAAAAAGATCGAGCAGAGAGTACTCCACTCAGTGCCGGACCAAACACCACCACGTTTGCCAACGATAGCACGGGCCGACGTGGACGCCGCAAAGACCAAAAGGATGAGCAGCAGAGTCAGGATGGGAAAGGCTCGCGGTCCCGGTCCAGGAGTCGGGGTTTTACGTTTTCCAAGCGCACCTCCTCTCCCACAAAAAAGCAGCGGCCTGAGATCGGGATATCATATCGGCGTCCCAAATCTGCTGATCTCTCCCAACCGGCAGGACTTTCTAAGATACTGACCCCGGCGACATCTACGACATCTCTATCTGCGACAGCGTGCCGTGATACCGCCGCGGATCCTTCGGATTTCGTTCATTACCTGAGAGAGATTCAAAAGCCGGAGATGATCGAGATAGGCAAGATGCATAAGCTTCGGATCCTCCTGCGAAACGAGACCGTCAGCTGGGTTGACACTTTCATCGCGGACGGAGGAATGGATGAGATCGTACAGTTAATCTACAGGATCATGAAGGTTGAATGGAGGTGCGTTTTGGATCTTACTGCGAGAGGGAAATACACGCTAACACCTCCCAAGGGAAGAACATGAGGACAATCTGCTCCACGAGACCTTGCTGTGTTTGAAAGCACTCTGCACGACTTCCAAGGCGTTACAGGGCCTCACCGCTATCGAATCCGAACTCTTCCCGGCGTTGCTTAAGATGCTGTTTGACGAGGAAAAGAAAGGGCCGAGCGAGTTTACTACGCGCGGTATCATCATCAACCTGATTTTCACCCAACTTTCCTTTGCAACTTCCGACAGGGATGCAGCGTCGCGTGCTGCTCGCATCCTTTCCTACCTGCGGGACCCTTCGCCACCAGTGGAGAACCAGCCGTTGTCATTCATTGCCAATATTTACCAGTCGCGGCCCTATCGAGTTTGGTGCAAAGAAGTTACGAACGTGACGAAAGAAGTCTTCTGGATCTTCCTGCATCACTTGAACGTGATACCGATCGTGAAGAATGAAACGTCTACTTCGGACTCCTTCCGGGCCCGCCATTTCCCAGCTCCCCGGCCTCCAGTTCCAGCTGCGCCGTATGTCGGTGGGGTCGAATGGGATGCCACCAATTATCTCGCCGCTCATTTGGATCTCGTGAATGGGCTCATTGCGTCCCTTCCGTCGGCCGAAGAGCGGAACCAGCTGAGGACAGAGCTCAGAGCTTCCGGGTTCGAGAAGGTTATGGGCGGCAGCTTGAGAACCTGCAAGGAGAAGTTCTACGGCTCGGTCCATGATTGTCTGCGCACCTGGGTGGCTGCCGCTGCGGAAGACGGGTGGCCCTACCTGGCAGTGCGTGAAGGCCCACCGCGTCCGGAGCCTAAGTCGCCCACCAAGTCCCCCATCAAAGGCGGTAGTCCGAAGAAGGGCCTTCTTGATGAAAAGCCTCCCAGACTGGAGCTTGCGCTGGACCCTCCTGCTAACCGAGTGTCTCGGACGGAAGAAGTTGGCAATTGGCTGTAGCTGGCTCTCGATGCTCCGGTTCAACCTTTGCCTTCAACCCGTGCATCAGCGTGGTCTCTACACATGTTGTGGCGTTTTCTTCCTACCTGTTTTTCTACTCCATATTCAGCTTACTTACGTTCTCTTACAGTTTTGGGATATTGAGGCCCGGCGTTGGTATTTTCTGGGCGTCCTGGGATGCATTTCTCCGTTGGCGAAAGGGCATGGCGAGATGATTTAATGAAGGAATGGGCCCCTTACACGACGAGTTTTGACGTTGTCGCAGGTGCATGTCAGACAGCGATTCTTATCTTTTGCACCGACCGCCGTGTCGTAGCTCCGCCTTCTTTGACACGATGAATGACTGATGTCCCGCATTGTAGTTAACCAGACCGACAGTTGATTTAAGCATGATTGCCAGTTTGATATTTTCTCGGATTCTAAGATAATGTACAATATGCCCCGACAGGAAAGGAACGGAGAGCGGGAAGCTCTTCCTCTGGTATCATATCTCTTACCAATAAAACTCCGTATGCATAGATGCATCTATGAATATCGTTAATCGATCATTCTTTGGTACTGTCGTCCGATTTAGCGACAGGTCGGGGCGGCTGGGGAGTAGAGAAGGCGCCTTTGACGCCCGTAAAGAAGGTTTTCCGAATCTGCGACAGCGTCAGTCGTAATTTGTATTTGTATTATCTTCGCAAGAAAGACTCTCACCTCGTCGAACGGACTTCCCCGTTCATCCCACTCCATGAACAGCATCGCATAGACGAGAACAACTAATCGCATCAATGCATCAGCGCCATCCTACCACAGCACATCGTCCTCATCAACGAGGACGGTATCTTACATCCAATCGCAGTCCACTGAGCCAGCTTGGTCGCCTTGGTCCACTTCGGACGGGCGAACTTGAGCGCCGCGCGACGGCGGTACTTGCGCTCGAGGCGGAATTGGTGCTTGGGGGAGAGCTTGGACATATCTGGGGGCCATTGGCGCTTGGGTTTATACGGGCTGTAGTATTCGCCGTCGAGGGGCGGGTGCGTGTCGGATGTGCTGGAGGGGTTGGAGCTGAGACGGAATGGGAAGGAGAGGGTTGCGGATGTGTGGGAGAATGGTCGCGTCGATGTCAGGGTCGGAGTTGGAGACGAGCGAGTCTGGTTAGGGGGTTGGTTGTTAGTTGGAGTGGTTTGTCGAGGGACTGTATTCGGGGTTGGGGAACGTACGTGAGAGGCTTGGAGGGATGTCCATGGGGAGACGGACCGGGGTGTGGATGTGGAGGAGAGGAGGGAGGAAGACCTCCGTGGGAGCAGGAATCGAAACATTTGGATGCTGTATCTGTTTGTGCAGCCAAAGGTGTGTATAGACTGGTGGTGGTGGATAGAGTTGAGGACGGAGAAAAAGCTTCCCCGATAAGCGTGGAGTTCCGCCGCCAAGACTGTTCCGCCAGCCAGATTAGTCGGTTTAAAGGATATCGGGTCTAAGATTATTGATCCTCTGTCTAGTTAGGATTTGTGCAGTGTTTACTCTATATTCTAATGTATCTGTATAATTGGATTTAGTCTGATGTCTGGTTGTATCCAACAATATACGCGCAATGTGATTGGGAGGCTAGACCGAAATATATATTCGGACTGTTCACATCATCTGTGCCGAAACTACACATTTTCTACCCAAGTGCTACCGTATGCCTCGGAATTGTATATACCGACGACGAGACACTTGAATGCCGCAGTCACAGTAATCGTAGTCCTGTCTCTGAACAGCTAAGAGTGGCTTGAATTGATGTATACGCTATATATCGGGTACTCCAATCAATCCCTCAAAACATAGTAAGGAGCAAATGATCCTGTGTCATTATCACAAGATCAAACCGTGCTTAGTCTGATGATGATGCGGTCTTCACATGAAACTGACGAGGCAATCGGGAATCCCGTGACTTCCCCGTCCATCCCGGAACAATGATGATGCGGGAACCTCGGTACTTTCACAGGTCGGGGGCAACCATTATTTATTACTGACAGCATCGTCTCCACGGGGTTCCTCTCCTAGACAGTATTCTTAAAGAAATCCCCTTCTTTCCTCTCTTTCTACCTTCTCTCCACGTTCCATCCCCGTGTTTGAGGTCTATCCATCTTGCCTTTCGTCTTCCTGTTCTTCTATACCCATTCCGTTGACGTCATACCATCACCATCATGTCTTCTGGTAAGCCACCACTCTTGCTAATCACTGGGGCTGAATGAAGTCTGACTGACCGCCGATAGCCCAGCAACGTCTCACTCAGGTCGCCTCCCACTTCGGCGCGGGCGGCAAGAAGGGTGTCGCCGCCATCACCGAGAAGCACCCCAATGATATTGTTGTGACTTGTGCCCTGCGTACTGCCCTCACCAAGGGCGGTAAGGGTGGCTTCAAGGACACTGCCGCTGCGGATCTGCTCGCCGGTGTCTTCAAGGGCGTCATCGAGCGCAGTGGAATTGACCCCAAGCTCGTCGATGATGTTGCCGTCGGTTCCGTCCTTGCCCCTGGTGGCGGTGCCACCGAGTTCCGTGCTGCTGCTCTCGTGGCTGGTTTCCCCGAGACTACAGCCGTCAAGAGTCTGAACCGTCAGTGCTCCAGTGGTCTGCAGGCTATTGTTGACATTGCCAACGCCATCAACTCTGGTATGATCGATGTCGGTATCGGTGCTGGTGTTGAGAGCATGTCCTCTCAGTATGGGTACGTTTCGAGAAGCCTTGCGTGATTCTGGATCTTTACTCACAATGCACTAGCCCTGGTGCCGTCACCGAGTTCTCCGAGCTCCTCGAAAACCACATGGAGGCCGCCAACTGCAAGGTGCCCATGGGTGTCCTGTCCGAGCAGATGGCCAAGGACCGCAACGTCACCCGCGCTGCCCAGGATGCTTTCGCCGCTGCTTCCTACCAAAAGGCCGTCAAGGCCCAGAAGGCTGGTCTCTTCAACGAGGAGATCTACCCCCTTCAGGTCAAGTGGACCGATCCCAAGTCCGGCGAGGAGAAGACTATTACCGTGAAGGCCGACGATGGCATCCGTGACGGCATCACCCCCGAGTCTCTGGGCAAGATCCGTCCCGCGTTCGCCAAGGATGGCTCCATCCACGCTGGTAACGCTTCTCAGATCTCCGACGGCGCGGCCGCGGTCCTCCTGATGAAGCGTTCCACTGCTGAGCGTCTCGGCCAGAAGATCCTGGGCAAGTACGTTGCCGCCAGTGTGGTCGGCGTGAAGCCCCTTCTCATGGGTATTGGTCCCTGGAAGGCCATCCCGGTGGCCCTCGAGAAGGCCGGCATCACCAAGGACGACGTTGACATCTACGAGATCAACGAGGCCTTTGCCTCCCAGTGCGTGTGGTGTGTCAACGAGCTGGGCCTGCCCCAGGAGAAGATCAACCCCAAGGGCGGAGCCATCGCCTTCGGTCACCCTCTCGGTTGCACCGGAGCCCGTCAAATCAGCACGCTGATGACGGAGCTGCAGCGCACCAACAAGAAGATTGGTGTGACTAGCATGTGCGTGGGTACCGGTATGGGCATGGCTGCCGTCTGGGTTCGCGAGTAGAGGATGGCTCGCGGGCTTAAAATTCTTTCACTTTTGTCTTACTTATGTTGTTTTCTATTGTACAGCGATCTTATACATGGGACGGGTTTTCAATTGTAGTTGCATACTTGTCAGAATACCAAGGGAGCAGGAGACTCTGAATTGAGAAGATACCTGTTGTGGTCAAGACCGTGTTCATTTGTAGTTCATCTAGCCGTAGTCCATCTGGGCCCGCTTGCGACTCCTAAATCTTCGTCCGGAACTGCTTGAAAGCATCAAACACGTTCATGCCTTGCTCCACCGCCTCCTTGACCTTGTCGTCCATGGCCACCAGCTTCGGCATGACCTCAAGAACCTGGTCCAATAGATCGCGCGGAATCGCAACCACGCCTTCCAGCGGATCGCAGAAGATAATATCACCCTGGAGAAAATAGCGTCAGAAACGGTCAAATAGTTCTAAACAAAATTGAAACCCACCGGAGAGACAGTCACACCCCCAAGGGAAACAGGCACATTCCGCGCTCCCGGTTTGGCTTCCGCACCGGTACCCACCGTCGACGTACCATGAGCCCAAACCTGCAGTTTCAGTTCCTCATTAGCCAAACAAACACCTTTTGGACGTCTGACAATAGGGAACCTCGACAAACCGGAAGTTGACAAGCATTGATCTCAGCGAGATCTCGCACGCGGCCATTGACAACTGCGCCTTGGACGCCGAGCGTCTTCATGCGCACCGCCATGATGCCGCCCAGGACGGCGCAGTACTGGCCGGCGGGCTGCTCGATCACGGCGACGGTCCCGGGCTCAGCCCAGTCGACCCAGTGCGTGCCGGCCGGGAAGCTGTGGGTGTCGGCAGTCTCCGGGACGGGGTCATTCTTTGCGATGAATTTGGCGGTCCATGCGGGCGCGATGATTTTGGGTGCAGTGGCGTTTCGGCCGATGGTGGGGGAGAAGGGGACTGGTTGTGCACGGTTAGTATGTAGATATGGAGCTGGGTCTGGATGGCGCACCAAAGTCTGCGAGATGGCCTGCTCGCGGGGCGGTGCCCTCGGGGGCCTTTTGGAGTTTGAGTAGAGCGTCTGAGATCTATATGATGGGGTCTTTGTGAGCCATGATGTGGTGAGGGCGAGGAGTATAGCTAGGTCTGCCGTACGTCACATGCCGAGAAGTTCTGGAGGGCGTTCAGCTTTTCTTGCAGGGAGGTCGTCATAGTGCGTCTTGCAAATTGGCTCCGAGGAATCGAGATCAAAGTACTACGGGGGAGGAGCCCAGAAGACGTTCGGAGGGCTCTTGGGATGGTCCTGGGCAGGATATCCATGCGATGTGATGCTCAGTATGGTTGGTGCGGGGAGGTTCGGAGGAGCGGAGGTTAGTACAATGAATGGGATGTTTTGATAGTACAGATATCAGGGCTTTGATTAGATTGAGATCAATGATCAGACGCGTGCTCTGTTGTTCAGATAAGGTCGATTGATCGGATATACTGCAATAGTTAATAGTCTGGAACCGGAGCATCCCGTGAGAAGCGAAGATAACCGAGGATGTGGTGTTGACATCATTCAGGAACGGCAGACATACTGCGTGCATCCACATGTTAAAGTGAGACAGACAATAGACCTTAAGCATGTTGACTTTATTTGTGGGCGCTCTTTTAATTGCTGTTCTACCAGGTAGTATACAGTTGTGGTCGGTCCTTGATACCGTACATCTCGCCGTGAACCAGCCAACCATTCCCATTATCTCCACCATCTTGGTGGAATAACCCATAGGACATCAGCGACTTTGATATATTCTAGAAATCCAAACTGATCGATCCTTAATTCCGTAGATAGTTGCACCCTGAGTGAGTCGAGACAGGCCTCATTAGTCAGCCTTTGATACCCCGCGATCTGCTCTTCTTGCCTTATTGGGCCTCGTGCTTTTCTCCGGATATTATCCGGGCTGCGGCCACCTACAATATAGACATCCTCTCCAAACTCCCGTCCACTGTCATAGAATTCTCCTCTACAGTATACTCTCCATCATGACTCGTGCACCCGCTACCTTCACCGCCGAACAACTGGAGCAGTATCTCCAACGCATTGGATATGCCAACGACGCCGTCGCCACGGGAGATGCCCGCCTAGATCGTCTCCAGCAAGCTGTCATTCAAAGCCCCCTGGCGGCCCTGACGGAACTGCAGCGACGACATCTCGCGGCTATCCCGTGGGGTAACTCGGCGCTGCATTACTCCACCCATCATTCCATCTCAACTCATCCCGCCTGCGTCTTTAGGAAACTGGTCACCCGTCGTCTGGATGGCTACTGTATGGAGAATACCAACCTCCTCTATGTGGTCCTATGCTCCTTGGGATACCAGGTGTACCCGACTGGCGGGCGAGTGAGCAATGCACTTGCCGGTGGGGATCCGACTGACGAGACTTACATCTATCTGTACGTATCGACTGTCCACTGAGACTTCGCTTCGTGAGATCGGGACATGCGAAAGACCTGTCTAACTGATGAGACACGTAGGAGTCACATGATCCTCATCGTGACCATAGCTGACAAGAGATATATGGTACGTATTCGAGCTAAGACTGAAGGAAGCAGTTTCTCATCAGGATACACTAGGTCGACGTGGGTTTCGGCCGCAACGCGCCTACCAGTCCGCTACCGCTGCAGGAAGACGTCTCTGCGACGTTGATTGCACCCGAAGAGATGCGCTTAATCAAGACCAGCCTTGCTGAGTGTGTGGATCAAACTCAGAAGTTCTGGGTCTACCAGGCCCGGTCCCCCGGCGGTCATTGGACTCCCAACTATTCGTTCTCCGAGATGGAGCTCCTGCCGCAGGACTTCGGCATGATCAACTTCTACACCAGTCAGAACCGCTCAAGCTTCTTCACCCAACGGCTGGTGTGCACGCGGGTGATCCTAGACGATCATTTGGAACCTGTGGGCATCTACATCCTGTCAGGGACGGAGGTCAAGAAGACGCTCCGGGGGGAGACGGAGGTTGTGGCATCGTTTAAGACGGAAGAGGATAGAGTTCGCGCAATGGCCGAATACTTCGGCATGTATTTCCATGAACATGAGGTCCAGGGAGTCCGCGGGTTACCGTCTCAGATCAAATAAGCATCGCAACCGGACAACTGCGTTGCCAATCATGCTCCTTTGGAAATATGTGTACTGGTACATAGCGTATAGATATAGTTTTCTTTTCTTTTCTTTGAATCAAGGCATGGATATTGATCTAAAAAACTGTAGGCGAACATATAAGGAGACATAATAGACAATTGCGCCGGACTTAGAAAATCCGTTTCTCGAGCTGGGAGAGCATTAGCGTTTATTCCACAAACGGTGAAATCCAGTCTGTAAACCTACCTTCCACGGATTGCTGACTTCGAAACCCTTGGGCGCCTCGGCGTTGGCGGACTGACCTCGTGGGGTACCCGTGATTCTCAGATCTCTTTCCATCACTGTTGTGTTGAATTTGGACGTTAGCGACTGGCAATAGCTACATCGAAGAGGGTGTTCGGGCGATTGTCCGATCGGTCACATACTTTGCTGTAAGAGGGTTAGCCAAATTGCCCAGTTTGACGGAGTACGTCGTCAAGAAACTCACTCTATCCCACAGATCCCGGTTCCAACGCGCCTTCTTTCCGTCGTTGGAGAAGTACTTGACGGCAGTGAGACCAGCACCAGTCACACCGAACATCTGCATTATCAGACGGTCGTCAGTGAGGGAAATCGATTGGCGAAAGAGGAGAAGGGAGTCGCACGGTGATCATGATCCCGTAAGGGAGCAGAGCCTCGAAAGGAACACCCATCTTGAGCAATTGATTGCGTGAAACGGGAGAGAGACGAAGTGGAGGGAGAAAGTCGGGCGTGAAGACGGAGGAGATGCGGTCGACGATTCTCTGGTGGCCGCGGGAATCCGTCGTCGAGGTCTGGAGGCTGACCCAAAACAGTTTAGCGGGGTCGGGGGGTTCCAGCCGGCTGACTCAGCGGCGGCCGTCTATCAACCTCGCGGGTAGGAGAAGGGGCAAGAGGCCGCTGCCGGCTGCTCTCGACGCTCAATAGTCCTTCGCACGGCGTCTCCGCTTCTCATCGACGCGTTGGATCTCGTTCTGACTAGTCTGTCCGACCCGCTGGTCTGTGCTGTACGGCTTCCATTGCCTTATTCTACGCGTTGATTGCCATTCTCGTCTTAAATAGCACCTTTCGAGCTTCCCCAGCTGGTGGGTTTTCCCCTTTCTTTTCCCGCTGGCTTGCCTTGCGCCCCGGATCGCTAACGGTCATCTGCCAGCTACAGTGCCGTCCGATTGCGCGGTCGTCGTTGGATCATCTGCCGCCGCGGACCTTTGTTCTGTGTCCCCGATGCCCGTTACATGCGGCGCCAGATGATCGTCTACCTTAGCGGGGGAGCCTGAATAGTCTCAACTGCCCGGCCACCTTTTCTCACGTCGACCCCGAACTCCTCGAGGCGATCGATAGTTTCTCAAACTGGCGACTTCAGTGACCTATACCATGCCGGCAACCGTGCCGCCGGCCAACGACGATACAGAGATGAGACCCCCCGCGGATGCGGTTGACAGTGATCAGGATGCGGAAGGCGAGGAAGAAACCGACCTCTACCAGATGGATCAGCAGCTCCAGGATGCGGTGCACCGGGCATACTCCGGGGAAGTGGCCGAAGAAGCTGCCAACGCCGCCAACGCCGCTGACGACGAGGATCTGGACGCCGAGGGGGAACCCGATATTGACCTAGACCTGACTGGGGAAAATGTGGACGCCCAGCCTGTCGGTGCTGTTAAAGTGCCGGATGACGGGCCAACCGTTGATAACGAAGATGCAGATGGTGACCCGGCGTTTGAGCACCACAGCGATAGCGAACAAGAGGCGTCAGGGTCCTCATCCAGCAGTCAGGAGTCGGATGAGGAATGGGAAGGGGAAAGCAACGACCGCGAAGATGCAGAGGGCGATAACAACACTGTCCGTGGTAACTGCATGTGAGTGTCTCATCTTGTTTATGAGTGTTTCTTTAAACTTTCTTTTTGTGCTTATCTGGATCGAGCTCACTTGATTTCATTGTTACAAAATGCTGACACTGTCAAACGTAGTTTCTGTGGCCAAGATGAAGACAATGATCCAAGCGAAGAGTTTGAAGAGTATCTGACATGTGCGGTCTGCGGCGATCACTGTATGTTACCGCCCCATCAAACAATGGTTTTGTAAAGTCTCGTTATGCTGACTCCACAACCAAACAGCGCACCGACAATGTGCTCGCGAGCAGAATGCACTCAACGAAGCCGAAGGTATGTGCTAATTCTGAATCCATTCCAGACCTTCAACTGATTTCTATCCAGAGGCAACCCCGTGGAGATGTCCCACTTGCGTGAGGGAGAAGCTCGAGCCCAGCCCGGCAGGCACCAGCTCCTCGCAACGGAAATCGCTTCCAAAAAACATGCAGAAGGAACTTCTTCCCGCACACACGGGAGATGAGAATTCAGGGTTTCATTCTATTTTCAACACGATAAACCCTGTGGACGATCTTCTACACAGTTCACGATCCCTACGAAAGAGGAAAACTCTATCGGCAGACATACAGGAACAGACTCCAGTGCTTCGCAAACGGCAGAGACAGACTCCTTTGCGCTCTGAACGAAGTGGTTCGAGGGATCAGCTAGGTGATTCGACAGACCCTCTGTCGCCTGTCCGGACTCGTTCTCGTCGCACCCGCGGAGGAGGTGAGAAGGAAAGCTGCCGGGTAGTGCTGAAACAATTTGGAAGACTGGTGCTGGCTTTTCAGCTCAACGAGACCAAGATGACCAAGATCCTTAATTCGCGTGCTCGACCATTACAAACCCGGAATAACAAAAAGACCCTCAAAGCACCAACCCCCGTGATTCGCGACGGCCCTGCTCATTTTGCACCTATCACACCCGCAACCTACATGTCTCCCTTTTACTCCTTCCATGACCGCGAGACCGACGAATCCAAATCGAAGCCTTATGGTGGAATTTTATCCGAAGCTGATGCCGACACCTCCAAGACCCTGCCGACGCATGCCGATCGGGAGAAATTCGAGATAGCCCGGCAGAAGGCCGAGGAAGAATGGCAAAGGCGGGTCATGGAGGCCGAAAGCGGCGGAGAGCCCGTCCAGCATGCTTCCCAGAAGGTCTCCGGCCCGCCGTCCCGAATCAAGTACATCAACTTTGGTGGCTACGAAATCGAGACATGGTATGCGGCGCCATATCCCGAAGAGTATAGTCGCAATCGCGTGCTATACATCTGTGAATTCTGCCTGAAGTACATGAACTCAGACTATGTGGCATGGCGACATAAGCTCAAGTGCCCTGCAAAACACCCCCCAGGAGATGAAATTTACCGCGATGGCTCGATTTCAATCTTCGAGGTTGATGGGCGCAAAAACCCTGTATACTGTCAGAATTTGTGCTTGCTTGCAAAGCTCTTTCTGGGCTCCAAGACTCTCTACTATGACGTCGAGCCGTTTCTCTTCTACGTTATGACCGAGTTCGACGACCTTGGCTGTCACTTTGTTGGATATTTCAGCAAAGAGAAGCGACCAAGCTCCGCGAACAATGTCTCCTGCATTCTCACTCTGCCGATTCACCAACGAAAAGGCTACGGAAACCTCCTCATCGACTTCTCCTATCTGCTCACACGCATCGAAGGGAAGACTGGCTCCCCAGAGAAGCCCCTTTCGGATATGGGGTTGGTTTCTTACCGAAATTACTGGAGGCTCATCCTGTCATATCAGCTACGCAACCAGAAAACGCCGGTCAGTATTGCGGATCTCTCGGACCGAACCGGTATGACAGCGGACGACATCGTATCTGGCCTTGAAGCCTTGCGCGCCCTTGTTCGTGATCCAGTGACAAAGACTTACGCGTTACGTCTTGACTACAAATACTTCGAAGAGTGCATACAGAGTTGGGAAAGCAAGGGCTATGTGACGCTGAACCCCGATGCCTTAGTCTGGACCCCGTATATTATGGGTCGCAGCAACCAGTCGCAGTTCGACAGAGCGCCGCTTCATACTGTCGCCCCGCGTGAGGGTATGGAGGAGGAGGAGGAAGATGAGGACGTGAAAGAGTCCAGTAACGAAGAGGATTTGCAGGATATTGGTGCACTGAAGGCGAATGGCCATGCTCGTCCCACGGTCAATGGTAGCGGTAACGCTGATTCGGATGGGATTCCCCATGAGCCTGCTGGGCCTCCTTCGACGGACCTCCTTACCCATGCGCATGGCCTCCGTCATCAGCACGAGTCCACAGGGACTACTGAACAGAACCCTACAACCGATGTTCCTGCCTGGCGATTTGAAATTTGGCCGCCTGTTCAAGCACCTGTTTTCAGACGAAAACCAGGACGACCTTTTGGCAGCAAATCATCGCACAACAAAGGCATCTCGATCACCCCAACGACTGCACGAACCAGTGGTCGCAATACCCCAAGACGATCTTCCACGTTAGCGTCCGCCACACCGACGGCCAATCCACCAAGCGTACGGCGTGGCCGCAGTGCGATGTCAACAGACTCGCCGGCCATGGAGCCTACGAGCGTGCAGAGCAATGGTATCGACGTGGAACAGATTCGCCCGCTAGATGACACGGGGTCCTCTGCAGGCCAGCAAACCGAGAGCGCGAAACCGGAAACCTCTGAAGGCCAAGATGATGTGGAAGGCGAGACGGCTCTGGGGACTCCTAACGGCACTCGCCAGACCCCCGTCGGTGGCAACGAAATGACGGAGGCTCCTGTCACGGAACAACTTACGCCGTCAAAAGAGAATGGTGCAGAGAGTGCAGCCAAGTTTAAGTCCATGACGCAGAAATCTCTCGTGGAGAAGGTACATTTCATTGTTCCTGCAGACGATCATGATGTCTCACATCGCGAGAACGGGGTCGGGGAGAACTCTGTCGGCGTAAATGGAACTGACGCCGATGGAGATGTAGTGATGGGGTCTTGAGGTCTTACTGGGAGCCAGAAATAGAGAAGTATGGAGGGAGCAGGCATCCTTGCTGCTTTTGTCGGCGTTACGCGTTTTCTTTCTGCGGGACCTTTTCATCGCATGGGATAAATCAGTTTTGATTGCTCTATCTTTGATTCGACATCTCGTTTTTCATGTTACAATCAAGCAAGGAGTGGGCGAGGAATCTTGGAGTTATGGCTGTTGTTAACAAGCTGATCTGCTTTGTTGGTCTTTTCTATATCCCTTGAACCCTTCGTGGTGTAGTTTCTGTCGATGCGATCTTGGGTTCAACGAGGAGCTCCTCGGGCTTTTCTCTTTCATGTCATTTGACTGTGTAATCCAGGTAGTGCTCTATAATGTGATGGACATGAACAATGATCGATATTTGCCTTGCACGATTAATGACATAATAATCTTCTAGTATAAGGGATGACGGCGGGGATACTGGCTATCCATGGTAGGCCTAGGGCTTGGATAAACTTCCCTTGTTGGCATCACATGTTGAAGAGTTACAGGTAAATGCTTAAAGATGGAGGGTGAGTGCATTTGCACGAAGTTAGGTCTCAATCTCCCACGTGATGACGCAGGATTAAGTTGAGATGGGTCGACCTAGCCCTAATGTGTCGATTTTCCCTCCCCCGATGATGATGCATGCATGCATGCATGGGTGCATGCTCTGGCTGGTCCAGTCGTGGGTACGTAGTTTAGTGCCTCCTTGCATGAGGACGATCTATCGATAACGGGCGTGTGGATCTGGTGCGAGGAGAGGACGTCGACTGTCGATGTATCATTTCTGACTACGGACGTGGATGGGTCCTCTCATAAACGCTGGGGGGCCTTGACTGGGATGTTATGCGCGGCGGCGATCGGGCTTCCCTTTTCTACTTTCATCTGTTGTTCTTGTCGGACTCATAAGGGAGACGGACCATGAGGAGAGAATCGACTCGGACTTCAGCGCATGCGATACATACGCATCACTATAAAAATGTTGACACCGTTGATTGTGAGTGCAGAACGCAGCCTCAACCTCTAACCGTCCCTGTGGCTTGTCACATACGCGGTTTGTCCACCGGACGCAGAGTCCTTCCTGGATGCATCGCACGGGAGGCGTTGGTATGCATCGGGATCTCATGCAGGCAAGGATAAAAGGAAAGAGTGGCGCACGGAAAAGCGCGGCAACAGACGAGATAGGCGGTGCAGATGGGCAGATGCATCTACGCGGAGCATGCATCTGCGGCTGCTGGTTAGATAGGAGGGAGGTGTAATAAGTTCCCTTGGGCGATGATGGTAGTGAGCATCATGCGGCTTGGATCCCTGGTACTGGGACGGTACTACTGCACGGGGTATTTTTAGACGAGTTGGGGTATATGTAGATAGGAGTACCAGTAGAGTACCGAGGAGACGATCAGAACATAATAGAAAGATGAAAATATAGTAAACAGAATTTTCTGGTCCATGTGGAAGGCAACAATACTCCGTAATAATGGCGGTGAAGAGCCCACCGTAGAAGTAACCCCTTTTGAAGGGTCCGCCGTTGGTCCATCGCGATAGATCAACCGATTGGGAGTCTCCGCCGTTCACCATGGCCGGCCCGGTTAGTTTGATACGAGGCATTACTAGGAGTACTAGTACTCCATACTCCGGAGTATGTATGTTTGGTGTTCAAGAGATATGATCTGTCAGGCACATTTCCCGTATTTGTTGTATTACTTTTCTCAGGGGGTGTTACTATATCGAGCATGGACAGGGGATGTTCGATGACGAGATGTCACCCTCATGATCGTCATGGGATGTGATTGTTGAGGTCTGATGATGAGCTCGAAATGACAGCGGGATCGACAGAGGCCGATGGCCCCCTAATCCTTGGTGCTGGAAAAGACCATGGAACGCAGGCTGCCACAGACACGGAACCCCGTCCCCAGGTCCCAAATAAGCATAATCGTAGCGTAGAATAAGCGCCTGTGAAAGTCTGGTTCGCCATGGAGATAGCCGCTGTCATCGGATCCAGGAAAACCAAGTGGACGCTTCTTGTTTCCCGGATTTGCACGACGCGGACCGGACTGCAAGGTTCGCCGAACACCTCATCGTGCATCTCGTTAAGAGACAAGACGGGTGGGAAATTGTGGAAATTTTCGAAGGGGAAAACAATCCTCACATCCACAGTAAGAAAAAAAAAAAAAAAAAAGAAAAAAAGAAAACCCCAATCCACTACTGACACCGTCGGTTTTTCCCCTTCTTCACGCCACAATGTCGGGAATTTTTCATCATCTCCACCTGCCTAACCTACCTTAGTCTGGGATAGGTAGTGACATTGTTACCTTCATTTCTTTACGAAATCCCCATCCATACGGAGTACCTGTACACGTCCCACTGCAGTAAGCCTGTTGGCCCGGAATAATAGCGCCCACTCCTGCACTGGTGGCGGGTTTGGTATGTTTCTGGTATTGGTCGACCCCAGTGGGTTTCCGGTATCGTATACAAGGAGACATTTAGCTTTGTCTGTTGATCAGCGCTTCACCAGGCAGTTTAAGCCCTTCCGTAACTGGGTGCACTCCGTGCCGACTGCACTGCGAAAACGTGGCATTTTACTGGTTTTCCGGTCATGGTGTAGCAGGATTCTCGACGCGCGACACTCACGGTAACATCCGGACGGATTCTTGCGGACAGACAGGACAGGCCGCGGCATGAAGAATCATTGTGACCAGAGGTTGCGAGAGGCCATTGTCATGGTCCATCCTAGACCCGTCCGGACGGGCCCTTTGTCGCATCTGTCTTTTCTCCGCCGCCTCCGAGGAGGTAGTTAGTTATACTGCAAGCTCTTTATTAAGGGCTTGTGCGAAGGACTCGGTTATAGACCAGCGGCGTTCCCCTCCATCTCTGGTCGCCGTTCACCTCTTCGAATGATTCCTCCCTCTCCCACGGTTGAAACCGGCGTGGTCTGCATGTTTTCTGACCGGACTGATCGCCGTCTCCATTACCCTTACAAATCCCGTCGTTGGTCGGTGGCTCCCTTGCATGGTCATCACCCATATCTCGCTGGTTCTTTGTCGGTCGCTCCTGTTGGCGCGGAGGGACACGACGGCGCGTCATCTTTTCCCTTTTTCTTCCCGTGCTGGGGAACTGACTTGCCTCACCCCGATTCACATGAAGAAGTTGCTGGATCCCACCCTGCGAGCCCACTGGGGAATCATCCACTACAATGGCTGTTGTGGAATGGCTCTGATAATGTTATTGTGGGCTTCCTTCGCAGAAGGATGCGGCTAGGTGCAGATTGCCTACTCCGTACGAACATCCAGGATGTGTATACGTTGGGCGCTGCAGCCCTCAACCGCCAAACATGGACAAGGGATGATCTGTGAGATGAGGTGGATGAGGGAGAAAAAGGAAAGAGGAAGCGTAATTCTCAGCGGCGCTTTCGCACGGCGGCGTGGTCCAGGGATCCTCGAACGAAGCACGGGAGACCGCGTAGTCCACCCAGATGGCCCAACCCTCCTTCAGTAGGGTTAGCTGTCCATTTTTGAACCCTGTCGAGGCCAGTGAGAAGGAACCATTCATCACCCTTGACGATCTCCTTCCCAGGGCCCGACTCGTGCATACCAACCGCGCCACAACCCACCCTGTCAGTCGATTGATCCGATCCTCAAGAGGCCACCGTCGCGAAGGGATTGTTTCCCTTGTCGGTCCAATTAACCCCCGCAGAACAACGATCTGAAAAGACCGTGTGGAGTACGCAGCCTCAGCGACCTGCATCTCACCTCTCTGGCCAGTCGATGTGATCTGTCCACCGAACTAGATCCTGGGACAATGCAGCTAATAAAAAAAGAAAAATAAATAGGCGATTCCGTCAGACCTTGTCACCACGACCGCACTTCACGTTGAAATAGAGCCCGACTACCCACGCACGACGGTTTCCGGGAACCTGCTGCGCGACAGAGGTGCACGCCGAAAATTTCTTCTCCTCTTTCCCACGTAATGCGATCCTCTGGGATCTCATTTCCCTCTCAACCTGATTCCTGTTGTGAAGCTCGAGCATTGTGCGCGAACATCGTGGGACGTACGTCTGGGGCCCGGCACTTGCGCATTAAAGGACGGACAGTTCATCGTCGCACGAATCCAGGATAAGGGCGTCGGGGGAATATCCGACCATCGAAAGGAGAGGCGCCGACTCGATCTGATCTGAGATTCATTCGCAGAGGGCGAGGGAGCAAGACCACACCGGCGACGTCTATCTTGTGACACAGCCCACGTTATCCCACCTCCCCAACTTCATCAGTTCGTGGTATTTGGGGCACCACAGTCTGACCAGACGGTCAAGACCATTTCGCACGCCCCCCGCCGTCAAAGTCGGACGCCAGATTTCATCGAGGTAAATTTCTTGGACGACGGAATCCATTGCGGGGGAGAAAGGAGTTTATTAACGATCCTCCAGAGCTCAACGGCGCTGGAGTGGGACCTTGGAGCCCTGGTTTCTCGCGCTCACCGTCGTCAGCCTCCCTTGGGATCGCTCTGGTTGGAACTGGTTGGAACACGGAACCAAGGCTTGGATGACATAAAGAGGGTCTCTGGCAGATACAGGTAGGTACGGGGGATCTGATATCGGGAGAAATCGATCCACTGATGCCTGTCCCATGGTGAGGCTGATACTGATGGTGATGGGTCAGGAGAACGTCGAGCAAGAACAAAGGAACGGCGAGGGAACGAGTCAACAGAGGATCTACGAATGAGGGTCGTGCCCTCGGGAGGAACCACTATCAACAAAGGGACGATCAAAAGCCGGTGGCTCAAGTAAGTCCATGCACGAGAAAGGGGACTAAGGCAGGGCAGATGCCGACGGACTAGCTGCCGATGGAGTCGAGGAGGTCTGGTCTCTGACTGAAGTGGACAGACGAACGCACTGCGCGCCCTATTCTACGGGGACAACGGGAAGGACCCTGCGTCGTGGTGGCTCCCCAATACGGGTCTAATCACCTGCATAGCCGGCACCATCTCCGCGTGCACGACGCCAAAACCGTTGCGAACGAGGGGAAGTTTGCATACGAATGGTGTGGCTTGACCATCAAACGCGGAGGATTTTCTGATTAGCTCGATCCTTCGTCCAGCGAATCGGCCTAGACACGGTCAATCGGACAACAGACTTGGAGCCTTGCGCAGGTGGCCGAAGTTGAATCTCAATTTTTGATTGTCAGGCTTCCACTTCCATATTTTTTCTTTTCATTTCTTTTTCTTAACTTTTTTTTTTTCTTACACCCGTTATTTTGCCAATGTGCGCATCATCTCTACGCCGCCACGGTTCCTGTCGGATCGTCAGTACTGATACACCCTTAGCCCGACCTTCAACCGTGGTCGACCTCAGGTTGGAAACGACCACTTGACGGGCGAAAAGTGGCCGGCGCAGAGTCTGGCTATGGTACAGCTCCACCGGTAGGCACGTCTGCTGGTGGTTCAACTCTGGTTCAGCTCTGTGGTGCTGTCTTGAAATATTTCCTGCCAGAAACCTTCTCGACCCTAAAGCTTTTTCCGATTAGTATTATTCATTACTGGAAGGCTCTTAATTTTTTCTTACTGTGCGTCAGAGGTCGGTCACAGAGTTCACGCTCATCAGAGGCAAGAGGCAAGAAAAGTTGACCCATCATTCAGCTACCATCTTAACGTTGGGCTGAGCTGTATTCCGCCACCGAGAGAGGGAGGAAGTACTTGAGGTGAATGAATTTTTTTTTCTACATTTTTTATTTTATTTTCTTTCTTTTTATTTTTTTATTTTATCTTACTTTCCTTGTCCGGTTTCTTCTATTTTTGTTAATTTGGTGAAATTTGCCCTTTGATCGTGAGATTCTTGCTCTGAGTACACTTATTGGATGAACCAGAATTGACGGTCGGAACAGTGCAATTAACCACGACGTTGAAATCTTTTTCTTTTTTTTTTTTTTCGCCAGTCGGGAAACACCAGACAAGCGCATTGGAATTTCCCTCCGAGTTTCGTCTCTATAAATTTTCTCCGGCTGAATTTCGCATCTGGTTACATTGAGGAAAAACCAGAAATAAAAAAAAAGAGGCAGAAAAAAAGATCGTTGTTCAGCCGGTTAAGGTTTGTCTGGAACCGTGCTCGGCTCTGCGCTGTTGCCGCTTGCATTCTGACGACACCATCCCAATCCAGCCTTTACCACTTTCCACTCCGCAGGCGCCGTTTTCGTAACTGCCACTCCATCTGTCGCGCGCGCGCTTCCAATTCCAGTCGCTTGACTCGTGCACGCTACTACTACTACTACTACTCCTACTACTACTCCTCTCGATCGTGCACGACCGTCTCTTCTGGATCGTCCATTTCCACTGGCGTCTCCACCGAGCTAGCTTCTTGAACTTGAACGTCGTAAAGGACGCAGACAACGGGAGAGCTCCCTCTTCTCTGGTCTGGTCAGGTCTCGTTTCGTTCGCGCCTTGGTTGACTCTGCGTCGCCCTACGACACTGTTACGACTGCATTGCTCTGCTCTCCCTCCCTCACTGGGCGGACAGCCGGCCGCCTGACTAAACGACCTGATCATACCGTCGTGTCCCATCTTTAACATAGCATCTCATTAACCCAAACCCACCCCAAATTTATCCCCTCTCATATCCGCAGCCCACACCCCACTACGTATCATTCCTTACCTCCAACATCCTGTCCTCTCTTCTGTGAACCACAGCTCCCTTCGTCTCGGACCCGTGGCTTCTCACCTGTTCCGTCCTGCTGTAAAACCACCCATTCTCGCTCTTCTCTCCCCCCCATTCTCTTTGGTTTGATCCTCTTCTTCTCCCCTGAAGGATCCCGCTGGTTTTCAGACGTGGTTCACCGCGACGCTTCTTCTACGGTTCTCCCCTCTCCCGTTTCCTGACCTTCTCTTTGGCTATCTTTGTCTGGAAACTGGTGTCTCCGGTCATCTAGCCTTGATGAGTGCGTCGACGTTTTCGGACGCCTCTCTAGCTCGCGATCCTCAGAGGTGCGTTGAGATAGCTTCATCCCTCCCCCTCCAACTAGCTCTCTAACTGGTCTCCCCCTCTCAGCAATCCCGGCTTTCCCACTGACAATGTTATCCCCCAGTTCGGAATTTGACTTGATCATCCGCCAGCAGCCCACTCGGGCGCGCGTGGCTGGTGGGAAGGAGAAAGGTGCGTTGGTTCCCTTCCGGCTGACTGTTGTGACCGCTGGGAACCGGTGCGTCCCGCGGACCCGAACCCCTACTGACGGTTTGGCGGCCGAGCTCGCCTTGCAGAACGCAAGCCGGTCGATCCCCCACCGATTGTGCAAATCCGAGTGAAAGAGGATGGCACCTATTTGGCCTCGTAGGTTGACCCCGTTGGCATCCGACGATTTTTTTTCTCCCGCGCGCGGAAGACCCGGTGGCTGACCGCCGTCGGTAGACACTACCTCCAGAGTCCCTACTACTTCATGTGCTGCAGCTTGTACGATGCCACAGAGGACACTCCAGTGCCTGTGCCTCCGTCCACAGCTTTGACGGGGACGCTCGTTTCGTCACTTCATCGGTTGAAAGATGTGGATAACACCGGTAAGCTTGGTTTGGGAGCCTCTTCACGTTTGATCCAGAGTGGTTGGGCTGATTCCATGGGTTTAGACGGGGGCTTCTTCGTATTTGGAGATCTGTCCGTGAAGATTGAAGGCGACTTTCGGCTGAAATTCACTCTCTTCGAGATGCGAAAGTAAGTGCCCTATCGTTTCCCAACGCGCAAAGCGAATCGAGCGGTATTTTCGCCGTTGAAAACGCGGTCACTAACTTGGCTGCGCTCAGAGAAATGGTGTACTATTTGAAATCCATCATCTCAGAGCGTTTCACCGGTAAGAAGCCTTGAAATCCTGTGTTCGACCTGAGGAGACGGTGCTGATCCGATCAAAGTATCGCCCCCGAAGAGTTTCCCTGGAATGGCGGAGTCGACGTTCCTGTCACGATCCTTTGCAGACCAGGGTGTAAAGCTTAGGATTCGAAAAGAGCCTAGAACGTTGATGTGAGCTTGGAGACCCCCTTGCACAGCAACACAACTGACTCTCTGTGCCAGAAAACGTCAAGTCCCGCGGCCAGAAGACTACCCTCAACCACTTCCCCCCCGTTCTCCTGACCGAACATCCATGCAGATGCCCGGCAGTGCCTTTGGTGGCTATCCAGCAGCGGGTCGAGACTACGGTTACTACAGTAATCCTGTGAAGCGTCAACGCACATCGATGGACTTTGGCCCCAGAGGCGTGTACGATGCAGATGGTCGCATGCGTCAAGTAGAGGCTTACCCTCAGGCTGCGGCCATGTATTCGAATCCACCTGGGGCGTATCAGACTCCCATGGTGCCCGGTTACCCCACGGGCCACGCAGGAGTACCAGATTATTCGGTTCGTCTATCACCTGGGCAAATGTTGGGTTCCGAAGAGCCTGAGTCTGGCGAAGAAGACATGACCCAAAGTACTCAGGCTTTGGAATCCCCTTGGGGATGAATCTGGCTGACTTTATGTAGCTTTCCTATGGAATGTCTGCGCAGGTGCCGCAAATGCAAGATCCGGGTGCACATGGTCGATCTAGTCAACAGGCGACAATGCAGCCCTTCGGAATGGCCAACGCCCCCGGGACACCTGTATGTATTGACTCCCACGTCTCCGACTAAAAGCTAACGACCATAAATTTCTGGGACAGACAGCAGACGCGACAGGAGCGATGATGCAACAGAGCTATCCACGAGGGCAGTACCAAACGGGGTCTACCATTCTGCCTCCTCTGCAACGAAGTCGCAATATAACTCAGGGAAGCAATGGTACCCCAACCAGGGGGTATTATGACCAGTCTTCGCAGGCGGCGACACCTATCCTTCCTTCGCAACCCATTGGCACGAACGAAGCGGAACGGTATGGCTTAGCACCTGGCCAGACCGCTTATGAACACCCCGGTTCAGCGGATGGAACTCCTCGGTGATACTTCCAGACCTGCCTAGCCTGGTCTGGGCATTCGTGTTTTTCTTTTGATTATTACTTTGCTACGTTTTCTGTTTTCCTTTTGTTCGGTTCTGGGAATGTGACGGATTATGCGGGATCTTCGGTTTGGGTTCGGTATAGACTGGGTGTTTTATGGGCTCAGAATGGGTGGCTCTGGGGTATACACTGGCGCCTCGGGGCATAAAAAGGGTAACCGTCTTAGCGGGGCTTGAGTGCTGTTTATCCTTTTTCTCTTTTCTATGCGTTTGTTTTTCGCGGGGATGTCCTGTTCACCCTAGTGACCCGGATATCTCTTTTATGAACTTCCCCTGTACATATGCCGTCGGACTGACGACTTTGTCCCCCTGATTTCAAAATATCACCACTTTATTAATAATTGGAGAAACGCCGTGTCAGCAGAAGGAAAACGAGTGATGTTGTTGGGGTGTTTGGATGTTGGAGAGGCGGTTGCTTTGGTTCTTGCCCTAGAGGCCTAAGGCCAGCCCTGTTTCTCTTGTTTCCTGTCTCCCCTCGATCTGTTTCTCTCTTCTCTACCTCCTTCGCCTTTCTCTCCAGTTCCACCACGCTCATAAAGCCATTCATTTTCCGCTCCACACCGGTATCAAACCCTACAGTATGGCATCAGACGGGGAGATCACACCTGAACATCCGCCTGGTCTCCTCGAACCTACCAGTCTGGAGGTGCGAGGGGCATGGGATGGTGTGCCAGGTCATCCAGCCAAGATCAAAATCTCAGTTGAGGTGAACTGTTCGCCCTTCCAGGCAGAATGACTCTTCTCTGACCGATCACAGGTCCAATGTCTACCAAACGCAGTAGTTCAGATCCTTGACGCGCAGTCCTCCTCTATTCGGGTCCATAAAATCTTCAAAACACCTCTCGTCCATGTACACGGTCAGGACAGTCAGTCAAGCGACCCTGACAGTCCTTTGTTTGCTTTCTTGAATCTGGCTTCCGATGCTAGTGTAGAGAGTGAGCAGGTCCCCTCGACATCCACTACTGAAGTCGAATCTGAACCTGGGACGCTCGCCCCGTCCGACGAGCGCCATCTCACTATTCTTGAATCTGACTTAATGGCTCCGCCCTCCTTGGGACCGATCGAGCCCCTCGTGCCGTCTGTTCCAGCTACAGACATCCCGTCTACGCCGCGCGTGGATACAGACCTGGAGTCACGGAACTTGGGAAAAAGGAATGCCAGGACTGCTTGTCTTACGGATTCGGAGGACGAGAAGGGAACCTCAGGAAGGAGTCGGCCTGGTGCGCGGGATGCACCAACATCCCTACCAAAAACCAGAAGAACTGCAGCTTCTGCTTCTCCGAAGAAGTCGACCAAGTATGCGCCGCTGAAGACTCAGCATACCAGAGGTTCCTCCGTTCCTGGAATAAGTGACCTGGAAGAACGTCTCACTAGCGGCTTCAGGAGTATAATCACTGACGTTTGTGGGGAGTCCGTGGACTCTCTATTTGGCGCTGCGTCGAGAGCAATAAAAGGCGAAAGCACAAGTGAAATGGAGAATTTAAGAGATAGGCAAAGACAGCCGACGAAAACGAACAGCTTTATCCCGGTTCTCAAGCGCCTGAATACGGATCTTGGACGTCAAACAATGCAGTCTCCAGCACCCACAGTGTTAGAAGACATGTCTGACTCAGGCCCCATGGAGGAAATTCGTTCCCAGGATAACCCGCGGCTCTTGCGCAGAACCGGTCAATCTTCGCCTACCCGCGTTTTCGTGGAACCAATCGTCCAGAGCGCAAGAGGACTGCTCTACCTGGAATGTCCAGAAGATGTTCTTCAGGCAGCATACAAAATTGTTATCCTAGCAAATATATCCATGTTTGATGAGGACCAGCGAATCGGCCGTCCACTGCACCCGCCTGGATGGTACACCTTGATTGTCCCAGGACTGCCGAAACTGAAAGATGATCAGAACGGATACTTTCTCTTCTTGATCTCCCCAGGTCAGGTAATTGAGTTTTCTACCGCCAGTCTAAACAGATACAATATGGTAGAAAACTGTTTCTTTGCGGAATTTGCCAACCCGGAATCTTTTGAAGTGACCATGTGTGTCCATGCTCAGGAATGTTACGGCCCTCTCAAAGACTTCACTGTGGATCAGGATATTAGAGCCACCCTGATGCCTACGCGCAGAAGTGATGAGCAGATTTCACGTCTTCGAGTGAGGTATCACGCGGTATGCTCGTTGAGGTTTAGCAACATTTACGTCGCCGCCGAGAGATGTCGCTTTTTCCTCAAGGTAGAAGGTGGCCCAGAAAGCTTTTCGCAGTGCACTCTTGAGGCCATCGATGAAGGTCTGCAGGTGATAGAGCTGTCTGCCGACATGTCCAGAACCACAGAAAGTGTTTCTCGGATCCAGATCATTTGCTCCTCGAGAGAGTTTGACGAATTCTGTCTGATGTGGGAAGTTGCCATTCCAAAAGAACAACAAGCGTATTGGCTTCCCTCGATATACCCGGACTTGTCCAGCGTCTGTTTAGAGCGGTCCAAACTTCGGCATGCGTTTACCAGACTGGACTCTGACTCAGTCGTGGAACCGTCTTCTGAACAGGAAGTCGACGTGGAGTCATCTGGTTCGAGGGAGACATACAATGAAGGTTACGCTGAAGACCCGATATCAGCCGATAAGGGTCTTTCTCAAAGATTCGCCGAGGTGATGAGAATGATGGAGGAGTTGGAATTTCAGGAGACTGAGAGGCGACCTCTAAGAGTGGATCGAGTGGTTTTTCTCCTGATTGTGGGATTCAGTCTCATACTATCCAGTTTGTTCTCCCCGGTCGTCATCACAGGCCCAGGTGTGCAGCTCAATGACATGGGAGTTGGTAACTACACTGGCGAAGGTCTAGTTGCACATGGTCATGAGTCCGGTAGTGATGGGAACGTCACTCTGTCTCCTGTATGTGTCTGTCCTCACTATGGAAGTCTGCATATGCTACGCGAGAACGAGCGTACAGAAAATGACGCCGATCCTATACAAGATTCGATGGAAGATGCCCAGCCAATGCTGGATGAACCTGACGAAGGTACCAAGAATGGAGACACGGAGCGTACGGGAGATATGCATGCCGCGCCCCTGAGCCTGAGAGATCGTATTGATTATTTCCTTGGCTGGAAAGGGCCTAATGTGCGTTGACAGTTGCGAGATCTCAGTTGCCCTTCATAAGCGAATGCTTTCTTTCTCATAGGACAGTCTTCCTGTGTCAGTGTATCTACTTGATTGATTGATGTGTATGTAATGAGTCAATACAAGTCTTTGTCTTGATGGTACCAATAGACACGCTATGCAATTCCAAATGTCAAACGCCACTCTATTGCTCTATCACCTCCATCACCGCATCAACAGCCCACCTCAACAACTCCACCATCGGTTTGTTGCCCTGCCCCGGCGCAACCATCACCCCAGCATCCGTCCGCACGTTAACCCCCTGTCCCACGCGCTGCACCCAATCCCGCGGATCACCCCCCGCCCCGTCTTCCGGCAGCAACAACCACGCATGATCCTGCACGTACCGCGGCCACACAATATCATCCACATACCCAGGCGGATCGACCCAGAAATTCTGCGGCGGCCGCTCATCCTCGCCCTGCAAATCCACCGCCCCATCTACCCCCTCCTCAGCCCTCTCCACAGGCTCCGCCGGCGGCGCCGGCGCAGGCCCACTAGTCACATAACCGGTGCGACTCTCCCTCCGCGCCTTGACAAGGTCATACGGCGCGGGAAGAAACAGTCTTACATCGATCTGGTCGTGCACCGCGCGCAGCACATGCGTCTGGTCTTTGGTCCCGGGCGGCGGGGCGTACAGCAGAAACCCCTCCAGAAAGGCGACGGTCGACGGCTCCGTCGCTGGTCGTCGCGCCAGCCGCGCGGACACTTCGGCCCGCAGCTGGGCCAGCACGTCGGCCGGCACGCCGGCGTCCGAGGCCTCGTTGAGGTCCTGGATGGATTTGAGGCGCGGGGGCAGCGCGCCGTGCGTGCGCACGTAGCGCAGCGCGGACGCGAGCAGGGGCACGTCTATCGCGGCGATGGTGTCCCAGTCTTGGATTGTTTTGCCGGTTGCGGTGGTTGTGTAGGGGATTCTGGGGGGGTTAGTTTCGGGGGCTGGAGGGAAGGTAGGGAGGGAGGGTAGGGGCATACTTGTCGTCGGGAAAGTAAAAGTCGTCTTCGTGGATGATGAAGGTGGTTAGGTGCGGAGAGTCGAGTTGCGAGAAGATGCCTTGGAGCAGGCGGGCGAGGGTGGTTTTGCCGCTGGATGAGGGGCCGGAGATGCCGATTATCTTGGTTGTGGGGGGCATCTCTTACGACTTGGGGGTGGGTTTGTTTGTGTCTACTCCGTATGCTGCGTCTCGTATGATATCACCGGAGACCGAGATGCAGTGATCTAGATAAGCTCCGGCCCGCCACGTGACCCTTCGATCGATTGCCGTTTTCGGATTATCTGATCGAACCATACGCGAACATGTGCCTGCATTGTCGTGAACTAGGTGGTATCCTCGCTAAACTCAAAGTACATGTACAAATTGCTACCCAAATATCGATACGGTCTTCTTTGGCTTGGGTCCCCGTTCCGTGTCCAGTACGGGAGTAGAGTCGCCGGAGCTCATCGCCGGAGACAGAAATCCAACAGGAACAGTCGGCCTTACACGCTTGGGGGCTACGGTATCGGAGGCTTCCGGGGTGCTCGAATCAGTGTCGATAACCACCGCGCGCTTGCGCTTAGGGGTTAATGTCGAACTTGCAGTCGGATTGGTCGGCTGGTCGTAAAAGTCATCCGCAAGGGCAAGTTTATGTCGGTCGAAGAATCCAGGCGGGTTGCGCAGATACGCCACTTTGACCGACGCCGACGCCTCGTCCTCTGCTATAGGCAGGAACCGTTCGGCCTGGATGATCGAACTCATCGTCTGATCGTCTAGGAGGTCTTTCTCTGCGCGCTGGATCTCCATGTCAGACATTGCTTTCCGGCGTGTCAGCATCTTGTCCTCCAGTGTATCCTTCAGAACGAGCGTCTCGACGAACACTGGTCGTCGCTGTCCAATCCGGTGTGCTCGCTTGATGGCCTGGCTTTCCACGTTGGGCTGCCAGATGGGATTGACGATAAACACACGCGACGCATTGGCGATGTGGAGGCCGTGGGAGGCCTGCCGGAGATCCATGAGCAGGACGCGGACGTCCTCCGATTCCCGAAAGAGCTTCAGATACGCCGTTCGGAGTGCAGGTTTCAGTGTATTAGCGTATATACGGAAGTCGATGCCCAGAAGCTCGAGGCCCTCTGCGATCCAGTACGCCGAGTTATTGTTGTCATAGAATATGATGATCTTCTCCTCCTTGTGCAGCTGGTCCACTTGGTCGAGCAGATACGTCAGCTTCGCTGATGCCGTGGCAACGAGCTTTGTTTGAGCTAGCGGAGACTCCTGAGGCAGCGTCTTGAAGAGGTTTTTCTTGAACGTTTTGGACGCCTTTTTTGGCGATTTGGTGGTGGCTTGTTTATCGGGAGTGCTTTTCTTGGCCGGGTCCAGCTCGGCGACTTCAGCGAGCTCGCGACGCACCTTGATCCCAGCCCCTGCAAGACCTTCCGCAGGATTAGCTAAGGTGAGGTGGCTTGTAACAAATTTTTGCGCCTGATGGGCTTGGCTGATTCCCAGTAGGATAGTAGAAGTATCCGACGAGTTGTCCAACGCCCATAAGCTCCGAGCGTGGGAAGGGAAATTTTCAACGAATACCCCCAGTTCGTGGAGATTCTTGAAAGCATTCCAGCTGCCACAGTTGAGTGCAATCCGCGCTATTCTTATCCCCTCGGTCAGCATCGCGATATCATCTTCACTCATCCTATGCCTATTGTTGTCCAAATATTTGGTGGCATTGTCAACTGTTCCCGGAAGGTCGCCCTCTGAACCAGCCCACCAAAAGCCAGCCTGGCGCAGATTGCTTATCAATTGACTCAAGTGCGTTCGATTTCGAGCATGAAACATATAGTCCTGGTCCTTTCGCTCTGATGTGATCACGTTGACCGCCAGAGCAAAGATGAATAGATTGAGGTTCAGCCTGTCATAAAAGGTGGGTTCCAGACGTACAACGGTGTTATGTAGTCGCGGCAGGGGGATCTCATTGTGTATAGTCTCCATGCGATGACGGACGACCATGCTTTGGAGTGTGGCGCGGAGCGAAGGCGCCTTGCGTCGTTTTCCATCTTCTCCGACAGGTTTCATGTATGTCGTCCAATTCGCTGGATCATCAGCGCGGGAGTTCGACCATGGCTTCAGATCCAAGAATTCTATGACAATGTGACGAAGCTTGTCAAGATCCTTGAGCTCGCTTTCAAGGGCGTGTCCTGTTTTCCGCCTCCCATGGAGCACAGCCACGGTGGCTTCCGACAGATCTGTCTCACTCATGTGAGTCTCTCGTGATGCCAAACTGACCTCAACTCCGTACAAGCCGCTGGATGGCGTTCCAGACACAATCCATCGACGCTCTACGTGAAGCTGGTTCAAGACATGCACCATATTAGTCTTTTGCCCGTGACCTGCGACATTGTGACCTTCATCGACAATAATCCGAAGCCAGTGGATCTTCGTCAGTTTGGATTCGACGGGTCTGATTGAATGGCGCCGATTGTTCACAACTTCGCCCGCTTCCTTCTCAAAGCGGATCCGCGAGAATAGAACAATATCGTACTCCAATAGCGCTTCAGGTTCCGGCGTCACATCAGATGATGTCCGTAATGTGAGAACTTTCAGCCCTTCAGTATGACTTTGAATCTCATGCTCCCAGTGATTCATAAGATTGGGCGGGACAATGATTAAAGTTCCATGTCCAAGAAGACGCCGTTGAGGCGGCGGCCGAGGATACGCAACACCACTTCGGCCACCATGTCTGGCTGGCGGAGGTGGTATAGTATACGACCCACGATGTTCTTCACATGCCTTGACGCAGCCGTCATAGCATTCCCCGAAGCTTTTCAGGGTATCGAAGTGACGCTTCCACGGCAGCGAAAGCCGTCCAGCGGCGGTGGCTGCCATTGTCATCAGACTTGCAGTTTTGTCGCGAACCGGATTCTCCATTTGTTGATACTCCAACGGTATTTCCGGGAAGTGACCGCGTGTTGCCAGGATCACAGCCAAACAGATGAGCGTCTTTCCACAACCCATGGTCTCGGCAAGGATGCCTCCACGCGCTTCCGAGTACAGCTTCTTCTCACAAACAATGCGAGCTTCCTCTTTGTCATAGTAATACTCCCTTCCAGTCGGCGAGATCCGCTTCTGCAATCGAGGGTCCAGCATCGGTGCGGGTTGCACTTCACGCTGGATCATTGTCGCTGCAGAACGTCGCTGGTATGGGTACAACGGCGTCTTGAGTCCTGGAACCCCGGAATCGCCTTCTGTCCCAGCTGCAAGTATGTCTTGCATCGCGCTCCTACCGTGGGGGTCCTGTATCGAATCTGCCCGAGGCGACGGGTCGTCCAGGGTATTGAATATGTACCACAGAGATTCATCTTCTTTGTCTCTCTCCGAGTCGATAGTCTCTCTCTCCGAAGAAGGGGACACGCCCGCCCATGCTTCAGAAGACCGGTCGATCTTGGCCATCACCAACTTCAGGGCGCGTCGCAAGGCAGAGCTCGATCTCGGGATAATTTTGCGTCCTACATCGTCGGGTAATACATACACACGGACGAAGCTCCACCTGGGGTCTCTAGAATATGGATATACACTGGTCCATATCCAACGGTGCTTTTCCAGATTGGCGACTTCCGCATGGGGAAAGCCATCCGGTGCTTCTGGTGTAGAATTCAGTATGTCAAGTTGTTCGGCGAAATGTGTACGATCCTTTCTCTTCAATACGCCAACAGGAATATACACATCCAAATTCTGGATGAACCCGTACGTTTCGGCGCCGGGTGTATGCAAGGGTGTAAGTGGGGTTGTCTTTGGCTCGGAAGCTGATATGGCTGAGCCAGAGGTGACAGGAGTAGATACATGTGCATCCGTAGCTCTCTCAGAAGACTGACTGGCAATGTTGTACCGAGTCGGCGAAGCAATGCGAGCCTCCACGGTCGTGTTGCAGAGCGTCTATCAGATGGAGAGGTAAGTACATGCCAACCCAGGGGACGACGCGCAAATAGGCATCAACAGGACATGGGAGCGCGATTAATATTGAGAGCTGACCTCTGTGTGAATAGGCCTGTGCAAGGCGACCTGCACAGGCACAGGCTGACGCCCATCTTCGGGGGAAGCCATCGCAGCACGCCCTGTAACGGGGCTTCCTGTGGCTGCCAACACTCTCAAATGCTATGGCACAACGTTCGTGTGATGAGTCACAGCCATTCAGCAGATATAGGCCAAGTTCCCAGCACTCCGTACCGTCTTCGAGGGGAGGATGATCACGGAGGCAATTCGTTTTCGATAAGCTGACGGGCGAAGAACATTCCGCAATCGGTGGGCAGTGATTGGACAGAGATGCTGACCGCCCCGACGCTAGTTATCAGGAACTCTCTTAGATAAGCACATCAGCCTCAGGCCATTTTTGTGGACATCCACAATCGAAACGCATCAACCTGAGAAAACCAAATAATTGAATTAATTGATATATATCACGATAATTTACATAGCTGTAATTATTAATATTCCGTATTGCAGTTGAAACAAGTCCCGAACAGAAAACCCAACCCGATGATTACCCAAGAGGATCCCTCCGCTATAAATATATGTACGCCACCAGTATACTCAAAGCAAAGGCCATCACCACGCAGTTGACGACGCGAGGACCAGAAGCCTCCCGAAAGTCTTCGCAATGCAGAGATCTGGAATCAGATAACCAGCCCACTGCAAAGTATGGAATGCAAAACATGGAAAAAACGAGAACGACCCAACCAAAAGGAAATGCAACAAAAGTAATGCAGATTATCGAACAACGCCAAATCACTGAGTGAGAAAGTCCTCAATTTCAAATCCAACTCGCTTCAAGACCTTTTCTTCCAACTCTTTGGGCGAGTTCGCGGCTCTCCGCACGACGACAGTGCGGGCGTCCTGCAGACGAACCTCGACCGGGTTCCCTCCATGCCGGTCAAGCTCTTCTTTCTCGCACTCGCGAATATACACTGTGATGTCGGGACCTACGCACGCGCGCCATAATGACGCCATCCATTGCCAATGGTCTAACGGAGCGTAGGAATCGTCAATTGGCACAGAGCACGCGAAGGCATCGGCAGTAGTGAGCTGATACCGGGGCACAAGCGCTACCGGGATAGAACAGGAGCTGGACCCAGACGACGATGCGCCAGAGATGGATCCGCTTTCGCTGGACGGCGGGGAGCTGATCTGGTTCTCTGTGGGTTTGGGATGCATCGTTTTGGGTGACACGCCCGGGGTGGAACTATGGTCCTCCCCCGTCTTGGACTCCGACGATTCCGACGATGACTTGACGAAGGACACAATCTCATCTGAAATGCGGTGCCACACCGAGATTGTGTTCAGGTAATCTACCGTCGCGTCCCCCATCTGGCCCGACTCCGAATAACTTTCCCGCGGGCGAATTTCAGGCCCCTCGAAAAGACGAGTGGTAAACTTTCCTTCCTTTTGGAACATGGTGTTGAGATAGTCCACCATGCTCTTCACTGCCGTGGGCTCTTGCCCGTCCACGGAAATCACCACCCCCCGACGTTGTACTCCTCCATCCCGGAAAGAGGGGACCAGTGGAGGCGAAATCTTCGCAAGCACCTTAATCTTGTTGAGGAAGGGGATCGTCATCACCGTGGTTTCTAGACTCGACCCATCTTGAGAGTACGGCGTCATGGGGGCCACCCCATTGGGGTTGGGAGCACTCGTCTGCAAGGGTGGAAGCTTCAGACTAGGATCCGGCTGACCGTAGTCCCGCGAGCCTCGGAAAGAACGCGGAGGCTGCAGCATCTGAAATACGCTGCCCCGAGGATTGGACAGATCGGTGCTTGATCGAGGGGTAAATGGGGACATGGGGTATGCCGCATCCGGGGTGTTGCCCCGCTGCATACTCGTCTTGAAGGCTACTTCCGAGTTGAAGCGGCGGCGCTTTGTGTCTGGAGAACGAATGCCGTTTTCTTCCCACTGCCGTTGTCGATGTTGAAGAGGCTCCCCACTGCTCCCCACCCTGATAGGTTTGGGAGGCCGCTCGGAATCCGACGCTCGGCACGCATAACTTCGAGCGGTAACCGTCTCTGATTGGGAGTTTGCCCCGTTCGTGTGAGAAGATCCGCTGGGGGTAAACGGGGCCTCGGGGGACACTGGCGGGTTCATGACTCGCCCACCGCACCGGCTGCAAACCGTCGAGCCGGGAGGGTTATGACTGATGCCCGAGGTGGAGTTTCGAGACGAACCATCCCGGCCATACCGACGAGGCTGATAGCGGTATTCGGGATACTGCTGTTGATGGCGGGCTTTCTCTTCCTGCTTGGTATTAGTATTGCCTGTCACCGCTTGTTGCAATTGGGCGGCTGCCTACCTCGGCAAGTGCTTTCCACTCATCCTTGGTTTCCTGCGGAAGCTTTCTCCATTGCTCCCCGATGATCTTGGATATATCGGGGTTAGCGAGTCCTGGATTTTGCGCCACCACTGCTGCTTGGTAGTGTTGGCGATAGAGAATGAATGCTGGGATTGTGTTAGCATGACCACGAAGACGGAAGCTCACAATAGCTATGTTGGTATGCACGTACCATTTCGAGGTCTAGGGATCTTGGGATCCGGTTGACAGAGGCAGAACTGGGTGACCGACTCCCTTGGTGCCGTCGACTTGACGGGACTGGACGACGACGAACGCTCGGACGCCGTGGAGCGTTCGCGAAGCGGGATAGTTTTGGTTGTCAGTGAGGCCGAGGGCTTGGAGGCCTCGACGGAAGCGCTAGCAGCGATGTTGTTGAGGGCAAACTTGGCGCGGGTGAGAGATGAGAGATGCACCTGGGGCAAACCATCGGCGGCGAATCGACACGAATTGCCCATGGGAGGGGAGTCCACATGATGGTCGACGAGAGACATGCGGGAGATATCGTCGTTCATGATCTTATGCTCGAGGAGGTTACTTGTTGGTCGAGGCAAAGGGACCTGCGGGGAGTCATAGTGCAAAGCGGGAGGCTTGGGGAGAACTCGATCGTAAGACATTTAAGAGAAGGAGACGAAGAAGCGGAGCGACTCTCTAGTGGATGCAGAGACGGTATGATGATGATGATGATGATGATGATGATGATGATGATGATGATGATGATGATGATGATGATGTGAAAGAGGAGGACATTAGACGGAGAGAGGTTAGAGAGCGAGAGAGGTATAGAGCGAGGCCAGAAGAAAGAAGGGTAAACGGTAAAGGTAAAGAAAGAAACAAGAATATAGAGTTATGACGAGCGAACCCTCGGGTTGATAATTCGTTTCTTCTTATTATAATGGGGATGCTTTCCTATTATTTTTCTTGACAGGGGCAAAACCGAGAAGAAAAGAAAAATAAGAGTAAGATGGGTTCTTTCTTCTTTTTCGGAGGGGGATGTTTTCTTCTTTGACAATAAGCCGTTTCTATCCAGACCGAACCAACCAGAAGGGCAGAAGGGAGCAGATAAAAGGCCAGGATTTGGCTTTCTCAAGTGCTTTGTTATAAGTCTATCTTTGGCGACGAGAAGGTCGGTGAGTCTGCATCAGACCCCTGCGGAACCTGGGAACCTCGTTCTTTGTCTCTCTGGGAATGACACAAGTCCTCTTGGAAGAGTCCCTCTCTCTCCACCGGTAAACGAGACGGATGGAACCTGCTGATGGAGAGGTGTCTAGGGGTGTTGGAAAGGGGGAAAACTGGTTCGTACCATTGACGACTGACTCTTCAGGTTGGTCTACGGAGTATAGAGTAAGGTACTGGCATACCGAAGTGGATGAGGTAGGTACCTCCGTGGGTAAGGTACTACGGAGTAGGTATAGGTATAGTAGGTAAGGTACCTTGCAATAGCAGGCGGGCCTCAGCGGTTGGAAGGTACCTGGGGGGCGAATCGATGATACCATGGCGGATGGAGCAGCAGTCCAGAGCAGTCGATGGTTGGTACCGGTATTGTTTGGTGTGTTGCCGTCACTTTTTCGCCCTCTCTTTGTCTGCATGCGGCGTGCTGCAGGGGGGTGCGGGCCAATCAGCGCCCCGTGTGCCAGGGCAGTGACACTTGCCTAATCGGGTCAGGTGAACCACTCAAGGCAAGTGCTCGCCGTACGGAGTACACTACTACTATGTATATTACCATATCATATTATCATATTATATTACTGTTAGATTAATACTGGATCTTGTTAATTACTACCTTGCAACATTCGATCCCATCCTTTCTCTTCCCATTGACTCCCTCAACGTCGGTTAGGTCATTTTGACATTCACAACTATAGTACTCCGTACTAGGTACCTAACTAGCCACTCGTACCACTCCGATCCTACCAGGGTAGCCTACTAGCGTCCCAACATGACACGCACACAAAGAACAAGCGCCACCTCTCCAGGAAGACAAATAGACTACCTGACCCTGTCATCATTTGAAGGAATCTGAGAACGCCACTCATCGGGTCACAAAGGAACTTCTCTGTTCTTTGTCCTCGCTCGCCCCCCCCCCCCTAACAAGAAAGGAAAAGAAAGCTAGCATCAGGCTCTAGAGCCTTCCCCGAGCATCCTTTGGAACTGGCACGTTGAGGTTGCAGGGGCCCCTGTCCTGTCAGCTTGGGCCGATCTCCCCTTTTCCGTGCTCACATTCCGATCTGCTCCACACAATCGAACAATCAATAATAGAGAAGAATGGACCTCTCCACTGTTGCGGTGGCTACAGTACGACCCTGTCTGTACTCCGTACGCTTCGGCTTCCCTGTCTTGGTCAAGGCTGAGGTCGACGCTCTCACAAGGCGCTGCTCCCCCCTCAGCCTCCAACACTCAATAATGAGCTCGCACAAACCACACAAAGACCACCAACCAACGGGCTCTCCTTCTATTCTTTGTAGACTGAGCTGTCCCTTCTCCCGTGGTCTCCTTTCGCGATTACGTACTCCAGAGCACTCTGTACACCTCTACAGAAGATGACACTCCGGGAGGCGTTTGATCCGTTTCGGAAACATCGTCAAACCTCTCCACATCCCTCAATGGCACATCGCCTTGGAACTCGCGGGCGTGCAAAGGTCCATCCGGGCCTAGAAATGCACCTCTGGCCATGTTTCAGTTTCGTTTTCTCCCAAGACATTCTTTGAAAACTCGGGTTTCATTTCCTGTTAATCAACTACTCTCTAATCAGCGGAGCCACTTCTCTTCAATCCCATGGAACACCTCTGTCCCCATCAGCCGATGCGCCGATGGACCCATATGCATCTCGTTCCTGGAAACGCAGCTCTGTTAGTCCTGAACAAGTCATGAAGACCCATGAATGGCTTAGTTTCTTACCAGAACAGGTACTTCTCCGGATTGTCACACATCCTCTGTGTTGATGTCATGACTAGCTGCTGGCTACTCTCGACGCATGCGTCGTCGACGTTTTCCCACCCAGGCTCCACGTTCTTACCCAGACCGTTTGGCTCCTCGATGCCGGCGGCGAAGAGCTGCCAGTCGCGGATAAGGTCAGCCAGGAAGGCGCTGGTGTCGAACAGATAAATCGTGCCCTGGTCCCATTTTTCAGCCGCTCCGCGCAGTTGGCGGTTCCAGTACTCCGTGATTTTCACCGCGTCCTTGTGACGGTTGACGTGCTGCGTCGCAACAGGACGGAAGCCGGGGAGGAAAGTCACATCGGGCGTCAGCGTGAGGATCACCTTGAGGTCGTTTGACTCCAGCGTCTGAGACAGCACGCTGAGCTGGTCCATGATGACGCCCACGCTGCGGTCCACTGTTTGGCTGGCGACTTCGTAGCCCTTATCCAGTAGGTTCCATACGTCCCACACCCCGAACGAGACCGCCAGGATCGTGCGGTTCTGCCGATGCTGAATCGCCGCCTCGTTGCCCCCAAGCAGCTGCACCGCTTCGTGCTCCGCCGCGGCCCACTGGCGCACCTGCGCCTTAAAGTCCGCTAGTGGCGACTTGTAGATGTTCAATAGAGTCCCTGTCAGCTCGGAGTTGTCCACCACCGAGCCGATATAGTTGCCTCGCAGCGATCGCGCGGTCTGCGCTAGGTTCTCTTGGTGGCAGGAGAACTGCGGGGCGTCAGCGTCTATGCTACGGGGCGGAAGAGGGGGCCCAGTCCGTTCTCTTACCAGTGAACACAGAGTGTCCGTCCATACGGACCCCTGGAGCTTGCCGGCATTGTTGTCGCTCCATGAATCACCAAATACCACTAAACGGTTATCAAAGGCGGTGGCTGCGGTGTGGAAATCGGACGCTGGCTCGTTCGCCGGGCCGACTCGGCGATAGTATCCATGGGAGATGAGAAACCAGGCGGATAGGAAGATACTACAGACGGCCAAGGCGCACACGGCGTGAAACTTATTGAGCCGTCGCATTACCAGGCGATGGGACAATTGACTCGGGAGTAGGAGGGATAGGTCAGGAGTCGTCGGGTCGGTCGATCAATCAGACGCTTTGGTGGTTCTCTTAGAGCTTGTCCGCTGATCAACGAACGGATTGCGGGAGCGGACACAGCCAGCTGTGACAGCACGACGAGGCGATGGTCTGGGGAAAGACCCTGTAAGAAAAAGGAAAACGGAAAATCCCCGACGGACAATGACGAATAGAATAGAAAAGAGGTAGAGTCAGTCAAAAGTACTGAATCATGTCAAACAGCGTCTCCCCTGAAGAAAAACGCGGAGGCGAGGGGACATCCGGCGGCACCGCGCAGAATCAGGAGAATCAGACACTAGCGGGCGATAGTCGAGTGGATTAGGCGGGGAGGCAATTCGGAACGGTTTCGGGGAGGAACTGGTGCCGCTGACACCGTTCGAATGGAAGGAAGAGTTGAGGGGAAAGATGGATGAGAGCAGGATGAGATTAGGGGGGAAGAACCAAAATGTGCCATATTAACCCCGGAGACGAGACTAGTACAGTAGGACTGATCTATAAGGCTGCGGCCGCGCGGCACAACCGGATTGGTAACCACTCGCGTGCTCTGGGTCTGTTGCGTCAGTCCGCAGCAGAAAAAACTCTTCCCAATCCTACTCCGTGCACGTTCCAGACAATGCGGCTACTACGTTTCTCTGTTGACACCGGAGAAACGGATTTTGAACCTAGTCGTGTGTCTGTCCCGTCTGATACCCAGCTGATCCGGTCCTTATTGCTTGTGGTGTCGATCTCAAACCGCTGTCTTGGCTGATAGGCCCGCACTGTCATGACGGCGGTTTCATAGTCATTATGGAACAATCCTCCGGAGAGCTCGGATTTCCACAGGTTAAAGGAGAAGGGCAACCGGAACGAGACTGTAATGCTCTCTCTTTGACTATTATCTACTGCAGCGGACATTGGAACGGAATACTAGCCTGTAAAGGCTTGAAAAGAAGAATGACCGATTGATAAAGGGTACAACAATACCCCAGAAGACGTGCATAACATGCCTGCATAATTCGTAAGGCTGTAGATTACTTGGTGGCCTGAACAACGAGGCCATCAAATATTGCAGCCTGACGGATCGGGCACCAAGATGATGGCTGACATAAGAAGCCCTACCTCCGCGGCGCTAATCCCGAGCGGGCTAGGGCGGCTGAGTCAGCCGCCCACACAGGGAAACCTCGCTACACCACCCATCGAAAAATCCCACCCGTTGTGAACGACTTCCCCGACGACCTTGAACCTCCTCGACCTGTCGACAAACCGCGCCCTCCGTCTTGACCGCGCAGCTCCGTCAAGATGAAGCTCAACATCTCCTACCCGGCCAATGGGTCGCAAAAGATCATCGAGGTCGACGATGAGCGCAAGCTCCGTCCCTTCATGGAGAAGCGCATGGGAACCGAAGTCAGCCTCCCTCTCCCTTTTTCCCTTGCGCCCTCGATTCCACATTCACTCTGGAAAAAAAATCAGACACACAAGCCACACGAATGAGAAGTTGTTGCGGAACAGAAAGACTGATCGGGGTTTTCTTTTCAACAGGTTGTCGGTGACTCCCTCGGCGATGAGTTCAAGGGTTACATCTTCCGCATCACTGGTGGTAACGACAAGCAAGGTACGACTGCGATTATTCCTCTGCCAGCGCCTCTCTTTCCCTCGATGCCAGGATTGTTGTGATTTTGGTTGAGAAGAGGACACGCAACTTTCAATACGGGAACAGAGTGCTAACATGATCTCTAGGTTTCCCTATGAAGCAGGGTGGTATGTAACGACCGACTCAATTTCAACCACCGCATCCCAAACAACAGGAACTCATCAATTCGTCCAGTTCTCCTTCCCACTCGTACCCGCCTGCTCCTCGCCGATGGCCACAGGTAAAGACAAATCATCCGAGAAAAGACCGCAAGAACAGGACGCTGATCAAGATTCGCAGCTGCTACCGCCCCCGCCGCACCGGTGAGCGCAAGCGCAAGTCCGTCCGTGGTGGTATGTTCTACAATGCAAAGCCAATCCGTTCTCGTTCTGCACCAGACATGGATATTGATGCGTCTTCACAGCCATCACCGGTTTCGACCTCGCCGTCCTTGCCCTGAGCATCGTCAAGCAGGGTGAGGGTGAGCTCCCCGGTCTCACCGACACCGTCGTCCCCAAGAGACTCGGCCCCAAGCGTGCCACCAAGATCCGCAGCTTCTTCGGTCTCGACAAGAAGGATGACGTCCGCAAGTTCGTCATCCGCCGTACCGTCACCAAGGAGGGCAAGCCCGAATACACCAAGGCCCCCAAGATCCAGCGTCTGGTTACTCCCCAGCGTCTCCAGCGCAAGCGTCACCGGATTGCCCTCAAGCGCCGTCGCGCTGAGGCTGCCCGCGAGGCTGCGTAAGCTCTCCCTTTTGTCTTTCTTCGCAGGTTCACAGTCTAATTGATTACAGTAACGACTACGCCAAGCTCCTGGCTACCCGTGTCCACGAGGAGAAGGCCAAGCGTGACGAGCTCCGCAAGCGGAGGGCGTCTTCGATGCGGAAGTAAATGTTTTTCTCTGGGGTTTTTTAATGGTCGGGTTACGTCTCTCTTATGGCTAGGGAAAATCTCAGCGACGGACGGCAAGGGGGGGTTATCCATCATTTTTTCGAGGTCGAAAAGCGCTGCGTGTCACCCAGGAACATTAGAGGCAAAATGAAAAGCTCCGCGGGGGCGCGTTCGCAGGCCCGAGAAGATGTTGGCGTGTCCACGTTGGCCTTGTTTCCTGTAGATCCCTCTTGTGGAAAGGGAAAGGGGAACAAGGCATTATCCAGAAATGGTATATGGGTAAAAATGTGAAAGATTCTTTTTGTTTTCTGAACCTCCTTGTGCCGTTCCATTCCATAGTCAATAGCACGTAACTCCCGGTGTTGGTCTCAGGCTGTGTCCTTGCCAATTCCCGTTGTTCTATATTGGTATAGTTTGTGGCTCGACACTAATGTGGTATTACCGATGTACCCGAGTAGGTACCTGTAGGTCTTAATAATTATCCTTGTCCGGGCGGACAAAGACACCCTGGCATCCGATGCATGATCCTTGATGCATACTGCATTCCTATTGTAACATGGACTCGACAAGCAAACATGGGGAACAAACAATAGCGCACACCGTTTTATTTGCTAACTGAGACCCTAAATGTAGCGGTGTGACACCAACAATATGCACATTCACGAAAGAAAAGAACTGAAACTCCTTCAATCTGGTGGCTCTATATACAGGAACAAACATCAAACCGAGGCAGACAAGCTGCAGACTTTTCTAGACGAAAGAACATGAAAATAACTACCGTCCCATCCCAGATTCTTGCAATTCATACATGCGTCATAAACGTGTTATAATGGTGACTGACGGGCTGCAACTTCATCCCGACCACAAAGGGTACCTGGCAATCACATCAGGCCCCAGTATTCCGTCCAAAATCCAAATGCCAAAGCGAAACAAGTATCAATGCGATTCTAGCAGATAACAGAAACAAGACTCCCCATCCTTAGCAAACGTATTCCACAAGACCCCTTCCCTAATCTTATGCAACGGCGTGCGAGAACAGGAAGCTGACGGACTCGCCGTTGTGCGTACGTCTGCAGGCTTCAGCCAGCGTGGGGCTGATGTCGATGGTCTCGATCTTGTCGCACTGCTCCTTCTTCTCCTGGTGGGGCACGGTGTTGGTGACCACCAGGCGCTTGAGACAGCTCTTGTTGACGTTCTCGATGGCCTTGCCGGAGAGGATACCGTGCACAACGATGGCGTTGACTTCCTTGGCGCCGTGCTGCATGACAGTGTCGGCGGCCTTGACGAGAGTACCGCAGGTATCGGCCATGTCGTCGACAATAATGGCGATCTTGTCCTTGACGTTACCGACGAGGACCATGCGGGAGACTTCGTTGGGACGGGGACGCTCCTTGTGAATCAGGGCGAACTGCAGATCGAGGCGATCGGCGAGACCAGTGGCACTGTATTCCGAGGGCGATCAGTAAAGAGCTCGGGGAGACGTATCAGCAGAATAATCTAGACGGATCCTTACCGCTTGGCACCGCCGGCATCGGGACTGACAATAACACAGTTGTTGACATCGAGATGTTCCCGAATCCACTTCAGCATGCTCGGCTCCGCGTACAAGTTGTCGACGGGCACGTTGAAGAAGCCCTGGATCTGACTGGCGTGGAGATCCATGGTAATGACGTGGTTGCATCCAGCGGTCTGGAGCATGTTGGCCATGAGCTTCGCCGTGATAGGCGCACGGCTCTTGTCCTTCTTATCCTGACGGGCGTAGGGGAAGTTGGGGATGACAGCGGTGATGCGACGGGCCGACGCAGTCTTGCAAGCGTTGATCATGATAAGCAGTTCCATCAGACCGTCGTTGATGTCGTTGGGCTTAGTGGACTGCAGAATGAAGACATCCTCATCGCGCACACTTTCACCAATCGTCACACTCGTCTCTTGGTTGGAATAATGGAGGACCATAGTTCTGGTCAGCTCGATGCCAAGTCTGCCGAGATGAAGGTGGAAGGTTAGTCAATGCATTGAGCGATGACAACTCCGCATGATACAATCATATTACAACCCAGAAGAGTACCCTCCAAGTTGTTATGGTCAAATTGCATACCGGTCGGCCACGAGGTTCGCCAACTCGGGGTGGCTGTTGCCCGTCAAGAGCTTGATCGAGTTTGATGCCATGGTGTGTGGCAGCGGTGTGTGTGAAAATGAGGAGAGCCGGGGATAGGGGTAGTGGAGATGTCTGCAGATGGAAGAGACTAGGAAGACGCAGAAGATTTAGAGAAGAGCGAGAGAGAAAGAGGTCAAGCTCGAGGAGGATCCGGCGCGAGGGAGAAATGAGAGTCGAAGGGAAAAGATGGAGAAGCGCATGAAGAGCCCCGCCGCCCTCACTTTTTTTTACCCGCGGCAGAAAAACCCGTTGTTATCTCACCGCCTTCTGTCCGTGGCCGACCCCCGGAATAGTATAAAAAGACCAGAGAGCATTCATGGGAGCCCTGCATTGGGAATTCTAGAAACAAACAGTACGTACATGAATTGGAATTAGAAAGGGGCCAGTTCACGAAAAAAAGTAATAAAGAAACGCATTTTGTATCATCGTGAGGGGAACTGTACCACCTCCAGCTCGAGATCGTCTTCCCGTTGACCTGCACTTCAAGGAGAGAGACGAATATCTCCCAAGTCGGAGTCTGGACAGATTCCCTCTCCCCTGTAAATCATCATGATCCTGTCCCCGGCAAAGCAAAGAAACAAAGAAACGTATCGCCCAAATAATACAGACTAGGTGAAAGAAGACAACCCAATGTGGTAGAAGTGGAACGCCGTCCAAATGCTCCAGCATCATCAACAAGGAGAGAATCGCAAATGCCACGTAAACCCATCAACCAAGTTTCTTTCAGGAACGACGATGGCGCCGCCATTCTATGCAAACCCGAAATACTCGCTACCAGCCGTCATGGCAGTGTACAACCGTTGCCTCAAGGTCTCATAGCTTTCATATTCCGGAAGGTCGAGCTCTGTTGTCCCATATTAGCAGATGTCATCCACAGAGGTAGTCCACGGAGAATACTCACGGTTGAAACACGTGTGCGAGCTTGGAAGGCGGTCCTTGTTACCATAGTCCCGATGGATGTTGAACCGGCTGACCCCGTTCATGCCCTCAAGCTCCTTGAACCCGTTGAGAGGAACTTTACTGGTACCGGTGACGAACTGCAGCAGCTTGGCCCGTTCTTCCTTGTCAAACGAGCGCACCGCACGCCAGAACCACTGGATTTGCGGCGACGAGGCCGAATAGTTGTGATATTCGGTGTTCACCTTCCAGTCATCCACGTCAATTTCAGGAAGACCAGAGATCAGCAGTTCGAGCTCTTGCTCGTTGAAGATGGAGATGAGATCGGGAGGAATGATTTCATGGAATCCTAGAATCTAGTTAGCTCACCGTCCTGCAGAGGTCCTTGGAAACAAGTACGTACCCTTGAGGAAGTTGTCAAGCTGCTCCTTAACCGAGCGAAGCAGGCGATAATCGACCACACGCTGCACGTACTCCTCCTTGTTCTCCTGGGTGACAGGAATGTTGCGTCCATTCTCCACAAGGTCAATCACCTGCTTCTCACCAAAGTCGTCGGTCTCAACGGCGAAGGTCTCGGTGATGATATCAGTGATATCATTCTCCAGCATCCAAAGCAGAGACTTGTAGTAGTCAAGGTCAAGCGTTTCCATATCCTTGATAGACACAGACCGACCAAGGATGCACTTGTATACAGCGCGGCTGAAATGACAATCAAGAACACGGCCTTCGTACAGAGCCTTACCGATGATTCGGCCGATGAACTTGAAGAACATCAGATGTTCCGAGTTGACTCCACTCAACCGATTAGGGTGGAAGGTAGTACGATCCGCAGCAACAGGAATGAACAACGCATAGTTGGGATTGAACATGCCCCGCGCAAGCACTTGGAACCACTCTCTCGTGACACCTCCCGCATCCACACCTTCTTCACCATGGAAGCGGACGTTCAGCTTGCCGTATTTGAGTTCATCTGCCGTCTTGAAGTATAGAGACTTGAACGAGTCAAGGAAGACCTGGTCTCTTCGGACAGATAGCTGAAGGGGCGGATGAGGATGACGAGGCTCAGCACCACGCGAGTGCAGTCGACGAGTGAAGTAGTTGCGCTTGTTGTCGAACTCCAGGACCTTGGGGTTCTTGACCAACAAAGAAAACGTTCCACTCATCAGCCGGGGGTTCTGACGGACGAGTTCGTTGAGAATCTTGCGATGTTCCTCGGTGAACTTGAAGAAGAGACTCTCCATGTTTACACCAGCGTCAACAGAGGTGCTGGAAACGGAAGTCTCCCGCGTGTTGCGGGCAGTGTCCTTCAATGTGGTGTTCTTGCAAACAACCATCAACGCTTCGATCAAAGGCAAGAGAATGGTAGCCACATTCAGCATGTTCTCCTTTTGCCGAATAACGGTCAAGCATTCGCTCAACCTGGTCCAGAGAGGTCCGAAGGTAGAGCATTCGTATAGTGACTGCAAAACGTCCTCTTTGGCTGCCTGATCAGGCTCGCTGCCCTTGGCCTTATCAGAACGGCTCGGGTCAAACAAGTAATCGAGAGCAGTCAGAACACGTAGCAGCTTCGCTTGGTCAGAGCTGGCAGGCGAGAACTTCGCGAGGGCAAGACCTTGCATATCGGTGCCTGTCCGTGCTTGGTGGATGTGAGACAGGAGTTCGTCCAAATCAGTCAGGATTGTAGTGCTCAAGGCCTGCGCCTGGCTGACCAACTCATTTCCAATCACATCCCTAGCCCCAGGGATAGCAGACAAGTTATTAATGGTAGAAAGGGTGTCCCTGAACGTCTTGCCGTTGCACTCACGAGCTGCGAGGATGTGCACCACCAGCTGGAGATTGTGATCAGGAACAACAGGAGGCTCGATACTGCGCTTCTTGTGTTTGTCATCCTCAGCCTTTCCTTTCTTTGTCTCCCCCTTGGAACCTTCTGTCGGGGCACCAGTCTCCGGCGGAGCCGAAGTGGCGTCGTGATCTTCGGTGCCTTCCACCGTGGGAAGAGGTGCATCGGTCATCGTTGTGTCCGCAGCAGCATCTGTAGGCTCAGAAGGCTGCGCCGGCTGCTCCCTGGTAGTTTCCTCGTCCGCTGCGCGTTCGGGTTTCTTGCCTTTGTCTTCTTCCTCTTGCCTTTCCTTCTCGCGACGAAGCAAGATAGTAAGCGGTTGAGTGATATTGCTGAGGAGATTGGAAAGTTGCTCCATGCAGCTGGGGTTTTCCATGATCAATTTCCGGTCAAGCAAGGAGAGGAGGGCGTTGAGGGCGAACTTGTTGGCTTTGTTCTCCTTACCCTTGCCCTTGCGGAATGCCTTCAACTTCAGCGTCGATGAAGGATCATGCTCGGTGAGGAAAAACCAAGGGATATGAGGATTGTAGGACGACAAGAAGGAGAGGGTTCCGAGGCATTGTTGCACGACCATTATCGGAGTCACTTCGCTGCTCACACTGGAAGACGTCTGGAAAGCCAAGTTCCGTTTAACAGACTGAGGCGTCTTCTGAACCGATGGGGGTTTGGCGCGAAGCGACAGCTGGGCGAAACTGCGTTCGATGGCAGAAACATCAGATGTTCCGTCCTGGAGGACAGAAAGTAGGAGACTAATAACCTCAACCCGATTCTGCCTATTTTCGCAGACGTGATGAAGGATATCGTTCAATTGATGACGGGCGTTTCCTTGAAGGGGCATGAACATCAGGCGAAGCAGAGTAGCTACCCCAGGTTTGTCCAGCATTTGTACGATTTGACGTCGCTGTGGTTTCTTCGGCTCCTGGTCTTCCACTGGTTCGGTCCTATGGCGGCTATCGACTCTGGGGATATCACCAAACTGAGCTAGCCGTCTGCCAGGGAGGGAACGAGCCTCGGTAACAAACTCTGGTCCAAGATGCGCAAGAATCTCCTCTGGCTGATCAGCAAGGACAGCCTGTCGCAATGAGGGATCCAGAGTGGCAAGGAAACTGGCAGGGTCCATGTCTTCAGCACGGGGAGGTGCGGCGCCAGACGCGGCCGCCTGTCTGCGTGCATTTTCCCGTTCCCGACGCCGACGATCTGCAGCTTCCTGCTGCAACAATTCCTCACGAATCTCCGGAGGCAAGGCTTCAAGGAACTCTTGGTTGATTTCGCTGGGCTCTTCGCCGGCGGCGGCAGCCTGCGACCGTTGCTCCGCATATTGTTGCATAATAACTTCTTCTCTCAACTCCTCAGGAAGGGCCTCGAGATACTCAGGATCTATCTCCATGCCAGTAATGTCCACCTGACGACCTCTGATCGTGGTGTGCACCCTAGGCTGTGGTTCCGACGGTCCCGTCTCGGTTTCAGCTGCTGGCGCAGAAACTTCACCAGCAGAATCCGTCCGCTGCACATCATCCATAGGCTCAGAGGTAGCTCCCGAGGTTGCTTGTTCGGCCGCTTGCTGTTCTCTCTCTTGCTGCAACCTAGCTTGCTCTTCTTCCTCCTTGCGCTTGCGCTCACGTTCCTCTTCTTCTCGCGCAATACGCTCCTGGCGTTCACGCTCGGCACGTTCTTCCTCTCGGCGTTTACGCTCTTCCTCTAGCTTCTTTTCACGTTCCTTTTCTTCTTCAATAGCAGGAGGAACCAAAATCTTCAATAGAGAGTTGACCACACGCTGGGTTTTCTCAACGTATGTGCTGCTGAAGAGGATACGAGCTTCTTCTTGCCACCGGCTTCTGGTAGTCGCCAAAGCAAAGCTCACAGCTTGAGATGGGTCATCGCGAGTCCGCGATTGGGAAGGCTGTTGTCTACCGAGTCCAAACATGTCCTGAAGACGGTTTGGCAGGATAGCTCGTCGGTCAACGTGAACATGAATGCCATCAGGGCGTGTGATCACTCCGAAGCCTGGGGCACCTTGACCACCAATAGCTTGCATGATTGCATTCATAAAGCTCACGGGGCTGTCCATGGGGAGGAGATGACCAGTCGACACTGGCTCCATGCCATGCACCCAGTCGGTAAATGCTTCAGCACCAGGTCCACGAGGCTGTCCACCTTCTGGTCCACGATCGGTACGGACAAGGAGAGGATTTGTTCCATCATCACTGCCGCGCGCTGGGATCTGAGTGCGGTGGAATCGATACGGTTGAATGGGAACAATTCCATGCCGGCTGGGCATAATGCCAGTGACAGCCGCCCATGCTGGTTGAGTCCCACGGAAGCGATGATGGTGATGGCCGCGAGGGAATGGGGGCTCTTCACCTTCCCACCCCCAGGGATCCATGAGGTCCTCATCTATCATAGGAAGTTAGTCCCTCTGCTTTTTCTGCTCGGAGACAAGAAAATTACTAACCTTCATCAAATCCTTGATACGAGCCTTGATCATCATCAGCATCCTCAAGCTCCTCTTCAAGCTCGTCAAGCTCTTCATCCTCTTTGAAATAGTTAGCAATCGCATTCAGTTCGCGAAACAGACGAGCGTACCTTCGTCCTCCTGCAATTCATCATCAAGCATGTCATCATGCATATCTCCGAGGCTATCGACCTGAAGGTCATCAACCCCTGTAGCATCCCCATTGAGCATACGGAAGAGGTCGTTGATGCGTTGTCCTTCGTCGGTCTGTCTGATGTCGGCAAGCTCGTTCTCAAACTGGTCCACCATGTCCGCCTCTTCGTCATCTTCGGACATCTCCTCGCTCTCCCATTCATCGTCATCACCTTCGTCTAGGCTTGCGTTATCACCATCACCAGTTATCTCCCCAGCGAGGATTTCATCATCGTCCATATCGGAGCCTTCATCTTCATCATCCTCGTCATCCTCGTCGTCATCTTCATCATCGTCAATGACAACTTCGATGTCCATGCCGGAGTCGCCAGGAAGACCTTCGATAGGACCGACACCCTCAATTTCTTCGTCCTCTTCATCACTGACCATCTCGCCATCGTCTTCCGGAAGATCTTCTTCATAATCCATCTCCTCGTCGTATTCATCGTCATACATTTCATCATCCTCTTCTTCTTCAGACTCTTCCGAGCTAGTTTCCTCTTCATGGCGAGGCTCCAACATGCCCAGAGTTGAATGACGGAAAAGGTCAGGAGTCTCCTCTCGATCATCGTCCATGTCAGAAACCGAGGTGGCTGACGAGATTTCGTCTTCTTCGGTCTCTCCTAGGGTAGAGATGTCTGAAGTTTCGCTCAGGACGACCGCGGTTGAGGTGAGCTTGTTAAGAGGGCGTAGAATATGCTTGATGACGCGCTTAGAAGCAGGGAAGTTGAGGTCAATCTCTGCCACTGAAGCTGTGAGAGCGTTGATAAAGTTCTTTTCAAACATAGTCTTCGCAAGCTGCCGAGTGGATGAAGGAAAAGCGGTGTCCCCAGAAACATACGCGTAGCCGCTAAGCATTTTGTCGAAGAGGTCGGCGAGAGACATCAAGCGCGAGTATTTAGCATCCAAAGGTTCGGTTGACGCATTTGCTTCCTTGTACGCTCGTAACTCATGCTCCAAAACAAACCTTCGGACGAAGTTCAGCTCAGGCTCATCCTCTTCATTGAGTTTCTCATTGCGGCGACGCCCAGTGCCACCGAACTCTCCAGTTTTAGTGCACAAAGCCACGAGCACACGCATCGCGCACGCAGACGTATTGCTTCGCTTCTTGAAGGCGACAGATTCGTCCGGGTCCATAGTACCGACAGGAACGAGGGCATTGAGAAGGTAGTTCAAAATACCCGAGCGTGGCTTCGAAGGCGTGGTCGCATGAGGATCTGCCTTCCGAGAGAAGTTGATAAACTCCACCTTTGTCCGGTTGTATGAGGACAGGAGTTCCGTCAGGCACTGGAGCAGGAAACAACGGTAGATGTAGATGGGATGTTCGTCCGCTTTGAATGGAGGCTTCTCTCCCTTTTTCGAATTGCGTGCACCCTGGGCATCAGTGCTAGAAACAGATGGTGCGGGCTCGTCGATAGACATCTCCATTTCGGTCTGAGACTCTGACTGCTCAGGAGCCCGGGCATCGGTAGCTTCAGCTGATGGTTCTTTGTCTTCCACATCCTTGTAAGAGAGAAGTTCAGAGAGTAGATAATGAATGACGCCGTCAGGATTTTCCACGATAGGCGGCTTCAATTCAGTGGCCTTTCCTTTATCTTTATCGTCGGACGAAGCTGCGTTTTCCGGAGTGATTTCGCCACTGCTCTTCGCTTTCTCTTCCCCGGTACTGCCTGAGGACGAACCAGACTGATTGTCGGGTTTCTCTGGTTTCAATGTAAGGATCTGTGGGCGCTGTCGGTTGTCGTATCGCTGCAACTTCAGTTTCTCGTTTGATATTTCCACAAACAACTCGGGAGACCGGAGTACGAGGTGGTACATTTGCCGGACATATCCAGTGGTATCAATCTGGCGCGAGGACTTCGATTCGAAGTTGGCAACGATCTCACTCCTCATGATCTGACGAATGGTATCTTCATCCTCGATGATGTGTCTGAGAATCAACATGAAGGCCCCTTGAAGTTTCTCGTTGGTGGCGCTGGAAAGCTGTTTCACCATTACAAATAGGCGTTGGAGACTTCGCTTCTCTCCCAGGCGAGTTGCAATAGTCCGGTTGCGAGTGAGAATGACAAGGATACGAGACACCGAAAGAGCCAATGCATCGTCCTTGCCTATCCTTGGAAGAATTTCCACAAGTGCCTCAAACAGCTGAAGCTTCTGGTCATTGGAAACAAGAGGTTCCTCCAATTGAGCAGGACCCTCATCCTCTGGGTGCGCATGGTCGGAATCGGGTAGACTCCATTTGATTTGAGGAGGCTGCGAGTCATCCGAGAGCAATTTCTCGAGAACAAGTAACACATGTCCAATCCAGGGGAAAGATTCATCCGCAGTCTTCTCCGAAGGGACTTGGATGAACCCAAGGAAGGTTGTGAAGCATTCCTTCAGCTCGCCCAATGTGGCACTATACATATCCCTGTCCTGAAGGACCAACGCAAGGAGGTGGGCATAAGCAGCAACCTTCTTGCCAGCCGCCTGGAAGTTGTCCATCTGAAGCGAGACGAGGGACTGAACCAGAATTTCTCCAACTTCCCTTCTGAAGCTCTCCGGATCGCGGTGCTTCTTCGTGGCGGAAGCTATCAGATCAGACAGCTCGAACGAGACATCATGGTGCTCATTCAAGACGTCCAAACAACGCTCTATCAGGTTGGATCGGACCTTGTCGCGCTCCTTATCCAAATCCTCCACTGTGGTTACTTCGCGCCTTCTCGTGGGCTGGCTAGGGTGGCTTGTGGGTTGCGCAGAGGGTTGGTTGACCGCGGAACTCGAGGGTTCGGAAGCATTTTCACCAGCAGTGTCGGGGTTGCGACCAGCATTGTTTGGGCTGCCACCCAGACTATCGTCGCCAGCGCCAAATTCATCATCATTGAGAATATGGTTCAAAGCTCGTGCCAGGAAATCAGTGCCCTGTCTGACTTCGTGTTCCTCCACTCGACCCTGGCCTCCCTCTGGGCGAGGTCCATCATACGGTCGACCAGAAGCTTGTGCCAGAAGCATTGCTAGACCCGATCGTTCTAAGAACCCATTGTCAAAGGGAGCATCAGGAGAGTCTTCCGCACCCTCGCCCCCAGAGGTCATACCGGATCTGACAGACTCAATGTCGTTCTGGGGAGGGGGAATTCGAGAACTTGGAAGTAACCAGTTCTGAGCCTTGCAGTATTCTTCAGCCGCGGCATAAACGTTGTTGCAACGATACATAGCCTCCTTCGCCAAAGCGGGATCAAATCCCTGGTCCTGTAGCGTAGTGAACCGCTCTCTGTGGATGACAAACTTCTTCTTTGACACATCAGACAAAGCGGGCATGGTATCGGATCGTCTAGCAGCACCCGTTTCATATTCACCATCTAGTGACGAGCGCAAGATGTCGACAAGGCATTTGACGACAGAGCTGGACGATTGGGTCGCGAAATCAGAGTTCCACATCTCGCGCGCCATGGGAAGGATCTGCATACGAAGATCGACCAGGAACTGTCCTGGTTGGAAATAGTCCGGCCGATCCCGTTCCCGCTCGCTACTGGTCATAGCCTGTGTTTGACTCGACTCGACAATATTCTTTCCTGAGGCGAGTTCAGAGAAGAAACTCAGTATTATCTTGATACCGCCGTAGGCAGAAGTGAGTCGGGCTGAGACGTCTCTTTCTGATTCAGCCACAGATTCGGGTGGCACCAAGGCCTTCACCTCGCGCACAAAAATGTCGCAAATATCTTTCATGACTTTCAACCCATCATGCCTCTTGAATGCAAACAACACCAGAGTGAGGTAATGAGAGTGTGGACGATCGGCCGTAGCTGGAAAGAGTCAGTATGGGATTTATTTGTCCACTAGAGCATGTGTGGCTTACCTTCAAATAGCAAATGAGAAAAAGACGACAATATGACTATCAGATAAGCGAACCGCTGCTTCTGGTTGTCACACGAATTCGGTGGCGCGAATTGCAACTGCTCTATCACAGCCTTTGCAATGGCCTCGGCCACTAATGTAGCATTCTGCCGTTGATAGATATCGATTCTTCGCTTTCCAATCAGGCCAAGGCCCAGGTTGTGGAAGAAACCGGTGATCGAAGAGGGGATGGAACTGAGAAGGTACCGAAGCGCCCGTACGTTTTTGAATGCCACGGTCTCTTCAGGCTTATCCTTTGGATTTTGAGCACGCGGTTCGGCTGGGGTGTTCGAAGCAGAAGCCTCCTGGGGCGTTTCAGTTGTTGAGGGCACGGTAGTGTCTCCTTCTTGAGTGGGCGCGCTGGTAGGGTCATTGGGTCTCTCGATTCCTGCGCTGGGAGATTGCACTTTGGTCGCCTGGTCCCACGTATCCGGGATGTTCTTACCCAGAAGGATTTCCTCCCAAACGCAAGCTGCATGTAGTCCGCCTAGTCTCTGGATCAGGGAGCAGTACCGATCGGCAAGGTTGACTTGAGCGAAAGCGGAGGTCTGCTGGCTCGGGCGGGTCTGATAGAGTGGCATGGAGAAGACCTCACGGAGGAGATCAATCAAGATGAGGGTTGCTACCATGCTCTTGGCAAAGTAGGTTCCGTTTTCTTTCACAAGCTGGGAACTTTGTGAGCTGTTGTCTTCTGGTTCATTTCCACCGGCTGATTTGACTAGAGGCGTAAACAATCCCGAATGTCTCGGTCCTTCTGACCGCCAAAAATCATCCATCAGCGCAGTAATTGACTCCAGGCGATCCACCAGGGCCGGGACGACCAGATGGGGCTTTGTTTCCGCCAGCATATGGACCAGCACGGTCAGCTCCTGGTGGGTATTCGTGTTGTGGAAGTCAAATGGGAGGCTCTGCAGGGTTGCGAAATCCAAGACAAATTCGACACCGCCAGATTCGATAAAGTATATGCAGTTGGATTGGTTTTCGAAGAAAGCGCCCAGGAATCGGAGGACGGGGAAGAGGTAATCGGTGGTTGTTAGCCCGTGCTCGTCACGGTCCTGAGGCTCAACTTCGCTAGAGGACGGAAGAGTCTGGCTCATATCTCCCATGGTTAATGTACCGCCGTCCGGAAGGTGACATTCAGAATTCACTTCTCGAACACCGAGGTCGGAAGCTTGAATACTATCGCCATCTCTGGGGCTACCCAGTTTCCGGAGGAGCTGAGAAGAAGAGCCCGACACTATAGGCTTCCCCTGCGCATCCTCTGTCCACACCTTCGTTCCCAGTCCGGCTGTCCAAGCTTTACTTCGACACAAGTGACCAACGCGAGCGACCATTACAATAACGGCAGTCATGATCGATGGCTTAAGCGCCGGGTGGTGCCGGACTAATTCATCGAAGGTCGTTCCCAGCGAGCGGATCAGGTTTGCATCCTCCTTGAGGCACTTGACATGCTCGGGGTTCTCGAAGATCTCAAAGAAACTTTCTAAAGCGTTGGAAGATTGGAAAAGCTTGAGTCCCGACGAATTCAGGCAGATCGCTCCAAACGCAGAAGGGATGCACGACAGAGCTTCGACAGCAGGCATGATTCCACTTGCCAAGTGCGTACCATCGGGTCTTGCGATAGCATACTGCCTGGGCTTTTCACCCTCACTGACCGGGGAAGGCTCTGAAGGCTCCGCGGCAGGCTCGCCTTCCGTTTCAGCGGGTTCAGCTCCGGTAGCAATCTTCTCCGGGACCTTGATGTCAGACATGGTAATAGCTTCCAAGAAACTCTTACTCAGGCCGGCTTCAGCGATGACAGCATAACTCGTGGGTTCGTTATGGATGAAGCTACTTAGGATGTTGACTGCGTTGCTCCATACATGGGAACCAAAGACCGTCGCGTTCTCAAAGACCAAGCGCAGGGATGTCAGTAGTTGAGGGGAGTCAATCAGATTCCGAAGAACCCGATCAAACCCGCCGCCATTATGCTGCATGATGTGGTTCACAAAGCGAAACATCCAACGGAGACTCTGCTGCTGGAAGTATGGAATCTGATAGTCCATCGATGGGGTCTTATGCTGCGCAGGAATACCTGCTCCCCTGGACACGTTCTCGAAAGAAGTTTTGGTTTCATAATCGATCAGGTCGGAAATGGCGTCGAATCCTCTCGCGCTGGTCAGAGTTCCAAGCGCATCCCGAACGGCATGGACGAAGGTATCAAGGAACTCCATGATACGAGAATATACTCGACGGGCTTTTTCGGTGCGCAAGTTGAGAACATCCACAAACATGGGAATTAAACCCGCAGAGACCAATGTTTCGGGGGTCCTAGTGCTGGAACCGGGAAGAGTACGGAGGAGAGCGAGCAAAGCATCGCGCCATTCATCCTGCCTTCCATCGTCCGGCGCACCATCTTCAGCTCCCAATTCGTTGACAACCTTCCGGGTCAAGAACATCAGAACGCCGTGGTTCACATTGACACTAAGAGCAGCACAAACGTCGATGGCTCGAGCTTTGTGCTTCGCAAGAGCATCAAGACCTTGCATAGCAAACGTCTGCACGGTCCGCGAAACTGGCAAATCGCCACTTGCTCCAAGATGGACTAACTCTGCCAACTGATATGCGAGTTGAAGACGTTTTGGTTGTTCCATGTCATACTGAAGGATCTTCTGTTGAAACAGCGGTTCGGTGTAGACGTAGGCCAGGTTTGTGATGGCGAGAATCCGAATCGAAAGGATCTGCTCCCGGTGGGCGGAAGAGGTTGAGAGACCATAGGCCGTGCGAACCCTATGCAGTAGCTCGTACTTGGAATCCTCCGGTAGTTCCTCGAGATGTTGCGCAAGCAGCTCTTCAGCCGTCGATGACGAGATACTTGAGAAGGGTATATCAAGGATCTTGCCCGCACGCGTCTCGTCCGGCTTCCCGGGGGTGTTCGCGATGGAGCTTGGAGAATCCTCTGCAATGGAAGTACGACTCAGGCGCGGAGTTGGATGGGTGTGACTCCTACGCAGAGGTGTTGGTGTGGAGGGAGCCTGAGTCTGTGGCCCAACGTTGGTGGTTACTGGAGCCTCCTTCGTCTGCTCAGCAACACCCGTCGGGTAGTAAAGGAGACGCACATGACCCCACTCGTCCCAGCCTTCCTTTTCGCGGGTCAAGCTAGCTAAGTCATTGGCATTGTGCTTCGTCGAAGATCCTTTATCCTTGCCCTTGGGCCCAACCGTAGGCGAGACAGGCTGTCGGGGAGCGGCGGACGGACGGGGAAACGGCGCCGCCACTTTCTGGAGCTTTTCCAGATCAATGTTGTAATGAGCTGCCAGTAGGCTCTGTTGCATATGCGAACTGCCCCGTTGGCGCGAGTGATACCTCTGGGCCAGAGTGAGCGACAGGCGGAGGCTCGACTGGAGAAGTGAGAGTGAAGTGGTGTTCAACAGATCTCCGAGGCGCTCGCTGCTGCTGTACAGGCTGCGGTTCCCGCACTTGTCGAGGAGAAGCTTGGAGAAGTCCAGGATCGATTCTACTAACTCCCGGTCGCCCTCTGGGCCATACCCCAGCGCACTCAACTTGACATTAGCCTCCTCCGGGTTCAACTTATTTCCATCGCCTGCGTAAAAATCCACCAGTGCGTGTCGGCCGAAAGGCTTGGTCTGAGGTCCATTGTTGAGGTCATACTTTTCGATGACGACAGCTAGGATCTCATCAAAGCGGTTCAAGACGTTGATCCAGTGGTATAAGTCCCCTCGGGGGAAAGGCCATATGCGAAGGAAGGTGCTCAGATGTGAAGGAAGCTCGGGGATCGGGACGGTAAGGGCACGAGACACGAACTCCGAAAGGTACGGTGACTGTAGGATGGAAAACAAAAATCTTAGTTGAGCTTCAGGCTGATGCTGTACAGCACTTGGTGAGGGGAAGAAAAAGGAAAACTTACGATCGTAGCCTCATGTTTTTGGCTAGCCACCTTCTTGATTCTCCCCATTCTGACGACTTAGAGAATTCAGGTACTCATGAGGAGATGAGGAGATGAAGAGAATGTAGGAGAGGGTCTCCTAGGCGGGTGGGGTGAGGTCGCGAAGACCGTGGTGGCCAGGAAAACTTATGACGTTTTTGGGCTGCTCTTCTACCTCAACGAAAATCCCAAAGAATCGGAGTGAGAGAGGGGCAAGGTTATTGGCCGGGATTCCAGGACGGGAAAGAAAGCGAATAACGAGGGCCAAGACAGTCGATTAAGCCTCTCTCCGAATCCGCTTCGAAAGGCGGGCGGGCCGGTGATGGCGAGATTAGAGAGTCGTTGCGGCTCGAGTAAGGTAGTAGCGCTCAGAGTCAGTCAGAACAACAGGGAAACGGTGCAGGTCGTCCACCCTGAAGGTTCTTGACATCGAAAGAGAGGGTAGAAGAGGAGAAAGGAGGGGTTGTGAAAGATACAGAAGGGGTGGTGTTGGGGGAGAGAGAGATGGAGACGAGAGGATGAGGCGGACGAGAAGGAGGTCAGAAAGAGATGTTGGAAGGTTCGTGAAATTATGCCGATGCGATGGAGCTTCTGGTTTGGGTTGCGCTTGTGGCTCTCTGACTGGCAGTGAAGGATCCGGAGCGGGTCTTCTCCCCCGCCGAACAAGGCGGCCTTTTTCTACGCGGGTTCCTCTGACATCAGTTGATGTCTTGTCACTTAATGTCCAGGAGGTAGATAGCTTCGTGTCCAATTCACTTGTCCTTCGGCTTTTCTGCTAGCTTAATCCTGTGTTTCTCATCAGGCGATCGGTTTTTCCATCGTACATTTGGCCTTCAGGGAAGAACGGTTAAATCTTTAGTTGAATGCTGATTAAACCTAGTACTGTTGATTTCGTGGAAGAACCACAATAGAGTAACAGAATCCTCTTCTCAAACATATCCTAAAAGGTGACACATTATATATTGAATTCTGACCCAATATACACTAAGAAATGTCCCACTACTAGAACCAATCCTCCCACCTTCTCTAATCCGAGGCAGGTTCAGGCAAATCACCATCCCACTGGATCTTCATCGTAGTGGGAAACGGGAAAAAGCCGCTCTGATCCGCAGTCATGTACTTGGAAATCCCACCAGGCCCAGCCAGCCGTTTAAGCTGACCCTGAGGTCCTGGGGCCCGTCGCAGGTTATCCAGCCCTCCAACGACTTTGAGCATTGTGGTAAGACCCAGCTTGCAGAGTCCGAAACCGAGACATTTATGCGGTCCGGAACCAAAATGAACATACAGATCCATGTCCCGGTCAAGCCGGACTTTCTCGGGCTCTGGAAAGCTGACAGGGTCGTGAGATGCGGCAACCTGTTGTAAAGAAGATCGTAAGCATTCTGCACCTCGCTAGGAAGATACCAGTCACAAAAACTTACCAGGTTACAAAGAATATGTTGGCCCTCCTTCAAGGTCAATTTTGTGCCGTTGTCGTCGATAACCGTAGGCTTCGCCACGACACGGGGCAGACCAACCGAGGATCGCAACCGGGCTCCCTCCATAAAACTAAAGCAGTTAGCACCAGAAGCCTATGCTGTAGAACTCGGGGGGTTATACTATCGCAGCAGCAACTCGTCCGCTTCGGGGGTGTTCTCCTTGGCGAGGCGGTTGATCTCCGGGAGATGAACGGACCCCTCCTCAGAGAGGTAATAGTCAAGGCATTGCGAAAAGAGTTGTCCTTGGTTCGCTACCATCCCGCCAGCCGTTGGCAACAAATGAGTCCATACGATCTCAGAAGCGGGAAGGCCACTGGCAAGCAACCGTTGGATCATGTGGATGCCATAATTGCTGAGGACATCATGCCGTTGCAGGCCGTTGACGAGGTTCGAGATGAAGCCCGTTTTATGAATGAGCTCCACGTTGGCCATTGTCACCTGTCCAAGCTGCTGGGTTACCTCTCTGGCAGCCTGGTTGAGTGCAAAGGAGTTCGCAGGGTCCGCATCGTAGAAGATGGCAGCAAAGACAGCAGCCATGATCATATACAACTCTGACTCGGTAAATATACCGCGCGGGCTGGCTTCGGTCTTCAACGGAAGTGAGAAGACGTTTGCACAGAAGTTAACTTGAGCGAGGTTTGCAACATCGCGCACGATGTCTACTTGATTGACTCCAGCAATCTTGTAGGAATGCTTCTTCAGGAGTTTCAATGTGATCTTCTCGTAGAACTTCTTCACCTCCTCTTCCCATTGGTCGGTATACAAGGCCGCTCCCATCATCTTACGCGATTCAGCGTTGGGGAGGCGGTCACCAGAGAGCATAAAGTCTTTGCCGTAAATTTTGTCATGATTGCTCATCAGAAATTCGATCTTGTCGCCCCACGACACTTTGAAAGTCTCTTGGTCGGCCAGAATAGACACGCACGTCGAGTGAGAATTGATGAACTGTGGCGGATGAATGAAGCCCGGTTTATCCCAGCTATATTTTTCAGCGGATCCCAACGCTGTTAAGATCTTCTGATTCTCAGAGGGAACAACCATAGGGAAATGGGCATAAACTGAGTTGCCCTTGAAGTAGTTGGGGAAAGCTCGATACACCAATTTATGGAACATATGGCCTTGGTCAACGGAGTCTTTAGGCTGGATCTCCGTGAAAGCCCAATTGGTAAGCTGTTTGGGCGTGTAGTCGACTGTATAGAAGCGATCCCCGCGGACCAAAGCGACCGCATCAGAGAGGATAGCCCGCGAGATTGTGAAGTTGGTGCAGAGACCACTTCCAGGAAGCATGGACTCTTTCGTCTCTTCGACGATCACACCCGGATAAATTTCTACCTGGTCCGGGTGGTCGTACAGTCGGCGAAGTTGCTCAGAGATGTATGGATCAGAGTTGATGTCTTCGAAAGTCTTGTGTGGGGTCAAGCCAAAGTATTGACGGAGCTCGTTCAGCGTGGCAAGGTTCCAGGCACGAGCCTGCTTGATACCGAGGCTTTCGATGCTCTTGAATATAGTTGGAACATGAGAGGCGCCAAAGGCCCCCGCACAGTCTTCAACGCTTTCCTTGAAAATAGTGACCAGGTCATCATCGTCAAACAGGCCATTGGGCTTGCGCTTTAAACCAGCAAATGGACGTTCCGCGGGCTGTTGCGGTAGCCCTGCCTCCCATTTACCAACGCCCATCATGAACTCGTTCAGAGGAATATCTTCCTGGCCCTTGTCCGAGAATATGTCGTTGTACAGGTCTGTAGTCCATTTCTCGTCGCGCTGGGAGATGCACGAATGCCACCGGTAGATGAGGTTGAATTCAGCTGAAACCTGATTCCCTGTCGCCAGAGGTGCGGCGTCACCAAGCAAGCCATCTTTCATGTCCATTCTGGGGTCCAGACTCCAGGTACTGTTGGTTCGGTTGATATTGAGGATTGTCCTCACGTAGTCCTTCAGGATTATGTTGATGTATAGGCCACACGTCACAAGCCGGCCAGTCTGGAAAAGATTGTTGTCATATTTGGCATATTCCTTGTCATTAGATTCAGACGGTTTGGTAAACCGTCCGCCCTCGTTGACTGCTGCCAATTGCTCGACGACGTAATTGTGGAACCGGTTGAACATGATTAGCAAGACGCCGACCCCAGGAGGGAACCCCAGAATCCGTTTGCTCGAGAAGCAATCTGGCTTAAGTTTTCCGTCCTTGAAGGTCCGCATGAGATACTGTTCATCTTGATTGTTCCCGTACAAAGGAGAAAGATCTAGATACGAAGACGTCCGGTTGATGGAGCTATCCCTGTGATCTGTTTGGAATAGATCTATGGAGCTATTAGGCATCGGTCAGATCAATCGCTCCTGGATTGGCTCACCATGGATGATAATGGAAGCGATATAGAACAAGACACTGGAGATCTTGTTCGGATGCTCTTTGAAGTCTTTCCGTGCCAGAAGGGAGTCAAACAGAGCCTCCGGGTCCGGCAGAGATGGCGACTGCATTGTCTTGGGCTGCACTGATCGCGCATAGTGAGAGCCGGCGGCCCCAATACCAGGCCATAAGATATTCTTACGATATACATTAGCAGGCATCAGATCGAGAGAACGAAAAGGGTCATACATTGCCTGATCCATCCGCGGACCGATGAGAATATTCGCCTCCTACAGTGCTGTTGACTTCGAGTCAGCCCCAATGATCCATTCGTGGAAGCGCCTAGCATCAAACATACGAGACGGGTGGATGATCCAAGTCGTTCCACAGCTGGTTGAGGAAGGCGCTTGTCAATTGCTTGGCGTTCCGCGATGTAGAAGGGAGGCCGGATGCAAGCTGAAAGTAGTTTAGAAGCTGAATGCAAACAATGGAATCATGCAAGAGACAAACTGACCTGAATTAACCGTTCCATCACATAGCCTTTATCATCTATAGGCTCTCCTGTGGCAGCATTTTTTGTCACGTCCAGCAATGTCTTCAAGTCCCCCAGATCAACATGAGGCAGGTCCTGTACTAGACCCGTGGCGGTTGATTCTGCCACATAGCTCCCATCGCCGGTCTCTGTCGGCAAAGGTCGCAAGGACGCCGTGGCGACCTTTTCCAGTTGAGAAATAGCTTTTCCAATTCCCTGCATTGTTCAAGGGGTCTCTGTTCTTCGGTGTTTGCCGAGTAGGTGTAGGGGGTCGGGGGTCCAGATATATAGATCGCGGACTGACCGATACGACGAACCGACCACTTCTTCGAAGGATGCAATCCAGAACAAACAATAGATCTCAAGGAAAACAAGAAAATCACAGATGCCTTCTTCCTTTCCACGGGAAACTGTGCGGTCGTTCTACTGAGCCTGAAAGAAAATATGGAAACTGGGAAGACAGATCTCCAAGCTTGGAATAGGTTCACAACAACCGTGGTCTGCTGTATTCAATAGGGCAAGAGACAGATAATATGACACTTGATCGCACAGTTTGAGACGATCAAGAAGGGTGGGCCCAAGGTTTGGGAGCAGCTGTTTATATATACGAGGACGACAGGGTGTCGCGAGGGGGCCTGACGGCCACACACCAGTGCGGCTGAAGCCTTCAGACACCACCAGCGCTGAGATGATCCTATTCCGTCAGCCGTCTCGTTAGCAACTTTTTGGTATCCCCGAGGGGCTCAGAGGGCCCCACTGGTGGGCGCCCCGAGAGGATCGCGATCTGATTCGTACAGTGCATGAGGATCAGGTCTCCCGGTTAGCGTTCAGCTTGAACCAAGTATCTCTAGCCGATGAAATAGCCTGGGCGACAATCGGTGGGCGCCACGGTGAATGCTCATAGGTTCCCAGTAGGATGCCTGTAAAGGACCTCCAAAAGATGGCAACGATAGTGGTCTCGTCTCCCAAGTTGTCAATCGGATCCGAGACGGCTTCGGAAGGACGGAACTTCTTGTGATGGGAGACGGTCTGTGAGCCAACCTCATCGGAGTTCAACAACGTTATGGAGAGCCAATCGCCATTATGATCGTCGATTATTGAACGAGCTCACCCAGTAAAATGATGGCGGAGCGCCCAAGGCTCTGGAGAATGTCTTTGTCCATTATTGCGCACCACGGTAATCTGCTCAAGTGGGCGATTCCAAAGGTGTTCGACATGGCTGGAAGAAGGCTGGCTGACATGCGGGCACTAGACCCGGACTATCGTCTAACTGCTGCTGGAGGCGTGCGAGTGATTACTACTCCCCACATACCTACTGCAGAGGTTTTTCTCGAAGCATTAGTCTACTCCGTAGTTAGTTACGTTACTCGTGTCTCCCGAGACAAGGCTCAGCTGTACGGAGTACTCCGTAATAAGCTGATTCTCCGTTCCTGATGGAATGATTGGCGGACACAAGGAATTATGGTCCACCCCACCTGACGACTTGGAATCCATTGATTACGATTTCAATGTAATTGATCCTGGGCCCTTGTAGTGGAGGTGACACATCCTTGCCTCGACCCTATGACAATAATAATAGGAACGTGTTTGATCTTTTGTGAAGTCGGGTGTTGCCAAGGTTGGTAAACGCTGCACAAGTTTGGTAGTCAATTACCTGGTGGTGGCAGAGGTAGCTTATTGGGGCACCACACCCTTATCGTTGGAGTATTCTTCGGGGACAAACTTCACTAACACGTGGAACTACTGCTTAACGGCTTGGATACGCGTTACGCCGAGTACTTCCGGGTCGACGTGCGTAAAGATCTTCCTCGTTATGTGCTCGGTTACGGAACCTGCACATCAGGGTATACAAGTCGCCCCTGCATGATCGAGTCATTAATAGACAAAGTGTTGCTCGAGATTTCCAGCCTCGTCACATATTGCCTTTCATTTTTTTTTCCCTGAAGTGCAAGATGTGGGAGTAGTACTAGGGATAAGCTGACCACCAAAGGCGATAATGCTGCCCAGGTGATTGTAAACATGTTGGGGCGTCACGTGACTGAGCTCCGAGCCGAGGTGCCTGAATTTGCGGTGTTGGGGATGAAGCTCCAAAGCACAGTACCAAGTTCCCAAGTAGTGGTTCTTCCAACAACCACCGTCCGCCACCTTTTCGATCTCCCCTTCGATCTCCCTCCATCACTCCCGGTGGTTCTTGGATCAATCCCCTGTTGAGACATTCATCTCGCACCCATTCCCCACAAAGAACAGTGGTTGTCGTCCCGCCTCTGTTGCAATGGCGACCTCAACCATCACCTTGGTTGTCGAACCACGAGGTATGTACCACCGCATCTTGCTCAAAGGTCTCCGCGGGAGCCTAATGCTCACATCTCGTTGCATCAGGAAAACCCATCAGGAATCTTCCCAAGGAAGTGCAGGTTGCTCCCAATGCTTCCGCGGACGAAATTTATCGCAAGCTCGCCGAGGCATCCGGCTCCTCCATCCATCGCCTGAGGATCACCAAAGGCAGCGATCGAACCGTAGTTCCCAACGCGACATCTGCCACTGTCGATGCCACCGGCCTCAAGGACAAGAGTGTCGTTCATGTGAAGGATCTCGGTACAGAGCGATCTCCCGTGTAGGATCAATCGCATCAACCCGCTGACCCCATTCCGTGACAGGCCCTCAGATCGCATGGCGCACCGTCTTCATCATCGAGTACCTGGGACCTCTGATCATCCCTGCATTGTTCCTGTTCCCTCTCCGTCCTTACCTCTATTATAATTTCGACCAACCCCTCCCGGACCCTTCGGACCTCCAGCTCCTCGTCTGCGCGCTGCTGACCATCCACTTCGCCAAGCGGGAGCTTGAAACCGTCTTCATCCATCGGTTCAGCAATGCGACCATGCCCGCCCGCAACATCTTCAAGAACAGCGCCCACTACTGGGTTCTCGCCGGTTTCAACATCGCCTACTGGGTCTTCCGTCCAGACGCTGCCTCCGCCACCACTCAGCCCAACCCCGCCCTCCTCTACACCGGCCTGGCTTTGTTCGTGTTCGGTGAATTGGCGAACTTAAACTCCCACTTGGTCCTGCGCAACCTGCGCCGCCCCGGTTCCACCGACCGGGGTATCCCGTCCGGCTTTGGGTTCAGCGTTGTCACCTGCCCCAACTATCTGTTTGAGATCACCGCTTGGGTCGGCGTTTACCTGGTCAGTGGGCTGAGCTGGAGCGTGCTGTTCTTTATCACCGTTGGCGGCGCCCAGATGGCAAGCTGGGCCCTGAAGAAGGAGCGCCGCTACCGCAAGGAATTCCCGGACAAGTACAAGCGCAAGCGGTTTGCCATGCTTCCTGGAATCATCTAGATGTGGAACGTGTCAGAATTCCATATGTACGTGCGATGACTGTCCTCCGGATGTACACGATGCGTTTTTTTTCTGTGTCAAGCTTTTGACATCTGACCGTTCACGACGGGGCTTCCTGGCAAGTCAGGCCGGCGAGTCAGCCACGAATGTGGCGCTGTCTTTCCAGTTGTAAACCAGATAGATCCATGATTTGGACGATTGACGATTCTGAAGATACCTCAGTCCTCATTCTCGAAGTGTCGTTATCATGATCGTATTATGTCGTCTCAAAATTACTCAGATAATAATGGTAATATTGTTGCATATCAGATGTCGGTAGATAGCACGAACGCTACACAGGATATACGAGATCCTACACCCAGAACACCAGGACAATAGAGGTCACAAAACACGTCACCGATGAAACCTAGAATCCAGCACAAAACGCCAGTAAGCAGACGGCCTCGTCTCACATTCTTAATATCGGGAGGGAAAGCGCCAAAGACGCCAATTCAATCGTTCTTCAATTTCTTGGCCCACAAATTGTAATACGGGTCCATCTCCTTCTCACAGCTGCGCTTGGGGTCCTTGTCGCAGCCAAAGAAGTGAATCAGAAGGTCTCCTTCCTTATACGTCCCGTCTAGGCTGGCTCCCGTGGAGTCTTTGCTGTAAGCGTTGATGACCCGTTGAGGAACCAGTGCCAGCCGGGCAAGCACCGTAGGATGCCATTGAACAATGTGGTCCTGAAAGGCGCAGTCAGTCTCTGCAGCATGTGTGCATTGCGGGTACGAGGAATAACCACCCAAAGGTCACTTACCAAAGCATGAATCTCCGCCTTTGCAAAGTTATACTGGCGATAAAGCGGGTCAAACCAGATATCGAGAAAAAACCGGGCGAATTCGCCTTGCTTGAGCACGAAGCTTCCGGAAGCCAGGTCCTCCTTGTCGGTAGATATGATCAAGTCGATATCCTCAGGTTTGAGATGCGCAAACGTCTTGATGATGCTGTCTGGCGGGACCACCGACACCTCCCTGAGCATCAGCGACTCGAGCTGGCTCTTGGCGAGAAGATGCGACTCCAGCGGTTTGTTAGGGTTCATGATGAGCGCATGCGCGTCGAGGTGAAAGAAATACTTCGAATAGGGATGCGATGCCATCGCATGGCGGACGGCGGGCACCACACCCCAGCTTCGGGGGGCACCCTCCAGCGAGGGTTCATAGTCCGACCAGTTTGCGAAGAAGTTGGTGTAGCCTGCGAGAGTGGTTAGAGGCGATTGGCCGTGCTGTCTTATGCGACTCGACTTACCGTGTCGTTTGGCATAGTCTTCTCTGTTCTTGATGATTTTCTGGATATAGTCGTCACTCCACAACGCCCGGTCTAGAACAGTGACTATAACGACGCTCGGTGTCCCGACCGGTACGGCTGTCGTTCCTGTGCTGGAGTAAAAGAGCTGTGACAGAAGAAAGAAGACCGCGAGAAGAGAGAGTCCAAGGATGGCGGCGGCTTTGAGGTGTCTCTTGCGCTGAAACGTAAACCGGGGAGCTCCCGAGTAGGGAGCGTGGAGATTCCTCCGCGGAGGTAAAGCGAACTGCATGATGCGGCCCGCGCAGTCGGTTTAGCGTGAGGTGTGTGTAGGAGATGCAGTCGCAGTCGATTAGAGCATGATCAAGAGAAAAGGAGGATCTCTTCCGCGGGACAGGAGAAGATCACAGCGTCGTATGGAAATGATTCTCAGGAACAAGGTGATTCTGCCGGATCCGGAAATTAACCGCGGATCATCGATAGCCCGGTGTATCCAGATCCAACTTGAAGTCATATCCATGTATCTGAATGCAAATGCTCTCGTTTACATATTCCTTGAGACATAACCACGTCATGATGATCGTCCATGGGTGGGTGTTGTAAGGGGTTGTAAAAGTATCGTATGCGGACCGCAACTGTCGATTCAATCCAAATAGTATTGACAAGTATAAATACACCGAAGAGCTATCATGCAAACAGGAAAAGTAACAGACATAATAAGGCTAGAACAGATGGCATCTCCGAGTCCTCGATATGAGTCGGAAATGGACCAGAGTCTAAATAGTAATACAGACGCCTCATTCATCTGGTCGCCGCAGACCAGAACAGACCACCCGCCCTGCGCATATTTCACCAGCAAACCCCCCTAATCTAGTTCCCTTGCCCTCAGTAGAGCTTTTCGTTGAAAATCGGCTTCGTGACCTCCTTGATATTGGTCTCATCGACGGCCTTCTCCTTCAGCTCGGCCTCCTTCTGCTTCACAAACTCTTCGAACGACAGCGGTTCAGGAAGGCCGAGGCGCTTCCGTTCTTGTCGGAACTGCTCCTGAATCTTGGGCGTCTGCATCACTCGCCATCTCAACTCCCATCCGAAAATCCCCAGCTCCTTAATGCGCCCCGGCCGATCATCCAACAGGTAGTTGTCGAGGCCGCCGGCCTTCCGGATCGTCCGCAACGCCTTCCGCGTGACCTTGATGTACAGATCTTCGCCGAGAGCTTCGCTGTAGAGCTTCTTCCGGCGCACGTTCGGCTTCCACATGCGGCGGGTTTTCCCCTCGTTTCTTCCCTTAGAGATCTTGTTTCCGAATTGGATCATGACACCTCCGTAGAGACCCGTGTTGGACTGCTTGTAGACATAGTTCGGGCCGTAGGGATAAGGCGGGATGTAGTCTGGTAATGTTTTCGTCTTCTGCGTAGGCAATGTCGTCGAGAAGGCGCGTTTCGAGGAGGACAGGGAAAGGTTGCGAAATGCCGCCGAGAGAGAAAAAGGGAGCGACATGGTCGATCGACTCTGCAGGGCCGCCATTGTGATGATCAGGAAGCCGACAAAATACCGACCATCACCGGGGGTCGAGAAGAAAAGGATTGGAGTGGTGTCGACAAAGAGCAAAGAGCAAACCGCCTGCGTGAATCCGCTGCGTTTGGATGGGCCGGAAAGTGGTGGTGGAAAGAATTTGGGGGTTGGGCTGACCGCCTTGGCAACGGACCACTCTCATTGATCCAGAGCCCTGGAGCTGCGCGCTCGAATTTCGGCCAGAAGCATCCATCCATCGCGATTACATCCTTCCAGTCCTCTTCAGGTGCCTACTCCGAGTCTGTGTTCTTGTGGGATTGCACACTTTCGTGTCTTTCTATTCCTTCCCCGTCCAATTCCAGTTACCGTCGCTACAAAGGCCTTCCAAGTGAGGTCGCAATCCCTTCACCATGGTCCAGATCAGTGAAGTGAAGGGCAATTCGCGCGAGAACCGGACAGCCGCGCACACGCATATCAAGGGTCTGGGTCTGCGCGCTGATGGCACTGCCGAAGCTTCTGGCGATGGCTTCATCGGTCAGGCGGCCGCTCGTGAGGTATGCGATCTTTCCCCTCCACCTGTTGTGATGGAGACGATAGTATCTGACTGGACTTCTCCTTGACAGGCCTGCGGTGTCGTAGTGGATCTGATCAAAGCGAAAAAGATGGCTGGCCGTGCTGTTCTCTTGGCCGGTGGCCCTGGTACTGGAAAGACGGCCCTGGCCCTTGCTGTGTCCCAGGAGCTGGGAACAAAGGTCCCCTTCTGTCCGATCGTCGGCAGTGAGATCTACTCTGCCGAAGTCAAGAAGACTGAGGCGCTGATGGAGAACTTCCGGAGGGCGATTGGTGCGCAATGAGAAACCGAATCATTGACCTGAGTATATTTTGGAGCTGACGAGTCACTAGGTCTTCGTGTGCGCGAAACGAAGGAAGTCTACGAAGGAGAAGTGACGGAGCTGACGCCCGAAGAGACCGAAAACCCTCTGGGAAGCTACGGACGGACGATTAGCCATCTCATTATCGGACTGAAGTCCGCAAAGGGTACTAAGAAGCTGCGGCTTGACCCCAGCATCTACGAGGCCATCCAAAAGGAGCGAGTTACTGTCGGAGACGTGATCTACATCGAAGCGAACACTGGAGCGTGCAAGCGAGTGGGACGGTCCGATGCCTATGCCACCGAATTCGATCTTGAGGCAGAGGAATATGTCCCCGTGCCAAAGGGCGAGGTCCACAAAAAGAAGGAGATCGTGCAAGACGTGACGCTACATGATTTGGATATGGCCAACGCCCGGCCACAAGGCGGACAGGATGTGATGAGCATGATGGGGCAATTGATGAAGCCCAAGAAGACGGAAATCACGGACAAGCTGCGCCAGGAGATCAACAAGGTGGTCAACCGCTACATCGACCAGGGCGTCGCGGAGCTTGTCCCCGGTGTTCTCTTCATTGACGAGGTATGGTTTTCTCCTTTTCACACCTCCTCAGTCCAACAACTAACGTCAACGTTAGGTCCACATGCTGGATCTCGAATGCTTCACATATCTGAACCGGGCCCTTGAGTCCAGTATCTCGCCGATTGTCATCCTGGCTTCCAACCGCGGCCACACCGTCATCCGTGGCACTGACGACGTCAGCGCCGCCCACGGCATCCCTTCTGACCTCCTCGCCCGTCTCCTCATCATCCCCACTCACCCCTACAGCCCCGACGAGATCAAGACCATCATCCGCCTGCGTGCCAAGACGGAGGGCCTCAACATCACCGACCCTGCTCTTGACAAGGTCTCGGAACATGGCAGCAAAGTCAGTTTGCGTTACGCCCTGCAGTTGCTGACCCCGGCCAGCATTCTGGCGCGCGTCAACGGACGCCCGGGAGGTATTGAAGAGGCCGACGTCGCAGAGTGCGAGGATCTCTTCCTGGATGCGAAGAGAAGTGCTGCTATTGTGAGCCAGGAAGGCGAGAAGTTTCTGTAAGGACTGGTGTCATTGTCAACGGAGTGGTTGGTGTTATGAATTGTTTTGGGTTTAGAGAAGACAGTGGGAACTTTATGGAAAACTAAACAATCCGTATACCTGGTGAAGTGTGACGATGGGTTTTTGTATGGCCTGGCAAATGATTCATCCTAGCTGCTTTATGTTAATATCAACAATTTTTACTCTAGCGGATGCTTCTGTGAACTTTTACATAGGGATCTCCGGTGTCCAGGTCGATTCAAGTAGTAGAGGACACTGGTCTGGTCCAAGTCTTGCGCAACAAAAGCCAGCAAATCTCACAAATCAGAACGTACGCACGAATGAAGCTAAGTATAGCTCTAATGAAATGATCGCTCAAGCTCAAATGCAATGTCTCCGTCGAGCCCTCCATGAGATCTTTATGATGGATAACCTTGAACGGAAGGTGAACTCCAAAGTGCTCAGTCGCGATTTCCAGACCGGCACTGACTGAATCCTCTAAGAAACCGCGTCCCGACCAGCGGCAGCCATAACTCAATCCGCGCTTGTTCTGGATGGATGAAAGGCGACTCTGTACATGGAGAGTTGCAGGGGTCGGCTCGAGATCAGTGAACTCCCAGACCGCGTGGACGAGGCGCGGATGTGGTGGTGTAAACGGGTTTATCGTTATGAATACGCGGCCGAATAGACAAACCGGGACGTCCTGGAGAGCGTTCACGTTATATGTGAGCGACGATCTGAGTGAGACCGAATCAGGGTTTCGTCGGTCTGAGTGGTTCGGAGATTGCGCGGGAGACATGATGTAGTTGCAGGCAGGCCATGAGTGATCTAGGTCCGGTGCAAGCTGGTGGAAGGGAATGAACGAGTTTAGATTGTGCATCAGAGGATATTCTGCATGTCTACTTGCAGAGTAGTCGGAGTGCAAGACCGAAATGTTTGGGCCCGCGCGTAGGTCCTGCAGAATCTCCTTCTCGTCTGAATCTACGTTCAAACGGAGAATCTTCAAGGTTTCTCGGCCGTCGATGGCGAAAACAATATGATTGAAGCAAAGTTCATGGCCATATTCTGTCAGCACTTTATATCTATCCTTTCCCAGTCGTTGTATCTCTTGGACTCTAGTGCGAAGGTGCAGATTCTCCGAAGGGAGAAGCTTGGCCATGGTTTGGGTAAGCTGGCTGACTCCTGTATCAATTCGGCGCCATTGAGGTATAGTTTGCCATGTGCAAAAGAACTTGTGATCGTTCAGACTGCGAACGAGTGCTTTCATGGGAAATTTCGGGAGAGCCTTTAGAGCATTTGTCCCCCAGAGCACTGAAAGCAGGGATGAGAGATAGCGGTTGAAAAAGCTGGTGGAGTATCTCTCGCTTGTAAGATATTCATCCGCGTTGAGGCATACAGATAGTTTTTCGAGCTTTCTAGACGAATGATGTTCTGAAAGAGCATCTATGCCGAAGTACTTGAACCATATGACGTCGACCAGCGTGCGATATGTTTCTATGTTGAACAGAACCCGAGGGTTGCGAAGGATCCCCATGGTAATACCACTTCCCCATTCAAAGGTGGTAGTCCCATCTGATGTGCTCAAGTTGAAAGGAATTGCAGACGTGGAGATTCCAAGATGTCGAAGCAGCGATATGAGGTTGGCTAGATGTATCGTCAGTTCTGAGGTAGCAAGTATATGGTTATAAGAGCACTGACGAGAAGTCTCCGCGTTGAAAGTTGGGGCCTCTGTATTTATAAGTGTCTTGTTCCCACCGTCCTCGAGCCAATATTCTTTGATACGGCCGCCTAAGGCGGAGGAAGCTTCGAATAGATGGACGTCATGAGCACTGTTTTGAAGAGCCCAGAAACAGGTGGTTCCTGTAAAACCACCTCCGATGATGGCAATACGTTCGGGCTGGAGGACCGGCATGGGAGCAGAAGTGAGACGGTCAATTCGGCCATCTAGTAGGAAAGATCCACCAAACTGAAGAGAGGGTCAAGTGCTTTCTTTCAGGACTCCGAGGAGCTTGAACAGCCCATGAAGTACGATAACGGACGTCTCGCCCTTCTATCAGCTCCAGCAGAGACACTTGCGACTGTTCAAAACGGCCATAGATGGCTGTGCAAGAAAAGGAAGAAAGATCCAGGAACTTCCCAGTTGCTGACCATCAGGATTTGCGTAGGTCTGGTTCTCTGCTGACCAGATCAGATGACTGAGTCAGCAACGCAGGACCCCTCAATCGGAGATATCAGGAGAAGGGGGCACCAATTGACTAGGTAGGTCGGTTGTCCAGCATTGGAATAGTAGGGAACCTAGGTAGTATGGTCACTCTCGGCAGACGGAGCCCAGAGACGAATATAGTTCGGGAGTGATACAAGGGGAGGCGCAGCGAAGAAGAGGAATCCGGGGTAAAACACCAATTGTCGGCCATGACGTATGCAGCTTCCCTTGCTTATATGCGATAATATTGTATGCGATCACTACCACATGTATCTTATACACCTCCCGACCGAAGTAGCTATGAGGAAGGATATCTCTAAGCTCCTTCCCCTATTCACATCATCCACCAGAATGGGTAGAAGAGGGAGATAAAGGACACCAATCTGAGACACCATCATTAACCTGTGGGGACATACTGGGTCCGCCGTCCTTCATGATAACAACGAAGATCCATCATCAGCGTCGTCCCTGGACTGCTTAATCGAGAGGCCTTGGGATTCATATTTTATAGTTACTAGGTACCTGATAGCTTAGTTACCTACTGCTGTTAACTATATAAAAACGATCACCTGGCTCAAAGTAGATTACTTATTCCGGCTAGCCCTCGGTATCACGTGAGCCTGACGCCGTCCGAGAAACCAGCAGCCTAGAGGCCAACCACCCTACCACCACCACCACACCTCCTCTGCTGGGCATCTACAACACCCCTCCCACCATCATGTCGAACCCGTTAGACACCGACGCCGGCTCCGAGCTGTTCAGCAGCTACGAGACCGAGCTCAAGCTCGTCCAGGCCGACCTCAACCAGAAGCTGGACCAGATCTCCGAGTCGAGCGGCGGGGAGGAGCGCAAGTCCGCCATCCGCCAGGCGGAGCGCGCCCTCGACGAGGCCACCGAGCTGCTCGACCAGATGCGCATGGAGAAGCAGAACATCCCGTCAGCCGCGCGGTCGAAAGTCAACGCCCGCTTCCGCAACTACTCCACGGACATCGACGAGGCCAAACGCAAGCTCAAGTCGCTCTCCGACGACCGCCGTGCGCTATTCGGAGACCGCTACACCGACGACCCGCAGGATGCGCACCTCGAACAGCGCCAGCAGCTGCTGTCCGGCACGGACCGGCTGGAGCGCAGCTCCGCCCGGCTCCAGGAGAGCCAGCGCATTGCTCTCGAAACCGAGGACATCGGGCGCAACACCCTGGCCGATCTGTACCAGCAGCGGGAGACGATTGAGCACGCCCGCTCGGGTCTGCAGCAGAGCGAAGGCTACGTGGATACGAGTATTAAGACATTGCGGGGCATGGCCCGTAGGTACTGGCTCCTTCCTGTCCGTGGATCGTGGAACCCGTTTTTGCTGACCGCCGAACCCGTAACAGGATGGCTACGAATCGGATGATCTCCATTGCGATCATCACCGTGCTGATTCTGTTGATTGTCGGCGTTATCTACAGCAAGTTCCATTGAGCGTTCGGTCGAGCAGGCGTTGATGGGAGTTTATGTTGCCTTTCCTATTCCTTTTTTCTCACGACATATTACCGCTGATTTCGCGATCGGGGCAGACACCCCTGGAATGTTGTATGATAAGATTTATTCCTGCAAGCACGACCTAGACATGGTCCTCATAAACCTGTCATTTCGAACGAATGCACCATCTTAAATTTGACCGGGGTATCATAAGTATCATAACACTATAATCCAAAACAAGTAAAGCACGCAGAACGCAACATCTCAGACACCAATCCTTAATTCATAATCCGCATCGCCCCAAATGCAACATTCACCACGACGCCCACAAAAACCGCCAGCCCCTTCCGCCAGCTCCAAACCCCCTCCTCGCGGCGAAGCCACATCGCACACCCCACCGGCCAGAAGAAGCCCATCACTGCACCCCAGAGCATATCATCCATCGCACCGCGAGAGCCCGAGCCAAACCCGCCGTCGTCGTCCGCAAACGACGGGGCTCCCGTCACCACCGGGACGCACCGCCCCCACCCACGCCTGCCGCCATAGCCGACGACCCCTCGTCCATCCAGCGGTCCTCGAGCTCGCGCAGCTCCGCGCCCCGTGGGCATCGTGTCCCGGGGTGCGCGACACAGACTGAATGGCCAGGAACTGGGACCGCAGCGCCGACACTTCGGCGGGTGTGAACCCGGCCGAGAGGAGGCGGTCGAAGCCGCGCGGCGCGGGCGTCGTGGTAGAGGGCTCTGCGGGGTGCGAGCTGGCGCCGGTCATCTTCGGCGCGTGCGACTCGTCGTCTGCGTCCGCTTGCTGTTGGGTGATGGTGGAGGCGACCGCGGCCTCGGCCTCTAGGTCTGCGGCGGAGAGGACGATGTCGCCGATTGAGCAGTGGATGTACAGGCGTGGAGCCTCCCGCACGGGGGCCTTGCCCTTATCTTTTGCCTTGGGGGTGTCCGTGGCATCGCTGTCGGCGGGGATGGGCGATCGGGTAGGCGACGGAGGGAGTTTGAGCGACACGGAGAGCGCGACGGAGTCTTCGAGTCCACGGCCAGCGTAGATGAGACGGAGTCGGTGCGAGGAGAGATCGGGCGGCAGACGAGTGCGAATCAATTGCTTGACACCTGCTGCGGTGGTGGTGTCTGGAGATAAGACATCGAGGGGGAGGTCGGGGATCGACGCGGAGAAGCGGATGGTGAGAAGGAGAGGCTCCTGAGCGGGAGGTTCCTCGTCCCTGAGGATATCATCCGGGGCGAGGAACTTGGAAGCGGACATGATCCCGGATGATGAGGAGGACTTGGAGAGAGATGTTGGGGTCGGGGTCGGTCGATAAGGCGGAAGCGTCATACTAGCTGGTCTCCGATCTCAGCCACGTGATGTATCTAGCCACAACGGCATAAGGACGAATTCAATTTCCATGGTTCATGTATCGATAGAACTGCGTTTTGGTGTGCTCTGAATGCTTTACATTATCATTGCTTATTATGAAGTATTGGGACGGTAGGACAGGAGTTGCGATCGTGGCGGAAAATTACATCCGGACTACGAGGAATTGATTTGCGAAAATAATCAAGGAAACAGCAATTGTTCGTCACAAAATTTATTATTCTGGTATCATGATAGCGCTAACCGGGCTGACGGAAGCGCAGCTCTATGGGAACGGACAGCCATCCCCGGAATATGTGCGACAAAGAAGACCTGAAAAGAATGTATCGCGGAGTGGGCTCATAGCCCGGGAATCAAAGGTGTATCGGCAATGGCGCATAGAAAAATCAAACCCCAAAAGACAAGTTACTCGAGAACGCCGTCCGAATGCCTGGTATGCGACTCCGACAAATAAAAAGAAACATAGTACAGTACAATCGGCTAGACCATGAACGATTCGCCGCATCCGCATTGTTCCTCTGTAAACAATCACGTTAGTAATGCCATTTCCTGAGGGGCCAGTCATACGGCGGGAAACTTACTGATATTGGGGTTTCGGAAAACGAATCTCCGGCTCAGCTTGTCCTCTTGCCAGTCCATTTCACTGCCAATGATGCTGAATAGTGCCTTGCTGTCAATCAGCACCTTCACTCCGTCCTGCTCCACAACCTCGTCGAACATCCCCGGCTTCTCGACGTATTCCAGATGGTAGGCAAGGCCAGAGCAGCCACGGTTCTTCACGCCAACCCGGATCATCTTGGGCTCGGGTTGGGACAGCAGCTTTCGGAGCTGCTCGACGGCAACTGGAGTCAGCTTCATGGCCGCCTTCCGGGGACGAAGCTTCCTCCGGGGCTTTTCCGCGGGCTTTGCCGCCGTCGAGGCGGAGCTGACGGGTTTCGACTTCTGCGCCTCGCCTTCCCGGAGACTGACATTGGAAGAAGCCTCTTGCTTCTTAGGAGCTTGCTGAGAGGGGGATTCCCAGAGGGAAGGGAACTCGGCGGAGATGGAAGTGTCGGAGGATCCAGGGCTGCGAGGCGGAGGGAACGACGTCGGCAAGGTATGGGGGCGATATGCGGTGGCCGTCTGCATGTCACGCTTGGACGAGCGGTGTGCATTTCCGTATGAAGAGAATAGACGAAGGGACGGCGTGGAACGAGTGGTGGGAAGACTCCGGACACAGCGCAGCATCGTGGCGGATGATGTCACCGGAGACTGGAAGGTCGCTTTGCAGAACGACATGGTCGACAATGATCTATCGTAATGGAAGAAGAAGATGAGTTCTATTCGAATATCGCGATGAAAGACAGAGATTCCATGGACGTGGGGGGTTTTGGGTGGTAGAGTAGATAGTAGTGGTGAAGATGGAGAGAAGAAGTCGGGGAGTTTGAGCGGGTGTTTTTGAGGCGGCGGTCGGTTAGAGTCACCCGGGCCACCGGCCAATCAGCGTCGAGGTGTTTCTACACAACTGTAAAGTGGCGCCACTACAGTCCAGCACAAGATGGAATCAGATGATGTTCAACGTTTTCTGGTTGAGAAATCCCGTGCCAGAGATGGAGAAGCTTTTCACTGGCGGGGAACTACTCATCCGTGTGCCTGGAGAGGTGTCATGATCGTTCCGACCGGTTCTTCTTCGTGATGCCTGAGGCAGAAATATCAATGATGACTAATACCTCATCAAGGTTCTCGTCTGATTTATCAGCAGTCGGAGCGTACGGTAGTTACTTATTGCGACACTACTAGGTACCTAACCTAGGTACTCGTGGAGGAAATGCTTTGGAGTAGTTGAGTAAGAGTAACATATCATTGTTGACTAGCGATACTAGTAAGGTACCTCAGTACCTGGCGTCGGTACCCCTGAGCATTATGTCATACATATGAAGCATGGCGTGCAGAGATAATATATATCTCCACATGGTCTGTCTTAGTGAAGGCACTACACTATCCCTCAGTCCAGGTTGTATAATTTATCTAGGAACAACCAGTATATACTCGTAGATGTTATTTACTATATGACTACCTATTATTATAAACCTGATTCAAGGATCTATTGTATATGTACGATTAGCGACGAACCCGCGGCCCGTTTAATAAAATGTGGCTCATGCGCCATGGCGTTGCGTGGCTGGTGTGGGTTCCTCGCCCAAACAGGCAGCAAAAAGGCCGAATACGACGACGTGGTGTCAATGAGGACAAGAAGAATAAAGAAACCATCGATCAATTCCCATCCTCTCCCCTCCGTATTCCTCCCCCCTCCATCGCCCCTGGAATTGGTTTCTCTTCTTCCTGTGAGCGGCAGCGAACGATGATCCCATGTTGTCATCATGGAGTCCCCTTTAACCCAGCAAAGTAGACCTGAAACCTTCAAGCCGAAGATCGTTCAACTATACGAGAACCTCTTCCAGGTATCCCGCCTCCCTCCAAATTCCCCATCCCGATCGCTTCAATTTCTGATCTCCTGTTAGACCTCCGATTATTCAGAACCCTCCGAGGGCTTTTGGAGGGAATTCTTTCTGTTGCCGCCGGATCGTGGCCAGCTCAATTCCGTACTCGACAAGATTAGTCCCGATGACACCCTCAACTTGCAGGTTGTTTCCCTCATGCTGGGCTATAACATTGCCTACTCCGAACCTATACTGACTTCAGTCGCTAGGTCCAAACGCAGCAACTCTTTGCGCGGGCAATCCGCGAAGCTGCCTCAGGCTCCAGCCCGGTAGACTCGTACGCCCTGGAGGTAAGTCGTGACCTGACAACTGTCTATCATGATCAATGACTGAATAGTATCCTAGACCCTGACGGTTTTTCTGGCCTGTGTACTGAAGAAAAAGTACACTAACCCCAGCTCGGATGTCATCACAGTCCTTGCGGGTCTCGACAATGTCGACCAGGTCATGTCCCAATTTGTCACCATGTTGGATGGTACCATTCGCAACGGTAGCAGTGGTGAGTAATCAAAAGACTATACTGTCACGCAGTATTAACTGGCTTTAGTCGATCTCCGAGTCAAGGCGATTAGAGCAGCTATCGCAATGACCAGCGGGGCATACAAGACTAGTCTTGTCTCGTACTTCACTCATCGCGACTTGTTCCCTTCCCTCATGAAGGTCGGCAACCAACTTACCCTGCAGAGGCTGCCCCCAGCTGACCATCTGTCCAGTTCGTCCACGAGTCAGAGACTCCCATGCAGGTCTTTGAGCCTTTTCTTCTCCTGGGCCTCCTAGCAAACTACAACAAGTTTGAGTTTCAGAACCCATATCAGCTGCGTCTGGATGACTTTGTCAACGAGTCGAGCATCCAGAAGATTGTCAAGGCTGTGGGCCTGTCGTGCGCTGCCCTTAGAAACGGCTATGTGGCTGTACAGGATGATTCCCCCGAGGGCTGGACCCTGATCAGTACTTTGATCTTCTTTGGACTGGGTGTGTTCAACCCTAGTAAACGGGAAAAAGCCACTCCACCTACCGCGGACGAGGCCAAAGAGATATTCGCGACACTGTATGACTATCCCTGACGTCGAGAGTCCACCCTGCTAACGGTATCAGACCGGCCCAGCAAGCAGCTATCCTTCTGGCGACGTACGACTTTGCCAACGCGAACAAGCTCTTCGGCTACCATCTTCTGACCGCAGCCCCAGAGAAGGACAATGAAGAGTCACCCTTCGCAAGCTTTCTCTCCATAACCTCGTACCTCCTACAGCATGCCTATCGGTCTCCGAGAGTTGCGCACTACGCCGAACTCAATCTTTTCACCCTCCGCATTCTCGCCGAAGACTCGAGCCTGTGCAAGCACCTCTGCAGCGAGGACACCAAAAGAAAGGTCCGGCTCTGCCGGCAAAGACAACCGTATCTACCTCTCGTCACAGGCGAACGGGTCCTAGCCACCGCCATATTCGACATCATGATCGATACCATCACGCACAATCTACGGCGCCGGCTCGACGTCGACATCTACAGGTAGGGACATCCCCTCCCTGACTTAAACCTGGCCGTCGAAGACTAACCAACGCAGTCAATCGATCGCAATCCTTCTCCGCCTTCTCACATACCTATCCATGAACAAGATCCGCCTGACATACCACTGGTCGGAACTCTGGCGCACCCTGCTCTCTCTGATGCGCTTCCTCACCACCTACGTCTCCGACCTGTCCTGCCACCCGCACATCAACACCCTCACGACCACCCTCGTCGACCTGATCGCCCTCTGTGTCTCCACCGGCGACACCTTCCTCCCCGACCCAGCCTCCTACGACGACCTCTTCTACAAGCTCGTCGAGACCGGCCCCATCATCACCAAGTTCCGCGACGTCTACTCCCTGAAACCGCAGCCCACCGCATCCGCCGCCACGGCCGCATCCAAACTCCCCGACCCCCACGCGCCGACTACCAGCGACATCCACGTCGCCGCCATCGACACGCTGATCTCCGTCTCCACCCATTTCTACACTCTGCTCTTCAACCCAGACCAGAACCCCCAGGCCGCCGGCGACTCCCCCGCGCCCGTCCCCGCGAACCTGAAGAAGAACCTGAGTCCGCGCGAGGTGCACCGCATCATCAAGCAGGGCTACGAGACGCTGAGCATCCAGCCGCCCGATGGGCTGAGCGCCTGGACGCGGTGGCGCGAGACGGACTGGAAGACGGAGTTGAAGCGCGCGGCCCGGTGTGCAGTCGATGACGGCCGGCAGCTGGTTGCGTAGGCGCCTTGCTTCGTGTTACTGTTGCCTCTTTTGTATAGGAATCAGCTGGCTGTTGTTCCTGTCCTGTTGTCAGAAATGTACATGTTGATAGTGGTGGTGGAAATGCATTTCTACTGTATACTTCCAAGGTGCTCGTCCGCACGTGTTTTCATGAAATCGCGCGCAAAAGAAAGAATCATTCTGTCCATAAAACTAGCAATCCTCTAATGTTACAGATTGGACCCATCGTTCGCCGTAAATCCGCAAAAGAACCCGTATCCCTACCGGCGCATCGCAGCTAATTAATACTAAACACCTGGATGAAACGAAATCAGAACGTCCCCGCCGTGTCCGGTCTCAAACTAGACGCGATGTCGCAGTTCCCGGGGTCGGATTGGCAACGCCACGGGACTTCTCGATGTACTCGTTGCTTGCGGTCTGGTACCGAGTGGCAAAGTACTCGGCGGAGTTTTTGCTCAGCCACAGCGTGAACTTGGAAAGCTCCTCACGGAGACGGTTGGTGGACTGGAGGTCCATATTCGTCTGGGCGATGAGTTCGGGCATGGTGGCTGTTCCATGTCAGCTCAAGTTGTCCATCGGCTCGAACGACGGAAGAAAGAGGGACATACCAAAAAGACGCGTCAGATGCTCTGCACCATAGGTATCTAGGGGCCCCTTGCCGGCCAGCTCGCCGGTCGACGCCTCCCACTTCTTCCGCACCGCGCGGTACTGTTCGCGTTCAAATCGGTACAATAGAATCTTATCGAGCGACTTGTCGAAGTACTCCTTGATTCCCATGACGACCTCTTCCAGGACATCCACCTCGGCTTCACTTGCGCGCTTGGTCTTCTCCTCCGTGAGGTAGTCCTCCAGGATTTGATTGACGGAAGCCTTGGCCGGCAGAGCTACCACCTGCTGATTCTTCGTGACGTTCTCCCAGTCGTCCACAAGAAGCGACTTTAGGTTATCGGGCATGACAATTCTCACAGATGGACGCGTGTAGAAATTGTCCTCCTATAGCGCATTAGCCAGGTTCTGCAGGCTGCATGCCCCGTTGATGTACACAGGTCCGCAGGTAGTAAAGGCCGCGATCTAAACTGACTTACCTTTTCTATGTCATTGTCTCTCCCTCTCTTGGTCCCGCGGGCGGAAACGGACATCTGTCGTTCCTCGCTCCCCCGGGCCGAACTGCGATCGGAGCCCCCTCGCTTCTTCGCCGAAGCCTTGGTTGATTTCTGGCGAAAAGCAGCCTCCGCCTCACGGCGGAGCGTGGTGGCGAGCTCCCGGTTCTCCTCCGTGAACTTGCGGAGGCGATCTTGTGGCACCCAGTCATCCCAGCTGGAGCGGGGTCAGCACAGTCCTGCGTACGGGAACGAGATGGGTGGAGAGGCAGTCCCCGTGTCTGGCGACAGGGCGAAAACCAAAGCATGCAGATGGGATCAAAGGACAGCGAAACAAAGGGCATACGCACGTGTTTTTCCAGCCCTTGTAGTGCACGAGATACTCGTGCGGGCTCTTGCGGTCGTCGGGGTCGGTGTGTCTGGTATCAAGGATCTTGGCCTCGTACAGAATCTCATGGTGGAAGCAGAGCACACGCTCGTCCTTGTGGTAAGTCATTTGACTTGATGGCGCCATGATGAAGATGCCGGAAGAGATGCACAGATCGAAAATCGATCGCGGTAGAAGAGAAGAAGGAAGTCGGCTGCTGAAGTCCCAGCCACTGACTAAAGTAGCCGCAGGTTGGAAGCCAGATCAGCTTCAAGCAGCACGTGCGGGAGTCTTGGACGGCAATGAAAGAAGGCCAAGTCGGCAATTGTTCGAGATTGCCAGACTGCGGTCGTCAACGCGACTTTTCAAGAGTGATCTTTGGCTTCAAGTCTCTCTCAAGACTGGTGTATCAGCACGGTGGCTTTAACACATGCGAGCCAGAGATACAGGATGGTGGCGGGATTCGGGGCGAACAGCACACCAGAGATGCCGTGAAGTAAACCTTGCTGCAGACCGACAGCGCGTAAGATGGCGACTACGCGAGGAAGAAGACGGAAAGACGAGACCAAAATATGGTGTTGTAGAGGGTGAGCTCGTGGTTATCAGTCTGGCTGTTGGCGCGTTGGGAGAAAAGAAAGGGAAGCGGAACCACTTGATTTGGTAACGCGTGTTTTCCTTGTCCGCCCAACCCGCCATCTTCAACTTCCTCTTCTTCTTCTCCCTCCCATTCTGCTCGACCCGCTTCTCCTCCCCGACTGTTGGACTAGACTAGCTGGACTGTGGATTCTCTGCTACATCTTCTGTTACGGTCTTTGGGGTCTTCTTCGTCCATCGTCCACTTGTTCAACCCACAACTCATGACGACAGGGCCCCATAAAGAGGAGAGTCAATCGATTAATATCGCAAGGAAGAGGGGATAGAACAATTCAGTTTATCTGTTTCATCATGGCGCCGTCCGAGACCTCCATTCTCAGCAATTTCCTGCTGTCTCCGGCGTCCTTGCCAACGGTCATCTCGTTACAACAGTTTACAGACCTCTTCCCGAAAAGGCTCCGGTCTCATCCGCAGATCAGAGTCCTCTATCGCGAGCTGCAACAGGTTCGCGAGCAAGACATGGACCTGGTCAATAGCAACATTGACACGGAAGCCCGCCAAGGGGAGAACCAAAAAGCGGAGCTGCGCCGATCCATCATGAAAACCGGCATCGATGGCGTGAGTATCCACGACCAACGCGAAATGGACGTGGACGTCCAGCTCTTCGGACAGCCGTCCACTGCGGCAGGAAACGATTACCATTCGGTGTCGAGTCTCCTTTCGGCGATGGAGTCGGCGTGCGCCAGCGTTGAAAGTGAGATCGCCGAAGTGGACCAGAACGCGTCAACTCTCCTTGCTGAACTGAACACCACCGCTGGTGAGCTAAGCGACCTTCGATATGGGAAAATGCAAGGCCCTGCGGGTACCACCGGTGAAGAAGTCGTGAAGGAAGCTATCAGGGGCCTCAAGAACCTCGAGGATGCCTGTTATCGTGAACCTTAGGCCTACCAACGGCGTCTCGGGAGGGGTAATGTTTCGCGCTCCGTTTGTCGCGTAACACCAAACGGGGCTCGAATGACATACATATTCGAAGCGCCTTGGCTACGTGAGTATCTCGCTACTATGCGATGCCTGGCGAGGTATTGCCATAGGGTTGGAATGGGTCTTGACCAGACTGAAGTGAGAAGTACACCACGAGGAGGACTATCTCAATCCAACTGACACGGCTGATGCCAGAGATTAGCGCTCTAAGAGGCACCATCAATTCGATTTGCCTAGGCTCTTCAAAGACTCCAGATGACCCTGGCTCTACACTGATCCTTATCGCGGCTCCAGGGGCCGGGCGCTGTGACACTCATTGACTTGCGACAGCGATAGAAGATGTATCTTGACACTATACGCCTGGCGAGTCGGTGGAGAGTAATTTGCGAATAAATAGCAAATACTGAGAATGTATGCTAGAATGCACCAACTTTTGTTCATATAGAGATAGCGATGCGATAAGATCATGTGGGGACACGAACGCGCCAAGTCGCGTCTTTTCATCCGCAACTTCCCCGCGTCAGAATTGCACCGAGTACACTGAGTACAGTCCCAAACATCCACGTCCAACGAGTTATAACCCTGGCTAGTTGACTCGACACAAGAATAACCACTATATCATACCTCAATATGCCATCGATTCCTCTTCACCCGCGCGCGTCCGCCTCGACCAATTCCCTGACGAACCCTCTCCCTCCGCTCCTCCAGACGCCGTCCGGTCTGGCAATTCTCGAGCTCCAAGGCACCATCAACGTTCCCTCGGAGGAAGGCCAGGGCAATGGCCCGGAACAAGAGCGGATGGACGACTCCTCCGATCCAAACGCCCTCACATTCGAGACCCCCATCGGCAAGCTCATGTTCCCGGACTACTGCCCGCAGACGACGCCGCCGGAAGACACCAAGTGGATGAAGCGGGTCTACCTGTTCGTCGGGCGATACCAGCGCATGACAGGGGAGGTGAAGAAATTGGCGCAACCACTGGCCGTGGTGCAGCGGCGCCCGCAGGCGGATCTGGCTGAGGCGGAGGGTGAGCAGTTGGAGATTGTGGAGATTGTCAAGTACAGGCTGCTGTTTAAGAACCGGCCGGAACCTGTCAATGATGTTTGATTAGGGACGCCGCTCTAATTTACGTGATCGGGGCTCCGCGACTCGGGTTCTACGACGTTGGCTGTTGCACTCGCCTGTCTGCACATCGTCACGTCGAAGAGAGGTCCGGACAGACACGACGCAACTTTCGACCATGAACACTGCAAAACACAGGCTACCGGCGATCGTGTGTCATCTCGAGGTGACCTAATCCGGTTTCCACTTGGTAGGGACGGGCGACATGAGAGCGAGTTGAGGAGCGAATTGCAGTCTTCTGATCCAGGACGGGGATTTCTGGGACTTGTTCTCGATGATTACGGGACTACTTGGAGGAAGAAGGTACTGCTCATCGCAGCCTCTAGGTACATGCTGGATCTATTTACAGGCATTTCAGAAGACAGTGTGATGGCAGAGACGAAGCTGCAGAAAGCTCTGTGCTTCAGCTATCTTCTGGAGATGAGTAGCTTAGATGTATGAGTGAATAAGTCAGCACACGTATTCTAGTACAGCCAGGTTTTGAACGAACTCGCTCATACACAAACCCTACAAAACTTTACTTTCCATATAATGCATATTCTTTTGTTCATTGTATACTCCGGAACGATACCGACAAACAGACGACAAAAGAGATACCCGGGCGGAACCCGGGCGCGGGGAGATTCCGCACTGCTTCTCCAACACGACATGCATTGAGGGGAAATACACAGTCTCAACCGGTTGTATACGCAGACCAGCATCTGGATATATCCATGCCATACCTGATTGCATTGCGATTGCTCGATGTAAAAGCCGCAACAACACCACCAGCCTCATCCGCCCCCAATATCCGGCTCTAACCGGCCCGATTTCCGTCGGATCTAGACTGGGAGTCCAGGGGGGGCCATGTCCATTACCCGACTGTACCCCGCGTAGGTAGCAGAGAGACGTTCGTGGAGAACACAGAGGGGAGGTATAAATGACCCGACGGATCCTCCTCCGCGGAAGGGTTCCCCCTTCGACTCCCACTACGATTGCTCCCTTGTCCCACCTCCGTGTATCTCGGTACTCTCGCTCTTCTCCCCCTCACTTCTTACATCGACTCAGTTCGCAACCGACAACCACAATGGCCCCCATCGAGCGTATCACTCTCTTCAAGATCCCCAATGAGGCGGACCGGGACCGCGTCCTGGAGCAGTACAAGGTGTTGGCGAAGACGGCTGTGAAGGTGTGTATTAACGACCTGGACTTGTCCAGGAGAGCGCCGGTGTTAACAGGAGATGACAGGATGGCAAGCCCTACATCCTTAGCGCTGCCGTCGGCGCCTCCATCCCCGATCCCCGCAACAAGGGCTTCAACATCTCCGTCAAGACGACCTTCGCGTCGATGGAGGACATGCAGTACTACGACAACGAGTGTGAGGCGCACAAGGCCCTGAAGGCCGTGGCTGGTCCCGTGCGCGAGGACGTCCTGACCACGTTCTTCGAGAACATCCTGTAAATAACATTCTTGTGTGTATGGAATTATGATGATTTAAGCTATGAGGATCTATGAGGGTAGAACATGATAGACATCTTGTTTCGAATGAACCGCTGCAAGAAGATAATATCTATTCCATGATATACACTGCATACCATGTATGCATCGGGATCCGTTCCGCGTAGCCTAGGTAGGCAGCCCACATCGCAAATCGCAAACCGCAAGACCATCAAAACAACCCGTCAGACACAGTCGGACAAAACCAATCAACCAACAAAGATTTGAGCAGTTGAGCATTCAACATAGAGGAGACGACACAACCAGTGCTACACCAATACATGACATGAAGAAATATCGCATACAATGCCTGATCATACCTGGCATTCGGACCAGAATCGAGTTGGCAAGTCGAAGAAGATGGTGATACAATGTTAATCTCGCCTTTGCTGCGGATGGCAACGTCGAATATGATGACCCTAATCAAGAGCCCTTCGGAGATCGTTCCATTTCTGCTGGAGGTTCTCGTACTTCTCGTGGACCTGGACACACTGTTAGTGTATACCATCGAGGAAAGGCCATGATCCTTACCTCAGCCGATTCCATCTTGGTTTGGACGAGCTCCTTCTCCATCTCCGCCATCTGTTCAACCAAGGACCGATTCTCGTTCTGCACCTCCAGGTTCCGTTTCATGATGCGGTCCATTTCAGTCCGAAGCTTCTCTTCCACCTCGGCTGGCTGCTTGTCCACCACATTCTTCAGCTCCGTGACTTGCATCTTGAGCGCATCATTCATGTCGGTCAGTTCTTCATTTTCGACCTTCAGGTGGATGAGTTCCGAGGCAAGCTGAACGTGTTCCTTGTCAGAGGCTTCCGCCTGCTCTTCAAGTAGCCGAACGCGAGCGCTCTGCGTCGCCACAGTGTACCTCAGGGTTTCTAGCTCCTGCTCGCGCTCCTTTTCTGACCGTACTTTCTCCTCCCATTCAGCTGTATACGCACGGATGGTTTCAGGCTCCAGCACAATGGCACATGCATCTTGGACTAGAATGTCGGCACGATAGATCTCCTTGTCAGCGGCTCCCGAGCTGCCAAAGAACCCAGACTCCAGGATCGAGGACGGCGATGGCTGCTTGTCAATATAGACGTCAAACAACCGCTCCTTGAGGAATGTCGTCAGCGGGGTCATGTCTTTCATGCCTAGAAGAGTTTCCGCATTTCGGCGCATAATAGCAAGCGCGAACTTCAAAATGGTAGTCTCCAGTCCCTCCTCGAAGATGAGGTCATAGACGCGAAGAACCAGCTGCAAGGGAAACCGGTAGGCGAAGAGGGTCAGGAACCACTGAGTTGCGTACAACTTAGGATTGACCCCACGCCGATGAAGGTGACAGCAGAGGGCGGGCTCCATATCCTCAAGAAGACGCTCAAAGAGATACAGGCTCCTGTGAAGTCCGGGCATGTCCTGGATGAACATCTCTCGCAAGCCGTAATGGTTCATTAGCCTGACAAGAAGCGAGAATGCCTCTACCTCGTCCATCTGAAAGGCATTAGCATTTGACTTCGTGTCAGTAGGGCGCAGGGGTAAAGCCTACGTTGAATAACAACGGCATAGCGATAAAATTCATGCCCTGGGCATATCCAACAGCCTCGTCATACAATGCGTATGCCTTGCATAAGCCAAATAAACTTTCCTGATTTCCCTGCGAGACAAAGTAGCGAGAATAGCTGGTGCGAGCTCCAAGGTCGCGTCGGATAGCCTTTTCTAGCTTCTGCAAAGCAGCTGCATCCTCCTTTGCCTTCTTCTTTCGAGCTGCCTCGCTAGCCGCTTGCTCCTTGGTCAACTTCTCGGGATCAACTTCGTGCGAAGGACTCGGTGACGTTCCATTGATCGATTGGGCCACGGAGGCTGAGCGTTCTGAACGAATAGACGAGCGAGACGACGAAGCCACTGAATCCTTTTCTGCGCTGCCATTGAGAGTGCCATTGGGGGACCGTGGCTTTTCCTTGTCGGTGCCCCGGGCAACGAGCTCCCTGTAAGTGTCCTCAAGCTCGGGGTTCCTGCTCTCGGCCAGGACTTGCCAGATGACACCTCGAATAGTCTGGGGAATTCCTCGTTTGATAGCCGCGTTCAGTTCTTCCGCATGGGCGCCTTTCAAAGCCTGGGCACCATGATTGACCAATTGTTGCCACATCTCCCAGTCCACAGGGGCCGATGCGTCCGTTGCCGAAGCTGAGAAGCCGGACACTGTCCCAGGCGCGAGATTGGGGTTGACGGTTGAGGGGACATTCGGCGGCGAAGTTGCCGAGACTGGCGCGGAGTCATTCACGCCTTCTTCAGGGATGCTTGGAGGAGGGCTTCCGGCGGAATGACTGATACTTCCACGTCCTGACGCGACACTTGCACCGTCATTCTCCGGAACTAGACCTTCCTCCCGCATTCGAAGCATCTTGAATTGATCCTTCAGACTATTCACCCTCGGTCTTCTGACACCATCTGCATCGTCTCCATCTGGGAACCGGCCGGCCAGTTCTGGGTTGCTGGAGAGTGTCGATACAGATGCGGCGGTGTTCCGACGGTTGGTTTGCGGCGGAGGAGGCGACTTCACCTCCCGATTTCCTGTAGAGCTTCGAGACAGCCATGCGAAGGGTCCGGTGAGTTTGCGGGATGGCGGTGGCGGAGGAGCGGCAGGCGCTGGGTTCTTATTGACCGGGAGGAGGGGCCCACGGCACGGAGGGGAGATTACCGGACAACCCCTGCAGGCGGGAGCCCTGTGTCGATGTTGAGTCCCTGGAGGGTAACGGGGGTGGAGATGTGAGCTTGAAATCGTCGTTTCCGTCTTCGGGTCCGTCTTCCTTGCCCCCGCCGGCCAGGTTTACCTCGTCGAGGGATGTGGTGGACAGACGGTGAGCCGTCAACAAGGGAGACTTGTGAATCTTCTGTTTGCGAGGAGTTTCCTCCGATTCCGACGGTCGATCTGAAAGAGCATCTTCGGACTCGATATCTTTCTTCTCCTCGTCTTGGGAAGCAGGAGGTAATTGAGGGGGAGGTGCCGAGGCGCTTGGAGGGCTGTCTGTTAGAGATCGCGTGGAAGCACTCTGTGGAATGGAAACGGAGAGCGTATTAGGGGCTTCGGGGGCGTCATCGAAAGCATCCTAGATTACCATATGGTCAGGGTCATTTCCCTTTAGGAAGACATAAGTGTTTCGGACTTACCCCTTCGTAGTCTTTACTATTCCGTCGGGAAGACATGATAAATATCTCGACCAACACAGGTCACGGAGAGTCGTAGGTGGGACGAAAGCAACACGACTAATGAAAAGTTCGAGCCGGGGTAGTTCGCAATCAACGCGATACTTAACGGGGAGGCGAGATCGACGATAGGGAGGTCGGATTAGAACGGCAGGGCCATGATAGGGATGGTAGGGAGGGAACACGCGGAAGCCACCAGGGTGAAACGGGACGAGACGATGAGGGTCCGGGGGAGTATGAGGAGTCAGAACGAGGAAAATTGGCGCACCACAGCCGTGACAGAGTCCCCCAACCACCAGTGGAAAGGGAAAATGGATAGCGATGGAGGTGGAGGGGAAGAAGGAGAGTTGTTGGAACAGAGAGAAAGAGGGAGTCAAGGAAGATGAGGGCTTGGCGGGTCTCGACCCCGTTAATTTCCATTATTTCCCCCATGGTTGATCTCCCTCAACGGTCGTCTACAAGTATACTTGAGTCTACTGATTCCCCCTCCCTTCTTTCATCTCGTCGTTTAACTATAGACGGTTAATGGCTTTTACGGTGATTCCGAACACAGCATCTCTTCGTCCTCGTGCACCGCATATCAACACATCCAATGTTTGGACGTTGGTATGTCAACAACACAACATGCCTTGACAGCCTTGACTTATTCCATAGAAGTACGGAGCATGCTGTCTAGTCCACTTCCTCTTGATATCTTCTCCAGCGCGATGGCTCGAAGCAAACCCCAGGGAACTAACAACCTACTTGTCCAACTCTCTTTCCCCCTTTCTCATCCATGGATTGGGACTTATCGGTCCCACTTCAACTCCCGCACTTCCCAGGGCCACCCGGAGCTCTTCCTCACCAGTAAGAATCGGCCCTAGCACTCCGAATACCCAAAAAATCGCCACAGTCAAGTGATCGAGAGGGAGAGAAGCAAGGGGGGTTGTCCAGATGCTTACACGCACAGCGATCGTTCGAAATCAAGCCAGCGTCCGTGCCGCAGCGGGTCCAGCTTTTTTAGTTCCGAGAGCCAGCTCAGGACCTTCTCCTGGTCACCACTGGCGAGACGACCTTCCACCTTCGACAGTAATAATGTGCACTCAATCAACGCCTGGTAGATATATTTGCAGTCCTCCGCCCCGTCAAGCATATCCTGGATCTCCTCGATCTCCTGTCGTAGATACGCTGTCCGTTCCGCGGTGCTCAGATTCGGTGCCATCGTCTGTTCTGAGATGGTCGGGTCAAAGTTGCACATTAAATTCTGGTGATAGAACCACAATGACTGGTCATACGGATCACAGAGCGCACGGTGGATGAGCTCCAATTCTGTCACATCCAGGATGTTAGCAGGGCCCAATTTCATCCTCAGACAGCGAACTATTTCAGAGGAGCCTTACCGTCATCAAGCATCTTTCGACGCTCCTCGTCACCGGCAGACTTTTCGTTCAACAACCGTTGGATAAGTTTCGTGCGATAATGCCACGCCGAGAAGTTGGACAGATTCGTCCCGATCATTTTCTTCGCGTAGTCAAATTCCGACTGGGTCATGCTGATTGTACCCGTTTCATCGTCAAGCTTCTCAAGCGATTCCACGACAAACCGCCGGTAGCCCCAGCCGTGGAAGTTTCTACTGTCCAAGCTCAGCATCTTCCCCACGAGCGCTAGTTCCTCTTCCCATAGCCGACGGGAGAGAGGTAGGGGGAGTCGCCGTTTGGCTTCGTCAAGAAGCCATAGTCGGTAATTCCAGATCCAGTAACACTTGGGAAAGCTCCGTAGGAGAGGGATCAAAAACTGCAAGTCATGCTTGATCAGGGCGGCGATTTCGTCTACTGCAGTCTCATTGGAAACGGCTTCTGCCGCCTTCGAGAACTCGTGCTGCAAGACTTGACGGCGATAATTCCATACAGTATAATACTCTGGATTCTTGGTCAGTAAATCGGAGATTTGTCGCAACGTTTCTGTCGTGTATTCATGGTTTGCGATCTAGGGAGATCCTGTCAGTTGGAAATGATTTGCCTTGGATGGAGTAGATCCGCGCACTTTTTCATGAACTAAGCGATCCAATTCTTGGTACTTCTCAATCTTGCGAAGTTCTTGCTGCCGAGCTGCTTCGGTGCGCTCTTGTACATTGTAGCGGGGAATCCCATGCTGCCGATCCAGCCGTTAGTGGCTTTATTACGGAAGCGAGGGAAGGGGAGAATTACACTCGCCATGATGAGTGAGAGGAGGAGTGCTTCCCTTGACGGATCAACCTTTTGGTTGTGAAAAAGACAGTTACCTAGGTATGTTCGTAGCTCCAGAGCGCAGGTCGTGTTCAATAACCACGCTTGACTGGATAAGGAAGCGGACGGCCACCTTCCGTATCGGGGAACGATCACGTGACGTTGTATACAAATGATCTAGATGGTAGGCACATCTCCTCTCATCGCCAAACCACTCTCTCTGCTACCCGAGCAAAGCTTGCGCTATACCCGAGTGAACTAGCTTTACATTCATGTTCAAGTATTTTATCAACAGGGCTCGACATTCCATTCCCTTGGCCTCCCAGCCGACCCTCGGGGCCCTGCCGTTATCGCTGATCACACACAGCTAGCTTTCGTTCAAATCACCCGCGATAGGCGAGGATGAGACTTAATGGTCATAATGGCGGAGTCGTGTTCGGATACCCCTCTGTCTCAGGAATCGGTCTCCTCAATCTTTACTCCGCCTACGCCGGGGCTTATTCTAGACTCCTCAGATGAAGACGAGTCTGTGATAAGCAGTCGTCCTACGACTCCTCCTCCCTTCCTGGTTCACCGTATGCACTTCAATCCCACCAAGCATAACGAACTGTCTTTCTTCAGAAATGTTGATGTTCGTCGGTCCCTTCCATCTCCTCCCCGGCCGCAGGAGGGCCAGGTCTCAAGTGATGAGACTGGGATAATGGGAGGAGAACCCGTGGCATTTGTTCCCGAACCACAGAGTCCGGTCAAGAGGCTTCATGATAGACCTAGGAGGTGCGCTAATACGCCAAACAAAACTCCGCCCGGGGATTCTATGCCCTTGGACCGGTTCATTCCAGTTCGAGAGTTTACTACACCACCCTCCACCACATTTCACGTGGGACAGAGCACTGAAGAGCTAAGTCCTGAAGAAAAGATGCTAAGACGTCGGTTAAATAGAGAAGACCCATTCATGGTGACATGGCAGGGAAGAGCGGCAAGCAGTCCAAGGATGGCGTCTGATCAGCTTCGCAGTCCTCATAATACTCCCCGCCTTGTCACCGATGCCGCTATAACTACTCAGCATAGCCATCAAGCTACTGGTTCCTTGAGGCACGTCAGTGCTGGAGCTGTCTGGCGTGTTGGTGGAGTGGCTGCTGCCTTAGGAAGACGACCCAATGGCGCCTCTGGGGGTTCGGGAAGTGTCCTTGCGAGAGGCACTACAGCTCGCATGTATACGGCAAAATTCCTGCCACAGGCAACTCCAGCTAATGAGCAACGAGAATACGAAAAGAAGAAACATGAGGCAAGATTAGCTCTCGCGTTGGATATCGACCGATCTAAGAGACTTCTCAAGAACTCCAAGTGTTGGCCTCTACTGGAATTCACACCATGTCCGGCGAAGCCGGACTTTGAACGATTCTCCCCTTTGGTGTGGGAGAACAGTGCTTGGAGGCGAGCCGGACAAGACTGTTGTAAGTACATAAGCTCACGGCCTGATAGTCTGTGACCTACAATGTTATTGCCACTAATGATACTGCATGTAGGGACGGCGCCTTCAAAAGAAGATGACAAGGCCACCGTCGTTCCAACTCTGCCATTTCGTGTGCTAGATGCACCTGGACTCCGTGATGACTTTTATTGCTCAACACTAGCGTATTCTTCAGTTTCTGGGATTCTTGCCGTTGCCCTTGCGTCTGAAGTTTATCTCTGGTCTGATGAGTTCGGTGTGCAACACCCACCTTTCAGCGACCAACTTCCCTCGAACTACGTGAGCTCTCTCTCATTCTCATCAGAAAATGGCAGAAAAAGCATCCTAGCTGTTGGCAGGCGATCTGGGTTACTATCACTGTGGAGCACTTTCGACTCCGAGGCGCGCTTTGAGGTCAGTCACCCAAATAGCATCACCTGCGTGGCATTTAAGCAGTCCAAAACACGGAGGCTATCTGAGCGTTTCAAGAACGCCGAGGTGGACACCGAAGACCTTGCTGTAGGCGATGACCTTGGCTATATCTGGTATTATTCGGTGGAGTGGCCCGATGATGAACAAGCCCAGCTTGGATGGGAGGGTTCTATGACGCTCCTTGCCAAAATATCAGCCCACTCACAGCAAGTTTGCGGCATATCTTGGTCGCCAGATGGAACATATCTTGCGACGGGCGGCAACGACAATGCATGCTTGATTTTTGAATTGCAAAATATCATACCCCCGGGAGAGTTTAGGGTACCAGCCGATTTCACTGCTCAGACCGAAAGTGACAATAACTCCACCTACTCCCCTACTGATAACGATCAAGACTCCGATAGGGACTATCTTGCTGCATCGGTTTTGCAAAGCTCGGGTCAAGTCACTATGGATGCCATGTCAAAGAGCCTCATAGCTTACGCAGGAACTGTTATCTCTGGGCGCACCCGAACGGCCATGATCCCAACGAATTACCAGAAACATCGTCTGGATCATGGTGCAGCTGTCAAGGCGATTGCGTTCGCACCATGGCAACCCTCGCTTTTGGCAACAGGGGGAGGTTCGAATGATCGCGCCATTCATTTCTACCACACCCCATCTGGTGCTTGTCTCGCCACCATCAAGGTCTACGCACAAGTGACTGGTCTCATATGGAGCAGGACAAGACGAGAAATCGTTGCTACCTTCGGATTCTCCAACCCTGAGCATCCATTCCGAATTGCCGTCTTTGCCTGGCCCAGCTGCGAGCAGATTTCTGCGATCCCATGGGGTCCCTATGGTACTAGTTGGAGAGGTCCGCTGGAGACTGACCGTACAATTGACTGTGGACGCGCCCTCTGCGCCATTAGTTATCCATGCCGAGTGCCAATCTACCTCTATCATAGACTAGAGATTCAGGATGATTCTTCTGTGCGAGGGCCAAGAGCCGAGTCGAACCAGCGCAGACAAAGTGCACCTTTAGAACGGACATCGACGCAACCCAGGGCGAAAGAGGGTGGATTGTGGTGCTCCCGCACCATGGACGAAGGATGCATTATTGTAGCATCTAGCGATCACACCGTCAAATTCCACGAGGTATGGAGCAACTCGAGGAGGAACGTCGCTTCGGATTCGGGACCATACGGGGGGAGCGAGATCCTTGAGGGCCTGGAGGGATTGGAGAAGACTGGAGAGGAAATAATCCGCTGATGAACCGCTACAGAAGCGAACCTGGTGTTTTTGTTTGCGGAAATCGATATCCTTATCGGAGTAGTATAGATAGAAGCAGGTCCATGTGCGCTGGCCACTACAAGCTCGATATCGTTATGATTGTTTCCCCATACATAGTTAAATGGGCTGTTGCTGTGCAGATCGCGTATCCAGCAAAAAGGTGACCTTCCTAATCATACCAGATATTTCGGTTCCATACAAATCTTGTAGGCAACGGAGGCTTTGGGGAAGACCATGGAGATATATTACCGGTAAATGTTTCCAAGTTACAACTACCTACACAGCGCCGGGTCAGGCTGATGCAAGAATATAAACATGTCCCCCTCTAGATGGGCGTATAACAAAACAGACGGAAGAAAGAAAGAGATCGAAGGAAAATTTCTCACTTTTTATAACACAGGACAGGCGGCACAAAACTCCAAAAGACAAGCGATCAGAAGAACCAGGGTATAAATCTAATCTATTTTCTGGCCTTGTTCTTCCCCTTTCCTCCACCACCACCCAACTTGGCCTTCTTGGATGGTGGCTGGGAAGCAGGTTCTTCATCTCCCGATTCCTCGTCTTCGGTGTCGGCGACGAAATCCGCCAGCGAGCCCACGCTCTCAGCGTCCTCGTCCTCGTCCTCATCTGCATCTTCGTCGGGCGACTCTTCCGCGTCGGAAGAACCGGCCGACTCCTCTGCCTCGACGTCGAACACGTCCTCGTTCTCTTCCTCCTCCTCATCGCTGCCCTCCTCGTCCTCGTCGGATTCGTCGGCGCCAGACTGTACGCCGTTCATCATCGACTCGTCCTCGTCGAAGGTCTGGTCGCGAATCAGCTTGGTCCGCGGCGTGGCCGTGTGTTTCGCTGTGTCTGCATCGCTGTCCTCGTCCTCCAGGTCCTCCTGTCCCTCGACATAGATCACGTTCTCCTCGTCCTCGCTTTCGACGCCCTCTGCGTGGCTGTTGATCGACTCCCGCAGTCCGAGCTGGGCATCCAGCATGTCGAGCTTACCCTTGAGCAGGAGCAAGGAGGGCAGACTCGACGAGCGCTGATCCATGACCTTGAACAAGGTCGCCATGCGCTTCAGAAGTTCCCGCTTGCCCGCGAGGGCTCCACCGTGGGCGACGCAGGTCCACTGTACCCACACGAGGAGGTGACCGTACCGACCGGGCCGGGAGGACAGGCGCTCGGAGAGTTTCTGGAGGAGAGTGGCGGCGAGAGAAGAGTCCAGGCGTTGGATGGTCGTCCGGATCATGGAGAGATCGCCCGTTTGGAAGCACGACTCCAGCATGGCATTGTCGTTGGTCTTGAGCGACTGAGTGAGGACGGTGGAAAGCGAAACCCCGGAAGGAATCTGCTGAACCGCTGCGTTGGGCTTACCGGGGACGAGGGCACCCAGGCGAGTGTCATCCTCCAGCTCTGCTTCGACGTCAACCTCCTTCGACGAGTGAGCCCGCAGAAGCTCGCCAAAAGACGGCTCCCCGGTTTCTTCTTCTTCCTCCTCCGCATCAGATTCCGCCGCATTGTCCATTTCGATATCGCTGTCGGCTTCCTTTTGCTTGGATTCCTTGGCCTCTGTCGCCTTCTTCGGTTGTTCGTCCTCCGATTCGTTGTCATCATCGCTATCGGAGGCGTCTTGCTTCGAATCCTGCATCTCGACATCATCATCATCCACCAAATTGCCCTGCTCCGCAACGACTCTGGTCTCGTCAACCCGGCTTTCCACCGCGTTTCTCGTCTTATTTGTTGTTGCTGATGCGAGGACCGAGCTAGACTTGGTCTTGGGGATCTTCTTTGTACCACTGAATGCCAGTTCGTCGGTATCGTCATTGAGCAGCCGGACGCGCTCGAAAACCGGAATGACACCTCCTTCGGCCCAGGCGATCAACAAGTCGGGACCCTGAAAGGACGTAGCTACCACTGACACAAGCGCATCGGATTCATCGGATTGGATGACCTGGATGGATGACTCTGCTCTCCGGGTCATTTGTTTGCCTCGCGCCTTGAGGCTAGTGGTGTTCTTGGCGGGCTGGACAAACGGTCTGGTAAACAGCTCGACGGTACCGTCACCGGTCACGACAGCAAGGACCTGCTTCTCCAACGTATTGGGCTGACCCGCATGTCCAGAATACAACGACAGGGAAGAGATTTCCTTATCAGCCACGAGGTTCATCACGAGCTTCTGAGTTTGGGAATCAAAGACATTGATATAACGGTCATTATCGGACGCCAGGAAGAGCCCCGTCGAGAAGGACTCCGTAGATGACGTGAGAAGAGTATGGACTGGGTTGCGCATCGCAGGGAAAGAAAGCGGAGCCTCGCCATCCTCAGTGCTGATTATGTATGGCGTTTGAGATGCGCAGAGGACCGGGGGTTTGGAAGGAAGAGGACGAGCGAGGCTCGTGAACGATGCGGTCGAGGGGAGGTTGATGATCCTGTGACCATACCTGATTAGCTGAGCTGCCCCGAAGATATAAGGCTTGAGGAGCGCAATTGAGAAAGATACTTTACCTTGTGCTCTTTCCGGTATGTAGATCCCATTGCACAAGCTTGTTATCACCGCCGATACTCCATCCTTCTTGACCCGGTCGGTTCAAAGTAAACTTGAAATCCTTGATGCCCTTGTCATGGCCACCTGCGAGGGTTCCAATGATCTTGTCTTCGGCGGGCGAGTACATGCGGATGTCGGAAGCGCTGGTACCGAAAGCAACGACGACATCTCCCTGGTCGAATCCATCGCTCGTACCATTCACATTGGAATGGCGCTTCCGCTTCTTCTTTGCCTGCTGATCGCGATCCTTCTGTCTACCCGGGTAGTAACCCCAGTCCAGAGACGTCACGGTCTCTTTGGGGCCGAGGACATGTTCACATTGTAATCGGCCGGTGTTCGTGTCGTGGATTCGGAGGTGCTGGCCGTCGAGACCTTGGATGACTGACGCAAACAGCGCCAATTGATAGTCCGAAGGGGCGAATGATGCCTTCAGGATCGACGACTTGTTCCCCGTAGACGTGACGCCAGACGCCGAAGGCGACGCAGCGGAGGTTTTCGAAGCGGGCGGCCGAGACGTTTTCTTGCCCATCTTTACCGGCGTGCGTAGAGGGAGGGGAAAGGAGAGAAAGAAAATAAAAAGAGAGAACTTCACCGAATCGACACCCGACAATGATCGAAACAAAGGATACCTCCCACTTTTACACGGAGCGACAGCTGGGGATGTCTCTCTGGGCGGTTGTTACTGAGAAGGAAAAAAAAGTTCTGTAGAGAGTCGGTCGATGCGCTTGACCCGTTGGGGTTTAGCTTGGCAGCACGGTTCCGCTCCAAGTTCGTCTTATCTAATCAACCCTTTGGCTTCCTTTTCTTTCTTGCTTTCTTGCTTCTTGATCTTGCTTGATCTTGGTTTTTGGTATCGACGACGATATGCACCGCCGTCTTTAACTCCAACTTCGGTCTCACGTTACTCGGCCTATATTGATCATGTCCGCAGTTTCCGTCCCGAGAGCCTCCCGTGTCGACTGGGCAGATCGGATGTGAGACGTCGTCTGTTCAAAAGCTGGCCGGAATTCTATCCGAGTCTTATGCATGCCGTCGTGAGAGTGTCCACCAGTCGCATTCCGAATGTGCTCTCTATTGACTCCGTACCGAGTACAATGTCTTCTAGCCTTGTTCTGCTCTGTTTCGACTTCTCTATGGCCCGTCTTCTCCTCACAAGGCACAATCTCCAAATCTCCAAACTTGCGTCGAGACTCCGGGAGTGCACACTTATACATTGTACTCACATTGCTTACACAGTGATTTCACCAGTCATCGCACCACTGATCTGGTTTGGCTTGTGACGCAGAGCCGTGCTCTACAACGGGTCCCTGACCTTACAAAAGATGCGGCTCTATTCAACACGGAAGGCTAGGCTGACCGTCTCACAGCATCAATCCCGTCAGGAGTGTCGGATGAACCAGACGCCTTGCGACTTCAGACCGAGAGTGTTTGATTTTGAGACCATCCATCATCAATAAACAAGGGATGCGACAGGCGCCACTCTGGACTACGAAGCCACCTGCACCGATTCATTGCATTTACTGCAATAAAGTCCACGAAAAGGAACAGAGCCAAGAGAATCCAGAGGGTAGGTAGTGATGTGGCTTCTCAATGATGCCTCTTTCCTCCTGCCATTGTTTATCTTGCATTTTCAGGCTTCTATCAACCCTCCCGAACACATTCCACTGTCTTGGCGCCCTTGCGCCGAACAATGGATGGCGCGTCGATTGGCTGTTTGCGTGGTGGAGTGGTTACATCAGCATTTCGAGGCTAGTCCTATTACGATGCAAGGAGAGGGTTCAGGGCTCAAACCCTGCGCTTTCCCGCTCGTCACTATCGCATCCCGGTGGTGCACCTCACCCAGGCTCCCATCATCAATGAAAAAGCATCCTTCCCATGAATGCCTAACAGGATTTGGGTATGTCATAACTTCCTGTCTCGGTATCACAATCTCGCGTTTGGCCGATGAGGGCTGTATGATGCAGATTTAATTGAGCTATGACCCACTAAAATTTGTGTGGATAATATTTTCTTCTTTGATCTTCTATTCAGCTTCGGTGTCTTTCTGGTGTTTAGCTGGAGTGCTTTTTCTTGTCCAACATTTTTTTTTTCCTTGTATTTTTCTGTTCGATGTTTCCGACAAAGGATTTCTGGTACGAAGTACCCGCTCTAAGGGGTCGACAACACCCAATCAGCGGGGGACTCTGGTAGAACGCGTCATCGTCGAACCAATCAGGGGGTGCGGAATGGCTTGAACTAGAGTAATTGGGATTAGCGTGGCGGATGGAGTTAGCGGCAGCAAACGGACGAGCGCGACGCGGCCGTTCGTACTTAAGGATTCTAGCACCCCCTCCGACTTCCAGAGGTCTCTGTTTCTGGAGCTGAGCTGAGAGAGCTGCGCGCCAGGTCACGCCTTTTCGCCGTCTTCCCCCCCTATCCGTACCCTTTTTGCCCTGGTCCCAACCTCCCGTGTCCGAGGCTCCCCGTTTTCCTGACCAAAAATTTACCTTTCCATGACTTCACGCGTTCTTCGCGTCGCGCTCTCATCGTCATCATAATAATAAATTCGATCACCCCCCAACCCGACTACTGCAGCTGCTTATCTTATTTTATTTATTCCTTATCCTTTTTATTTACTTTTTATTTTTTTATGCTTCCCCCCCTCGGGTATTGTGATCTATATTATTAGCAGCCATCACACCCTCCCCTTGAAGACCACCTAATTTACTGTACATCTTCAGGGCATTTTCCGTCTCACTCACCTTTCACTTCCCTCTGACTGATTTATTCAATTCTTTTTCTTTGATTCCACCCATCACGTGGAGGGATCCCTATCGGCTTCCCCCTTTTCCCATCCCGGGTCTTTCCTCATTCGGCCACCCAGCGACCGTGTCTTTCCGGCTGAGTCACGCCGCCCTCGCCGCCCACGTGACCGACGGGAAAGCTGCCCACCGCCTCTTGGCAGTATAAATTCCTCTTCTCCCTGTCGCATTCTCCACCTGCGACCCGCGCTAATCCTCTTTCCTTCCTGTACCGTCGCACCTCGTGGCGTCATTCTCGGTGACAGTGCAGACCAACCTTTTCTTCTCTTCTTCTCTCTGTCATCCCAACCCAGGGAGTTTCTGCTCGTCGATTCCCAGGTCGATTCAGTTAGTCTGTGATAGCGCAGAAAGTACCTATTCAGTTGATCATTCTTGTCGCTACCTAAACTCTCCTACTGAGACCCAGCTACCACCTACTTCGCTGCTTGCCTGTTAGACCTCTGTATTGCGCTTCACCACGACTTCCCTTAAGGACCAAGCGACCTCAATGGCGACTCCGCCACCCGAGGCCCCTTCTGTTCTCAAGGAGGAGAAGCCTCAGCTGCCACCGTCGCCCAATGGCGTCTCATCTGTGGACGGGTACGTATTATCGCCACCTTTTGCATTTCATCTCCTCGTCGTAGTCGCTAACTACTCGCAGTGCGCAACCGCCCAAAACCGAGCCTAAACAGGATGCGCCCGTGAATGGGACGATCGAAGGGTCTGCGGAGGCGCCGGCGCCCGTCGCTGTGAACGGCCACAACACTCAGACAAACGGCGTCGCCACGACCACTTCCCCTCCCAAGTCGCCTAGCCTGGATACCAAGCCGTCGGTGATGGACCCGCCTGCGGATGACGCGTCGAAGAACGACACGACTAACAACGGTGATGCGACCGCGCCAGTGCCAACGACTGGTCCCGACGCGGGAGTCGCTGCTTCGAAAGACACATCTACCACGGAGGATGTCCCCAAACCAGCAGAGGGAGCGGCCGACGTTACCACACAGAAGACGCCGGAGCCTGCAGCCCAGGAGACCACTCCAGCAACGACGACTGAACTTCCGCACCATCCTTCGACCGTCGGCAAAACGGAAGAAATCCCGAACGCAGATAGTTCCACCAATGTGCCCACTGTCCCGCCTGTCCAATCCATCGATCAAGAAATGCGTGACGCACCACCGCCTGAAGCTCCGCTTTCCCCGACCAAGGTGTCGCGTGAGCGGGAGCCTGATGTGGCCGAGGAACCTGCGGCGAAACGGACCAAACTTGACGGCGAGTCCTCCGCACCGGCCGAGTTCAAGGTGCCTCAAATCCCACCAGCCACTCCGGAGACTCCCGCGCCTGCTGCGACGAATGGGGAGTCGACGATCACCAAAGTTCAGCACAAGTTCATCCTCAAGGGTATTCAGAGCCTGAAGCGTATGAATGACTCCCGTTTCTACCGAGAGCCTGTGGACCCGATCAAGATGAATATTCCCCACTACCCGCAGATCATCACTCGTCCGATGGACCTTGGGACCATTGAGCGCAAGTTGAAGAACAACCAGTACAAAACTGTGCAAGGGGTTGTTGATGACTTCAGTCTCATGGTGCAGAATGCTGTCACTTTCAACGGACCCGACCATCTCGTTTCCCAGGAAGGGCAGAGACTCAAGGCTACATTTGAGAAGCAGATGGTCAACCTTCCCAAGCCAGATGAGGTGGAGGAAAAGAAGCCCAAAAAGGTTTCCCCCAAGACTTCTGCCGCCCGTCGGGAGCCTCGGACTAGCACTGGAGGTGCCGCGCGCCCCGCTGGTGGTTCGCCTCAGGCGACCACCTTCGCTTTGGGTCCAGAAGGGCTTCCTCTGATCCGTCGTGATTCCACAAATGCGGATGGTCGCCCCAAGCGCTCGATCCACCCTCCCAAGCGTGACCTGCCCTATTCTACAAAGCCGAAGAAGAAGAAGTATCAGTGGGAGCTTCGGTTTTGCCAGGAAGTTCTTGATGAGGTCCACAGAACGAAGCACTACGCCTACGCGATGCCGTTCTACTATCCCGTGGATCCTGTCGCACTCAACATTCCGACCTACCATAGCATCATCAAGAAGCCAATGGACTTGTCCACCATGCAGTCCAAGCTGAAGACGGGCCAGTATGAGAACGCCAAGGAATTCGAGACGGACATGCGCCAGATGTTCAAGAACTGTTTCAAGTTTAATATCCCTGGTGATCCTACCTTTGTCGCTGGACAACAGCTGGAGGCAGTGTTCAACGCAAAATGGGCAGAGAAAAATCGCTATCTGGAAGCGCACGAACCTCATCCGGAACATCACAGTGCTGATGAGTCTTCTGAGGAGAGTGAGGAAGAAGCGGAGGAGAGCGACGAAGACTTCGAAAAGGTCAACATTTTGAAGAAGCAGATGGCGGAGATGGCTCGTCAACTGGAGGCCATCGAGAAGAAAAAGAAGAAGACTCCTCCGGGAACTAAGAAGTCGTCCAAATCCAAGTCCGGGAAAAAGGAGTCCAAGAAGAGTGGACTCCTCTCCGGAAGCAAAAAGGACAAGAAGAGCGGCTCCAAGTCCAAGTCTGGCAAGGAACGCGAGATCACATACAACGAGAAGCAGATCATCTCCAATGGGATCAGTAACCTCACGGACAAGAAAATGCAGGAGGCTCTCAGAATCATTCAGAACAATGTTCCGAATCTCAAGGTAAGCCCACTTCCTCATTCTGTGGTATATGGCCAGACTCTAACAGTTGTAAAGGGTACTCAAGAAACCGAGATCGAACTTGATATTGATGAGCTTCCCAACGAGGTTCTCTGGATGCTGCTCAGATTTGTCAGGAAGAATGCGCCTCAGGTCATGGATACCGAGGACATTGTTACTCCTACTTCGATGAACCCGCCTGCTCCCAAGCCCAAGAAGAACAAGCCCATGAGCAAGTACGAGCAAGAGGCTCAGATCAACATGCTCGAGAGCAATCTCTCTCGCTTCCAGGGTGGTGACCGCTCTCCCGAGCCGGTTCCTTCCGTTGAGGCGAACGAAAGCAGCGATGACTCGGACGATGACTCTGAAGAGAGCGAGGAGGAGTAGATGATGTTTGGTGGATGTCGATCCGTGCGGTCGTGTCGTCTTAGCACCGAACTTCGTCCTATTCATTGACTTCTTCGTTCCCTTTCCACCCCCTTTAAGCTTGGTTTAGGCCCTGGCTCCGGCCATCGGGTCCATGAATGATCTGTTATCGTCTTAGCATGGTTTCATCGTTTTAACGCGCCCCTCTCATGGAATTTCGTCCTTATCTCCCGTGTTTTCTCTAATTAGCGAATCATGTTCTGTTGGCAGCCAGTCTGATCTCCTTCTCCAGGCGCCCAAGATTCATGTACATACGTCTTTTACTTTGGCCGGATTTCGGAACGCTGCATCTGAACTCTCTACGCCATCCGTTTGGGACGGTCGATGCAAGTCTTGCGTGCAATTGGCTTTATCCCCTGGCCTTCTTGGTTCAAGGACCTGGAGCAGTAGGAGACCGAGGCGGCGTTCTGCGTGGTTGTGACAACACCAGGTGCATGTATGATTACGAAAGAAATGTGTAAATGGAAGCGAAAACTTTTAGCTATTCTTTCTCGTTAGCGAACATAGATATGCGTAGAGGGTGGCTGTACTTTGGAGAGTACTTCCTTCTGTGGTGTCAAAGGTACTTCACGGAGAATGGCCGAGACAAACAATGCATACAAGCAGTGATGACGACTTCATACCGCTTCACCCAACCATCAACTTGCACCGTTACAACTGACAACGATGATCCCACCGTGCGATCCTACCATCTTGGAGACTAACCCCCAGTTTAAGAAATTATACCAGAATCTGACGACTACCCTCCTGAACCCCGATGGGTCGACGCGTGCCCACGATGCGCAACCTGAAAGAAAGGCCGCCCTCGAAGTATGTTGACCGGCTCAGGCACTCGCCGTTGCTCTGAACGACAAGAATTGAAGAATTGGAATATTGACATAAGATCGAGCATGTCAGGAATTAAACAGCTGTCGAACACAAAGCGCAAAGAAGGAAATTAAGAAACGCGTCCTACGTCGATTGGCCTTCGACCCCGACAGCGAGTTACCAGATGACGTTAGTACCTCCGCACTGGGCGCGACAGAAGTGAACGCTTCAACTGACGAAAATCTCGGGCCTGCTCAGAGTCGCGACAATATCGCCATAGTTACCCTGTACTTGGACTCGTCCCGCAGTCAGCTCGACCTCGACAACGACGCTCGTGACGACGTAGACGCGCTGTCCCTACTCGCCCCGAACATCGATGCCTTCTACTCCGACCTGCCCTTGCTGATGCCACCCTTCTCGCGCATATTATCCTCGCTTACCCATGATCTCCGCCTGATCGCCGATGCCGGCATCGCTACGAGCAACAACGCACCGTCAACGGAGACGAGCCGGCCCCGACAGCGGTCCCGCCAGTCGATGGCCAAGTTCGCGCCGCAGGTTCCGCTCTCGTCCCAACTTCGCGAGAGGATACAGAGACTGCGTCAGACACAGCTGTCGGACCTCCCTGCCGCGCGCGCGCGGATGGCCGCCACGGCGGCGGAGGTGTTGGCGATGCGGACGGCTGTGCTAGAACGAATGGTGACGCTGCTGGAGCGCGCCAAACACGGGGCATTGGCGCGGGCTACCAAGGCCAAGGCGGAGCATCTCGCCATGGTGGCGCAGGGTGTCGAGGGCAAATTGAGCGTTATGCAATTGGAGATCTCCAACGCGCTTCATACCCCGGAGGTTACTACTGCGCTGGGTCGATACCGTGAACACCTGCAACATGTGCGAGCGCGGCTGGAGGAGCGGCGCGTAAAGGCCCAGGAAGAGCTCGATGCGTATGCGGCGGCTGATTCGGACGCGTCACGACGTGTTGGGTCTGGGCCTGTCAGAGAGATCGCTCGTCGGTATGGGGCGTTGCTCAAGGAGATGGAGGATGTGAGGATGGAGATTCAAAGGTTGGATAGTTAGTTGCGGTCTGTTTTGCATACGCTAGATACCCGGATCTTTTTGCGAATTTACACAGCACCTTGATATGGTTGTTTTGATTTTTGAATGCTGAATACTCTATTTGTCATTTCGTTGCTTGGAGAGGCTGTTTGAAGCCCGAGCAAGGTGGCTTCCAGGAACAGGTCATCTTGGGCCAGTCCATGGTGCAAACTCCTGGACTCTATGTCCTTGGTCGACGCCTCCGTCTTTCCACTGTGCATTGCAACCGCGGCACATGGCCAGTTCTCCAAAGACTACCTGGGTCTGCCTTTCCCTGCCATCATGGCTTCTCATGAGCCACGGAACGGTTTGATCGTAAATATTAGATAGCAGGTTGTGATGAGGATCACGATAGATACCGTAAAATGGGATGATGTACTCCGTATAGATGTTTGCTATCTTCTCGGACTTGGGGTGGAAGTGGCGGAAGTAGAGAGATGTTGACGATAAGAAAGGCGGAAGATCACATGACTGTCCCGCCCAAAGTTTTCCGATAAGATCTTCTAATGTGCTATTCAATTTGTACCTGAATGCACTCCCTCAGCCCCCCAACACAGTCGTTTAACTCTCGTTCCGCTATATACGTCTTCCATCATGGCCGACGACGCCATCTCCATCTACGATGAGATCGAAATCGAAGACATGACCTTCGACCCCACCCTGCAAATCTACCACTACCCGTGTCCGTGTGGCGACCGCTTCGAGATTGCAATCGATGACCTCCGCGACGGCGAAGACATCGCCGTGTGCCCGAGTTGCAGCCTGATGATCCGGGTGATCTTCGACCTGGTACGTGTTTCCTGGTGTTCTTCATCGTGTGCTCCTCACTAACGGTGTGTGTAGGCCGATCTCCCGAAGGATGACAAGCAAGATTCCGCTGGTGCCGTTGCTGTGCAAGCTTAGAGCGAACGCGAGTGAAATTGGACATGAAGGCTGGAGACGGTCTGCAATGCGATCTACGCCAAACCGGCTCTGTCGAACCGAATGCGCAATGCGCGGCTACCGAGAAGGATCACCCATCCCAGAGGCACCGCTTCGTGGTACCCGCCGATTTGGATGATTCCCGGGATTGATCTCTCAGATATGTCTCGTTGAATGGGACTCTAGTAGCGTCCTCGGATGTGGCTTGGGCGGTGCTTGTTGGACATACTGGGAGTGGACGGTTGGCCCTGGCTGTGCGATCATCACTATCAAAATGTTCTTTCCGGGTATTGTGACCCGGGTATCCTTTCCGGTGTGTGAGCTACGCTCTCACATCAACAAAGATCGTGACACTTGAATCTGATGACGAAATGAAATTGAGTCTGTATCATATCCTATCTGCGCAACAAGTATGATATACATGCACTTGATGCCGAGTGTATTAGCCGTCTGTCCCCATAGACCATCGATATAAACCTGTATCCTACAAAGCCAGCAACACCCCTCACGTCTAACGAGTCGAGATCACGACTCCTCCATCTCACTGTAGACGTCCTTTGGCATACTCAGAGTCAACTCGGAGTTCAGCAGATCCGTCAGATTCGACCCATCCCGCAGATAGATCCACTGCCCGTTGACAAAGGGCCGGGTGTCCTGCTTCTCGTGCATCTGGTCGCCCATGACGACCCAGTCGTAGCGCTTGGGACCGGAAATCGGCGAGCTGAGCCAGATCTGCTTGTTGGGCGGCTGCTTGTTCAGGACGTAGGTGCCTACGCCGGGGACGGAGATGTTCAACACGCCGGCCTATGCAGAAAGGGTCGATTAGCGGGGAACGCAGAGAAGACGTAAAGAAAACAACGCTGGGGGTTCTGAGACATACGCTGTACTCGGCTTCCATGTCGGAGCCGTCCTCCTGTGCGCGTTCTACCTCGGTCTGGAGCACATTGAGGTAGTGCTCGGCGTACTCATGGTATTCCTGGTCGGTCAATGGGGAGGGCTCGGTGACGTGGGTGGCCGCGCCGGCGACGTTATGCGACTGCGGGTGCGGCGCGGGAGGGTCCGACGAGTCCGGGAAAATACCCTTGCGCACCGAAGAGGTGATGGAGAAGCCTCGTTGGGATGCGCGTGGCAGGCGAGCTGGGCAGGTTGGTTGCTGGTGGTGGATGGCTGCGGGCGCGGAGATCCGGCCTACGCGGAGAGAAGGGCGCAGGGCGGAGGGAAGAGCGCGAGGCACGCGGGGAAGCATTGTTAAAATGTGGAATGAAGGAGATGTTGTAGATGACTGGGTGGGCAGAAGGTGGAAAGAGAAGTGGAAGAAAAGGTTGGAGGATGGAAGAACACTGGCGGAGAGATGGATGGATGGCATCATAGCTCAGCTTGGCTTAGTCTCCTTCTCCACCCGCTGGTCCCCAACTACCTTAGCTACTCGCAAGGTTCGGATCACTCACAACAACAACAACACACGAAGGTCCTCTCGTCTATCTTCTCTGGGCTAGCGCTGAATTCCAGGTGAAGATCAAACCACGATAGATGCTAGTCGTGAGACCTTGGAGACCTTTGGCGACATCCCGGCCTGCATTCCTATCGGGAACCCGTTCCTACCGACCGCATAGCTCCGTCATGTCGGCGCAGAACCCTCCGAGAAATCAGAAACGTCCTCCGTTGACGCATTTTCTCTGTCTACCGCTCGTCAATTCTGTTTCCCTCCCCCAGCTGGAATCATCGATTGCCACGTTCAAGGCGGCGATCCCACCTGGTCCTCGGCTGGACCAACCTCTCATCCCCCATGGCGCCATCCGCCCCGTGGGGACACTGCATCTGACGCTGGGGGTGATGAGTCTTCCTACGCAAGAACGATTACAGGAAGCGATCCGGTTCTTTCAGTCGCTCGATCTGGGGTCAATCATGAACGAGGCAGAGAGCCGTGCAAGCAAGCGCCGTATTGAGAAGGGAGATGGCGAACCCACAAACGGCTGCCAAAAGCCGTTTATCGTTTCGCTGGAGTCGTTGCATGCACTTCCCAAAGCGCGATCCGCTACGGTTCTGCATGCAGCACCGGTGGACCCGACCTCTCGATTGTACCCGTTTTGTGAGCTGTTGCGGGACAAGTTTCTCGAGGCTGGGTTCCTGCAAGGGGAGATCAAGAACGATCAGCCGCGAGACAAGGGTCCAGAAACGATAACCGCTGGTGCTGAAGCGGGGGAGGGCAATGCAAAAGCACCCGCCGAGGAACCCTCTCTTCTGGAAGAAATGCCAGTTGATGCGGCGGAAGCAACTGCTCGGGCGTCTCCAGCCGGAATTACAACCAAGGCTTTCATCAGCCCTAGGACAAACTCCAAACCTAAAGTCCGACGACTGCTACTGCATGCAACGGTGGTCAACACGATTTACGTCAAAGGCCGGACGCCGAAGCGAGGCAATGCGAAGGGCAACAATCGTCGGAACCAACATGCATTTGACGCCCGGGATATTCTGGCCCATTACAGGAACTACTATGTTGATCACGACCGCACGACCCCGCGAGATGCATCCGTTAAGCCTGACATGCAGGCGGAGAGAGATCCTGGCGTCGAGAACTCTTCTGACGAGAACGACCTGATCGACGAGAATCAGAGTGGGAAATTTAGCACTCAGAACCCGTTCGTGTGGGCCAAGGACATTCCGTTGGAGTCTGTGTGTATCTGCGAAATGGGGGCGAAGAAACTCAACCCCAACGGGGATCGAGACGGGATGAATGCTCGTCTGGGAGAGAAGTACCTGGTGGTTGCGGAGAGGAGGCTCGATTTTGGATAGAGTATGGACGACGGGGTGACTGTCTAGTCGCTGACCGACTCAACCCGACATCCGTCCCCTCAACCGCTCCATCTTTCATCTGGAGAAGTCAGTAGAACCTGGCCAACACGTCATCGGAGGGCCTCCGCACTGTCGCAGTCCGGCCCAAGGAGCCGTCAGCCCTAACGATTATGTTGATTATGTTGATGCCTAGACTGGTCGGGCGCGTGGAAACCGGGAGAACCATGGAACGGGGGGTGGGTAGAAGGGGGAGGCAGCGCCCTGAGTGGACGCCGGCATGCATTGGGCGTAGGGCTGAGAGATTGATCCCGTCTCTACACCGAAAAGGACGACAACAGAGGGAAGAAAAGAGAGGAGAGAGAGAAGATCGGTTGTTCATCCAAGAGAACACGGCCTCCACCCGACTGCTGACGATTGGCCCAATCCCGCTGTCGAACGCCCGGCATCAGCTCAGCCTAGTCATCGTCGTCTTTTCTTCGTGATTCTTCGCGGGGGATCTTTCTTCTCTTTCACTCCTCTCCTCATCCTTCACCTCACTTACGGTCCAATTCTCTTCGAGACCTCTGTCGTGCTGGTGGTCTCTGGTGTTGCGGTGTATACTCCCGTTGATCCAATCATCAACCGATTGCAAATCCCCCGCTCTCGCTTTCACCGCGAAAACGAAACAAAACGAGACGAACCGAACCATCCCACCAAGGGATTTCCTCCGGTCTCGACACTCATTCTAGCACCTTCCTCGGCTCCGATTAATGTACTATCCTCATTCGGGCCCTCCACCACCAGGTCCGGGCTGGGGTGGTTACCCCGGACAGCAGTGGCCTCCTCCGTCCGCTCACTAGTAATCCTCCTATACCATAGAGTCCAAACCATCGGACATGAGAAGCTGACTGATGTGTAGCCCTCCACCATACCCTCCGCAAGGTCATCACTATCCACCGTCACCCCACGGCAGCTACTATTCACCGACGCCATACGGTGCGGCTCCCAGCCCACCACAATCCTCATCCCCTCATCCTCGCGGGTACCACAGTAAGTCCCGATCGAAAAAAACGGCACTTCCCCGCATGACTAACGGGACATAGGTCCCTCTCCCTCCTGGGGCCAACTCCCGCCCCGGCCTCCCCAGGAGGCACAGTCCTTTGGCGGGGGCGCGCCCTCTAATTATCGCTTCCAGTATTCCGCCTGTACCGGTCGACGGAAAGCGCTGTTGATCGGAATCAACTATATCGGGCAGCCCAATCAGCTCCGGGGATGCATCAACGATGTCGCCAACGTGTCCAGATACCTCAACGAGAGATGTCGCTATCGAAGGGAGGACATGGTCATTCTGACGGACGATCAGGAAAACCCGCTTAGTATTCCCACGAAGAATAATATCCTGCGAGCCATGCAGTGGCTGGTCAAGGATGCTCAGCCGAACGACTCCCTCTTCATCCATTTTTCTGGTGAGAGATCCGGCGAGAAGTGCCTTTTGCACGAGCTAACCAGGTTCAGGTCATGGAGGGCGGACGCCAGACTTGGATGGGGACGAAGAAGATGGTGAGTGCCTTTCACCAGCGGACTGTTCAACAGCTGACTGGGGATAGGATACGACGATGTGATTTATCCGGTGGATTACCGTACGGCAGGACACATCGTGGACGATGAGATGCATGCTATTATGTGAGTTGGTTGTCCCCTTGGGCCATCGCGGCATTCTGACACCGACAGGGTCCGTCCACTGCGACCGGGGGTGCGGTTGACGGCCATCTTCGATTCTTGTCACTCCGGGACGGCGCTCGACCTCCCGTACGTGTATTCGACGCAGGGCGTGCTGAAAGAGCCGAATCTGGCCAAAGAGGCGGCGATGGACCTGTTCAGCGCAATCAGCTCGTATGGTCAAGGCGATTTGACGGGGATGGCCAAGACGGCGATCGGATTCTTCAAGAAGGCGGCCATTGGGGACTCGGCACGACAGCGGACGGTGATGACGAAGACGTCCCCAGCGGACGTGGTGATGTTTTCTGGGTCGAAGGACACGCAAACCTCGTGAGTGTTCCTCGTATCTTGGGCCGGGGTGTTTGCTAATGTTTGGGTAGGGCGGATACGTTTCAGGATGGAGAGGCGCGAGGCGCGCTCAGCTGGGCGTTTGTCAAGACGCTGCAGGAACGGCCGCACCAGAGTTACCTGCAGCTGTTGAATTCGATCCGGGCGGAGCTGGAGGGGAAGTATACGCAGAAGCCGCAGTTGAGCTGTAGCCATCCTCTTGGTGAGTGCGGTTGGGGTTGGTGTTTGGTTGTTGGGGGTGTGTTGCTAACGGTTTGATTAGATGTGAATTTGCTTTTTGTGATGTGATGTGTACGAAGATGATTTGTGCATTGCATGATATAATTGATAGCCGCGTATCCACCACCCCGGATCTGCTGCTGGGACAGACACGAAGACCATGGAGTCGACGGCGGTCCGATTCCACGGGACGCGGAGGAACGAGTGGGGAGGCGGTGACGGATGACGACTGGGATGACGACGTGAATCGCATACTATCTGATGTAGATAAACGGGGAATTAATAGAGTTGCATGTACTACGGATGTTGTCCGGAGCTCGGGATCCGCCCTTGGCTGTAGCATACTGCTATTCCTTGGCAAGGAGTCTCTAGTACTCCTTCGCTGGCCAATCCTAGCGGCACATGGCGTGGCGGTGTTTCACTTGCCGGGCTTAGTAGACGCCACTAACGAATCAAGTGGGGGGTTTGGGTCGATTCGAGTTTTTTATAGAACTTGCATTGAGGGCATTATGCAAGGAATAACAGTTTCCTTTGCACAGAGAAGGTATCTACAGACTACAGAGTATCTACTAGAGTACATTATCTGAAGAATATTGATATTGGAAGAATCATGCTCTCTGGTCCGTCCATGGTCCACCCATCCATGGTTGGTATGTTTACAGAGTCCCTCCTGAGAAACTCTCCTCCGAGTCGGCGTCCTCATCATACTCCGTCCTGTCTCACTGCAAGAATGTCGCCCAAAGAAGAAAAAGAAAAAGAAAGCTCCTCTCTCACAGCCTTCCGGGCCCGCCGCGTAATTTCCTCTCATAAAGGGAAGTCTTTGTCTGGCCTGATGCCACCACCCACGGACCGGAATTCGTGTTGAAACACCGCTCTCCACTCTCCACTTGGTCTCGAGGCATCAGTTTTTTTTTAGACGTCAGAAACGAACCGTCGGATCGGCACAGCCTTTTCTTCCTCATAACTCCATCCCATCGATCGTCATGTCCTCCCTCATCTTCCTCTATTCCACCCACCATCCCATCCACTCCTCTCTCCCTGACCTCCCCTCCGCTGTCCACCACCCCAAACTTCTTCTTCATCCTCCCCATCTCCATCCGCATAACAATCCTCCTTCCAGCATGCTGGGCTCGCCAACCGACTCGTCCACCTCCTCCTACACCGACAGCCCCGTCTCCCAGCACCCGCCCGTCCATGTCTGGCCAGCAGCACCCCGGGTCCGTCGCGTTCCCGAGCCCGTGAAAACCCCCCGGTTCTACTCCACCCCGCTGGACAAGGACGCTCCGGACTCGACCCCCCTGCAGCGCTACGGCCTCGAGGAGCGCGAGCCCTCCATCTGCGAGCGCCCCAAGCTGCTGCACCGCTTCTCCCACGCCCTCGACGACATCAAGGAGGACTTCACCCTGCCCGCCGAGCGGCTCCGCGCCTCCCGCCGTCTTTCCACCCTCATCCTGCCCGACGCCGCCGCCCTACAGCAGCCGCCGCGCACCAGTCCCAGTGCCTCGACCACCTCCCTGCCCGTCCCCATGGAGAGGGCCCCGCCGCGCACCAGCTCCTCGCGCAGCTTCCTGGCCGTCGAGGCTCCAGCCCGCCGTCTGAGCCGCCGCCTATCCTCGTCGCTGAGCTTTTCGGCCAAGAAGAAGTTTTTCCGCGAGTCCCGCGGCGCCAGCATCTCCCAGCCCAATCTGATCGGGTCGTCCACGCAGATGTAGGGCGTCTGTTCGGATCGATACACACATACATGTGCATGCACGATGATGTATGCAGCTGCATATACTAATCAGCGAGCGATCGCTGCCTCAACATCGACATTGACATCGTTCTGCATCTCCGGCGTTCAGCGTGTCATTTCATTCATATATCCCGCAAAAGTCGCTCCTTGATCGTCTGCGTTTGCGTCTTGTCTCGTCCCGTCTCGTCTGTCGGATTCGACCATTCATTCCCTACTGGCGTTGCATTAGCTGGGTGTTCGGGTGTTGGTTCACATGCTATTTTCCTGTCTTACTCTTATCACCCCATTCCTTTTATATAGATCGGTCCTGCGAGGGAAATAATAGAATGCACAATTTCTTGGATAGCAAGAGAAGATGGTCGTCGGATATATGTAGGTCGGCCGCTGCAGGCAATCCGCCCCGATCGCAGCCTAGTATCTTCCTGGTTAGGCGTGGGCAGCGGACATCACGACCGGCGCCGCCACATGCACCCCGTGGTGCACCCTCGGCTCGCCGCGCAGCGAATCAGCGCCGCACCCCGGCTTATCAGCGAGACTTGGCTCGCGTCTAAGCAGGGGCTATATCTTGCTACTCTAGTCTACACGGAGGCCGTCCCGTGTGGCCACCTGGTCTGATAGGGAGTAGGGCATAGTATTCGGGATAGATTCATTTTCTCCCGTGAAGTCGAGTATAAGCACAGTAGATGGTATAACGTAGATAGACAGAAAACGCCAGAGCACATGCCACAAACCACCTCGCTAACGGCGCCAGCAGAATCAAAATATACGGAGGACAACGCCAGACACCGATCGATCAGCTGATCGGTCTTGCACAGAGAAAAACAGTCTAGTCTATAGAGTCACGCTCTCCAGATCCCGCATCACGATCGACATCTGCGCCCGTTTGGCCGCCTCCGCCACGAGACTAAAGTCCCGCAGGAACGGCGCCGTGGCTGTCGGTCCGCCGCCGCCGGCGATCGCATGCGGGTAGGTCTCAAATGGCGGCGGCTGGTCTGTATTCTGCGAGTCTTCGGGCCGGCCGGTGCTGGCGCTGGGGTTCTGGGAGGATGGGTTGGCGAGGGAGCCCCGTCGGAGGTCGTGCTCCTCGTGTGGCTGCGTCTGGATCTGGATCTGGGAGGGCGCGGTGGGAGGATGGTGTATGCTGGTGCCGGAGAGGAAGGGGTTCGCGGGATGGCTGGAGGCCAGGTTCAACGGGTGGGATGGGGCCATCGCGGTGGTGGTGGTGGTGGTGGTTGTAGAGGACAGGACGGTTGCCGCTTGGGAGGGGCCGTTTCTGAGGGGGTGAGATCGGCCGTCCATAGTGAGACAGAGTCTTGGTATAGGGTTGGATGGTGAGGTCGAGGGAGGTAAGGAGGATGTCTATCGTCTGTCACGCCGGGGGAGAAAGGCGTGAGACGATGCCGAAGAGATGACAGAAGGACGGAAAGAGAGAGGAGAAGGTCGACGGTCGATAACACGTGGGGGGGCGTTCTCCAGATTCCACCGCGGTATGACGTTCGGCAAAAATGCAAATTGGATGGATGACGCCGCCACAGGACCGTCGGGGAGATGGATCACTTTAGCCCTTTAGCCGCGGCGACCTGTGTTTTCCTTGGGCAGAGAGAGTAGTCGGTACTATATATATGCAGCCTTGCTCAGTACTTTGGCTGGTCCATGTTGGAGGGACTGTTTGACTCTGCACTCGTGAAATGCAACGATGCAATGCAAAGCGATGCGATGCGATGCGATGCGACGCACGAGCAAATCCGACTTTTACCCGAAGCCGAGCCAAATGCGGGGATTTTTTTGCTCCTTTTTTCCTTCTTTTTTCCCCTCTAATGGATTATGTCAGCTCGGAGCATAGTACCTCCTCGCCGAGTGCTGGTCCGCGCTAAGCCCGATACGGCCGCTCCACGCTCCCCCTCCAAGAAAATTCATAGATTGTATTCGCATTCGCATCGCATCGCATTGCTGCATGTTGCGCTGATTCCTGCCGCTCTCCCCAACCCCGGGGACCATCTCATCATGGCGGACGCAGACGGTCTCCTCGATGCCGGGGATATGTTCAAGGACCCCGAAGGCTTCTACGAGCCCGAACCGGAGCCCACCTTTGCCGACCACCAGATGCACTCCGGCGACGTTGTGCGCGTGCGCTTGGTCGGAAGCCATCCTCTCTATGTATGACACCTAACTACCATCCGGCAATGGGACCCTCATCCCTCGCGCCGCCCTATCGTCACCGACTGACAATCCGAAGGGAAACCTGTTGTGGAACGCCGGCCGTACCAGCGCCCACTACATCGAAGAACGCGCCCATGAGCTCATCACGGGCAAGGACGTCCTGGAGATCGGCGCCGCCGCCGGCGTCCCCAGCATCGTGAGCGCTGTCAAGGGCGCCCGCACCGCCGTCATGACCGACTACCCTGATCCGGACCTCGTCGAGAACATGCGCTTCAACGCCGCCTCCTCCGCCGCCCTGATCCCCGCCGGCTCCGCCCTGCACGTCGACGGATACAAATGGGGGAACCCAGTCGAGCCTCTCCTCGCCTACCTCCCCGCCGGCGCGACGGGCTTCGACGTCCTCATCATGGCGGACGTGGTGTACAGCCACCGCGAGCACCCCAACCTGATCAAGACTATGCAGCAGACGATGAAGAAGACGCGCGACGCCGTCGCCCTCGTCATCTTCACCCCGTACCAGCCGTACCTGCTCCCCAAGACCGAGAAGTTCTTCCCGCTGGCTGAGGAGAACGGGTTCCGCGTGACCAAGATCTTTGAGAAGCTGATGGATGATGTGTTGTTCGAGAACGATCCGGGGGTATGTCCTTTGCCGAGATATTAAGGCCTAACTGACGAGTGTAGGATGAGAGACTCCGTAGGACTGTCTTTGGGTATGAGATCAGTTGGGCGGAGGACCAGTTGTGATGTGCGCACAACCTACAGTCATGCGTTGGAATACGATTGCAATGAGATACGAGAACAATAGATAGAGCTATTACAATTCTATAAATTACGATGAAGCAATAGCTGGTGTAATTGTACAATTGCTCTTTGTGCCAACTCTCCCACTCTACATACAAGTCACATGTGCCCCGCACCCCGCAGAAAAAAAGCATCACATCCCACCGCTCCCACCATCCACTCCAAACACACAATGCCCGTACGTCCCTCACCCATCTCGACTCAAAACTCCCACTAACCCCTCCAGCTCATCATCCTGACAGGCTATCCCTGCTCGGGACTGACCTACCGCGCCAACCAGCTCGCCGCCGAGCTGGAGCGCACGCAATCCGCCCTCTTCGACGCCGGCACCATTCCCGCCAGCAAACCCCGCTACAAGATCCACGTCGTTCCGACGCACGATTCCTCCCACCCGCGCACCGTCTACGACAATGCGCGCACCGAAAAGGAAACCCGAGGCGTCGCCTACGCGCGCGCCAAACGTCTGCTCGGCCGCGATAGCTTCGTCATCCTCGACGGCATGAACTACATCAAGGGGTACCGGTATCAGCTGTGGTGCGAGGCAAAGGCGCTGGGGACGACCTGCTGCGTTGTACGTTGTCTTACGAGTGAGCTATATGGTATGAGGCTGACATGCCCAGGTCCACGTCGGCACGCCCGTCGACCAGTGCGTCGCAAACAACGAAGCCCGGCTGCATCGCCAGAAGGCCGCAACCGACACGAACAACGCCGATACCACTACTACCTCTCAGGGTCCGTCAGCCACCACCAAAGACGAAGACGAAGATCCCTACCCCCCAGACCTCCTTAACAACCTCATCTTCCGCTACGAGGAACCCAGCACCGCCAGCCGCTGGGACAAGCCGCTCTTCACCGTGCCCTGGAGCGACGCCGCGCCGCCCGTCGCCGACATCTGGACCGCACTCACCGGCATCGCTGCGACCCCCGACGAACCCGCCCCCTCGCCCTCCCCCGCAATCGCCCCCCTAACCTCAACCCTCGCCTCGACGCACCTCTCCGACGCCGCCAGCATCGCCACGGGCACGACGACCACGCGCCGCGCGGGCGGCAGCCTCCGCCCCAAGATCAAGCCGCACCAGGCGACCGTGCTGCCGCCGGCGACGGACTCGTCCGCCCTGTACAGCCTGGAGAAACGCACGTCGGCCATCGTCGCCGCCCTGCGCAGCTTCGCGCTCGCCCACCCCTCCGCCGAGGCCGCCCTCGCCCAGAGCCCCTCCGCCGCCGGCATCGCCATCGCCGTGCCTGAGGCAGAGGCCCTCGTCTTCATCCCCGCGCATGTCGCCACTGCCGGCTCGACCGATGAGCTGGCCGGCGCTGGCGGCATCCTGGCGCTGCCGCGGTTGCAGCGGCTGCGGCGCCAGTGGATCTCGCTGAATCGGTCGTATGTTGGTGCGAACCATTCGTCGAATCGTGGGAGTCTGGCGCCGGAGCAGGTGCCGGATGCTTTTGTGAGGTTTTTGAATGCGGATTTTGCGGGGGGAAGTAGGTAGGTAGGTAGGGTATGGCTGTGCCGTCGGGTGCTATGGTAGATCTTAGATTGGAGTGTGGAGTGGTTATGAGGAATGAATCACGAGTCTGCAAGATAAACAATAACTTTTTGTGTTAGGTATGTACCAGATAAAGTAGCCAACTAAACGAACAAAATACACAATTCACTATATCCACTCAAACAACATATCACAGAGAAAGAATATTGACATCAAACAACAAACAACCCCAGCTGTACAAACGACATCCCGAGACACGGAACGTTCCGAATCCTCTATAGACAATCCCTCAACCCATATACACGACTCCTTCTTTTGGTTGGTTTTGTTCTTTTGCGTGCATCACGTACCAAACGCGAAGAGCAAGACAGCGTCCACCCAAGGACAGAATACAATCACTGTTTTACAGTAGAGTCAAATCAAGCGAGCGGGACGCCACGCGATCCCGAAGCAAGCCAGTCAGATGGTCTTGCATTCTCCGCTTCAGCTCGACAGCCGCATCGATAGCGCTGACGAATCCCAGGCCTGACCCGGCCGAGTCCCTGTAGCTGAACCCCAGAAGGAAATAGACAAGGAAATAGAAATCCCCGTGGTGGCGGCAGCCGAGTCATGCACGGACTGGTTCCGTGCAACTCTTCCACGTGTCTAACGAATCCCCGACGGTAGCTAGCGGATGAGAAAGAAATCCCGATGGAGGTGGATACTCCAAGGCAAGAAAATGGAAAGAAAAGTCATCACAGCACTGTCGCGTTCAAGCGGGAAGACCATTGGCAATGTTGGAGGCGGCCTGGCTGGCTTCAATGTGCCGATAGTTCAGGCCGAGGGTGATGAGCTCCTGCAGGCTGGCATTGACCTTCTCGTGCATGGAGGCGTCCTGCGGGGTGATGTGGCGCAGCTCCTCGAGCAGACGGGCGCGGCAGTTGTGGTAGTTCCTCTCGGCGTTCTGCAGCCGCTGGCCGTGGTGGGCGGTGGTCTGCTGGGCGGCCTTGAGCGGGTTGGTCTGCGACTGCGACGAGCGAGTGCGCTTCATGGTCTGGGCGCCGCTCACGCCGGTGACTCTCCGCTTGCGGGGCGGCGCGTCCTTCTTCTTGGGGGCCTGGCCGCTGGTGGGCGACGCGTCCGGGGAGCTGGGGCGGTCCGACGAGGCGTAGTCATGCACCCGTCTCATGTGGTCAAAGAGGTTCCAGCGGCGGGGGAAGCCGTATCCGGGGACGGAGCGGTCGCATCCTTCAAACAGGCAGAGATGGGGGTTGTCTCCGTGGCCGTGGAATCCGTGGGCTTCGCGCTCGTGGCGGAAGAGGCAGGCATTGGAGGAGAATTGCAGTTGGGCATCCATGCAGGCAGGCACCTTGCAGCGGTAGGGCTTCAGATGGGAATCCAGATATTTACTAGGTCGGTTAGTATGCGTGGATGCGTACTAGTGGTAGCATGGAACTTACTGGTAGGCACACTTCTGGGTGGTTGGCGGATGGTTGCAGGGCTTCTCTCCGTTGGTGAAGGGGCAGTAGTATTTTCCATCGCTGTGAGTGGGCAAGGAATAGTAGGGGTGGTCCCGGGGATTTCTCATTTCGGTGGTCTCCTTGGATCGTGGCCGGACGGACTCCTTGGCTGGCAGAGGTGGGAACATTTCAGACTCCTGCTTGGGCTGGGATCGGGACGGCGACGTCTGCAGCGCGGGCCTCCGCGCGCCCTTGGAGGGTCGGATGGTCCTAGACGCACGGTAGGTTAGACACGGGGTCGGATAGACTACAGCGTACGCTAATACTAACCGGTTGGGGTCTTGGTCGCTCAGCGGCGGCGTCAAGGGGAACAGCGGATCTGCTAGGTTGATGCCTTGGGATGCCATGGGAGTCGCGGTGACATCTTTCAACATGGCATCCTCATGGGTCATGAAGGTTGGGTATCCAGAGTGGGAGCAGGAAGAAGTCACGGAAATATCATGGCTCGCGTCCGTCAGGGGCGGAGAGACCGGCATGGTCTGGAAGAGATTGGAAGTGAACTGGTCCATGTTTGATCCCTGGTAGTTCCGGGCATCGGTCATCAAGGAGTTCCAAGTATCATTGCTCGACAGCTTGGTGTCATCCGCATGAGAGCCGTGGCTGAGCGTCTCATCCGGGGTGCAGGACTGGGTGCCATTCTGTCCGCTGGTATCATTGTCATACGCAGTGAAGTCCACGAGAGAGGAGTAGTGGTAGTCCTGCGTGTGGGAGAAATCCAGGTCATTATCTTGGAGTCCGGGGAACTCGGTCCCATTGTGATGATACATTACATCACTGGGGCCCACGGTGGAGGGCATCAATTGCTGTGACAGGGAGAAAGACAGCATCTGTACCTCGGGGGACTCGGGCTTGGAGGACGACATGACCCCATTGTCCAGGGCGTCCATATCGCCCAACGGCCATGATAGTCCCCGGAGTCCATTGGGGGTTCCATGGGTCTGATGCGTGCTGGAACACAAGGAAAAGTTATCCTGGCTGGAAAGTTCATCATCCTGGAAGACTCTGGAGGCCATGTTTGAAATCCTGGGTTGGGAACTCTGATCCATGTTTTGGAGAGCTGACTGGGACAATGTGATCTTCTCTGGGTCGCTCTTGATCTGGGTAGACATTGCTTTCATTCAGGACCAGCCTGGCTGAGGGTAGAAACAAGAACTATGAAGAGCTAGGAGTCAGTAAATACACATCTCGAATGCTGACAAGGAAACAGAGATCAAAGAAAGAAGCGTTGTGCATCCGATTCGCAGTGAAGACCAGGCCTAGAGACGCGTTAGTTCATCGAGAACGCTGCTGATAGTGATCGTATTCACCAACCATCGAGTTCGTCCATTCGGGAGACAAGTCCAGTCCGTGTTGGGGAGTCCAGGGGGCTATAAACGCAATCGGCCGGAGAAGACACCACGTCTCAGCATTGTTACATGGCGCGCGGGAGTTCCTTGAGGTCATCGGTGTCATGGTACTATCATGTTCGTCCACTACAAGTCTCCAGGAAACATGACGCCGTGACATGAAGCGGTGTAAGGGATGGGTTCATGATCCAGTGTCGATGATCCACAGACGGGTGTCTGTTTCGAGAAACATTATTTCAGAAAACCAGAAGTCCATTGGCAGTGGTATTGTATCCAGGTCCAGAACGGCGGTAGGCAAATATCCTTTGGGGTCCATAAGGTACAAGATCCAGGGTTCGAAGAGGTCCAGAGTCAGGTCCAGGGGTTTATGTCCAATCTTCTCTCCTCCAGGCTTGGAGGGAGGATCCATTTGTCCGGGTCAATGATTTCAGTGGAGTCCAACGGATAAAAGTGCAAGTGTGCAACATTAAGCAACACTTGAAGTGTCCAGTCACTCGGCGGCTGCCGAGGACGAAGCAAGTTCCATGGTCATCATATCAACTCCGTCGGAGACAGAGGGAGAAACCAGCAAGGCAATGTAGAGATCAAACGAGGTCCACGGGAGTCCCAGATGGGATGATGCAGTGTCGACAATCGGTCCCAGTCGAAGCGATGATGCAGAAGACGCAGCGAGAAAGAAACAAGATGAAAGATAAAAAGCAAGGAACGGAACGAGAAACAAAAGAATCAAGGGCACTACCTCTTATCTGTCGAGATCTGCTCAGACCAAGGCCTGGGAAATGATGACAGAAGAAAAAGAAACGGCAAATCCTATCCCGAGAGTGGACTGAATGAATCCTGTGGGAGATTGGTTGTAGCGGGCCAAGGGAGATAAGATATGAAGCTATTCTCTTTCTTTTCCAAGATCCAGGAGGAGATGGAGAGATGGTGAGGTGAGAAGCTGAAGGGTTATCGTAGTGGAAGTAAAGATAAGATGACAAATGGAGCTAACCCAAAAAGGACGGGACGGAAGTATAGATGGAAGTAAGGTGTCAAGGTATGATGGATCGGAGAAAATAAGAGAAAGGAAGACGAGGGGAGAAGAGGGGGGAGGAGGACCCTTTTTAACTGAGAGGGAAAGAGGGGCACGATCATCCCAACTATTAGAATTATTAGGGGGGTGTTATAATAATTGCCTATTATTATGGGCATAATGTGCTCGGGCGTGCAGGCTGCAGCAGCACCAGCGGGTGTTGCGCACGATGATTTGGCCCTGCGCAACATGGCGGTGATGAAGCCGAGCGCTCTCCACCAATGGCACCCACCTTGACGTGGCTCTGGGTCTGGCGGTGAGAATCACCAGGATCCAAAGCATCCCTCTGGTTCGAAGGCCCGCGCCGATCCCCGTCCTCCGTGCCGCCCCGCTTCCCTCGTGAGATTCGGCTGGTTCTCATCCAGACACGTCAATCGTCAGGGCGACCATGACTGCATCCCATCTGCATTCCGGAGGCCTCTCGTCACTTCCCCGCCGTCCTCCATTCGACATCTGACATCACCCCGAGGGAAAAACATGGGAACCATGCAGACAAGTCATCGCCGGACAGAGGACGGCGTCCAAACAACAAGGTTTCGCACATGTTTCATCCCCTAGGAAAAGGGGCTTCCGATTAGTTCTACAGACGAGACTATCATCGCCCTACGACCAGTCAAGCGGGTGCTTAGCGCCCACAGTGGATGCTCAAATTTCGGATAGCGGGAACGTCAAGCCATATTCGTGTAGATTGGGCAGCAATGCATCAGATGGTCGCCTTTATCGCGGGTCCTCTCTACCTATCGATCTACCTAGCGCCTTCCATTCCGTTTCTTTGCTTCTTCCAGGGGATATCTAGGAGATCTATCAACCTGCGGATCAAACTGTCAGTAACAGAGTTCCATGACATCAGGCAACAGGCAATCAAAAATAACAATCAGGCCATATAACAGGTGACGCTTGCATCAGATAAAGGTGAAAGATGGTATAAGGTTGTCGTTCAGCGGTCCGAAGACACTCAGGTGAACTATGCTTTGGATTATGGTGTTCATCATCGAAGCGCCACCCGGACAGGCCGGTATAAAAGGGGTCGGGGTCAAAAGGATCAACAGGAGAAATCGGAAGAGCTCACCATTGCGGATTAGTCGAACTGGACAGGTCCTGCCTGTCACGTCAAAATGTCTCAGCCTGCGCATCATGCTGCCTACATCAAGGCGAAGTCAGTCAGACTGGCTGGCTGGCGATGCGCTGGCGACTCCCATAAACCGGAGAGAGCCGGTTGGCTGTCAGGGACGAGTGGTGTGAAATAATGCGGGAAGAAAGGAAAACAAAACGAAAGTCGGTGGGAAAAGAAGCGAGAGATCACGTGATCAACGCAAACCAGGCAAACAGCATGTACGCCTCGGATGCATCCACGGTTCTGGTACCCGAGAATCCATTCCTAACCTTATCTAAACTAAGTAAATCGGACCAGACATGCAGATAAGCTCCACTGATTCCTCACACACTGGCTTGCTTGTCTGACCCAAGCTTGTCACTCGACTCTGTACAATGCATATCATCATCTTCCCTCGTATTGACCCATGGAATTCCGCCCGATAGTATAACTGCCAGAGCGCTACCAGCTGTGGGAAGATACTAGTAGAGCCAGCATTGTCAGCTTAACACGGACGTGCCAAGAAGATTAACTCACAAAGACTGGTGTGATGGCGTTATTGTATGCCCCGATGATATCGGCTAAACGGTCCGGAAATGCCTTTACCGCAACTTCCCGCACCCGTGAGGTCCCGGCATTCAGAAGCACCTCGATCTGCTGATCATCCAATGATGCCTGATGTAGCTGCCTTCGCAGTGCGTTCTGAAAGATAGCGCCTCCTATGCTTTGCATCACAGCACTTCCAAAGTATTGCGTGAAAAGGACAGTCGCTATCCCGACTGGAACGTAGCGAGGTCTGTCCTTCAATACATGCTGAACTGTAAGTAAAGGAATCTGGGCGGCAAATCCACAACCCAGGCCCTGGAGAATCTGATAACCAATCCACGATGCAGACGTTGAGGACACAGTAAAAGTTGTGTAAAGCCCGTTCGCAATGCAGAGAAAGGCAGATCCAAGAAAGAGCCACGGATTATAGTATCCGAGGTGTTTGGCTATGGTACAGCGTCAGTATGGATTTTCGTGGAATGGCAAGAACCTGTCTTTACCCAGGATTCCAGAGACAAGGGATCCAAAAACCTGAGTGCAGACCGAAGGCAGGAGCATGACTCCACTGCGAATGGGGCTTGCCGACTTGACGATCTGGAACCATTCCGGTAGATAATAGACCGGAATGACGAATGATCCCAAAAACAAAAAGGCATATGCAATGCTAAGCATCGTCGATCTGCTCCGCAGGAGCACGATTGGGACCATAGCTTGGTCCCCTATGTAACATTCCCACAAGATAAAGATTGCCATCGTCACCGCAAAGCCGACGAAGAGTCCGATCACAGTCGCCGAGTTCCAAGGATATTCGCCACCTCCCCACTGCAAGGCCAACATCACCATAATGATGGAGGGTACGAAGAGAGCGCATCCGATCAAATCGAGCTGTCTAAGTAAGGATACCCGATGGGCTCCAGGGTTTCGAGGCGGATGGAAAAATAAAAGTAACGTCACCACAGTCACTGCTCCCGCTGGAAGGTTGATCAGAAAGCACCACCTCCAAGTGTGTTCAGCCAAAGCGCCTCCGATAATTGGGGCGACAACAGTCCCCAGGGCATAAAGAGAGGTTACTAGCCCAGTGAACAGTGGGCGCTGCTGAGGGGACGTTATCAATGCAATAACTGAGAGACCACCCGACACTATCCCGGAGCCTCCAGCACCGGCGACTGCTCTTCCGATTATGAACATTTTGGAACTGTTGGCCACACCGCAAATCAGAGATCCTAGAAGGAATATACCGTAGAACGCGAGATATGTCCATCGCAGCGACAGTAATGAAGAGAGCTTGCCACTGATAGGTTGAAGAGCGCACATCGTGAGCGGATAGGTAGCCCCATACCAGCCGATATCTGTTGTAGCATGGAAGTGGGGCGATATTGGGGGAATTGCCTTGGAGAGGTAGCTTTCAGCCAACAGAAACGAGAGGAATTTAACGAACTTACTGTAGCAATAATGGAGACATCCAACGATATCAGGAAAGTGGCTATCATGATTCCGGCCAAGATGCTATAGAGGTTCACAGAACCAACCGGCTGTGCTCTGGACTTCGCGTCAGGAGAAGTTGAAGACATCATCAACACGATTGACCAAGATTTCAACGACTGAATTACTGACCGATTATAATGAGAGTATTCGAAATGCGCAGCTTTTATGCTGTCACTGATCCCTGCTAGTTACCAAATTGGGTAGTCTGTTGGCATCTAGGCCAAGGCCGGTTCCGGCTCCGTGACCGACTCCGACTCCGACTTCGACTTCATCCCGGTCGTCAGTCTCATCACCCCTGGAACCACCCTATCTACAGAGAGCAATGCAATCTAGAGTGACCTCGAGGCGGCATGCCTGTGTACGATGCATTCACTTGAAAGTGAAATGCGTTCCGGTTGAGAATGGACGGTGTCAGCGGTGTGCAAGGCTCGACCGACCTTGTGCTTTTCCAGACGGCTCGCGCAGGAACACAAGCATCAGGTTAGCTCTATGACTACGTATACCTGTGTCGGAGTCGGCTGTCGGGTAACCTTTCTCTCCTTCTCTCCAGAAATAGCCGTATCGATATAATCCAGCGTCAGGTCGACACAATTGCTGCTCAATTACATCCCGATATGGTAAACAATGCTGCATGCCCTTCCCTGCCAGAAGAAGATTGTCTGAGATGTTTCTACTAGGGCCCGAGGATGGAGTTGTCACCTGTCATAGAAACGCCATCCCCTTCTGCAATCGATAATACGTCGTTACTCCCAAGCCCTGTACCTGAGCTCAACGACTTCATTACCCAGGGCCTTCTCAATATCACTGAGGGCGAAGAACTTCTCTTAAAGTTCCGCGCTGACTTGATGCCCTTGTTCCCGTTCGTCATTATCCCTGAGGTGAACTTTGCTGAATTGCGCCAGCAGTCGCCATTTCTCCTCTTGTGCATAATGACCGCTTGTCTCGAGCACAGGCCCGCTCTGCAGCAAAAGTTGGAATTCGAAGCTCGAACGGTGCTCTCTACCCGCGTAGTAATGAACATGGAGAGAGACATGGATTTACTTCGGGGATTACTGGTTCATATCGCATGGTATCACTATCATTGGCGCATCTATCATACCCAGGTGTACATGCTTCTGCAGATGGCTATGGCCATGGTTGTCGATTTGGGACTTGACAAATACGACAACTTCAGAATGCAGCGCAGCCCTCATGATGGAAAATGGACGGATGAGTCACATAAAGGACAAGCTCTCTATCTCACTCCTGACGGACAGCGTGCCTTCTTAGGGTGCTACTATCTATGTTCCAAGTGAGGGCTTCTAAATGCGCTGCAATGACATTGACTAACAAGAATAAGGGCCTCGATATTCCGGCGACAGCTGACCATGGAACACACTGACTGGGTCGAGCATTGTGCTGCTAGCTTAGAGCAAAGGGCGGAGTATCCCACTGACCGGTCTCTACGAGCATTAATTGAGATCCAATCGCTTGCTCGGCAATCGGAGCTAGAGGTCGAAGACCCTATCCATGCTATGAGCAAGGACGAACTGTCCCAGTCTATGGGAATACTTGAGGATCGAATCGAGCACCTTCTCGTGCAGGAAGCGGAGTGTAATACCTGTATGCCCATCTGAGACTGATTAATTTCGCCGTTTACTGATTGGAACAGGGTCCCTGCGTTTAGAGCTCAACGCAATTCCTACCATTGTTCTCGGGCATGCTCTTCGGCGACAAAGAGATGTCCATCGCCTGTATGAGAAAGAGCGATTGCTCTCCATTGCACGCTCCGCGATCAACATTGTAACGGTATTCCTCGCATCGCCGGCTTCGATTGCGCCCAATCTCCCTATGTTCAGTTACACATCCATCTGGTACGGCCTTCTAGTTTTATCGAAGCTGAGCTTGCTTCCGAATGCCGCGACGGAAGGCAAGGTAGTCTACAACAAAGATATACACAACCTCGGCCTTGCTGCTATGCAGAAAATGGAGACAATGTCACAAAGAAACGATGTTTGGGATAACTGCCGTGCAGTGATTGGATCTATGCTGTCATGGTTAGAGAGTAGCCGGGCACAACCTCGATCAATACAAGTTCAAGGAGATACATCAAACACCCAGGACGCTGAGAACGCTCATGTGTTGCCACGGCCCATACCCGAAGGTCGCCCTCGAACCACAGAGTCTGCAGCGGTGGCTGAAGATTGGGATGCTACTACGTGGCAACAGATGTTGCAAGATTTGACCTGGATAGGACTACCGGGAGAGCAGCAGCCTTGAAAGCAATGTGACTAACTAGGCTCGCAATCTAACGCTATACCTATAAAACGAACGTTTCCAGTCTCACCTTCCCATCACCGACCGAGTGCACATTCAGTAGCCTACATTAATGCGATTGAAACAGAGGATATTTGTGGATGAGCCTCATGGAGACAAACCTGGTTGATTATTCCAGGTGTGGACACGCAAGGCTTCCTCGTCCCACTAAGGTCGACTGACGAAAGTGACGCCCGGGATGATCTGCATATCTAAACGACCAAACTTGCCAACAACCGTAGTCCTGTCCCATCTCCAAAGGAGTCAAAACAAACGGGGTCAGCCGAGATAACCGGAGGCTTTCGATAGGCTGTTGCCCTTCGGATTGAAGTGATTTTCAGTCGAACGCTGATCCCAACTTCACCATACCCCAGATGCTGTACTACAGACTGACCATCAATGACCATCAAAAAGGCTACCTCTTGATCAGTCGCGAAGCAATCTCAACCCCCCTTCGCCCCTTTTCCTACGCGCGCGATTACTGCGCTCCACAATCTCCGCATCAAACGCCCACCACCACCGCTCAAAGATCACCTGGCCGATCTCGCAAGTTTCTTGGCTGAAGGGATCCGTCCCCTGGATTCGGATGCCTTCTCCTCCAGTATCTTCCATGTCGTATGCGAACCGGAACACGCCCATCGGGTCCTGTGCCGCTTTGGGACGCATGCCGACTGGCAAGCTAAAGACCTGGATCAGTTTGTCTCGGGCGCTGGGCCACGGTAGCAAGTCAATAATCGGATGGTGAGGAATCAGCCGCTGGGAAGGAGTAGGACGGAAGTTTTCCGGTAAGGTGTCTACGTCCACTTGGTCGAGGTCTTGTCGATCGTCACTGGAAGACGTTTCCGGTGACGGAGACATCAGGGATGCAGGAGTGAATGACATCTCCACGGTGATCGGTCTTTTGCCCTGGTAGAACGGACTGATAGCTGTAACGTCCCAGAGCACGTCCACAATCTTGAGCCGCGTAGCAATCGCCATGGCCGCATTGAGCAGGGTCAACGACGGAATCTCGATCACGCTGTCATCGGGAAAGGTGAACGTGGATGTCTGGTACATCTGGAGCTGGTCAGAAAGACTGTACGCGTTGCCTTCCAGCCCGGTAGAGTCGATGTTCTGTTCCTCGCTGCCGTCTGTTGCCTGGGAAAAGGGGTCCAGCAACAGATTTGGTGGGGACAGACAGGTTAGAGCATCAATCGTCGATGCGGAAGGATCTGAATAGACGCGTGGGGAAAGGTTCGGCGACAGCAAGGAGAACGTCTGGGACGGTGACCATATATCTGGAATGAGGCCGGTGTTCGATGATACGGCAGACGTAGAAGACGGAAAGCCTGTCTCAGCGGGCATCCCTAAGAGCACATCCGCCCCGTCAGTCTGGCCATCCACACCCAAAGATCCAGGCGTCGCGCTAGATGAGCTACGTTTTTCTTGCGACGTAGACGTAGGAGAACGGGTTTCATCTGGTCGGCCATGAGCGACCTGCGCCTGCAGACTTTCAAGCCGCTCCCTCTTCCGTCGCCCTAGAGAGCATTAGAATTGAGCTTCTACCACTCCTGAACATGACGACATACGGTATCTCCTCTGAGCTAAGACGTTCAACACGCGCTTTCGCTCGGCTGGATCCTCCGTTATGTCGGGGACAGCCAATTCCTCAGGTTTGCGCTTAGTCGCCATATCGACAGTCAACACAACAAGCCTAGTTAAGAGACGCTGGCGTAGGGTAAATCGGAGTGATGATACATGAGCAACGCACGGAATAACGCGGGGAATGTCCTGGCACCGACAGGAATAACGGGTACCGCCTAAATAGGTACCAAGCGCCGAGAGTCGTATAACGTTATGCTTGTGCGCACGCACAGAGGACGGAATACGAGGTGGGGCCAGCTTTCATTTATAGGGAAAATGTGGGATACAGCCACTAGCGGGGCGTGGAAATAGTTCGAGATGAACTATACGAAATATGGCTTGCATTCAAGCTCAGTGATGGCTTCTACGATGGCTTCGAGGCAGCAATGACTACGTTATGCTCCTTCTAGGACGTCCCTATAAGAAGCCCTCGACTGCCGGTGTAAATTGCAGACACAAATCAATCAATCAATCAATCAATCATCATCACCATCTTCTCTTTCCTCCTCATCATAAGCTCACTCTCTGGCTAACATCCCGTTAATATACATCGTCACAATGACTAGCAACAACTACTCCATCCACTCCATCGCCGCAGCATATGGCCTCGGCCTTGTGCCCCACGGCTACTACTATGTCAAGATGATGGCCAATGCCAACGGAATGGCCAGCAATATTCTGTGGGTGGATGACTCTGTGTCTAGAACCGACAACTAATCGCATCTATACAGACCTCGAGAAAACCTGACCAACCTGAAAGGCAAGCTACCGGCTCAGATCTGGAGCAAATTAGCCAAGGCCCGGGGCGCACATCTGAACGCCATGGAGGGTCTTCCTCTGTTCGCAGTCGCGATGGTATGTTGACATCCACCTTTGGCTGTTTCTCCGGCTAAGCGTAAATACAGCTGGCTGGAAACCTTGCGAAGCTCCCGTCGAAGGAGCTGAATACCCTCGCCTTTGAGTACCTCGGAGTGCGCTTGTTGTATACTGCGATCTATATGGGTGCGAAGTCAGAAGCCGCCAGCTACCTGCGCACTGGAGTATGGGCTTGGGGTGTTTCTATTCCCATCTGGGGTCTGATCAAGGCTGGGAGGATGATGAACAGTGCAGAGTAGTGATATTTGGATGGTACATAGATCTCATATCTTGTCGCTATGTTGCTTCTTTGTTATTCGTATGGGTCTATGCACCTGTGCGAGGCTAATAGCAATCTCAATCACCCGAAGTATATAATCACATGACACAGCACTTACCCCCTCCACCACTTCTACACAACCTCTCCATTACGAAAGCCCATCTTACATTCCGTCTCACACATAAACCTGCTCTCTCATAGACCTCATGAATTGGACAGGTGGCCGTCTCCATCGGCACTCCACCAAAAACATCAGGAGAAACGTTCGGCGGCAACTCAATGCCTCCAGACAAGCTCAAGGGCTGAACCTGACAGATCTACGCCAAACCGATTCCCACGTACGTAACGGTCAAGGAGAAAACCACGATATACAGACAAACCAGCCGTCGGTAATCGAATTTGTCCATAGTCTATGCATCTCGTCACATCATATACTAACAACTGGCTTGAATGATAGAAACCTCCCAGCTTGGATCACATCAAACGCCAGCTCCTACAAACTTCCGATTGGGCCGCTGTTGCTGCAGCACGTCCACTGGAAATATCGTTCAGTCCGCTTGAAGAAACGGAAAGATTTGGGAAAAGACGAAGATTGACAGAAGACGATCGCCGACGGCTAGATTCCGTCGTGACTAGAAGGCACAAAGAGTTTCGCCGGTGTCTGCCATCCGAAGATGGAGCCATAGGGATGGTCGACATAAGGATAAACGGACGAAGGCTTCACTCGAACCATACTCTGGCCGACGAAGGCGCTCCTCACAAGTCCTCTCAATCCATGCTCCTGGACCAGGAATCAAGCTTGCACTCTCAGTCCAATACCCAAGAGCTGCTGCACGACCAATCTCGTCAATGTTCTTCTGTCCAAGCTCCATCAAATATTGATCTTTTGTCTTTCACTCCCTGCACCGAGAAGATATCATCGAGCAGGTGCATGGGCACCCCTGGACCAGCCTACCACTTTGACGATGAACTCACGACAGCGCATCCGTCCTGCGGACCTAGTTTTGCTCCCAATACCCAAGAGCCATCCATCCAAGAGTCATTGCCGAAGAGGCGATTTACAATCGACGATCAAGTAGACGAAGTCATTGCAGCAAACAAGGGTAGACGCAATGCGGTCTTCGCTGTTCCTCAAACCCCTATGAGCAACTCAAAGGGGAAGTTGTGCCATGATTATATTCTAACCCCCAAAACATTGAAAGAGCTGGATCATCACTATCGCGATTTTCAAGATCTCACTACGGACACACTCTCGACATCCAGCAATCCGAACGGCTGGCTACCTGAACCGCGCTATAATATACAACGTCGCATGCAACAGAGTGTCCCAGGCACCAGAAACGCTTGGAACGAACCCCTACATCCTCACCAGCTTTTTTGGACTGCTAGAACGGAGTCTCTCTCGAATCATCATTTATCCACGTCGCCGTTGACGATATTCGGACAAGCTGTTACGCCAGATGGCGGAAGGCTTGGCGAAGATTGGCCAAGATGGATACAATGTGATAAGCCTAGGACTCAGTTCAGTCCACCGAACAAGTCGTCTCCAAGGAATACCTTAGCTGAGCTACACACAACCAGAGAGGGTCTACCTTACGCCACGCCTAACATGAAAAGAGACTTTGCGCTTTAGCATAGACTATATGAGAAGCGCAGAAAGTCTACATTCAACGTTTAGTCTTACATTTAGATCTCCGAAATGACTATCTGAAGATACCTAGAGTCATGTCCTCCTGAGCTATTAGATTGTCCTGCATTAGGCAGGCGTAGTATAGCTTACTAAGCGACTCCTCCACCTCCGTCAACAACTCTCCGACTACTCCGTGGGCTACTAGGTACTCCTCACATCCCTTCTCCAACTCCATCAGACCACACCTAGAAAGCCACAATTAACTCTTCATCAGATAACAACTCACAGCCTCTTGCTCAGGACAATCCGAATGCATCTTCTCACACCCCTTGCTCTCGCCCTCCCCCTCACTCTCCCCGTTCTCGGCGCCGCGCTCCCGCACACGACCGAGCTCGCCCCCCTCCCCCTGGTGATCTGGCACGGGCTCGGCGATGACTTCCAGCGCGAAGGCATGAAGTCGATCGCGGCGCTAGCCGAGCAGACCAACCCAGGCACCTACGTGCACCTGATCCACCTAGCGGACAGCAGCAGCGGCGACCGGCAAGCCAGCTTCCTGGGCAACGTGACGGAGCAGATCGCGACCGTGTGCGCGCAGCTGGCGGCGGACCCGATCCTGCGGACGGCGCCGGCGGTCAACGCGCTGGGGTTCTCGCAGGGCGGGCAGTTTCTGCGCGGGTACGTCGAGCGGTGCAGCGGCGGCGGCGGCGGGCCGCCGCTCGTGCGCAACCTGGTCACGTTCGGCAGCCAGCACAACGGTATCGCGGAGTTCCAGGCGTGCGGGTGGGGGGATCTGGTGTGTCGCGGGGCCGAGGCGCTGCTGCGGGCCGGGCGGTGGTCGGCGTTCGTGCAGGCGCGCCTGGTGCCCGCGCAGTACTTCCGCGACCCGGCGGAGCTGGACGCGTACCTGGAGCACAGCAACTTCCTGGCCGACATCAACAATGAGCGCGCCGTGAAGAACGCCACGTACCGCGAGAACCTGGCGCGGCTGCACCGCTTCGCCATGTACATGTTCGAGGATGATGCGGTCGTGCATCCCAAGGAGAGTGCGTGGTTCGCCGAGGTGGATTCTGCGTCCGGTGCGGTCGTGCCGCTGCGCGAGCGTGATATCTACACGCAGGACTGGCTGGGGCTCAAGGCGCTGGATGAGCAGGGCAAGCTCGACTTCCGTACCGTGCCTGGGAATCATATGCAGCTGTCCGAGGAGACCCTCATCGCCGTGTTCAAGGAGTATTTCGGCCCTGTCGAGGTGGAGTGGCGCGAGCCTGAGAGGGACCAGGCTGTGCTGGTGGACCAGAGTGTTTATTGATGCTGTAGTCTTGCGTCTGTTTCCCGTTGCATAGCCGTTATGATGATATACCCTCTTCAGATTAGTATCAGTCTGCTGTATTCTTTCACAAGCATGGAAAAGTCTTGCGTAGAAGATATCACTACAGGTCAAGCTGGGAAATGATTGAATCCCTACAGGTAACATAGCAGATCTATACAGCACCTGTCCGTACCATACATCACATCCTGTAACACAATGAAACCGAAACCTTTTGAACGAATGTCAAGCTGGGATATGTGCATACAAAAATATAAAAGCATAAACACGAAGATAGAACAGACATATCACAAGGCATGTGGACATGCGCCTAGTATATACTGAGCAAACTAATACGGAGGACGGCCAATGCCTCCCGTCACTCCTCGTCGAGCAGAGCTTCCACGAACGCGGCCTTTGCTGCCCCGGCTCTCGGCATCCGCCGGCGACAGGAATCCCTCCAGAAGTTTTTGGACCTCCCGCCGCGACATATCGTTTTCTTCCGACTCCACCGCGTCACCAGTTCCGTTCATGCCCGCAGCGGCGGATAAACCCGTGCTGGACCGGCTCTTGTTCCGGTTGAGGGACTTGCCCTGTGAAGTCCCATTGATGAAGGGCAACTGGGGAGACCCGGGAGCTGTAGACGGTCGCTCCGCCGAAGGTAGCGAGCGCTGTGAATCGTTTGGGAACCCGCCCGGAATAGAGATGGATGGCGGGATCGGAGGAACGGGCGGGATCATATCGGGCTCCGTCTCGCGGTCATACCCATACTGGTGAAGCCTGCCCGTCTCTGCACTGTACTCCACTGCTTTGGGCGTTTGAGTGCCATCTCCGTCTGCGCCGTCTCTGGTCTGCTGAGGCTGGATCGACCCTCCATCGCCGTCCATCTCCGACAAGGAATAGCCGCTTACCATGCTCTCACTGCTGGAAGAAACAATGCTTCTGCTGGCGGCGTCAAGACGGCCGCGCAGGGGACTCGAGCGCCGGTTCTTGCCGTCGTGATTGACAGACAACACACGCCGCAGTTCGGTCACGTGCACGGGAGAGTCTCGAGAGCCATTGACCTGAGAAACAAACGAGTTCGGGGCACTCGTCCGTCGACCGTCTTGCAGGCCTCCTGCGACTCCGGCTGCCTGATGTACAGACACGCGTGAATAGGTCGAGGGAGAGCTGTCCCCGTTGCCGTTCTGATAGATGTAGTTGCGCGCACCCATGGCCCCATTCTTCGAGCCGCTAAGAGACATGGCCTCGGTCTTCTCTTTCTCCGCATCGGCCAAGCAACTCTCCCTTGACCATGAAGACAGCATCTGCTCTTTGACTGAAGACGGGAGACCACCCTTCGAAGCGTGTGACGCAGGTGAAACATGTCCCAGCACGGGGTTCGAGAATCCCCGCCCTGGGGACCCAGGGGGACTGTGGGCCGCGGAAACGGCAGAACTGTTGTACGCCCCTTCAACCCGAGCGACAAGGTCGCCAATATCAGTGAACGGGGTCAGATAGCTAGTGTCCTTCACAGTGTCAGGGCTGCCTCGAGACTTCTCAGATTGAGTGATGTAATCGAGGCTGAGAGAGGGGACTTGGATCTCCTGGACCCAAAGGCTGGACCTGTGTCTCTTTTCGATCTCACTCTGGATGACGCTGCCCACGCGGTAGTGGTCGAGCTTAAACTTCTCCGACAAAGCCCACAGGTAGCCGTAGACCAGACTTCCAATGTTCACCTTGGCACAGCTATCCAGATTATCTACCGTATTGATATCCTCCTGCAGCTTCATGATCATGGGGAGTCCGAACCTGGCCGCGTTGACCCCAAGATGGTCAATCAGGCTTGCGAGCAACAAATGGAGTAACGTAGTGACGGACTCATCGGCGGGGCAATCGAGCGCAATATCATAGACCGTCAAATGCAGAAGGCGCAAGAAATTAGACTGCGCGATCATCATAGCTCGCTCTCGCTGGCTCCAAGTAGGGCCAGTGCTTCGCTTTCCTGGCTTTTCCGCGATGTCAGGCAACTCGCGTCCAGGGGGTTGGCTTGTACCCCGGGTAGGCATTTGCCTGACTTTGAGATCATCCTTGGTAGTCTCCAGTTTCAACCAGATGAGGAAGGCGTCTGCATAGGCATAACGAACACTTCGGTCTGGTTCGCGCAAAAGGAACTCGGTTCCTTCCCATACATGGATTCCAACCTGATGCCGAGATTCGACACCAGCAACTGCCGTCTGCCGATTAGAATTGGCTACCAGGAGGATGTTTTTGATTGCTTTGAGGGCGGTGATTTTTGCGCTCGGCAAGGAGAAGGCGATCTGGCTGCTTTCTCCAGACAGGCCCGTTGAACTCGCAAGGCTCTCTACCTGGGCAGATCCCGCGGTTGTAGATTGTTCATTCACCGGGGAGGGCTTGATACGAGTCAGGATCGCCCTGACCATATCCACAACCTGATCACCATAGTAAACATGAGTCGTAAGGTCCCCGATGCAGCTCTGCAGGAGCGACAACAGCCCTTTTCGCTTGTCCGTAAGCTCGGTGTGTTCATGGTAGCCGTTTTGTTTCTCGACCGAGCCGTTTGTTGCCTTCTCTCCTTGGGGGGCTGATAGCAACAACGACATGTAACGCATGAGGCCCAGCAGCACATCGATAACACTAAGGCCGATCATGTTGACTGGGGACTTCAACAGCCGATCGATCATATATATTATAGTGTAGGACTCGTTCAGTGACTCTTCCGTCGGTTTGATGTCCTGCAGGAAGTCCATAGCGGCGACCAAGATGATGAATCGGACCTGCACAGGACACCATTTCGCAACCAGTTCAACCAAAGCCGTCGCCCAGTTATCCTCGGTATCCAGCGACAGCAGATGGCTGTTGATCCGTCCCTTGCGCAAGATGAAGTCCAGGACAACTCTCGTGGTGACACGGATCTGGCCACGGCTGCTGCCGGTGACCACTATCCTCTCCAGGCAGCGAAGCGCAAGCAACCTCACATCCATCTCAGCCTTTCGATCCATGTCGGCTGGGGTCTGCGACGCCAACGCGGGATCTCCTTCTGCCGTGTCAACCGTCTGCACGGTGTTGGTGCTCATCCGTCGCATTCGGAGAAGGGCGTGGTCGGCGCTTTCAGACTCGTGGAGCTGCGATTCCATAGTAGCCAGCAGATTCTCATCCCCGTTATAGAGGTTCTCCAGGATGACGGGGAGGACTATCCTCAGCGAATCGCCTCCATCTGATAGGCCCGCCTCAGAACCCACCACCGCCTTGATCGCTCGCAATCCGGCATTCCTCCATCGAATCGCCGACGGAGGGCTGGTAAACGCCTTCGACTGGGTCACTGGGTCTACATCCGCAAAGCTGGCGTATGTGCGCACGACCTCCCGGTATTGTTTCGCAAAGTCTTGTTCGGCAGACAAGGCGGCCATATCCTGGTGTCGGCAGAACGTCTCAAAGGTGGCGATCGAATCCTCCACCATCGAGATATCACGGGAACGAAGGACAGTCTCGATCACGGTCATGACGGAACGAGCATAGATCGGCAAATCGCGGGGGAGCTTCTCGATGAGGGCGCTGAGGATCTGAAGTGTGACCTGTACATTTCTACCCGGGGTTCAGAGTCAGCATCATCGCACGTTATCCTTTATTTTTGCAAGGACCAAGTTACCCTAATTTCCGGCGCCACACATCTCGCGCCGCCCTTTTCTCCAGGAAAGCGCCCACCTTGGTCAACTTGCTGCGGCGCGTGCTCACATAGTAGAGCATGTAAGACAATTCACTGGAGTTGGGCTTGACAGCCTGAACACCTTTTTGGTATTGGGGATAGCATTTCAGCACTAGGACCTGGTGTTTTGGCCGGCATTTTTGGCGAACACCCTCCATTGGCACGGTTGGTTGGGGTGATATGATCCAGCACCCGGGGGGGTAAATTAGTTCTAAGGAGGGAGGGGAGTGTAATGCGCAGAGTTGGAAAGTCCGGAAAAAACAGCACAGAGAGAACTAGGTCAATAAAAGCGGAAGAGATAATCTTCTCAGCATGTAGAAAGGAGGTTGGTGTTCCTGCGCGACGGAAGGGCCAGAGTGGAAGTTGGGAGGCGAAGGAGAGAAGGAGGATATCCACGTCAGGACCAGCATATGGAGGGTGGGATTAATCCATGGGACATAGGAAAAGACACCGGAGGGTGAAGCAGGTCGACTGCAGAAGGAAGACGAAGGAAAGGAAAAAGAGAGACGGGGGGAGAGGGGTGTTGGTGGACCGAGAGAGCGACAGAGGGAGAGGGAGAGAGTAGCAGCGCGGCAGTCGGGAAAATCAGCCTGCCTGCCCGCCCCCGTCACGATCGTCGACCACCACCACCAGGGGTTAACTAGCTGTTCATGTACGGTTATTGCGATGGTCCGGGTCAATGTTGGCTGGCTTTCTCTCCTGAACTCTCCTGATAATCACCTCCTGTTATTGACTCCTTCGCCTTGCTCACTGAATCTATTCTTACTGCGATGAACGGTGGTGATGTTTTCTATGGATTTGTACTCCGTATGGGATACCCGCAAACGTCATCACCGTTGGCGCCGCAGCGAACATCACAAACAGCAGTGCACTTGCATACAGGGGCCAACACACGCTCCAATATCCAGCTTCCCAACAATCCTGGTCCCTTATTTGATAATTCCTTTGCACCTGATCTATCGTGGTCCTTCCTGATATCCTTACTTATCCACGTTTCCCACCAGTCGATGCTCAAAAGAAACAGTTTAAGCTCCCCGCATTTGGGCGAGTACTCGTGCGATGATAACACGATGATCCCTGAGAGAATAATGGACTAGCTGCTGGGTCCTCGTCCCGGTCTGGTGGCTCCCACATAACCGACGCCGTCGACGATCAATGGCACCGATATGTGCGGTACCTCGGTCGCACATGACGCACTATTCCCAGTGTTGAACCAACGGCAGGCCATCTTGTCGAAGCACTGACAGCGTTCAACCCAACGCTAGGGAGAACTGCCAGAAGACAAGGAACAGCCCTCCGTGGAACAAGATCGAAGGCCCTAAGCCCCCAACCGTAGATCCGACCAGAATCCCGCACGCAACGCTTGCCTCTTTGGGCGATCCCAGTTGCCCGCCATCAACCTATCATGGAGCCGTCCGGGGCTCTAGGAGGTTTTGCCATCGAATAAGGCCCCAAGTCATGTCTTCGAGCTCCCATCCTGCTGATCCGCAGTCCCCTTGGTCTGTTCTCCCTCCGCTTCCCCAGGATTGTTTGCCTCTGTTCCGCCTTGTTCGTTCTCGATGCCTGTCCCCGCCAACCCTTCGATCACCTGCGGGCGGATGATGTCACGTCGAAAAGTGTCTTCTTGGAGGAGGCGGAGGGCGCGTAGCGTCGCGCCCGGGTGCGTCAAAAACTGCGCGTATTCCGGGGTTTTCCAGTAGGAGTAGAGGTAGGCTAGGTATGCGGCAAAGGCCTGCGCATCCGGATCGCCGCTATCGTTGGTGTCGTTGTCGTCTCCCGACTTGTTGATCCCCAGGAGATTGGGGTAATTCACGGCCAGGTGAGACAGATAGTAGGGGTTGGCGAGAGAAGAGACGAATTCGAGTTCGAGCGTAAACCGCGGATGCGTAAGGGTCGGCGGAGGGGGCTGTTGCGCTTGATCACCGGGTTGGGGATCCATGATGGCGATAAGGGGACTGGTAGGAGTCTGCGTGTTATGGAATTGGGGGTATTTTGAGGTTGTGAAAGAAGGGAGGGAGAGTGAAGAGAAGAGGGAGACAGACAATCGAGATGACAATAAAGTATCATCGACCCACCCACTCTCTTGTCCCGCTCCACCCAAACAATACCTCTCCATGGTTGTGTTCACTCTACTACTCCTACTGTACAAGTAGACTGATGGATGAACTACCTAATCTCGTGTTGCAAATTCTATCCCATTTTTTGAAGCTTCAAGTTAGTGAGTTTATGCCACCCTGGTCAACCCACTCTATTATAAAACACTACAACCCAACGGTTTCCTTCCATACATACTGGATCAGTGACAGAAGTCATGGACACACCGGTTGATAGCATGCCCTCCTTTGATGTTGTCACGCATCAGAATCCGACCATAGAGAATGCAAGGGTAATGGTCAGCCGACATATCCAATCAGCACCTCTCGCTGGAGTATGAAGACTATGGTAAATATCTCCTGTGGTTCCAGTGTGACATCGATCCAAATCTACCCAGAATCAGCAGAAACACGGAACAATCGATGAGGCTGAGGAAGAAATACCCGCTCGTATGATGTTTGTCGATCAGCGTGCTTGTTAGCCGCCGAATCCCGCTGGTTGGCTACTCGTCGCATGCTGGCGTACAAGGACAAGTTGGGCGACAGCTTACTCCGCTTCCGCCAACACCTTCACCCTTCCTTCACGCCCGTTATGGCCACGGCGATTATATCAAGTCTGGCCTTCTGTCTGATCATCTTGGTGGGTGATATCGAAACCCATATGATAAGGCCGTCACCAGCTGACTTGGCATATAGTCCATCTCCCACAAGGTGGTCTACAACCTGTACTTCCACCCACTCGCCAGGTTTCCAGGCCCCTCGTTATGGTGCGCATCGCGGATACCGTATCTCTGGAAGTTGTGCCGTGGCAAGCTCCCGGGTAAGATCAGAGCCTACCATGACAAGTACGGTCCGGTCGTACGCATCGCACCAGACGAGCTGTCGTTTGATGATCCGGCTGCATGGAGAGAGATATATTTAGATCAGACTCTAGAGCAGCCTTCTCGACGCAGAACAAAGCCAACTGGGTTGTTTATGGAAAATCTTATTGTCGCCCATCCCGAAACCCAACCTCGTATGCGAGACGCGCTCGATCTAGCCTTTTCCGAAGCTTCCCGTGGATAAATATGAGCCGATCGTGACCCGGGCCATTGACAGGTTGATCGCAAAGTTGAAATCGTCTATAACAAAGAAGAATGACGGCGCCTCAGCTTTGAATATAGCCAGATGTCTCGAGTTGGCATCCTTTGATATCGCCGCCGAGGTCATCTGGGGCAGCAGCTTTGAGTGTCTGGAGGGTGGACAGGGCAATGTAGTGGTGGACTATGCATTATCACGCAAAGAAAGGCTCATCGCTATGGCTCTTACATTCTACCCTTTCCTTGCGTTCCTCTCGCCTCTTCTGTCCCTGTCCAGCACCAGAACCACCACTTTACAGCTCTTCAGGAGAAAGACCACGGAGCGCATATCAAAACACCAAGCGACATCTTCAGGTCAACAATCTCAACCAGATGTCCTCGGCTCCATACTTCAATCACGAGCATCGGAGACTCTTCCCGTCACTGCACTGGAACAGACGCCGGTGGAACTTGTCATGGATGGCGGTGGACCTATAGCCGCCGTGCTTATTGGGACCTTGAATAACCTCCTTCGTAACCCTTCCAAGTATGACTATCTTGTCCAGGAGGTCCGCGGCTCATTCAAACGTGAAACTGACATCAACGGCTCTGCAACCCGTCCATTGCCTTATCTGCACGCGGTGGTCACGGAAGGACTGCGCATCGCCCCTCCATTCCCGGATGGAGTACGTCGTGTGGTTCCTGCAGGTGGCATAACCGTGGCGGGCTGTCCTGTGCCGCCAAAGACGGTTGTGTCGACGGGATGCTGGGTACAGTTCATGAACCCGAGGAACTTTGCATGTCCAGAAGAATTCGTTCCGGAGAGGTGGTTGCATGCAAAAGGGGCGGGGGCGATTGGTGGCCGGACGATCGTCGACACTGCAAATAAGGACGCTTTTTACCCATTTGGACTTGGAGCTCGACAATGTCTGGGTGAGCCGCTGGCCTGGCTTGAGCTGAAGCTGACTCTGGCGAGGCTGTTGTGGAATTTCGATATCAGCATACCCCCGGAAAAGACTCTACCTGTGTGGGGTGAACAGGATGTGTTCTGGACCTGGAATGTGCAGCCTATGGAAGTATCGTTGCGATTGTGCCGGAGATTTTGAGAAGATAGTAATGGGTTGGCTATGGTTTGGCTGTCGGGTGGTATGGGGCGTCAGTGGGGTTTCTTTCGTCTTATGAGGCTATACTTTCATATACCCAGGATTTAAATTGCGAGGTTCTTTGTGCTTTACTGTTTTCTTGCACGATGCTGCGTCAAGTACTTTGAGTGGACTCTCGAGGACGAGATAGTATTTCCCAGCCAAGAAGAGTCAATATATACCTAATCTTCGGATCTGCTCCTCCGCTGTATATCCACCGCTGTATCCTGTAAGCATACCCAATCGATCTAGGCAGGTAGATAGCGTGCGCGATTTCCCTCGTATAATACCACCCTGCGATGCATCCATCCCAATCTCTCGAGTACATCTCACCACGTGCTCTTGGCGGGCCAAGCCGGTGTGTCTTGGCTCATTCCGCCGTCATCTCCAACTGCCTCGAACCGGGATGCTCCAGGCACCAAGAGCTTTCTCCTGCACGTGTGCGTGATGCAGTGCCTCATTTGCCTACACCCTGAACCCGGGGGCCGGGGGGGCTGCAGCCATCGGACTCGGAGTCATTTCTTGGTCATGGTCCGATCATCTTGGCGTCGTTGCTCTTCCTGTACATAAGAAGCCTGTCTCTGGTCTGCCGATCGGAGACTGTTTGAGCATTGCAGTCGGTCCTTTCCTTCCACATACTGTCTCATCCTGTGGCGGGTCACCCCCTGGGTTAACATTTGCTCCTCACAATGAGACCCTTCATCGCCGCTGCGGCGCTGTTTGCCTCGTGCGCCGTTGCCCAGACCTTCCAGCGTCTCGGTGGTTGTCCAGACCTAGGCTGTGTTTTCCCTCCAGACCAGTAAGTGCTCGATCTTCTGGCCAAGGGATGTCCGAGTGGGTGAGGTTCTAATCCAGCGTCGTTTATAGGGCGGACTTTCTCCCCGGTCAGTACTTTGATATCCGCCTCGAGGTCCATTCTCCCGTCAACGGATCAGAGGCTCGACAGGGGGAACCGGATCCCAACTTCCAGTTCACTATCGCCAAGAAGGGCAAGAAGCCTGTTCCCGCGACCAAGTTCTTTGACGTCAAGGAGCCCGAGCTGGAAAGATGGAACTTTACCTGGTACGAAGGTAAGATCATCACGGACTGACAGCTTGGCCAGGAGATGTAGAAACCGCTGAAGCTGACTCCAACCGTAGACCTGTTCGCCGAAGACGCGGACAAGCCCTCGCTCGTGAATGTCACCTCCAAGGCGTACCGACGCGTTGCGCTCTACGAGCCGGGAGAGTATGAGGCCACTTTGACCTATTACGGGAAGCAAAAGACCATTGCCAACTGGTTGGTTCGGGATGTTCCCTCGAAGCGTCGCGCAAAGAACGTAATTCTCTTCGTCGGTGACGGCATGACCACGAATATGATCACGGCCGCTCGTCTGATCGCCCACCGCAGCGTCAATGGAAAGTACATGACCAAGATGCAGCTGGACAAGTTCCCGGTGCTGGGACATCAGATGACGCACTCGATGGATTCTTTCATCACGGATTCCGCCAACTCGGCCACAGCGCTCTACTCCGGCCATAAGACTACCGTCAACGCCCTGAACGTTTACGTGGATTCCTCAGAGGACGCCTTTGACGATCCTAAGTTCGAGACCATCTCGGAGATTCTGCGCCGCCGCTACCCTGGGGCCGGAGTGGGTATTGTCTCGACGGCCTTCCTGGCGGATGCCACCCCAGCGGCGCTGGCTGCTCACACCAGTGACCGTGGGGAGTACGACCACGTTATCAGCGCCTACCTGGCGGGCACGCTCACCGACTACGAATGGACGGAGTGGGAGGGTCCCGATGTGCTCTTTGGCGCTGGAGCCGAGAACTTCCTCACGAGCGAGGACGCCCCGAGGGATTACTACCGGCTCTTCGCGGAGAAGGGCTACAGCGTCAGCTGGAACAACACGGCGCTCCAGGCGGCGTCCAACCAGAGCAAGGCGCTGGGCGTGTTCCAGACCTCCAACCTGGCCACCTGGCTGGACCGCAATGTGTACCGCGACAACCTCCGCAACAAGAAGAACTACCCGGATGGCTCGGATCGCGATGCCGAGGATCTCCCGGGCCTCAAGGAGATGACGCTCAAGGCGATTGACGTGCTGCACGCCCGCCACGGGGACGAGGGATGGTTCATGATGGCGGAGGCGGCCAGCATCGACAAGCAGATGCACGCGCTGGACTATGACCGGTCGCTGGGCGAGCTTCTGGAGCTGGATGACACCGTGCGGGCCACGATGGAGAAGCTCAAGGCGCTGGGCGAGCTGGAGGACACGCTCATCGTCGTGACGGCGGACCACGGCCACGGCTTCGACGTCACAGGCTCGGTGGACACGCAGTATCTCAACGCACAGGACGACGACCGGGACAAGCGCCGGGCCATCGGCAACTATGAGAACTCAGGTCTGTCGCAGTACACGGTGGGAGGAGCCAACGGGCTGCGCTACTCAGAGGGCGTCCACTTCCCGGCCCGTTGGGATCCGCGATATGCGCTGCACGCCGGCACAGTGGCGTTCCCGGATCACCGGGAGAACTACCAGGTGCACAAGGATGGCCCGCGCACGCCGGCGATGCCCCTCCAGTCCGACAACTACGTGGCCAATTACAAGGACGCGGTGACGGGATTTCTGGTCAACGGTACGCTGGGTCTGGACCAGCCGCAGGGCGTGCACTCGTTGACGGATGTGCCGGTGTATGCTCAGGGACCGTGCCAGGAGCTGTTCGCCGGAACCTACAACTCGATTGATATCTTCTACTCGATGGCAGAGTGTCTGGGATTGGCGGAGAAGAAGAAGGGACATGGACGGGGACATTAAGCAAGTGACGAACTGGTGGCTTGGAATTTCCTTTGATTTGTTTCATTTCATGTACCATAGCTTTGTGTTCCAACCTTCAGATGGATCTGTGCTATATTTAATCGATTAGTCAGATCTGGGCCGTCATTGTTAGTTACTCAGTCTGTCCTTCGTGCCGTCCTGTCCGTCAATGAGACGAGAGTACTCCGTACTATTTAAGTTCGGACCCGATGGCCCAGGAACAAACGTCTCCGGGGCGCTTGGGTAACGATGGAGTAGGGCCTAGTGCCAACCAGGGGCATTATTGGGGTATCTTCCCCCTGGTCCCTCACATTCGCTCATCTTCTTCGCGCCACGTCGGACAAATAATGACGAAGGGATCAACATGTCGATCAGGAGAGAGCCGACGCGCCATCCATCCATTCGGGCTGGCACGGGCATTCCAGATGGGATGGGAATGCCGGAGGGCAGTGGGAGATTCCATCCTCCGTCCCTGCTGGGGGAAAGAGTTCAGGAGGTTGGTTTGACGGCTTTCTCCGCATCGGCTTGACTCTCTTCATGCGGGTTGCGGTCTCCTGGAGAAGCGTGAAGAAGAAGTAGCTAAAATCATCGCGCATGACCGGGTTAGGGCCGTGTGGGGATCGGTCATTAGTGTCTTTCCCCCCTAAACTCAAGGCGAGATGAAATGGATCTCGCGCGCCTGTCAGTCTCCCCGATGAAGGAGGGGGGGACAAAGATGGCGGGCATTGCGCGGTCGTGTCGATCCCATCTTGGGGGGTTGCTTTTCCTTTTTGTTTTTTTTTTTCCCCTGTTGGATGTAAGCGATTGTTGAAGCATCTAACCTGGGGTGGTTCTTCTATACTGCATCGTGTGTGTCGCCGTCCGAAGGATCATAAGGGAAACAGTAGAAAGAGTAAAGAGATCACCTAATAATAAGACGACGAAGAACCCAAGGAGAATGAATTTACCCGACGATCGCTGGCCCAAAGAAGAAGGGGCGAAAGGGAACCCTGAAGACACCTGAGGCTGCCTCTTCTTTCTCTCCCCTCCTCCTCTTCCTCCTGCTTCTTCTTCCTCATCGCCTCCTCCTGCTCCTCCTCTCTCTTTCCCTCCCCCTTTCCTCTCTTCTCCTTCTCCCCAGTCCTCTCCGTACTTCGTCCATCCTCTCCCCTTTCTTCCGATACGGGAAATTAAGTCTCTCCCCGAACAGACGTCTTCCCTCCTCCAATCTGCAATCATCTGCAACTCTTTCCCCCCCTGGACCGACATTCCCGCGGCATCGCTGTTTCAGCCAACTGCCTAGGCTCAACCCTCTTCTCCTTGATCGGTTCCTGTCCTTTCTGCTGCGACTGCTTGAGCGCTCGGCGATTCGCTTTTCTACTCGTCGCTCCCCTCCAGTCTCTTTTTGTCATTTGATGTCCGATCACCTTGCCGCCCACTCTGTGGATTCATTGCGTGGTCTCCTCCCACCCTTATCACCATGAACGCCTCTCACCAACCGCCGTCGCTCCCATCTGCGTATCCACCCAGTATGGCATTGGGCCCTCCAGGTGCGTCATCTGCCTCGTTTGCGTCGCTCGTGCTGTATCATCTTCATGTCGTGCTCCTTGTTGATCCCCGTTTCACGCTGGCGGGGCCGTTTCCCCTGCGCCTGCACGGATGATTGTTCTATGGCTTTATATCGTCTGCTTGTCCTCGTCGCGGAATCAAACCACTGACTTCGCTCCCGACAGTCTCCCCCGTCCGTCAAGCCTCCCCCGTCAACCTAGGATCAAACAACCCCTTCAGAAACCGTGCCTTGTCGCCTTCCAACTCCATCGCATCAAGGACTCGCCCTGAACGGCCAACCTCGACCAACCCCTTCTTGGACGACACCGACGCCTTATCACCGCAGTCCGCTCCGGTCGGCGGCACCATGTTTTCTCCCGTCGACGATAAGAAAGACCTCACGGGCAACACTCGCGATCTTTTTGTATGTTCTCCTGTTCGGCGTCGCGCTTCTCCGTAAATCCACCCCGCTCTAACTGTCATGGTGCAGGAAAATTTGTCCCTCAATCCCAAACCTCAGCCGACGGGCTACCGGCCTGCTCCCCCGCGTCCGGATAAGAACGGAGCAAGTGCCAGACAACCTTCTTCCCGAGAGCGCTCGACACGCCGCGAACATGACCCCCTCGATATCTTCGCCGACCCCCCGTCGAAGTCCAAGGGGGCGCGCTCGCGTGATCATGAAAGAAGACCTCGTCGGAATTCGGAATCCTCCATCATGGAACGAACTCCCAAGCTCCTAGACCCCGAGGATGACAGACGGCGCCGCGAGCGACGCCGTCGTGAGCGTGAGGGTCGTCACCGAGATGGAAAGTCTCGCTCGAAGAAGACCAACTACCAGTTGGATATTATCGACAAGTTAGATGTGACCAGTATCTACGGAACAGGAAGTAAGCATATGGATGCAATTTAGTCGACTCTCCATGCCAGCGCTAACCCAAATCTTAGTGTTCCACCATGATGGTCCGTTTGATGCGTGCAACCCGAACCGCAACCGCAAGGGCTTGCGTACGGCCCCCATGCAAGCCTTCCCCAAGGACTCGTCCAACATGGCCCTGGGAGGGGCCGGGCCTGTGAATGACAAGATCGATCTCAATCTCTTCCATGGTCGAACGGAAGAAGGCTACAATGATTACGCATCGTCTGGCACGATCGACTTCCGCCGAGGCCCACCCACCAACTTCGACCCTACCACCCGGATTGAACCGGTTCACGGATCGGAGAGCATGGGCTTGGGAACCAGTACCTTCCTGGAAGGCGCACCGGCCAGCCGAGCGGCCATGCAACGCCGTGAGAGCGAAAACGAACAACAGATCACCAATGGTATGAATGGTGGCGGTCTGCAGCGGAAGAAGAGCTTGGCCCAACGACTGCGCGGTATCAATCGCGCCCCGAGTAGTGCCCGCGCCCTGGCGTCTCCTGATCTCACGGTCGCCCCGACCACCAGCAATTCAGGATCCGCGCGCGGGAATGATAAGAACCCCTTCTTCCAGGACTATGATGACGCGTGGGAGAAAAAGGGTGCTCGCATTGCGGAAGGAGGGTCGCACGAGGTTGGACGGACACGATCCTCGAGTAGTCCCAAGCAAAACACAGGCCTGGAACGCCGGTACACCAATGAACGCCCCAACTCGGGGTCTGATGAGAACAAGAACCTGGGCGGCGGTGGTTTCATCAACCGCATGAAGAGCTTGAGAAAGCCACGGCCCGAGCGACGGGTCAGCAACGACTGAATTCTCTGTATGCTTACAGTTGTGTTCAATACCTCATCATGTGTATCTGACATCCGAGCGTGAACCCAATGGGAATAAGTGTACCGGAAGGCGACCGCGTATATACACGCGGACCTGTGGCCTGGTAGGAGTCGACTCCATGGGCGTGGAAATGTATGATCAGTTGGCCTGATCATCACGGCTGTCGTTGACCAGCAAGGCGATAGAAGGACACCGTCGAGCCGATAGGCTGGTTCGAGCACGTCCGGATACTGTACATCGTTCGGACGGCCGTGGTTCATCTGCCATTGTTTTCTTTCTTTGCGAGCAGCATGTTTTATCTAGTACTCTATGCCTTTGGCTGGCGTTGGTGTTGTCCTTCAAAACTTCTTATGGGCAGGCAATGGGTATGGTATGGATTGGGTCTGGTTTGGGCACCTTGTCTTACGACTTCGTCGGCTTCTGCTTCTCCATGTATCTTGTACCGAATTATCAGTGCTATCCTTAGTGCAATTTTGGTTCTTGTTCCATTGTTCGTCAGCAATGTTCTACATCAGCCATCGATAATTATAAGATGTATCTCAAATGGTTCATTTTCATTCCAATCCGTTATATCCTCATTGTTGGAATCAAGAAATATCAACAGACAAAATGCCCTTAACGCCACAAGCCCAGGGAATCCATCCGAAAACAGCCATACAAATAATTCTAATAATCTGCACAGGAAACAATAACACCCGCACCGTCGTCACATTAGGTAGGTAGCAGATCTCGTCGCCAAAGAAGCCCCGAGACTTTGGCTTTACCGCGCTCTCGTCGACAGCCGGGGCTTGAATGGATCTGGGGCAGCGACGCCAGCCCTCCGGTTGGATTGGGGCTTGGGCCTGGAGAGCGTGTATCTGTGAGTTGATGTTAGTACTTTTTTTTTTTTTTTTTTTTTGCAATTGGGACAATGACATAACGGAGGGGACATACTTCGCAAACGCTCTCGAAAGAGCCTTCTTGCAGCTGACTTTCTGGCTGCCGATGAAGGAATCCACGGTCACGGCGATGGCGCGGTCGATGTCTTGTGCCGAGCAGTACTCAGACAGACGCATTTTGCAGAAGGCTTCGGCGATACGCATAATGGCTTCCAAGTGACGGACCTAGATTAAATGCTCGTTAGACAGGCCACAGAGAAACGACGATGATCATGCAACATACCGTGATGGGGTAGGCGCCCGTGGCGAGCGACTCGCGTCGCATGTCGGCGAACAGACGGGCGATCTTGTCTTGGTCGATCTGGTAAAGCTTGGGGCGGCAGCGCTCGCGCGCGTAGAGAATGTACTTGCGGAGAAGCTCCTGTGGGATTTCGCCTTCCTTTTCTTCAGCGGCCTTGCGGGCTGCTTGCTCGCGTTGGGCGATCTCTTCAGGGCGGAGAGGCAGACGGGCACCAGTCTTCTCGTGGATGCGGTAGCCCTCCTCGTCGATGCGCTCGCCATCCGCGTTGATGAGCTGGCCTTGGGCGTCGCGCAGCGGCCGCGCCGGGTTAGCGCGGTGGTGGGACTCGATGACGAAGCTGGCCAGGCGTTCATCCTCAGCGGGGTCGACCAGATCGCGGACAACACAGAGAATGTCGAAACGAGACAGGATGGGTTCTGTGAGCTGGACGTTGTTTGAGAAGGGGGCGGTACTGTTGTAGCGGCCGCCAATGGGGTTGGCCGCAGCAACCACAGCACACCGAGCCTGCAGGGTAGTAACAATACCAGCCTTGGAAATGGATATGGTCTGCTGCTCCATAGCTTCGTGGATAGACGTGCGGTCCTGGTCGTTCATCTTGTCGAACTCGTCAATCAGACAGGTGCCACGGTCAGCGAGCACAAGTGCACCACCTTCCAGTGTCCATTCACTGGTGAGCGGGTCGCGCCGCACGCTGGCTGTCAAACCGACGGCACTGGCACCCTGACCCGTGGCAAAGACTGCACGGTGGGCGGTCTTCTCGACGTACTTCAGGAACTGAGATTTGGCGGTACCAGGATCACCTAGAAGAAGGACGTTGATATCACCACGGATCGACATCTTGCCCTGAGCTTCCTTGCTAACACCGCCGAAAAGCGAGAGGGCGATGGCCGTCTTCACGTCTTCGTGTCCGTAAATACTGGGGGCCACCGAGCGAATGATTTTGTCGACAATGTCTGGATCACGCGAGAGGGCCCGAATCTCCCGCTCGTCCTCCTCCGTCAAGTGGAAACCAGCCAGCTGGTCATGCGACTTGACGACATGGTTGGCCTCGATGATTGTGGCGAAGACTGGGAAGCCGTTCTTGTTGTTGAGCTGTGCATCGTAGCTGTTGCGGTAGATACCGGTCACTTCAATCTCATCCCCCGGCTTAGCCGTGTCAATCAGGTCTGCCAGGAGGACGACTTCACGCTGGCGAGGGAGACGACCGGCAGGGACGGAGCCGGGGGACTCCTGAAGCGTCAGCTTCTGGTAGTTCCGGTAGACGGTCTTCTCCGAGTTGACGGTGAAGGGACCTTTGGACTGGCAATTTTGACAGTAGGAGATCTTCACTTCCTGGCTCGCTTCTTGCTGGAAGGGGCCCAATGTGGTGCCACATTTTCCGCACAGGAACATGACGTATTTGAGCTGAGGGAACACGCCGGTACGGCGGGTAACAACACCGCTGATTCGGACGAGACAGTTGAGATGAGACTGGCGCAGCTGGCGTAGGGTGTACACAATGGGGAGGTCCGTAATACGGACGTGGATCTCGTTATGGATATCATGGTATTGCGGGTAGTGGAAGAGGGTGACATCGAGAGCAACCTGATCGAACACCTTCAGAACTTCAGAAGGCTCATTGGCAAGGAAGTAAGACAGCGTTGGCTTGGCCTTCGCCAAATGGTCGTAGGAAACCTCCAGAGACGCGGAGTTGACTTCACCAAGGGTCTTAATCTTGTTTCCGTACACGGAGGCACCAGCCTCATCAGTGAACTCGGTCAGGAAGGCTTTGAACTCTCGATAGATGGAGCGGAGCACTTGGGGCTGTAAAATCCAGTCGGTAACGTTGGCGGCCTTCACATCAGCCAGTTCTTCCAGGGTGAGCTCATCCATGCCCTCCTCAGCCATATCGATATCCTCCCGCTCCTCGTCATAAAGGTGTCGCCGCCGACGAGGCTGGCGGGTCAGATCTATCTCGCCGTCATCATCATCTTGCATAAAAGCGGCAGGCATGCGACTGCGGCGAGCGAATTCACGGTCTCTGCGGTCCATGCGGGCTTCAAGTTGACGACGAGCGCCGAGATCGATTTCTGATTGCTCGTCATCGTCGTCGATGTAGGCTCCGCGATAATGTTCGTCTTGGGTGCTTCTGTAGTCTTGTTCAAAGTTGTCGCCGAACAGGTCAATGCCATCTTCATCTTCTGCCATCTCATCAATATCGTCAATATCCCCCAACAACTCTGCTTCTTCGTCACGTTCCTCATCTTCATCGAAGGGGAGCATAGGAGGAGAAGAAGGGGGTGCTGAAAGGTGTTAGTTTGCACTGGGACGTTTGTAAATCTCTTCGTATTGGGATGGTACGTACGACTGGACGGCGGAGCAACGGATGAAGCATCGTCATCGGGCTCTCTCGATCTCTTGCGTCGGTTGAGGTTACCCAGCCCGCGGTTTGCAGCGGACTGACTGGGGCGAAGTGGTGAACTGCACACAGGCCATGGTCAGCAGGGGTCCTAGGGCCTAGTGATTGATTGAAGAGATGTAGAGAGATAATACGGAAGCGAACATACCTCATAGTGTCTGTATCTGGATGTGAGGGTTGGGAGAATGGGGATTAGAGGAATGGACGGAGAGGAGAGATGGATGATCGTGGTGCTTTTTTCTTCGGTATGATTGAAGGGGGAGAACTTCTTTCCTTTTCCCGAGGCGGTGATGCGCGTCCACACAACCGACGCGTTTTACGCGTCTCACGCGTCGTTTCAATTAAACCCGATCGGGAGTCATGCCTGAGGAATTTATGGTGCAAACTGAGCAAACACGTACTGACATCGCGCGCCGCGCATCCCAGGCTGAGAGGACTGAACGCACCATTTCTCACCATCTGAGTATTCCTCCCATTTCTATCATCAGATCCTTCGGTATTTACTCATTATCATCCGAGCGACCAGGTTGTATCATGAATAATTCCGAAACGGCCGACACTGCCGGCGCTGAGCACTCCAAGACCGGACAAGATGCGGCGAAGCGGCGCGAGAGCTTCAGCTCCCAGAATTCGCAAACAGCAAAAGAGTAAGACCCTTCCAGCCCATGAAAGGCAAAGTGCAATTTACCTGGGCTTCATTGCCGTGCTTTAATTACCGATAACTCACATCAACCCCCAGGTTCATTGAGAGCCAGATGCGGCTGGAAGCCGATGCGCGCGAAGTGATGCCATATGTGAGCATCCCCATCGCCCCAAGGCGTCCCTGTTCACGAAGCACAGTCCTAACTTTAAAAGTCCTTCGACTCCTGCACGCAAGCCCTCGGGCCCCTCCGCCAGAGCCTCTTCGCCTGCCTGACCTGTAACCCTCCCCCGACGACCGCGGACGAACCGTTCACAGCCGCCGGCGTCTGCTATTCCTGCTCGATCGCCTGCCACGGAGAACACACCCTCGTGGAGCTCTTCAACAAACGCAACTTTGTCTGCGACTGTGGCACCACCCGCGTGTCCTCCGGCGCGCCGTGCACCCTCCGAAGCGACCCCAAGACCGGCGCCAAAGGCGTCCGCGCCGAGACACCGCACCCGGGCAATCACTACAACCATAACTTCCGGAACAGGTTCTGCGGCTGCGGTGAGGACTACGATGCCGAAAAGGAGAAGGGGACGATGTTCCAGTGTCTCGGGCTGGGAACGGCTGAGACCGGCGGCTGTGGTGAGGACTGGTGGCATCCCGAGTGCCTTATTGGACTGCCGCGGGATTGGTACAACAAAGCGAAGAAGGACAGGGAGCGGACGAATGTCGATGGGGACGATGACGATGAAATTCCCCTCCCGCCGGGCTTCCCCGCCGAGGATGACTTCGAGACGTTCTTATGCTACAAGTGTGTCGAGTCGAATCCGTGGCTGAAGCGGTACGCCGGCGCGACTGGGTTCCTCCCTCCAGTGTTCAAAGAAGGTGGATTATCCTCGGGATCTACACAACCGGCAGCCTCTGCGGAAGAGCCTTCAGGCGAAGACCAGTCTGCCAATTCCAAGAAACGCAAGTTGGACGACGACGAGCATGAAGACCCACGAACGGCGAAACGAGCAAAGGATGCTGGTGACAACGGCGAGGCAGGCCCTGAACCAGTACCCCAGTCAGAACCTCAGGCCGGAACAGAATCCAAAGAACAGCCCGCTGTGACCGACAAGCAAGATTTCAAGCATAGCGCCCTGCCAACGCCTACGCCGATGGGGACGTTCTCCCTCTTTGTCAAAGAAGACTTCCGCGACCATTTCTGTCGCTGCCCAGAGTGCTACCCGAATCTTTCCCACCACCCGCAGCTGCGCGAGGAAGAGGAAACATACGAGCCTCCGTTATCTGAGGACGGCGAAGCAAACGGAGGCGGCAGCACGGGTACCGGAAGTCTCCTGGACCGGGGTGAGGCGGCACTCAGCAACATCGACCGTGTGCGGGCGATCGAAGGCGCCATGGTTTACAACCACCTGCGCGACAAAGTCAAGGAGTTCCTGAAGCCATTCGCGGAGAGCGGGACTGCAGTCGGCGCGGACGATATCAAATCATACTTTGAAAAGCTCCGCGGCGACTACGAACCGATGAAGGACGCCGCAGGTCGGGCCTCTGCCGCGTCTAACAATGAGAATAACGATAACGACGGTGAAAACGGTCGGAGAGAGCAGAGTGGTATGTCTGATGTCGGATTTGAATAAAGCCATTGACTGACTTAGCAACAGGATACTGATTGTTCATATATGATCATTTGGGTGTTTCTTGAGTGGGATCGGGAACTGGATTTGACAAGGCGCATATGGATGACACTACAGAGACGAATATACCTCGATTGTAATATGACTTAAGCACTACTGCTGAATCGGTTACATACCTGCAACATGTACTTTCTCATGAGATTTATACCTATGCTTGGTTTTCCAGCCAGGTCGATGGCTTTCCTTTTCTGCTGTAGTGCTCACTCCAAGCGGCCTGAGATCATCACTATCTGCCAATCCACTTAGGTGTACAGAATCAAGCCCCCATGGTTCGGAAGCGTCTTTCCCTGCGAATCTTACTCAGCCGCGTCGACGTGGAGAGCCAAAAAAGAACCATCCAAGATGTCAGAGCCGCGTGTAAACTCCTTCCGTCGACTGGGAAAGGGTTGTACTCTCTGACTCCCTGAATCGATCCACGCTTCCTGGCTGACGATCGCCTAGTTGGGCGAAGGCACATATGGGCACTCCGTCGGAACGGACGTGGCTGGATGCCAGCCAGGTGCCCGAATTCAAGCCCGACTTTCCCGCCTACCCTCACCAAGATTTGCGGCGGTTGATTCCCCAGCTGGATCCTCTCGGGACTGTCCTGCTGGCGTCGCCTTCTGCAGATGCGACCAGAGCGGCGGATCAGCGCCGCCGATGCTCTTCGCCATCCTTGGTTCGACGCCTCTCTTCCGAAGACTGGGCTTTCAGCAGACTCCGCTGGTCAAATCTAGTTTACATCGTCTGTTTTTGAACCCCAGATCCTTTTATGCACATATAAGTACATATAATATACGAATCCCTTCACTCCTTGATCCGCTTTGAAGCTCGGCCCATGAGACTGTCGTCCGGCAGACCGCTCCGCTTTGTTCCTGGTAAGCTACCAGACCGGATATCATTATCGTCCTGGGTGACACGCCGATGGGGATATTTGCCTTCGAACCCTTCAAAGCAGTTGGCCGAAATCGGCCCGCCGTTCTTGAAGTAGGGATGTTCGAGGGCCTCCCGGGCCGTGATTCTCTTTGTAGGATCGTACTCCAGTAAGCGTGACAGAAGGTCAAACCCGTCCGCGCCCGGGGTGCCGGCACTAGAGTTCGCCGAGTACCCGCCATTCTTGAGGCAGCTCTGGTACCAGTTTTCTAGGTTGGACGAGCGGTTGAAATGGGGCGCGCGCGACATGGCCAGGGACTGGAGTTGCGAGAACTCGGGCATCGACGTGATACCGGGCCAGATCTCTTTGGTTGGTAACCCCATGATTTCAATAATTTTCATCATCTGATTCCGCTGGAATGGGACGGTCTTCTTGCTGTCCATCTTGGCCTCTTCGCCTTTGAAGATGGGCCGAAGCGAAAGAAGCTCGGCGAAGATGCACCCCACGGCCCAGAGGTCAACGGCGGGCGTGTAATGTCGGCTACCCATCAGAAGCTCGGGCGCACGATACCAGATGGTCACAACCACCTTATCACCAGAGAACAGGGAATTGAGTGGTTTGTAGAACAGACGCGCGAGACCCAAGTCCCCGACACGGATGGCACCGCTCGATGTGACTAGGATGTTGGCGGGTTTCAAGTCTCGATGGAGCACCCAGTTGGTGTGGAGATAGAGCAGACCGTTGAGAAGTTGGAACAAGATCGACCGTACCATGGGCGCTGGGATGGCGTGTCTCTGCGGCTGCGTGTGATGATGGATGATTTGAAGTAAATCATGTTCTGTGTACTCGAAAACCATGAAGATGCATTTGTCCTCGAGAATGATCTCTTCTAGCTGAACTACGTTGGGATGGTCCAGTTCTGAGCAGAGTGACATCTCTCGGATGGCCGACTGGGAGAGACCGGTATACTGAATGATCTCTCCTTCTTTGTCTGGCTTGAATCTGCGTGGTGGTCAGCCATGTGGACCTACAATGGGGGAACCGGCGGTAGGGACGGACTTTTTAATGGCGAATTCCCGTTTCTCGCCATTCTTTCCGATGGCCTTGTAGACTCTACCATAGGTACCACTGCTGATAAACCCCACGATGCGGTACTTGTCCCGCACACGGACTTTACTGGTATACCCAGTGCCTGAAGGTTTCCGAGGATCTAAGCTCTCTTCAAATAAAGTTCAAGTTAGCGGCCAGATCAGAACTGTAGAAGCACCATGCTCAACCAGGAAGTCTGCACGAAGGATAGCGAAAGGAGGTGCAAAGGAAATGCGAAGGCGAGACAGGGGGGCCCCGATCCAACACCATCACACCGGTGCGTCCAAGGGAAAGCCATTACCACGAGGATAGAATCCGCCAAGAGAATTGAAGAACGGGAAATTCCTTCCGTACATGATGGAAGAAACACGAGCAGACAGAACGACGGTCGCACAAGTCGACAGGAAATCGTGAAGGGAGACAAGAAAGTCGCCGTTGCAGGAGGAGAGGTTTTACAATTTCATTCCTCACCGGACAGCGATGTATAGGAAGCGATGGAGAACAAAGATGGTGGTGTATCAACCAGTACACATGGTGACCGGGATGAGGGCCTCAAGAGCTCGGGGAGGGGTAAAAAAGGAGAAAGAAAGGAGGGTCGAATGGAGAAGGCTCGAAATCGGAAAGAAAGACAGCAGAAAGAGGAGAATCGAATCACGATAATGAGGATAATAATCAGAATGACAATTAACCGGTATTACCATCGACAGTGGCCTGCAGGGTCTTTTTTAAGGAGAGACTCTGGCTGACGGTGGCCGTAGCAGGCCTAGACGAAGCAGTGAACGGGCCGGAGGACGACGGCGGGTTTGTCAGGGTCATTGATTATTCGGTAGTAGTGGAGATAGTAAGAGATACTGTAGTAATGAATGGTATTATTATTAGTAGTATCAATCGGCGTTGTCCATGGAGCCAGCCAGACGGGAAGAACGACGGGAGCGGGGGGGAAGGATGGTCTCCACTAGGAGAGCATGGAATCTGCAAGAAGGGCGCAATGGCGATCGTCGTGATGGGATGATGATGCTGATGCTGATGGAGCGATGAGGAGAGAGAGGATGAGGATGGATGAAGGAGGAAGATGGTTGGAGAGGGAGAGACCCGGGGGAGAGGAGTCGCTCTGAAATCGGACGTATACGGAGTACCTAGGTATCATACCATGTTACAGTACTCGAGTTATGAGGTAAACCACTCAGTACCCAGTATATTGGGAGACATACATAGGGTACAGAAGATAGATATCGGTCGACCGGTGATATCAAATATTCCAACTATTATTTGTTTCTAACACCTTCATTGATATCTACCTTAGGTACCTAGGCTCTTACCAGGCGATTGATGCTTCCTCATACAGGTACCGTTCAGTACCACCGGCCGTGCCTGGATCAACGTCATCCGACTCAAGCTGCGACCTCACATTCCTTCCGTCCATCGTCCTCTCAACCATGACCCCCAACAGTGTCGCCTAACGCCGAAAGAACTGTGCGGCTGTGTACATCATGTCTTCAGGCAATTCGGTCCGCTCGACGGTCACTCCCTATCTGATTTACCTCGTCTTCGTCGTCACCTTAGGACCGCTACAGTTCGGCTACCACCTGGTATGACCTCCAATCGCGAGCTCTCTTCATTAATCGGATCTGACCACCATCCATTTGACCAGGCCGAACTCAACGCCCCCCAAGATGTCATTACGTGCAAACGAAAGACCATCCACTCGTCCGCAAACTCCATCGCTGATGCCCTACCGCAATGCATCCCCATGAACCCATTCCAGTTCGGCCTGGTTTCCTCCATTTATACCCTCGGTGGCTTCTTAGGTGCACTGCTGGCCGGTCCCATTTCCACCAAACATGGTCGCTTGTTTGCCTTACGTGCTACCACCGTCTTCTTTGTCCTGGGCCCCATCGCGGAGACGCTGGCGGCCAGTATTCCCGTGCTGAGTCTGGGTCGATTGTTGTCCGGGGTGGGCGCCGGCGCCGCCATTGTCGTCGGTCCCATCTACATATCAGAGATCGCCCCTCCCGGGGCTAGAGGCTTCTTTGGAGCCTTCACCCAGATCATGACCAACGTTGGGATCCTGCTGACCCAGTCTCTCGGTTATTTTTTGAGCGAAGGCAATATGTGGAGACTTATTCTAGTAGTCGCTGGGGCGATCGGTGGGCTGCAGTTCCTTGGTCTTTGTGTAGTTCCCGAAAGCCCTACCTGGCTTGCGGAGCATCAGCAGGCGAACCTTGGGCGGAAGATTCTTCAGCGGATCCGGGGGAAGAATGCTGATATCCAGGAAGAAATGGAGGGCTGGAGGAGCGCCGAAGCTCCTCAACCCGATTCCGCAGAGGAGCAATCGCTCCTCACTCCACCCTCGGGCAATCTGCCTCCAAAACAGCCACCCTTGACTATGGTGCGGGCAGTTACTGACCCTTACTATCGTCCTGCCATCGTGGCGGTTGTTGGAGTCATGATCGCGCAGCAATTCACGGGAGTCAATAGCATCATTATGTATAGCGTGTCCCTCCTGCAGAGTATCCTGCCGACGACTGCAGCTTTGTTGACTGTGGTGATCTCGGGCATCAACCTGGTTATCACTCTGGCCTGCTCTCCATTACCCGACAAGATCGGCCGGCGTGCCTGTTTGCTCCTCAGTATCAGCGGAATGGGATTCAATTCCATGTTGCTGGCGCTGGGGATTTATTTCAACCTGAAGGCGTTGTCTGCGATTGCCGTCCTCCTGTTCGTTGCGTCCTTTGCGGTTGGTCTTGGCCCCGTTCCTTTCATCTTGGCGTCGGAGCTTGTTGGCCCTGAAGCCGTGGGTGCGGCGCAGAGCTGGGCTCTTGCGGCTAATTGGATTGCTACCTTCATCGTGGCCCAGTTCTTCCCCATGTTGAATGAATATCTGGGTAGAGGCAAGATTTACTGGCTTTTCGCCGCCATGGCCCTTGTCCTTGGGGGTTTCATCTATGCTCGGGTGCCCGAGACTCGAGGCAAGGCCAGCGTTGACGAAGTATGGGGAAGGGAAGATCGGCGACGAGTGGACTAGATTTATCCGGTACGTTCCAGGATAGCTCAAGCCCCCGTGTATACTCTCCAACAGAATGGTATTGTAATTCCAGAGTTTTCTCTCCCCCGCTATCTTCGTAAGTAACTCCGGATCTATCTCCGCGATCAATGAAGAATAGGTAAACGATTAATCATGCGTATATGTAAGATCGATGCAAAGACTCGCCCTGAGCACACACCTCCTTCGTTTCTTTTTCTCTCTCCAAAGCAACCAATGGTGTGTACATAGAATGCGGTCCGTCTTCACCTCGCAGTGTTAACCAACTGCGGGGAAGTAATCGACTTGTCTTCTGGAAGGAGGTCATCATCATTGGCGGGACAATGGAGTCCTCGGACGTTTCACGTTCCCATGGGATGCGGTGGTTTTCCTTGGGAGATTGTCCTGGCCAGCAACCATACAACCATTATCGCAGTGCATATGATCCATGCGGGGCAATGACAGACCCAGAAGTAGAGTGCATAACGCCCAGCCAGTGAGCGATTAGAGCCAGAAGTTGATCGACTCCCAACAAATCTCGCGATGCATGTCCGGAGATACCGGCTTCTGCGATGTCAGTGATGTAGGTCGAGATTATTTTGGTTGCCTGGTCGGTGCCAGAGCTTTGCGTGCGCAAGGGAGATGACCTTCGTGGGACGATTAGTGGGGAACCAAGAGTTACCACACAGGCTGCTCTTGGCTGCTCAGCCTTGCCATCTGGATTGCCTGGAGGATGCCTAGTAATTATACTCTGTAGTAACACTCTGGACATTGAGATGACATCACACTAATGGTATGGGTCAAAATCAAGGTTCGTTGGTAACCCATAGAGAAGTTTTTTGGAACGCGGAGTCGGACTCCTGAAGGTATCTGTCAGCTTCGAAGAGCAGGCGATATGAATGGAGGAGCGGATGCATTGTGAAGTCAGTTGCCGTCAGCGTTAGACCACACCTGATGCTTCTAAGAATATTGTTGTTGCACCACCAGGGATTCTATACGGATCCATCGGGTACTATACTATAGTTAGACCCTGAGCCGAGCAATCGGATGGAAGTTGACAGAAGATACATAAACCGATATTCTTGTTCTTGTTATGATTACTGACCCCACCGCACCGCCTTTGGTTCCCCACTTGGGCCGAATGAGGCAGTGAAAGTGGCTGCCTACTAAATACCCTTACCCTGTGGCTCAAGAGAATCACCGCTATTTTCTTCTTCCCTCGTGTCTATCGTCTCCTACGAGAGAATTAACGCCCCTGATATGAGACACCCCGCTGCATCCGTGGAGGTCTCTCGTGCAGGTCATTCCTGCATGCCTCCGGAATCAGCCGTGAACTCGATGGGGATCGAGAGAGCATCGACCACCTATTCCGTGCGATGTTGAGGGCCCCCTAGTGATTTAGTTTCTCGACGGATCTCCACCACCACCATACAGATTCACCGTGTGAGAACCACGTTATATCGGCCTGTCACTCTGCTGCTCGATTTACCATTCTTCTTTCTCTTCCATTCCCCCGTCGTGTCCCCTACTCGTTGTTTTTTCAACTCTCCTCGCCCTTTCCTCCCCTCCCCTCCACACTAGTCCCTGTAATATCCCATCCAGCCTCAACCTCATTCCAACTGTCAATTGCTGTGTCTGTGTAATTCCCAGAAGACCCATTCCTCCTACGCTGTGGTCAGAGTCTGGGTCGAGCCCCATCTTGGTCGTTGCTTTTTTTTTATTTTCTTGAGCTGTCTGTTGGTCGTTCTGATCGACCCGAGCAGATCTTACGGAGTAGATCGTCATCCTTCTCCCGGGACTCCTCAACCTGTCAACCACCACCCGCCCTCCATCGCGGGAGTCCACCACTTGCTTCTCTCCTCTGCTGACTACACTACCCCATTGGAATTCAATTTGTTGATCATTGCATCCCTCTCTGCCTCCCCTTTTCATCTTCTGATTCCCGTTCGCCCCGTGGCCTTTTGACGCGACGTGTCCGTCTCCGTCACTGCTCCCCCGCACTGCCCACCTTCACCATGGTGCGGCTTCCGTTGCCACATCGCCTCAGCTCCCACCTGAGCGCCAAAAGCAATGCTTCCACTCCCGGTCAAAGTAGAAGCACCAGTCCAATGCGATCCGGCGATCCGAAGCCTCTGGTCCTGAAGGTGTCCGTATTACGAGTGAGTGAGACCTGGCCTGTCCCAACCCGAACCGCTCTGTCGATCGCCCATTTGCGGACCACATCAAGCAAGGAAGACACGGTGACTAATTGGTTCCATCACTGCAACAGGGGAGAAATCTAGCTGCAAAGGATCGTGGCGGCACAAGTGATCCGGTAAGTACCCCGCGTCTTTCCGGCTTGCGTGCCTGGCGCCCACTAATCACGGCTGCGCGTCTTCCAGTATCTCATCGTCACCCTTGGAGATGCACGCCAATCGACCCCGACGATATTCAAAACCCTCAATCCGGAATGGAACGTCACGTTCGAGATGCCCGTGGTGGGCGTCCCTCTGTTGGAGTGCATTTGTTGGGATCATGACCGGTTTGGGAAAGACTACCTGGGCGAGTTTGACATTCCGCTCGAGGACATCTTCTCGGACGGGGAGATTAATCAGGAGGTAAGGCTTGTCCATTGATCCGATCGCCGCGTGGGGTGCTCGTACTGAACCATGTCCTGGAAGCCCAAATGGTACACATTGAAATCGACACGGAAACCGACCAAGAAGAAGGATAGCAACATCTCCGGCGAAATTCTCATGCAATTCTCGTTGACCGATCCCGGAAACCCGTTGGCTACCCCACCCGAGATATACAATAAATTTAAACAGCTTGTGAGCTCGGGAGATGACGAGGACGAGTACCCCCAGGTCCCGCCGAACGACCTGGGCGATGTCGATGAAGAAACGTCCGACGAGACGGACGATCCTACGAAGCCGGAGGTGGTTGAGAAACGGAGAAGACGCATGCGACTGGCACGTCTCAAACGTAAATCTCTCGCCGCGAGAGCCTACCAATTCTCGGGTGCTGGCAACGGAGTACAGGGGATTGTATTTATGGAGATCGTTCGAGTTACGGATCTTCCGCCGGAACGGAATGGTGCGTCGTCCTCGTTCTCCATTTTTTGAATGCCCAGGCACAGCTACTGACCAACGTGCAGTTACTCGTACCTCCTTCGATATGGACCCCTTCGTTGTTACTTCGCTGGGTAGAAAGACTCTCCGGACGCCGGTCGTGCGCCACAACCTGAACCCGACGTACAACGAAAAGATGGTGTTTCAGGTCATGAAACATGAACAGTTATACACGATAAGCTTCACGGTCATGGACCGGGACAAATTCTCGGGAAATGACTTTGTCGCCTCGGCTGGGTTTCCCCTTCAAACCCTGATCCATGCCGCACCGGAAGCAGATCCGGAGACCGGCCTGTACAAATTCCTAGGCCCCAATCTTGACCCGACGGGTTCTGATGACTCCTCGTCCGGGACCAAAGGTGGGATCAAAATATCGGTTAGTCCGTCACCATCCACCCGGAGCTTGTCAAAGCTGTCAAGACCTGTTTTGAAGTCCAGGAGCTCCACTGCTTCCTTGCCAAATCAATTAACTCCGGAAAATGCGATCCCAATACCCCCTTCGTCTGTCCCGGAAAGCGGGAGCAGTATGCTATCTACCTCCGCCACTAGCAATGACGGCGGCGCCATTGCACCGCTCGAATCTGAGGGTCTCCAGACATACCGCATTCCGTTGACGCTCAAGAACAAGGAGCGCTGGGAAGACAAACACTTTCCAGAGCTGGTTATCAAGGCGAAATACATGCCTTATCGTGCCCTCCGGCAGCAGTTCTGGAGACTCATGCTCAAACAGTATGATGCCGACGACAGCGGCCGCATCGACAAAGTCGAGCTTACCACGATGCTCGATACCCTTGGTTCAACACTGAAGGAATCTACCATCGATGGCTTCTTCCACCGGTTTAGCGAGGAGAACCGGCCCAGCGAGACCATGGACCTGACGTTTGACCAAGTCGTGATGTGTCTTGAAGACACTCTTCAAGCGTTGCAGAAGGACCCAAAAATGCTCGCCAGGAGCCTGTACGAACAAACCTCTTCGACTGGCAGCCAAGAAAGCGAGGATCAATCCAACAGCGACGAGGATGAACTCGCAGTTGAAACCAGCACAGCCGCACCAGCCAACGCGGACCCGAATGACACATCTGTGCCAACGTTAGCCACCGAGGATCAGCCTTCTCCAAACTATGAAGATCTCCGCCCAGATGACCTGGGTGACGAGCGTGGCGAAGAGCATGTGATCGAGCTGCGGGAATGCCCTCTATGCCACCAGCCACGACTTTCAAAACGCTCTGACGCAGATATCATTACGCATATCGCGACGTGCGCGAGCCGAGACTGGCGGCAGGTTGACAATCTCGTGATGGGCGGCTTTGTCACCTCCAGTCAGGCGCAACGCAAGTGGTATTCGAAAGTCATTACCAAGATTTCCTACGGGGGCTACAGGCTAGGCGCCAACTCCGCAAACATCCTGGTGCAAGATCGGATCACAGGACAGATAAATGAGGAGCGGATGAGCGTTTATGTTCGCCTCGGAATTCGTCTGCTTTACAAAGGGTTGAAGAGTCGGGAAATGGAGAAAAAGCGAAGTAAGCGCAGTCTTTTTCTGGCCCACATAATGCCACGAGCAAGCTAACATGACGACAGTTCGCAAGATTTTGAAGTCGCTTAGTATCAAGCAGGGCAAGAAGTATGATGATCCCGACTCCGCGAGCCAGATCCGGGACTTCATCAACTTCCACCAGCTTGATATGTCGGAAGTTCTCCTTCCCTTGGAAGAATTTAAGACTTTCAACGAGTTCTTCTATCGTCAACTCAAACCGGGCGCTCGGCCTTGCTCGGCTCCGGATGAGCCCAGAATCGTTGTGTCCCCTGCGGATTGCCGGAGTGTCGTGTTTGACAGTATTGATGAAGCCACCAGTATCTGGGTGAAGGGACGAGAGTTCACCATTGAACGGCTTCTTGGTTCTGCCTACCCCGATGATGCCAAGCGGTATAAGAACGGGGCTCTGGGTATCTTCCGCCTGGCCCCTCAAGATTACCATCGTTTCCATATCCCCGTGGATGGCGTCATGGGTACCCCCAAGACCATCGAGGGAGAATATTACACGGTGAACCCGATGGCGATCCGTTCGGCTCTCGACGTGTATGGCGAGAATGTGCGAGTACTGGTGCCGATCGATTCCGTCGCTCATGGACGTGTGATGGTAGTGTGTGTCGGAGCCATGATGGTTGGCAGCACCGTCATCACCCGCCAAGCCGGAGAAAAGGTGGCGCGAGGAGAAGAACTCGGCTATTTCAAGTTTGGCGGAAGCACTCTCCTCCTGCTATTTGAAGATGGTGCTATGAAGTTTGATAAGGATCTCGTGGACAATTCGAAGGGAGCCCTGGAGACTTTGGTATGACATATTGTGAACTTTCTTTGTACAGAGAAGAGCGCTAACATTATCCGGTAGATCCGAGTCGGCATGTCCGTGGGCCACAGCCCCGAGATCCCTCAGTTCGAGCCTGACATGCCCAAGAAGGCAGAGAAGGTCACTCTGGAAGAGATGCAGGCGGCCAAACGTCGAATCGAAGGGAGCTTGGCTCCCCCGACGGACGCGCCTGTAGAAGCGTGATTGACTTGATTTGTATGTTTCTCGGTTCCCAGACGAGGTCATATCTTCACGGCGTTTTCAAATGATTCCGAACTGGCCCCGGTGCCGACCATTCTGAGCGATTTGTTCGCATCGTATAACATTGTCATCATGAAGTTGGTTGCAGAGAGGGTTGTATACATGTTTAGGCATTAGCTTGCGTCCTTGCTTGTCAACATATTCAACAAACCATAGCATTGTCCATATAAGTCTTTCAAGAGCAGATAAAGCAGATACGATATGAGACGACTAATTTGTTCCACGCGTTTTTCACCTTGTAAAATGTAGGAGAAAGAGCCCCAGAGCAGAGAGGCCCGACAGTACGTAGTTGGTGTTGTTCCCAAAACGGACTAGCGCCCTCCCCCCACGCGCCACGACCAAAACAACCGCGTGCTGCGGCGACTTGCAAGAGCCAAACCCCCCCCGTCAACCGCGAACGACGTCTGAAGGTTACGCCCTGCTGCGCAAGGAGCGTCTGGGACCATCCGCCCACCGACCTACTAATCTGGCTGGCATTTTCCGACTTGTTTCCATCAATTGCGGCTCCAGCGGAGCCAGTGGTCGAAAGCGCGCCTCCGTTCCGTTCACGCACGCCTTCGAACTCTTCCCCCGTATCCCGTTGACGAGTCGCCAACCAACCCGCTTGACGGCCTAGCACCACGCGAAAGAAAGGGCATCCACCGTATTCGATTGCTCCCCGACGGGTAAATCACAGAGAGACCTAGCTTGGACCGCCGCAGCACCGACCGAAGGAGTTTTCCACCTCCCGTCTCGTGCGTCCCGTGCAAGAAGTAACTTGTCCGGCTCCCACACGTCGCAGATAACGATTGCACTCTGACGGCTCTATCCACACGCTCGCTCATATCGGCTTTCTTGAAGACGATACTCGCGACAGGAATCGCCGCTCTGTCGATTGCGCCCGGTCCCAGTTATCCGCCCACCCACGCCCCGCCATCTCACCCGGTCCTGACATGACCGCCACTGTTCTGGTCACCCCTAGGACTAAGACGAAGCGTCGCGAGCCCCTGCAGCCTATTAATATGGCGACGTCCCAGACGCAGGCGCGTCCTGCGTCGTCTGCCGCGTCCGGCGGGACCGGCAGAAAGGGGACCCGTTCGAGCGCGCGGTTGAGCTTGAACAGCCAGGAAAGAACCGATGAAAACGGTCGTACCAAGCGAAAGGGTGAGTTTGTTTATTGTGCGCTGCGATCTTTCCCCGAGACGGAGCGGGCTTCCTGTCTACGGGGCCGGGGACGTTGCTGATTCTTGTGTCCTACAGGAGCGTTTGACGAAGATGTGGAAGGCTTCCAATTCAGTTTCAAGAGCAAGAAGGCAAAACCGTCCGTAGAGCCTGTTCCAGAGGTTCCCCAGCCTGCAGAGGATACCATCCCGAAGCCGTCCCCGCGGAGAGGCCGGCCACCCAAGAAGCGCGCAGAGGAGAAAGCCGAGCTTCCGGCTGAGTCGAAGAAAAGATCGGCAGAGGCGCCATCAAAGAAACAGTCACGGGGCACTGCTAAAGTCGCCGCGCCCGAACCTGAACCTGAACCGCCTACCGACACGCGCTCGACGCGCAAACGCGACCACCTCGAATCGATACCCTCCGAGAAGAAACGGAAGAAAGGACGTTCGAGGACGTCAAATGCCAATGATCACCGGAACGGCTATGTTTCTCCCGAGCCACACTCCACGACGGCTACCATCGCGCTGCCTATGGCCGATACGCCCGTCATTCAGCGGAATAAAGAGATGAGGGGCGCAGCGAAGGGCTCGAAAGGAAACAGGCGAAGCAGTCTCGGCATGAGGGGTCGTAGAGCTAGCTCTTTGATTGATTCTGGAGCGTCGAATGGTGAGGAAGATTTCCAACGTTTTTTGCGTGGCGGCGTGCTGACCGGGATAACAGCATTGCCTCACAAGGAGGTCAATGCAGCGGACTTTTACAAACACATTGCCGCTGATCTTCCCGAGCCACGTCGAATGAGGCAACTGCTCATCTGGTGTGCTACTCGGGCAATGGGACAGAAGCCGTCGGGATCGCGCTCTGAAGACGAGAGTGCTCGTCTGGCGGGTAAGTCTGGGCTTTGTCGAAGAGACGGATTGGATGCTGATTTGTACCAGCGCGTGTGATTCAGGAGGAACTACTCAAAGACTTTTCCACCAACTCGGAACTTTCGAACTGGTTTGCACGGGAAGACGTGAATCCTCCGGCTGTTGTGGTCAAGAAACCCAACCCCAAGAACGTGCAGAACACGGACAAGATCAAGGAATTGGAGGAACAGATACAAAAGTATGCTCGATTCCGGTTCCAACCAAGGACTAATTGTTAACCACTCCGGACAGGCTGCAACGAGAGAGACAGGCTCTCAACGCACTCCTTCGGCCACCCACCATCCCCTCAATCAAGACAGACGCGCAGCAGAGCACGAGGCTATCTGGTCAAGAGCTCTCAAAATCCGACCCCAAGCGACCTACAAATGGGCTACCACCGGCACCTGGATCGATCGATTCATCGCTGTTGGACCCATCCCAGCGGAAGCTCTTCGAGCTATTAGGTTCAGAGGCTACGAAACGATCTACGAGCGAGGCATCCCAGGCAGAACGACAATCCGCAGAGACCAGCATGTCGGCCTCATTAACGCCCGCCATTGTATCCACACGTCTCTCCCGCATTACAACCACACTCGCCCCAACGCTCGACTCGTTTGCGGCCGGCATGCACGATATCGAACTCTACCGGGCCATGTCAGACACGGTATCGTCCCGGGTACTGCGTATCTGCGCGGAACGATTAGACGAGCGGGACGCGAGAAACGCCATGCGCCGACTCGCTATAGAGGGAGATGGCTCAAGCAAAGAGCTCAGTCTACGACAACGACCCAAGGAGGATCTGGGGCTGATTCTTGGTGCTTTGAGCCGGCTGGAGAGACGGTGATATTTGGAACGATGTGATGTAGGACAAGGGTCTCATTTTCTTGTCATGTACTTTGGTTTTGCGCCTGGCCAGGGCACGATCATGGCTACTTTGGGTTAAAGCATGCGAGCAATGGAGTTGGGGTGTTTGACGGGGTTTGAGCCACTAGGACTACTGCAATAAGATATCACGTTTGTATCGTCTGTGTTCTGTTTTCAGTTTTCATCGTAGATGCAGAGGCTGGTTGAAGAGGTATGCGTCTAAAGTCATGTGCTGTGCGCCCTAAGACTTCTTGAGTCCAACCTTATGTCTAGTTTGATCTATGCCGTTCATTCCTAATCAGAACGGCTAGCAAACCCCGCCAATATTAAAAGCATAGTATCTGAGAGTAGGAAGGCTTGTGTTGAGTCCCCCAATTCGCGTTGAAAGAGGAGGTTGGCATGCCGACAGCGACTGGTATGCCTGGTCCACTTTTGTTATCTCTTCTCAGGGAGCCAAGGGCTTTGCCTGCAGAAGACTACGACGTAACACAGTAGACATACCGGATGACTAGATCATGGAGAAAGAAACACGGTATCGTTGCGGCAGGTGCCCTTTGCCGATCGATTGTGTCTGTAACCGCAGCATGCGAGTCTGCTGAGAGAAAATGCAGTGACGGCAGAAGCACTGAAATCACACGGACGCTTCCTGAAGTCGACACACAAGCAGCAGACGTTATCATGGACCTGCGCACGGTTCACTCGATTCTCGACAGGGGTACGCATGCATTCCAGCATATTCTTCCGGCTATCCTCCGAGCTGCATGGTCATCTTTTCGGCGCTGATAAAGGTGATGTGCAGGGCGCACGGACAGCTGTAGCCAGAATGCCGGCAGAACTCCATTGTTGGGCAGCAATGCTCAACCCTCCTGAGATAGGGGCTATCAGTCTGGTGTAGTCGGTGTAGAAATCAGGTTACTCCTAACCAGGGGTGTTGCTTAGCGCGCGAGTATCGTACTTTGGCAACGGAATGATCCAGTCCCAGTTGGAGGCGCATTCGCTGTACCTGATACAGGCCCACGGACGCCACCTTCCTTTCTAACAGGGCAGAAGAGAAGGTTTCGAGTGGAATCTGCCGGGGATCCGGGATGGCATTGACGGAAGGGGGCGGTCATGAGTCAGGATGCCGTGATGGTGTATGCAACAGTAAGGTTGACGCGTTAGATAAAGTCTCGGGAATGTGCCAGATAACGTCTGCCTTGGTAGCGAGTGGTCCAAGATAGAGAGGGCGACTGCCGACGCCGTTGACAAGATGTCATTGTGCAGGAGATTTCTTTCCTTCCATGTGACCCGACCCCTCTGGTCGTCCAAGACCCATCTAGATCGAATTTAGCCGGTGGAGGTTTGAGATCCTTTGCATTTCCTCACAAGGCTACTGCAAGTGTAGCAGAGCTAGCTGGCCGGCACTAGCGTCCCGGACTAAAAGCGAGTAGAATATTCTCTGCTGGCCACATGACAGGATAATTGGGGACTGGGGCGATCTAGAAAGCTCGGCGGACCCAAATGTCGCCGACGATGTTCGCGATAAGTGTCGTGCGTGGGCGGAATTGTGGATCCTCGCAGCCTGGAAGCCAGAATTTTCTCTGGATCTCTGCTAGTCTGCTTCGTTTCACGCCATCCGGGATACACACCACAGGGTTGGGCTGGTTTCGGCCACGAGGGATCCATCTTTGATTGGGCCATCATTGTTGGCGATCGGCAGGAGAGACTTGCTTTGGTTGTCCTTGTTTGAGGCGAGATGCTTGGGAGCTCCTGAGGTGCGATCTATTATGTAATATCTATCTCCATCACCCAGAACATATCAAACGACCAGGCCAGAGGAACGTTCATGTGATACTGAATCCCACTGTTAGCGCTTGTTTTATCCTGTTTTGGTTATTTTCATGGTTGAGATGGAGATAGACGGACGGCCTAGGGCAACGGGGTCACATGACTAGCCTGCAAACACAGCTCATGTTTCTGGTGATAGTTGATTTCAAGGCTGTCCAACCACCAGGCATGCTGACTTATGGAGTCCAAGATGAGGCGGCAGGTAGTTATTGTTTAAAAGCCACCGGAAGTGTCAGAGCCTCCACCGACTGTGGTGGTCTCGGCAATAACAGGAAGATCCCCGTCGAGAGAATCAGAATTAAGCTCGGACCCACCTGTGCCAGAAATAGCAGCAGGGACAAATAAGCATTGTTTGATAGCCCTTGTTGATAACTTATCATGATAACCGTCATTGTCATCATCATCATATCATCTTAGTCCGTGGAATCACCAACTGGCCCTCACACCTCTGTCCACTTTCAACGGCTTCCTAACCCCACAATCCGCCAACCGCTGATGACACCCGAATGCATTCACAGCCGTCCCGGCTCGGCGTCATTGCGTTCCCCGGTGCAACGGAGAGAATCTCTGCTGCCTTCCTGGGCCTGAAGCTACGACTTGGCCCCTGCGTCCCAGTCCCGGTCGCGAGATGAAGCTCGCCGGTAACTTGGGTTGGACGGAAAAGGAGCTAGATCTGTCTTTGGTCGCACGAAAACCGTCGCGATGACAGCATGACGACACCAGACGATGCGACCTCGTTACCATGTCTCTGTTTAAGGTTTTCTTGCCAGAGACTCAGACAGCGAATGCCCGGTCGTTCAGCTGCAGCCTCTGGGGATGAGGACACCGGGGTCAGTACGACATAAGTGATCCCACGCACCGGTCAACCGACCGAGCGTTACTGTGTCCGCTTCTCTTGCTTCTACCCCTGAGGGTTCTGCAATGTGCATACTCCGGAGTCAGTTGTGTAACTAAGGTGCCGCACAGGTAGCTCCTTTTTCAACGATAGATCGTCCATGTTGTTATGGCAGCGCTCGAGGACGGGAGTAACGTTGGAATAATCATCGTCCCTCTGTCCAATATTCAATTACTCGCGACAGTTGTTCTGTTCTAATAATAAGGTGTTTTTGTAGATCATGCCGTGAGTTATCCAGCCCACCACGAATATCACCACGAATATCACTGGGAGCGATAGCAGAAGAACTATGAATAGACACCATGTTTCAACCCTTATAAGAGAAACTCTGTGGCGATAAGGTTGACATGTAAGGAGAATATTGAATCTGAGACATGATTTGGACGCAGCATGCCGACTGACGCACAGAATGAGGCTAGTTCCGACCTCGATCGACCGGAAAGATTGATGTGTAGTGCATCTAAAAGAGAACTTGAGTCGTGATGGATGAGTGTATTTCGATTGCATGGTGTAGATATGGACCCACAGGGCACCTAGACAATAATGTACTCCGTCCTCCGTATCAACTGCACTACTGCTGCGTCACGAGAAGGAAACTTGTTCCATATGGAAAAAGCAAAACACCGCCGGTCGATCGTGGATCCTCAGGGACGGCGTTTCTGCACGCAGGGGTGGGGGGCAGCCATAGGGAGCGCAGCAGATTCGTAACCGGGATTTGACATGCAGCTGCATCAGCCTCTCCTCTTCCTCCTCTCCTCCTCTCCACCACCCCTTTCCTCTCCCTCCTCTTCCTTCTCTTCTCTTCTTTCTTCCTCCTCCTCACCATCCCATCCGATCCATGCGATGATCTGCGTCTCCAGCGGTTTCGTAATCAGCTCAACCGCCTCTCCTGACCGGTTTCTCCTCCTTCTGCTATCGCCGTGACCCACACACACGCAACATCAGGCGACAGCCATCAATGATTGTGTGATATGTGCCTGAATCATTTCATCCGACGCTCCATTCCCAAACGTCCGTGCATGCTCCTCGGAGCGTCGTCATCGGTGTCTCTCGGTCCATTGTGTCCTCCCGGCATTCATCTTCGGGTTGCCGAGACCTGACGTGCTGAGGATCAACGCTCCTATTCGCACATCCAAACCGCCACGGGGGTCCTGGGTCCAGGCCGACCGGCCGATCGTTCGTGGGTCCCAGTCAGCTCGCGTCCCTGGTTGTCTTCCAGCCGGTCCCGGTTCGGGCGCTAAACTTGGGAAGACTATGCGATAAACTTGCTCCTCGGGGATCCACCCGGCCTTTTGCCTCCCGCGATAGAAATACCAGAAAAAAAAAATTCTATCATGAACGCCTGCATACTGAGCTTATCTTCTTCGGCACTACTGTCATTGGACCCATTGTCCTCTCGGGTCTAGAGCTTCCAGAAGGATGATCCAGGCTCCTCCGCTGGTCGAGCATGGCCACCGCCCGTCTGGATTATTTATCCAAATTTCGTAAACGACACGAAGGAAAGACAAAAAGAATCCGGTGTTAGGAGAGACAAGCCAAGCTAAAGGAATTCATCTCAACTAGACTACGCGACGATCAATATCCCTTTCTCCCAAATTGGTCCTCCTAGCCAAAGTGCCTCGCTCTTGGGCCATGATTGTGGCACCGTATCGTGGAGCCCGTGGAACCACTTCCGTCGACAGCCATGGTCGTGTCCCTGATAGTAGGGGAAAAACAGCTCTGCTGTTTATGCGTCTGAGCGCCGTTCTAGTCTTTCGGGGTTGGGTGTCACACTTCCGCTGACTTTTTTTTAAATCTGGATCCCTCATGGTCAAATCCATTGGTCGAGAGGCTGGGCACTCTAATCTGTGATATTTCGTTCGAATTTGCCAATCGATTGCTAAAATCCCCTGCCTGGCCCCAGTCAACTGTGATTCATATGAAGACTTGTTGCCGCTATCATCGCCTTTCCTTCCCCCGGTGATTTATCATCGTGGCAAAGCCAAGCAACAACCTGATACAAAATTGTCCTGGTCCCTTCTCTCCCCCTAACAGAACGTCTCACTCGGTTGTCTGTCGGATACTGGACCCCCAGCAAAAGGACGAATTTCCCTCTATATTACTCCGCAAAGGATCTCGCTACATAAGCCCAGGACAGATCGCCCACATCTATCTCTTCATATGATCAATCCTGTACACTGTGCACGGTGATTGGATTGTCTGTCTCTATCCGCGGGCTCGCAGTACCAAATTTCACCTGCTTCCATACTCCCGTACATCTGACGACACACGATCTGGATTATTTCTCTATCCTATCACCTGCCTCGGATCTTGCATCATTCTCCCTTGAGTGAATACAGTCTATACCGGATCTCTCGGTTGGACCCCTTTTTCGTTCTTCAACAACCTGGTTCTCCTGCTTGGACGCCACAACTTGTCCTAGGATTTCGACTATGCATCCGTGACGTATTATCATTCCTTCTTGCGGGACTCTCATCCCTTCCTTCCCACTCAACGGTCTCCTATCCAGTGGTTGCGCCCAAGGTACCACTATACTCAGGATATCTGGCCTGTGCCTCTGAATTTTCCTGGCAAAAATTCCACAAGGTATGTCCTACTTTGGCATCAGCCTCCTTGACATTGGATTGTTTGGCGTATTCTTGGCCTGATGCAACTCCGTATCTGACCCATATCGTCATTAGACCAGAGGAAGCTCAACACATCATCCCTGACAAGTGGTTTCAGAAGGTTGCTGGTGAACCAAGGAGTCCGACAAGTAGAAGGACCAGAAGACCATAACGGGAGACAGAAAGCAACGCTGTAACCCGAAACAGGAACCAGACACCTCGTCAATACCAGCCTTGCCTGATATCCCAAAGTCCACAATGGCTGGCGGGTATTTTGATCTGCCGATAACCTCGTCCAGGCGTTCGAGCCTTGCTGATGGGCTTGGAGGTACAGGCAGATCATCTGCAGGGCCGCGTGTATCCCCCCTATTGAGTCCCAATGAGAACCCAGTAGAGAGACCTATGGACCCCAGTGGAGCTCAGACCAAGCCCAGGAATGCTGGCATTCTCAAGAGCACGAATCGCGTCAAATTCAGTGTGAGCGAGGCCGGTATTCGCATGAGCCCATACGGATCGACGTCAGAGACCCAGCCTGATACAAGGGGTTCCTCACTCCCGCAGAGACCATTGCCCATCGCCAGCATTCCAACGGTGGACAAAACAACATCCGAGACCCAATCATTGCCCCTGGTTGATATCAGTCCGAGCTCTCCGGTAGGTGTCACGGGCCTAACGGTCCACTCGCAAGCCAGTTCTCCGGGGCTCGTTGGCGACGATGAAGTCAGCTATGAGAAGGGAAAAGCAATCCATTCTGCACAAGAAAGAGCTCAACGACTAGCGTCTCTCCTGGGTCGTCCCGCAAAGTCTCCTCGGCCTAGCCCTTGGTCCAGTCAACCATCGTCTATCGCGTCTACTCCCACTGAGGTGGTGCTGCCCTCTGAAGATGGGGATGAGATTCCCATGATCAGCCTCTCCGAGAAACAATATAACTACTTCTCTGATGATGAAGACGACGCCCTAGTTGGAACACAAGCCACACGCACCGCCGAAGCTCACCAGCTTGTGCGACAAATGACTCGCAAGGATTTCAACTTTTTCACCCGGATCCGCGCTCCTTCACCTGGTCTCCGCTCCGGCCAGGTCACCCCCATCGAGGAGAGAGACCCCGACGCCTACGTCGAGCGCCCTTCTCATTACCGTGGCGGGATCCTCTCTTCTCTTTTAAAGCTCTACGACCAGCCTGGTGCTAGCAACTACTACTCACGCGGCCGACATGGCCACTCGCGTCAGAATAGCTCAGGAGACTTCAGTGGCCGAGGGTTATCACCCGACCCTTCGTGGAAGCCCCAGCGTCCCAGAAAGTGGTACGAGAAGTCGCCCAACCAGTCTACATCCTCTCTGGCTGGTTCTACGGCCAAAAACTCCTTTACCTCGCCTATTGGGATGCTCAAGCGCTCGCGGAGCAGTGGGGCAATCCCCGGCGTGCCTAAACGGATGGGCAAGCCACAGCTAGAGGATGAAATCCGAGTGACTGTCCACATCGCAGAACTCCTTTCCCGCCAACGATACCTGATCCGACTTTGCCGTGCCCTGATGAGATATGGCGCCCCTACGCACCGTTTGGAAGAATATATGAAGATGACCGCTCGGGTCCTGGAGATCGATGGTCAGTTCCTGTATATGCCTGGGTGCATGATCATCTCCTTTGATGATCAATCCACCCATACCACGGAAGTGAAGCTGGTCCGAAGCCCCCAAGGGGTTGACCTGGGAAAGCTATCCGAAGTACATACGATCTACAAGGAGGTGATTCATGATGTGATCGGCGTCGAGGAGGCCATTCAACGTTTGGATGAGGTCATGAAGAAGAAAAACACATACCCAGTCTGGCTCCTTGTTTTGGTACACGGCTGCGCGAGCGCCAGTGTTGGACCTTTTGCCTTCAACGCCCGACCCATCGATATGCCCCTCTGCTTCGTGCTGGGTTGTCTCTTGGGCATTCTCCAGCTTGTCCTCTCTCCCCGATCAGATCTCTACTCGAACGTTTTTGAAATCTCCGCCGCCGTGTTGACCTCCTTCTTGGCCAGAGCATTTGGCTCCATTCGATACAACGGTGACCGGTTGTTTTGTTTCTCCGCCCTTGCTCAGTCCTCCATTGCCCTCATCCTTCCGGGATATTTGGTCCTGTGTGCCAGCCTGGAGCTGCAGTCGCGCAGTATTGTGGCCGGGTCCGTCCGCATGGTCTACGCCATCATCTACTCCCTGTTCCTGGGCTTCGGAATTACGGTTGGCACGGCAGTCTATGGCCTCTTGGACTCGGATGCGTCCTCGGCATACACATGCCCTGCCAGCCCGATCACAAACGAGTATCTCCAACGCTTCCCCTTCGTCATCTGTTTCACTCTCTGCCTGGCGATTGTCAACCAAGCCAAGCCGAAACAAATCCCCATGATGCTGGTCATCTCCTTTGCCGGATACGTGACCAACTACTTTGGGACCAAGCGGTTCTACTCCAGCACCCAGATATCTATCGCCCTAAGCGCCTTCGTCATCGGCGTCATGGGAAACCTGTACAGCCGGCTGCGACACGGTCTGGCCGCCGCAGCGATGCTCCCCGCGATCTTTGTGCTCGTCCCGTCTGGCCTGGCGGCGAGTGGATCGCTGATCTCTGGGATCGCGTCGGCGGAACAACTGACCACAAAGACCACCCCTTACTCCGTCATCTCGAACGGCACTCAAGGCTTCGTCGATGCCGCCAAGAACATGACAGGGTCGCCTTCCTCCCAATCTGAATTCAACGGCGTCGTGTTCGACATTGGATACGGCATGGTCCAGGTGGCAGTTGGCTTCACCGTCGGGCTCTTCCTCGCTGCCTTGGTTGTGTATCCTCTAGGCAAGAAGCGGAGCGGTCTGTTCAGCTTCTAATATACATACATACATACGTCATGTCTTTTGCAGGGGACACAATTGTCGTGTTGTTTCAGCGATCTTGGACTTGCGTTTCTGTTCCGTTCTGTCTTTCTTCGGCGTCTGAATACTTTTGAGATTCCCATCATATACTATCCGCATGTGTTTGTTTGGCTAGCCTAATCGTTTCCTTTTGTCTCTTCTCATGTCACGCTCGCATCCTGTCTGCATTATCGCATTCTTTCTCATTTGTATGGTCCAAGGCCTGTTTTGTTGGAATTAGCGATCTCTGGTCTTTCCTGTATTTCCTTTTTGTTTCTCGAAGACATTGATTGGCATTAGATAGTCTCTCTTTGGTTGGGTTTCTGGGCGTTCTCTATTGATAATTGAGCGATTTACATACAATATATAGAGGACATATGATACACGACTCTCAAGCTGATTGTCTTGGTTACATCATCTAATAAATAGTATTTTGCGAGCTACAAACTCGCCTGATGCATAGACTTGTCCAAAGGACAGGGCCCTTGCATCATGACAGATAAAGCTTACGTTTAACGTTTTGCATGGAATCATAGGTTTACGTCATGTGCATAGCACGCCAACATTATTATTGCGGAAACTTGCTTGATAAGTATGTGTTCATCATGTGTGCAGATACCTAGTACTACCTAGATACATGGAGGGGGCAAACAAGCCAATGGCTGTACGCACATAGCCAGATGCACGTACGGTTGAACGATCGATTCTGAAACAATCCAGGCCTCTCCACTGATGATAATTGCATGTCCATGAGACGGAGACAACCTCCCAATAAACCCAGTCGAAACGAGTTTCCGTAGTTGAATTTCAAATCCAAGTCTCATTCACCAGTCTGTCCAAGGGCGGGAAAAAGGATGGTGGGCAATAGAAAGCAGAACCAATAAGTAATATGAGAGAAAGAAAGATCAGACACTCCAAGAATGAAAAGAGTAGATCGGCTTTGGCGTCCAGCAAGAACCAAAATCCAATTGTCCGTTCTTGAGTGGAAAAGAAGACAAAACATCACTAAAGGAAAGATAGAAGCAAAAGAAAGACATCATTCAAGGCTTTGCACGTCCGTAAACATCTCAGTCACATTATGTACGATGATCGCGTTACATGATCGGGGTCTTCCGCTTTTCAGCGCTGGAAAGCACAAGCATCGGAGTCTTGCGCCGTTCCGAACCCTGAGCCACCGTCTTCTGGCCTGCGACGACAGCAGCCACCGAAGGGGAAGATCCCGTCGGAGAAGAGACCTGGTCCGAGCGAACATCGGTGAACTTGCTACCGAAGTAGCCCCCATCTTCACTGACCGGAGTGGTGGTGGAATACGGGCTGTCCTGAGAGCGACGCTCCCGAGAAGATCTTTCCTTCCTCTCGGAACCAATAGCACCGTTGGCTGCGGCACGAAGACTACCCAAGCTCGGCTTGCTGGAAAGGCTTCCGCTGCGAACGGTGGCGTCGTCTCCGTCGGAGAACGTAAACTCTTTCTCGCTCGCCGGAGTATTGGTGCCACCGCTGCTGTGATAGCTCCGAGTCTCTCCACGCCGTTCGATGCCCGCACGCACCAGGTTGTGCACAGCACGTCGCCGCTGACGGGTGGCGAAGTTCTTGCTTCCCTCATGTTTGGACGTGGGCTTCGCGACGAGTTCCTCCAAAGATGGAGGGCCGCGAGGCTGACGGATCGGGTGCTCGCCCGCACGGCCTTGACCAGGTCCGAACGTACCAGTGGCCGGTGTCTGAGGAATGGTAGCTGTCCTTGGGGCAGCCGTGGTGCTGTTGTTCGCGCGTGCCGTATCAATGGGAGCCTTGGTGGCAGGGTTGATGGACGAACTCTTCTTGTGGCCTCGGCGGAATGCATTGGCGGATGGAGGCGGCAAGGGGACAGTTTCCCTGGGCGGAGACGGGCTGTTACGGGGCGGTGACACTGGCTGTGCAAAGTTCATCGAGGGCTGGGACGATTCCGCAGGGGGGGAGACTTCGGCGCGGAACGCAGGGACATGCATGGCGGGCGACTGGATTTCTTCCTCCTGGTAGGGACTCTCCTGCTGGAAGCTGTTGTCATAGATGTAGTTCTGTTGGCCAGTAAGGGGGTTGTAAACCGAGAAGAGTCCTGGTTGACCAGGTACCGGCTGGACGACCGGCTGGACGCCCTGTTGGAGCTGTTGTTGGTAAAAGCCCATTCCTGGCATGGAAAGCGTAGGGAGCTCCTGGGGCTGACTCATAGGCATGCCGAGGTTCAGACCCTGGAACTGCTGGGCTGCAGCCGTAACACTGATCAGTTGCTGCTGGAGACGCTGTTGCTGAGCTGCCAGGAAGAGGTTCGTGGACATCAGTTCCGCATAGAGACTCTCGTCGATCTGCGAATCGTTTGAGAGATCGAGGGACGGAGGAGCGAGCACCTGCTCGGGCAGAGTGTACATGGGGCGACCGGTGTTCATGTCCAGGCCTTGGTTCATGGCCATTGAATGGCGAGGAAATCCAGTTCCCATCGCAGTCTGCGGGATCCGTTCAGAGGTCCGGTTCGAGAGATTTCCATACCGGTCGCCCTCCATGCCGTAGTGCTGCTGACGCTGAGAGACCGATGGCACAGTAGCCGATTTGGGGGCGGTCCTGAGCCCTGCCAGGAGATGGGAGCGACTGGTGCGTGGAGTAGGAATCGGGGCCGACGGTTGGGACTCATCGATGGTAGAGATGTGCGGGGGAGGCACGCTCAGCCGTTTAACGTTGGGACCCTTTCTCCGAGAGGCAAAACCGGAGGTGGGAACTCCCAGGGAGCTCCCATTGTTGAAAGTCGAATTGTAAGTCATTTGAGCAAGACCACCGGTGTCCATGCTCAGGGCCAGGTTGTGAAGTATAAGTGTATATGTGCAAGAAGAAAGCCGGTAGACAGCGAGTTGCAGTCTCTGGTAATCACGCGCGTAAGGTCGTCGATCAGCGAGAGGAATGGATGAGATGGATTAGATGATTACGGCCGTGTGGAGCAGTCGTGAAGGACCGGCGGCTATTCGACACTAAACGCTTCGGTGTGGTATATGTTATTATGCAAGTGACAAGGGTACCAAAAACGTGATAATCCCAAAGGAGGCTGGACTCGCGTTAGCTGAGGCAGTCTTGGGCGAGAGAACACGATGGGCAGCCTACCGACTGGAGCGGAAGCGATGCAGAAACCCAACCCCGCGAGCGAGAATTAAAGAACGGTGATTAACAGCCTAAGGCGAGAATAATCGGATCCAAGGGAGCACGCTCGAGATGCACGACAGACGCGACCGGACGTCGAGGCACAAAACCAGAGGGTCTCAAGAAGAGATGATGATGGATGGACGGGTATCCGGTATTAAAGACGAGAAGGGTATAACGGGCGAGAGATGCTCTGCAGCTCTCGGCAGTAGAAAGAGATCGCTCGAGGAAAGGAAAAATAAAGATTCGACACGAGGACGCAACGTAGGAGACGGAGATGTCGTCGTGATGGAGCTGGCTTTAACTTCCGAGTCGTCGAGACAAACAATGATCGGGGGAGGTTCTTAGTCAGGACGTAAGGGGGGAGATGGACGAAAGGAGTCCAGGAACGCCGACCGGATCGTCGCTGGTGAAACGAAGGATATAATGTCTTTTTGAATGGGTTTTCTGAAGGTAACTAACTCTTCACGGGAAACAAGTGCAACACGATCGTGGAGAGAGAAAGAAAGGAAGAAAGAGGGAGAGGGGGGGGATGGGAGAGGAGACGAAAGAAGGTGAGGATGGAGAGAAGAAGAAAGTTGATGGGGGAAAGATGATGGGGAGAGTTTCAGGCGTCGTCGGCTCTCGGCGCGTGTTTTTTTCTTTTCTTTTTTTCCCTCGCTTTTTTGGCGTGTCAGACCCCAGAGCCAGCGTTCCAGGCAACCCCCAGTTCGATGACAAAGCAAGGATGTAGGAGTAGTTATGTAGTAAGGTCTTGAATAAAAGAAAGAGAAATGAAGAAAAAAGAGGTCAGTCAGAAAGAGGGAGAAGTGAGGTGAGAGAAGAAGATGAGGAGAAGAATGATGGAGTCCACGACAATGTCTCCTCATCAATCAATCTTTCAACAATCATCGATCGAGCATTGATACCTAACTAGTTAACTAAGGTAACCAAGGTAATGTAATGATTTCTTCAGTTCATCGAGGTCAGGGCTGAAACACCCGCTGATTGGTCTTGTCCATCTACGCCCCCTGACTGGTTCGCTTCAGATCTGCGTTAATCCACATACGGTCAGGAAGTGGGACATCCCAATATGCTATTGGCTCTCGGGGGAGATGTTTGCCTTTTGATTGGCCCCAGCGCTCGTCATCTTCAGCTGGCCATCTTGTAAGTGCCATCCATCTTGATCGAAGTCATCGCTCGGACGAAGTGAATAGTTGGGTACATACAGAGTAGAAGGAAGGACGTGCCAAATAGGCAAGCTAGACAGCAAAGCAAACATTGGTTACAAAGTATCTGGCGTCAAGGTAGGGCGTAAGTGTTTTATATAAAATTCTTATGTACTCTCGACTCTGGTATGTCTATCCGTTACACACATCTTACAGAGTAAAGTGAACAACTAAGGTACCTACAATACCGTGTCACTTTGGCATGTTTTGCTACCGTAACTCGATCCATTCAACCCACTGAGTACAATCCTCAAGGATCGCAAAGAAAAAAGAAGAAAAATATGGAGATGCCGCGGATCGAACGCGGGACCCTTTCAATGCAAATGAAATGTCATACCACTAGACCACATCCCCACAGAATTACTAATACCCTTATTTTTAATACAATATATAACCTAACATTTCAATGTTAAACTTCACAACCTCTGTTCTAACACAGTAGAGGTACTGGAGAGCAAATTCATTGCTTGTGTATGTACACTATCCATTCATAAAAGCTAGACTACATTAACTCCGAGCCAGAAAAGGAACCATCATCGAATCATGTCCCACTGCCATGTCGGACAATAATACAAGGCATGTCAAGGGACCCGGAAGTCAAAAAGATGAACAAAATGACTGGGTATCTGCTGGCAAGGCAGACAATTGCTCGCCAGAGGGAAGAACACGACATGAAAAACAAGCCATCAACAGTCGCATGTCGGAGATATCACACGGACGAAGAACGAGAAGGTATAAAACACAGAAGAAAACACAGATCTGAGACATGCCGCATCCAATCCATGACAGGAATATTGCAGACACCTTCCACCACAAGAAAAGCGCAACCACCGTAAATATTGGCAACTATGCATCCACCGATATTGTGGGCTCGGGAAATGGAAAAGAGGCGGAGTCCTTGTGCTCCAGATCTGGTGACTCAGCCCCATTGCCTTTTCCATTCATTCGGTCAAATTCCAAAGCCTCTGCCAGTTCAGCAGCCATAGGGTCAAGTTCTTCCTCTTTCAGACCGGTGGCAAGAGCAACGAGCTTCCGATGAACGTCAAACTTGGTGCTTACGCCAGCGTCTGCAGTCTGTTGTGCAAGCTCCTTAACTGCAGCACGCCGAGCTTTCTGTGCAGCACACAACTTCTGAGCCAGTTGGAACACGGTCGTTAGTTGACTCGTGTCCTTGGAGGATTCCGCTTGCTCCTTCGTAGGTATGGGCATAGACGCAACCCGTTCTTTCAGTCTTGCCTGCTGGATGTGCTCTAGCAATGACTCGTAACTTGCCCTCAGCTGTTCATAACGGGCAAGTTGTGTATCAACAGGCTCTTCTTCTGCCTCCTTCGCGGATAAAGCGGCAGTTTGTTGTTTGATCTTTTGTCGGTCCAACTCGAGTTGGTCGTACAGTGCCTCGGGATTTGCAATATCATCTGAGCCTTGCTGGCCTGGCTTTGAGCTGCCGTAGCTGACAGCCAGTTTCTTATTTGCTTCAGCTATGATCACACCGATCTTAGAGAGCAGCGTCGCGGTGACCGAAGAAGTGTCTGGGGTAATAGCCACGGATTGATTATCGGGGTTCGTCGAAGTGTTTACCTCGCCATCAATATGGTCATTGCCCATAGTAACGGATGAGGGCGGCGGCGGTACATCTCGCTCAGAAGGATGGGCCCGTTGCGTAATGCTGATTGCCGTTTCTCCTTTCTTATTCACTAGGTCTCCGGCTCGGGAGCAGTGCGTAAGAAGTATATCTACCAAGCGAAACGCACCGTTTCGAGCAGCAACTAATGCAGCCGTGTCCCCGTTTGAGTCTTGACAAGACAGCAACAAGTCGATCTCTTCTGCAGAGCAGGTCGCTCGTAATTTCTCCAGAAGAACCTCGCAGTAATATCTGGAGCTCTTCCACTTCCCTTTGCTCCTTGTAGTCTCCGCAATATGGTGAAATAGGGTAGCACCAAACCAGTCGCGGAAGGAAACCGTATCGAGGAGTAGTTCCAGCAGGGCTGGAAATGTCCTCTTCTCGTAATTGTTGGTGAATAGAACAGCACGCACGAGCGGCGTTTCTTCGTGTACCGACAAAGCTTTCACATCTGCTCCGCGGCGCAACAGATCCCTGACAATCTCCAAATCACCCATAGCACAGGCCCAGTGGAGAGCTGTGTTTCCCGAATCGTCGATCGGTCGGTCCACTTGAAAGTTGACCGGTGGTTCTGGAGGTGGTACACGCGTTGCTTCCGGTGCATCGCCTACCGTCATGAAGTAGTCCAATAGCTGATCTCCGTAAAGAATGTGTTCCTGCTCGCCAATTGACATTGTCGGAACGTCGTTCCCACGCTTCCGCTTTCGCGAATATGCACCGCTCTGAGACATTGTCATCATGTCTTCATCGGCCACCATGGACGAAGATTCTAGCGTGGCTTGCTCAATCGACTCGTCTTCGTCAAAGCCCGAGTGCATCTCATATTGCTCATGTGTGAAACTCGGCGGGCCCATCGGACGATGGGGTTTGACGGCACTGAAAACTTCTTCATTTGCAACCCTTCGATTGGCTGCAGCTTTCGACACTCGCGGTTTGGAGGCGGCGGATGTATGTTTAGGGGCAGGTGGAGGACTACGATCGCCGGCAACGTAGTCGAAGATTGGACGGAGCTTGTCGATGATGTTGTTGCGCTCAGCAAGCAAACGGCCTTCGGGAAGAGGTATCCATGTCCCTGCATGCAATGTTAGTTGAAACACGGTCGAGGAAGACGGCTCTGCAAGAGTTATCATCGTACCTTGATACTTCCCGTAGCCACCCTGCACCTTCTCATGGACCCCCTTCTGGACCTCGCGCTCAAGAATGCGTGTCCTTGCTGGCTTATCGAATCCAGCGACTTTGAGAATATGCGTAGCATTGATCCAATCATCGGCCCGCCTTCGCATAACACTATCACCTTCAATTTTGAACTCATACACCGGGACCTAGCAAGCGAAGTCAGATAAGGATAGGATTTCAGAGCGACGAATCAAAGATTGGGGATTGGGAGACAAGGAGCGGAATAAGCGACACACTTACACTACTGTATGTAGCGGAGTAGATCTTGGAGAAATCTACCCCGGCCATGATGTGCGTCTCCGTAAGAAATCGTAGTTCAGTAGGTTCCCGAAGAGAAGCAGGAAGATCCGACGCGGTCCAGGAATTCAACCTCGATCCGATGGTCTTGGTTTGGAAATCTTCAGGTAAAGAATGAAGTGTCCAATTATCGGATCTGGCACATTACAGAAAACATGAATCGCAGGTCGAAAGGAATAGTATCAGCCACGGGTGGCTCTCATGGGCTCTGTCGCATCTCAAGAAAACGCGGTGGTTTGCAGGGCCCGACGCGCCCTTGGTACGGTGAGCGCGTAAAGTGGAATTATTGGCACTATCCCTTATCGGGGTTAGTCTGCACGTGATATCACCTGACTATATCCGGAAGGAAGGAACAGCACCTTCGGAATAGCTGCAAACCTGGTTGTCCGGCCAGTTACTCCAGTCTTTCTCTCACGTCGCACCCTCCTAATCCTCCAATATGACCGTCGCCGAGTCGGTGAAAAGCGCCGTTGGTCTTGCGGAGACTACCGGTATGTCTTTTGTTGCCATTGGCCTCGAATTCCGCACAGAGGAAGACTAGGCAACATGACCCGTCGAACTCTCCGCTGACGTCGATATAGCTACCCGGCAAGAGATGTCCGATGCTCGTCTCCCCCTCCAGTACCGGGATTCCTGCGCACACCTTTTGATCCCCTTGAACCGATGCCGGCAGCAGGAGTACTACCTCCCCTGGAAGTGCGAGGTATGGACGCCTTTTCGCATGCTGTTTGCCCGTCTCCAACCGTTGACCAATTGCTGCCTATTGCCTTCGTTTTTTCTCAAAACATCACCTCAAAATCTCAGCTGGAATGCTACAGTTGTGAACTACTGGCTAATTTTATCGGTTTGACAGGACGAGAGACACAGCTATGAAAAATGCCAGTACGAGGAATTCAAGAAGCGCGTTGCCAAGATGGACGAGCTGCGGGCTGCGAAGAACGGCGCCCGGTCCAATTGATTGAATCCAACGCGTCGGCATGTGCATTTGAGATGAACGAAGCAGCGGGTTATGTACATAGAGGTTCTGAGGTTATTCTGTTTATGCACCGACTTTTCCTGGCATTGGGACGTCCTCAACACTCGGTAATCTTGCTGGTAATCTGACGGCAAGAAACTGCATTTGTCGGGCGCTCCGGCCCGGCCTTCGGAGACATAGAACCGGACATGGTTCGTTGAAAGTCGAGTGTTCTGTAACTAGGTAGGTCTCCCGTGGACTTGTCGTATGACGTCCGGAGGTGCGAAGGAGGTACACTATGCTTTCACAATCTCTCTCCCCATTGGCTTTCGACAAGACCAGGTAGTCAGCATATAGCGTTAGGTTTCCTTGCCGGGTCTCGTATTCTCCGAGTGTAATAAGATGGCTGAGGGGAAGTATTAATAATGGTCGTGAAGATTATCAATCACATAGATGCGCATGTCTGTTACGCCTGTTCTTCTTGTTCCTTTTCTCTTCTTGGGCGGTGTATACGTGTGTACATGTGTACCTAGTACCTCTGCAGGCACAAGCAGTAGGACGTTACTGTGGTGGCTGTCTTGTATACGAAATCACCTGACCGGGGAATCCCGCTGTTGCTTAGAAATCATTGTCGGAAACTGCGCTTATCGGTGTTGATATCGGACGTCTGACTCAGCAGGCAAGCTCCTGCCCCGCCGTCCCCCACCAATTGAATCCGAGGACGGCGGAAAATCGCCCTTGACAGCAAGTACGCTATTCCCTAGAGACGATATAATTTCCTCCTCCCCTCCGCTGGAAGTTCTTCTCTCGGTGTCTTCAGATCTCTACTCTCCTCCGTCCTTCAGTCTTCCTGTCGGGCTGGACGGTTCCTACATCGCTCGGTGACGGATCCGTCCTTGTACTGGTTCAATCCCCGTTCGTCCCGTTTTTCTTCTATCCGAGTCCTTGGACGGCGTCTCGGCGCAATTCCTATCGGTCCTCCCCCTCTTCCCCGCGCGGCTCTTATTTAGTTGACAGAGTTTGCTCGTGTCGCCTGGCGCATGTAAAAAGGCGTCACCATCATCCTACCACTACTATATATCTATCGAATCTTGGATGACATCATGGGTCTTTTGTACGTTGCTTCGTGCCTACGTGGAGACCCTCCTGGGTGCGCCGAACTGACATTGTATACTCTATCAGAGCCCTCGGAACTGCACTGGAGTGGCCTGACGCCAAGAAACGAGCAGACCAAGTGCGTAAATGGGGAATTGAGGTAAGCGTGGCACCACCAAGCCGTACGTGACTGATTGACTAATTTGGAGTAGCAATTGCTCGCTAATTGGCGCAGAGCACGGGGAAAGGAGCGGGATGCTCTGCTTTGGGGTGACGAGGTATGTGCCAAAATGGGCGTATGTATGTGGCTTTCGGCCGCTGACTCCCAACCTCACTCAGGTGGAATACCTAGTCGTAGCGGTCGACGAAGAGGCCAAAAAGGCTCGGTTATCTCTCGCTCAAGCTGAAATTCTCAAATCACTGGCCAAAGATGAGGCTCTTTGGAAGAGCGGGGAATCTCCCCGTCCTGAAAATAAAGAACAGTGAGTGTCCTTCAATAGAGATTCAAAGGTCGTTTCTAACGTTTGCGCAGCGAGGGTGAGGAGCCACCTCATTTCCACCCCGAGTTCGGGCGTTTCATGTTGGAAGCAACGCCGGGACGGCCATGGGGGATCGGTTTTAAGGATCTTCTCAAGGTAGAGTCTAATATGAAGTGGAGGTTGGTCTCTTTCTTACACCGAAAATGATGGCCATGTGCAATCTAACACTGCTCACAGGCGCGAAGTTGCAAAGTCGCATATGGCACCAAACGAATACCCGATCACGCTCACTACCTTTCCTCGTCTGGGCACGAAAGATGATTATATCCAACCCTATTATCCTCCCTCGGGACCCGCACTGAGGTCGCAATTCGTCCCTGACGAGATTGCGAACCCCCACATCCGTTTCCCGACTCTGGCAGCTAATATCAGATCAAGAAGAGGCCGAAAAGTGGAATTAAATGTTCCGGTCTTCAAGGATACAAACACGCCCGTGCCTTTCAAGGACCCTACAGTGAACTATGATCTCCATAAGTGGCCTGAAGATGACGACGTCAGAAATGGAGCTGTCAAGGACGACCACGTATATATGGACGCCATGGCATTTGGTATGGGCAGTTGCTGCTTGCAGATCACATTTCAAGCAAAGAACATGACGGAAGGGAGGAAACTCTATGACCAACTCAGTCCTCTCGGTCCGATTCTTCTGGCACTCACTGCTGCAACACCGATATACAAGGGATTTCTCGTTGATACAGATGTCCGGTGGAATCAAATCGGTAATGCAGTAGACGACAGGACCCGGGAGGAACTTGGAGAAGCTGTGAGTGGACGTTCCTCCGTTATTTTCACGCCTAACACTAACGAATGCGACAGCCATTGAAGAACGATAGATGGAGAATCCCCAAGTCCAGATATGCCTCGAACTCAACTTATATCTCCCAAGACCCACGTCTGCGTAAAGAGTATCTTGACCCCGATTTGATTGTCGACGAAGATATCAAAAAGCGTCTAATGGATGACGGCATGGACGAACTTTTGGCAACCCATTTCGCTCACCTCTTCATCCGCGACCCCCTAGTCATCTTCTCGGAAGACCTAGAGGAGTTGGATCTGAATAAGGCGGACCACTTTGAAAATCTGCAGTCGACAAACTGGCAGCATATGCGCTTCAAGCCACCGCCGCCTGAGAAATCGGATATTGGCTGGCGAGTGGAATTTCGTTCGATGGAGATCCAAATGACCGACTTTGAGAATGCGGCATTCAGCATCTTCATTGTCCTGGTCACCCGGGCTATCCTCAGTTTCGATTTGAATTTCTATATCCCGATTCAGCGGACCACCGAGAATATGGAAACCGCCCATGCACGAAATGCAGTCCTGGATCGGAAGTTCTATTTCCGCAAAGACCCTTTCTCTCCCCGTGGTCGCAGACAGCAACAGCCGCTGCAGTCATCCAACGCCAGCCAAATGTCATCCACCACATCCTCTGCATGTAATACACCGCCTCCGTCTCCTCCACTTGGGCCCGTGGACTCGGAGTATGAGCTCATGACTATCTCTGACATTATCAACGGCTCGGACGATGGCTCGTTCCCCGGATTGATTCCGCTGGTGGAGTCATACCTGAACAGCGTGAATGTAGATGTTGAGACGCGGTGTTCTTTGGCGACCTACCTGGACCTGATTCGCAAACGGGCGAACGGCACCCTGTGGACCGGAGCGAAATGGATCCGTGAATTCGTTGCTTCGCATCCTGGATATAAGCATGACAGTGTGGTCTCGGAAGAGATCTGCTACGACCTGGTCAAGGCAGTGGATGAAATGTCTGTGAAGGAAGGGAAAAATGGCACGGTTGGATGGGAGTTGCTCCGCGGTAGAAAATAGAGTGAGGAGGACATGTTTTGCTAGTTACATGATAGAATTGGGGGACTCGTATGTATTACTGTTGTAGATGGTTTGTTGTTGTCATCTGTTCATCTCAGAAGCCTCTTTTCGGCCTCATCATCTTGCATCCTCCTGCATTATACAACTCCATCAGCGCAACATTTGTGTTTCTTTGTCCGTTGGCCGTCGACACGAATCAGCCAACCCGGTCACCTTCCATTGTCCATTGAATTTATGCAGAATAAACAGCTCCACCCCGACATGGTCCACGACTCCATTGATCTTCCCCCTAAACGGAGCCCACACCACTGCCAAATCCCCCAACTCAGACACCTTAACTTCCGGGTCCCAGATGCGCTCGTCGATATCATCCTCCACTCGGGCAATCTGCTCCACAAAGGCGCCAATCGTGCAGAAGCGCGGCAGCATGGGCGGCGGCGGCCACAGGGACATCCCGCCAGCCCGCACACAGTATTTGTCAAACTCCACGGGCGACTTCGTACTCAGCGCGGCGAGAAAGCCCTTTACGACCGCGATGACGGCGTCTACCTCGGCCGACGCGGGGGCTCGCGATTTTCGCGCATGCTTTGTTACGGGCAGCGGGAGGCGCGATGGGCGCAACGGCGCGCGGTACATGTCTCTGTCTTGGTTGTGGCAGATCAATAGCTCGGGGAATTTGCGCAGAACGGGCGTCTGTATTGGGAGTCGCTTTCTTGGATCTTGGTTCTCGGTGCTGGTCAGGACGTGCGCAGGCTGCGTCCAGCGCGTGTCACAGAGGCCCATGGAGAGCGCTGGTGCGTGGATTGCACCGTTAGGTAGGTGTACGTTATGGGAGAGTGTCTATGGTCCGAGGTTTGGCAGTGTTGGCATCGATGAGTCCCTTGTGCTGGGTCTTGAGGCGCTCACATCATTGAATATGCCGTGGAGAGAAACCCTCCTCGCATGGCATCAAGCCACCTACCCACGGACAGTGTCACCGTTACAACGGCGTTGCGGGACCAGGAATGCCCTTGTTATACAGAGTACAGACGACACTCTCGCAGCCGACATGCGCCGTCTGTCTGAAGCCCACATGAAAGCCCGCAGCGACCGGGCACCTCGGGAGCACCTACAACGTGTCACCCAGCCGGACATGGGACGGGACTGGGGATTGCGTTGCTATATCCAATCAGGCATTCTGGGAAGGCTAAGGTCTGGGCCTAAGACCTGCTGCGAGACACGGTCACCGTGGGATTCTGGGACTGAAATGGATGGTTCTCGTTAGCCTGGAGGTCCGCCGTGATGATATTGGATCCGCTGTGCCACCTTTCCGTAGGGAGATGACGCCGGATGTGAACCCGTTTCTTGTGGGACAAGCTTTGGAGGAGTCGGAAGATTCCACAGCTGTCTACAATAGAATGGAGAAGAGACGTTGCGTTTCCTGTGCGGCATGTCGACCACCCACGGAGCTTGATGGTGCTGTTGTCAGCCAGACTCGACACTCCTGCTCCCAGTGCTGCCGAGCATCGCCATCCATGAGCAAATCAACCATCGGCGGTCATTACCATATAGACTCATCTTCGCCGTCCCCAGAGACGGAGGACGTCCGACGGGAAAACCTCGGAAGCATATACTGCCATCTCGACCTATGGCACGGAAGCACCGTATTAGGGCTCCGGATGTACCGAGAAAAACAGCCGAACGACCCCATACTCCGCATGGAAACGCGACAATCCTGACTGAATCGGGGAAAGCAACACACTGTCGATCAAGCCATGTCCCTAACCTCCCCCGCATATTCTCGGCCATCGCCCGTTTCTCCGCCATTCATTGGGAGCGCATTGAAAGTTGCAGTCATCGGCTCCAGATTATAAACCCGATACTTATTTGGATCGGCTGAATAGGATCCGAGAATAGGATATGTTATATGAGGCCGCCGGCAGGGGGTGGGGGGCGTGACGTCCTGTCCCGAGAAGGGAAGTCGCCCATGCTCGAGTATAAATCCGAGCCTGCCGCTTTGCGGACGTTTTCCGAGATACCGCACGCTTTGCATCTGCCTTCTCCAGCAACATAGAATGTCCCGCCTGGTCCTCGGTGTCTTCGCGCTGTGGGTGGGCGTGAACGCTGCCCCCAGCGACCCTACCGCGCATGTCCTGAACGGGACGTATGCTGGCGTGCGCAATGCACACTACCAGCAGGACTTCTTTCTGGGTATGCCGTATGCGCAGCAGCCGGTGGGCGACCTGCGGTTTACAGTGCCGAAGTCGCTGAACGAGAGTTGGGAAGGGGTGCGTGACGCGAAGGAATACTCGGACATCTGTGTTGGATACGGAGTAAGTCAGCGCGTGTATGTTTCTCAGCTGTGTATGAGGCGGCTGACAAGTGATCCGTCTAGACGGACCAAATCTGGTACCGCTCTTCAGAGGCGTGTCTTACCATCAACGTCGTCCGTGGTTCTTCTGCCAGCGAGGACTCGAACCTTCCTGTCGGCGTTTGGATCCACGGAGGGGGCTTCTATCAGGGCTCGAGTGCGGACCATCGGTATAACCTGTCTGCTATCGTCGCCAACTCATACGAGATCGGTAAGCGCGATGTCTCTGTTTGGAAAATAGCAGGATATACTAACCCATCAGGCAAACCCTTCATCGCTGTCTCGTTCAACTACCGGCTCTCGGCCTGGGGGTTCTTGAGCTCCAGCCAGGTCAGCGGCAGTGGTAACACGAACCTGGGTCTGCGAGACCAGCGACTGGCACTTCGATGGGTCCAGGAGAATATCAAGGCCTTTGGAGGCGACCCCAACAAGGTCACCATCTGGGGTGAGTCCGCAGGCGGCGCGTCGGTGGGTTATCACCTCATCGCGTACGGCGGTCGAGACGACGGTCTCTTCCGCGCAGGCATCTTGGAATCAGGCGGGCCAATCCTCTACCGTCCGAACAATGCCACGGGGTATCAGAGCCTGTATGATGACCTGACAGCCAAAGTGAACTGCTCCAACACGGTGGACTCGCTGCAGTGCCTGCGCGAGGTTCCGTTCGAGAAGCTGAACGCGGCGATTAACGGCACAAATGGCGCGTCTGAGTATAACTTCTCGCCTGTGATTGACGGGGACTTTGTGAAGGAATGGGGCAGCATCCAGCTGAGGGATCACAAGTTCGTGAAAGTGCCCATCCTGGCTGGTACGAACACCGACGAAGGTACTTCGTTTGGTCCAGTCGGGATCAATACGACTCAGCAGTTCTACAAGTATCTCACAGGTAAGCAATCGTCATCGCACCCCGAAAAGACTGCAGTACTAACGACCTGCAGACGGTGAAGAGGGCTTCAAACTCCCCCCATCTGTAGCCCACCGGATCCTGGAACTGTACCCGGACGACCCAGCCCAGGGAGTCCCCGAGTTCCTCGGAGACCGACGTATCCCGTCCAAGGGCTATCAGTGGCGACGCACCTGTGCCTACGCCGGCGACCTTTATATGCACGCCAACCGCCGGCGACAATGCGAGGCATGGGCGGAGACGTCGACGCCGGCGTACTGCTACCGGTTCGACATGCGCTCGGGGGACGCGCCGTATCTCCAGGGCGCGCAGCACTTCAACGAAGTGTCATTCGTGTTCAACAACATCCAGGGCCAGGGATACCATTATGGCAAGCCGTTTGCGGGCATGCCCCCGTCGTACAAGCAGCTGAGCCGGCTCATGACCCGCATGTGGGCATCGTTTATCCACGACCTGAACCCCAACACGGGCATCACGAACGAAACCACCGTTCAGTGGGAGCCGTACGAGCTGGCCAAGCCCGTCGACATGATGTTTGATGCCAATGTTACGGGCTACGGGTACATGGAGCCCGACACGTGGCGCAAGGACGGGATTGATTATATTAATTCGGTTGCAAGTGTGTACTGGCGATAGAGGGCTGGGGACTTAGCCCATTACTTTGTACATATGTAGCTAGGATCGTCTGTAATGACTCCTTCCATGGACGAGCTCCTCCTCACGGGGGTTCTGAAATCAAAGTGAAACCGGCTGCAGCGTCGGCGGAAAAGGAATCCCACCATCGGCGAGCTTCATTCAGCCCACGAAGATCGTCATCTTGTAGAATGAGTAGGAAGCCCAGAGCGGAGAGCTCCGTAAATGACCCTACACCCTTCGTCGACGCCAATTACGCCACCTCCATGAGGAAGCAGAAGGACGCCAGCGGTGGGGAGGACGGCGACCCAACCGCGCGCCGGGCAATCAAACAGAACGATGGGTCTGGATAAATACTCCGTACAGAGCACAGCGGACAGTCAGCGCCAGTCGGGATCTGGTCGAGCGATGCTTCCCAAAGCGACAAAGCAAATACCGGACGCAGGAGGCCCGTAGAGGCAAGGCAAACGCCAAAATAGAAACGGGCGTTGGGTGGCCGTTGGAGCGTCTGCTGGTTATTGGCTCTTGGACGCGAAAAAGGGATGCGCTATGTGATGCTAGCTGGCTCCGTCCGTGGATCTCGGGATGGATCTCGATGGGGAGTTGCAGGATGGCCGGTTGTTATTCGCCTGGGTGAGGTTTCCGGGTTCCCTTGCGCGATGGGATTACGATGGTGGAGGACGAGGATTGTGTCCACCGCATCGTAAGCCCAGGAGGGCAATTCCAAATACTCCAAGTCTTCTGCATAAGCGAAGAGGTGGCGCTGGGGGAGCGATCGGTACCCACGACAGGGCGACGGGATGGATCCCCGGCTGTCAAACATGTCATGGCACCTGTCATGCGGCCTTAGTTTAGGGTCTAACTCCGTCTAATGTCTTCTGTGGTCTTCAGTAGGAGATAGATACTCAGTCTGGTTTATGCGTATATTCCGATGTCCTGTCGCTGCGGAACTCATCACGTTATATTTCCCTCGTTCGTCCTGCTCTCGTATAGACTCAGGGGACCATGACTGCGACATGGTCATCATGACCGTCGTCGGGGATCATTATTGCCAGAAACCTGCTCATCGGGGACCTGAGCCAGAAAAAGAAAGCAAATGGTAAAGCTTCGAGGACCAGCCGCAGACCTCGGTAAAGACCCAGTTCTCCCTTTAGCGGTTCAAACGGCGAAGCGTAACCGTGGATCGCAATCGGCTGAACATTCTCGAAGGACCGACTGGGCCTCGAACGGGGTTCGCCTTCTACCGCGTTGGGTTTAGAGACACGAGAAGGAACGACCTCTGGTTGATTTGATTGAGGGTTGCAGATCGCGATCGTTCCTAATTAGAACACGGGGACCTCGTTTGTGGCGGGTGTCCATTCAGTCGATGGCATTTGACGATGCCAGGGGAACCTCGGTCGGGCTATTTGCTTCCTGTTTGGCCAGCTCACTTCGGTTCTTGTCGTGGCATCCGGCGCGATCTACGATGGTCCGGCCATCGCTGGTTCCGTCGCCATGTGGCCGTGAAGTCTGGGTGCGATGGGATGGATGGATACGATCCATGGAACGCGGCCTAACGAATCTACCACCACACCTCATACGGCTCGTATCATCCTGTACGGGTCGTTCGTACTCCGTACAACATTGTTGTATTGACGAAACGGGCACCAGAGGCTCGATCAGTCGTACGATGCGGTCCGGATTAGGACACGGACAGACACCGGCCACGCAGAGGGCGCGCTTAGATCGAGACCGGCAGCGCGTGAGCGTGCGACTCGTGCCTGTCCGCCGGTTCTGCTCCGCTTCCTGCAGTACTTTTGCTTGCAGAGAGGGCAGCCGGGTGATTGGTCTCGGACACTCGACAGATGCAGTGAGAGCGGCTGAGCTTAGTTGAACTCTCGTCCAGCGTCGAAGTATACCTTATAATATACTGCAACAAGATTAACGTCCAACATGACAGGTAACATCCAGCCGGGCTATACTTCTGCCCCGCTCTGGGTCTTCGTCTGAAGAGCGCTTCTAGGCCGTGGAATGCTGGCCTAGTGCACGCCGTCAAGAAGATCCTGGATCATATTTTCCCTTTTGGACCTCCAACAGTGCCAGCTCAGTCACGCAACCGGCCTAACTAGGTAGACCCGAGTAGACAGTTAGTAATTAATGCATGGGAGCTGATTTGTAAGCTTCCCACGAAGCTGAGTCAAACCGCTCGGAGTACTTCACTAACTAGTTACTCCGTGCAAAACAGGAGACAAAAGCGGAACCACTGCATGACTCTCATACCATGGCAATAGCTCGATCACCATCAGAGACATCCCGATCTCAGCAGGAATACGGACGACACTTCCTCAGGGGGAAAGAAGAGATTAAGACAACGATAAGCTAACCCCTCAGCTAACACGGATCCGGTTATCATCTCCGTGCCTGGTGCGATATATCATGATGTCTCCTAGCCACCCGTGTCGCGAGGGTAGACTAGTCTAGTCCGCGATCAAGATCCGCATCGATTGACTTTGACCCCCATCCCGTGGCTGATGGGCGACATGCTAGTTTGAGTAAAAGCGTTGCCCGATCGTCCGACAGTATGGGGAATTTTTCGCGCGAGACAGAAAACGGCGAGTCATGGCATCCCCATACTTAATCAGGGTGATTTGCGGACGTTGCCCGCTTCCCTAAATTAATCCTGGCGTTCTGGAAACCCGCCAGGGGAGAAGGAGAAGAGAAAAGTCGGATATTTTGCCTTGCTCGAATCCACCCGTCTCCACCGTCCGATGGAAGAGATGAATGGCATGGCAGGGGAGGAATCAACTGCCACCGAATAATGCAGCACGGCACATCCGTCACTAACGATCGGGATGTCTCGGTCGAATTTCTCTTCAGCCTATTTTACGGGATATGCCCCGTCAGAGCAAATACAAGAAAGAAAGAGTCGGATATACTCCATACTCCGTAGAAGAACCAAACTCAGATCCGTCACAGTTCCTGTCCGGGATAGACAGGCGAGAGCACGATCCCCAGCCATGGAAAAGGCTGATGCGTCAGTCCATCTATGCGAGTGGACCAGCGCCACTGGATCCGTCGGCAGACAGTGGAGAAGACGTTTAACGGCCTCGAAAGGGCAGTACTACTTACTCCGTAGCTGCAGCCCGTAAGCTGCAGTCCTGCACCAAGCCAAGGGATCGGAGATGACTATCGGGCTGTAGTTACCTACTTATGGAGTGCGTCGGCACCACATCCGGAACAAGATACCTCCTCAGTAGACATCTCGTCCTATACCGACACCTCACGTACGAGTCGTGGCGAGCGAATCCGGGTTCAGGTCGCCACGGATCGCTGAACGGTTTGTGGGTCTGCCTGCCATCATCATACTCAGTTCAGCGCGCCATTGTCGGTGGCTACGAAGTAGCGGTACACAAGTCCTGGATCTGACCGGCCCGTAGTCCCTAACGGAACGGCATCCGACGCCTCTCGATCCCTTGCTGTAGAAAGTGTATCAAAGGGATCTGGCGGGATTTGCTGCGGGGCCGAGGGTATTCCGTGATGTCTAGGATAGCCTCTGCAGAAGGCAGCGGCTCGCTGCCTCTGAAGAGCCTCTGATACCAGAAGCACGCGTAACGTACAGCGTACCCAAATTACCTACTCCCGGCCGTACGGTGGAAAACACCGGCGAATAACGCCCGCCCATCATCGCGGACAGGCTTTCGCCGAGGCGAATCTTGGTACGCCAACGACGGGAGGTTGGCTGGAGCCAGAGCCAGCCCCGATCAAGACTGATCCACCCCATCCGCCGTCCACCGCCTGAGGCGTCTCTCCAGGGGGGCGGAAAGTGCTGATGAGGAAGCAGACGGAACAGCCCATGGCCATTCACATGGGTTGCTGGAGTGGGCCGCTGGATTTGACCGGGGGGAGGGAGAGTGTCGTTCGTCTCCCAACGCGGAAGGAGACAATCCTTACCTCTTTACCAAGGGGATCCTTTGTGTTACACAAATGGCTCTACCTAGTTCGATCTGTAGAAGATGGGGGGGAGAAAGGATTCAGTCTTCAATCTAGGAGACTGACGGTGATCGGAGGAAAGGAGAGAAGAAATAACCCACTAGGAAAAAAGGGCAAATAAACAGGAAAAGGATCGTCCTACCGCGTACTTGTACAGATGGTCCATGCTTCTTGCATTCGACAGGATGCAGAGCGCAGCTCCCTCTGGTCAAAGGAAGGAGAGGTACAGGTACTTGTTGGAACCAACCAACAGGTACCTGGTACGGGGTGGTCGCAGTACCTCGTGGTACCTCGTGGTACCGGTGGTAACATCAGGAGAGATCTGAGCCTTCCAGCGATACAGCAGCGGAACCGAGACAAGACCGCCGCCCGTCGATAGTCCCAATCGGTCGGCCTGCAGCCGAACCCACGCCGACTAGATTTTAGTCGAGATCCATCGGGAGAACGGGTGCTTTTCTTTTTCTTTTTCCTTTTATTATGTACAGTAGGTATATTATTATTTGGTATTATTACTCTAGTACTATCATAATACTCCGTACATTATCATAATATTATCATCATTAATATTATATTTCAACTGACGACGAACCCCAGCTGTCAACTTACCCTTTTGGGCCACGCCATCGGAGAGTTTCCCGGGACGGTTCCACCGGTGGTGTTCCTCGCTCCTCCTTTTGCCTGATTGGAATTCCACGATGGATGCACATACTCCGTAGCTGGACCGTCGTCTTCCAGCGCGGAAGCTGCGTGCAACAACACGCGCGGGAGGGATCTGGGTATCTGTCATAACTCCCCTTCAACATTAAGGTTGCCTCCCGGACATCTGAAACCTCCTCTAAACCTAATCATCCAAGTATCGTGGGCGTGGCCACGGCTGTCTAAAAATAAGGAAAGCTGCGCAACGTATCCCATGGATGAATGACGCATCGAATGTCCCCCGTCTTTGGGTTTGGGACGATCATTTCACCACCCCCGTGCAACAGGGGCAAGCAGGGAAAAAAGAAAACACACTCGTATGGGGCAAACTACCTAGT